GGCTGGAGCACCAAGGAGCATCTTTGAAACTCTCCCGATCATGATGCGAGCCATGGACTGTTGCTGCATGGGCGAGCAATGCACTTCCAGCGATAGAATCAGTGGGTAGGGCGACTCTGCAAAGGCGAACTTGTTGACAACTTTGATAGTATCGTGGAACGAGATGGCCTTGGTCAATGTACGGCCGTGCATGACTACGGGGAGACCATCGCCACCGTCCCAGCAGTCGATTTCAATGCACCGGCACCCTTTCTGTAGAGCGCTGATGTAAGCTTCTGTGCTCGATTCGCCTGCGACTTGGCGACCGAGGAGGTATGTGTTGTGGGAACTAGAGATGAAGTACTCGTTGAGTGGTCTGTTCAGCTGGAGCTTCCCCGTACTTGGCTTCGGCTTCAGGACAGAGTTGTTGCTTGATGTCAAGAAAGTTTGGAAAGCGGGGAAGTTCATTGTGAGCGGCAGTGGGGTCGCGCCACCTTCTGTTGGGGTGGCCCTGGGTTTTGTTCTGCGCGCAACCTTGTCGAAGATGCTCGTCCAGCCCTCAACGTCCGCATCAACATCAATACCCTGTTCTTGTTGTAAGAATCTGAAGAAGGTGGCCTTGTCCATCTCTTCCGCTCCAAAAGTCAGGGAGTCGAAAATTCTCTTGATGTCCTTGCGTTCCCTCAAGCGAGTAACGAAGGAGAGGAATTGTGTCTGGTTCAGTTTGTCGGAGCCATTGGGGGCAGCTTCTGAGAAGTAAGCACGGAGGGTGGCCTCGGTGCAGTTGATGTGCAGGCTGCGGCATAATTCGACTGTGCTGGGAAAGTCCAATGACTCTTCGTCGTTTCCACGCTTCTTCATCGCGCGTTGCCAGACCAGCTTTGCACTCTTGTCTTGGAAGCCTTGCAGGCCGATCATCATCTCGCTGCGGTTACGTGAGACAGAGTCGAGCGTCTTTGTCCACATGTTGAAAACGCCGGCGTCGGGAGCGACCAGGTGCATCGTCTTGATCTTGTTCTTGGAGCGTGTGGTGTCAGTGTACACAATGGTGAACCAGTATGGAGCCCAGTTCTCGGACATGCCACACTCTTCACGGTAATGCTTAGCATCTGGACCGTAGCGTATCTCCTTGACGTCGTCAATGTAGAAGCTCTTTTGCCGTGAAGTGTCCCAGTACACTCTGGCTGATTCCAGATCGAGACGCAGAGTGATGGCCTTCTGCTCCTTCTTGGCGATCTTCTTCATTGGGGTGCCTTGTTCGAGCCGGGAGGGAAGGATGGGTGCCAGGGCTCTATTTTCGGACATGGACGTGGTACTTGAAGACATGTTGATTCCAAGGCCGTTGAGCGGAGGCTCGCCGTAGTAGTCGTCTATGGCGTCCTCCTCTTCGTAGGCCTCGAGGTCAGAGACACAGGTGTCTGCGTCGATAGCCGTCCTGCTGTCACTGCGGCGGCGCATAATGACTGGTCCGGAGCTCTTGTCGCGATCCCTGTGCGCAGTCGTGTTACCCCGGCGGAAGCGGTTTGGAATGCCCTGTGCGCCGCGGCTCACTCTTCGAATCAGCCCCGGGCCTTTGCCCAGTGCCTCTGCCATTGCGGACGGGGACGAGGTGGGTGGTGACAGTACCGGTGGCGGAAGGAGCGACTCGGGCAGGGTATAGGTAGGAACTGCGGGGAGGGAGGAAGGAGCGAAAGGCACCATGCCCTCTGGCGTGGACTGGAGCGAGCCATTGAAGAGCGAGGGCGTCGAGGCCGGGCTGCCGCGCGAGCTGGGGATGTTGATGGCGGTTGACGTCATGCGAGCGAAGCTGGGCGAGGGCGATGGCATGCGTGGGCGGGAATGCTGCTCGTAGAAGAGCGACATGGTTGTGGTGGTGGTAGTGGTGGTGGTAGTGGTGGTGGTAGTGGTAGTGGTAGTGGTAGTGGATAGCGAAGCAAAGCGTGCGGCCGTGTCAAAGTATCTTCATGGCGCAAAGCTGGCAGTTAGAATGAACAGAACTGGCGAGCGGGTGCCTCTGCAAATAAGAGCATGCAGAAGATCAACAGCCGGCTGGGGTGCTGGAGACTGTCGAGGCAGGCTAGGCGGCGTGCTGCATCGTGGTATCGTGAGTCTGACAGCAGCTACGACGGATTGGGCGCACAAGCGCGCTGCGCGGAGGAGCACAGAAAACGAACGCGACGCGGGTCAGCTGGCCAGGTGCAATGGGATTACTGAAGAATTGACTTGCAGCAGCGTGCAGAAGCGTCGTGCTGCAGAAGCGTGCTGGCGACAGGGGTCGGTGGGCTATACGGAGCAATTCGTGGGGGTCGGCGATCGAATGCGGACGGATGGTATGCACAAGGTGAGGCGGTGGAATGCGGAGTGCAGCAGCAGGTGCAGATGCAGTACAGACGTAAGACGTAGTCGTGTGGTCGTGTGCGAGGGCTCTTGCAGGTCGAGGGCGACTGAGACTGGGCCGCTGTCCCCTTTGTAGATATGGCTCAGTCAGGTACACTTGGACAAGCCTAGGAAACGGCGACGGGCGCGCCTACCCTGCAACGGCCATAGCGTCTGCGAAATCTTCTGAAGCGCAATGTTACCACGACCATCAGCCCTTGACTCTGCGCTGGCTCCCCTGGCCGTCGCTCACCACGCCACTCCGCACGATGCCATTCGAGCCCACCACGCTGACATGGCTCCGCGCGCTCGCTTCCCTGCGAAGCGCTGCTGCTAGCCAGTGCTAAGTTTTGAGGAGCCGGCGCCGGCATGAAACGCCTTGAGAGATGACGTTGGCTGGGTTTACCGTTGAAGCCTGCCCAAGCCGTCGCCCAATCACACCCGCCCCTGCTCAGCCTAACACAAGCAGCATCAGGCACCCAGAAACAAACGAAACATTGTACGGCGCCGCGAGGCCAGCGCATGCACTCTGCCATGCTGAGTATCCGCTAGTCGCGATGCCGTGTTCGCTGCACTGAGCCACACAGCTTGCTGCTGCTGCTTGCTGCTGGCGGCTAGCACATTCCGGCCTCTATTGTCACAATACGACACCACTCTGCCGCATCATCCGGCCAAGGATTGTCGGCAAGGCTGAGTCTGTGCAGCACACACCGCGCAGTCATGCTTGGTGCGTCGTCGTACTTGCGAACGAATGCAATCCCTTCCTCACCGGATGTGGAGCGTTGGCATGCTGCGAAACAAAGACGAAGGACTATCAGCAGACTTGGCCGCGATGGCGGCACCGCAAGTGTTGTGTCCATCCTCATTTCGACCAGTGTTTGGCGCCTCAAACTGCCAGATCCGTCTTTGCCGACTTGTCTGCTTTGCCAATCCGCCTGCCTATCCGGAGAAGTTACGGTGAGCTTTCGGGCGACACTGGCTTTCCAGGCAATTGATATGCTGCCAGCTCGTGTGCTGGCCAAGTAGCGGTGATGAGCCACGACTATCAAACAACACACCCGGCGAGTCGCAGCCACCCATTTGAGGCGCTTCTCTCCACCTTGCGCACGTGGGACCGCCGTCATGAAACAAAGTCTGAGTCCGGCACCGGGGAGACGAGCAGCCCCAATTTTAAACCATGGGTGCCGGCACCATTAGGCCCAACCGGTTCTCAACGGCCCTTCGCAACACCACACAGAGTTTCCATAGCTTGCCTGGAAACCTGCTGAAGGCTCAAAATGGCTCCTGGCGCATACGACCGATTACCCGAAGAGCATGATGACTCCATGTTTGCGCAACAATAATGCTGTCAGGCAGTGCTCCGTATCCTGCAAGCCCTGCTATTCCTGCGCTCCACCGAGTCGCGTGATTGCCTTACCGCAGCGTTTTGTGCAGGCTTCGAGAAGAATGTCCCGGACCTGTTCCGCGAATTAGAGGACGCTGTCTGCACATCAACCGTCGCTCCACTGCTGCGTGTCCGGGCTGTCCATGTGACATGTAAGCGGTGTGAACTCGTCCTTCTTCGTTACTTCACGTCCAATCGTTCGTTTGCTTCTTGTGTGATGCCTTGAGATACATTTCGCAACTTCTATTTGCTCCAGCTACCTACTGCCCCTTTCGTCAAGTCGGCAAACCGCAGTCTGTACAACTAACCGTCGCTGTTCGAGCATGTTGCAGGTTGACTGAAAATGGCGGTGCGCTCTTCGCTAAGGAAAGGGTCCCCTGGGCACGTTGTCACCCGCGGTCCCCACGCCTGGAAATAGAGCTGCGCACGTCTCCCTCTCTGCTCCGCGGTCGCATCGCTGAGGCTTGATCGATGGATGACTTGCATGCATCGCTTCCCTGGGCCCCGAGGTGGTTGGAGCAACGCAAAGCACCAGATTGGACGGACCCAGCTCCGATGCTCGCTCTTGCGAAACCGTGAGGCACGTCGCAATCTGCCTTACCGGTCTCATACGATGCTGTGCAGTAGGCTTCTCGGTCCATGTGCGGCTGAAAAGGGACAATCCTGTGGAGGGACGGATGTAACATAAAACGGCAAGTCCGGTCGGACCCTACTGAATCGTACTGTCTGAAGTCGTGCAAAATGTCTCCCAAGAGTTTGAAAAATAATGCGTTAATGCGACGGAACTGTTGGCGACGGAGTCTCAATCTTGATGTGACATCCGCATCGTCCGAAATGCTCCGAGACTGCGCGACAACGAACTTCTACTCACCACAACGAGTCGGCGTCGACCAGATGGAGTCCCTCATCTTCCGCATCTGGGATATCGTAGACTGGATTGTTTTCGCGGTCTCGACCTGTCTCGGCACAACTTGCCTGCGCACGTTTGTACAAGCTCGTGCCGCTATGGCCAGGATGCGCGAGGCGGCTGCGGGACGTTTCTGTGCGACTGATCATCCTTGGGGATAGGTGGTCGATATCGCCAGATGCGTTGGCCAGCAGAGAGGCATGAGTCACTGAGTGGCCTGACGCGCTGTGCAGGTTTGTGAAGTCGTCCTGGCCCCCATCGCACAATTCCTCAACAAAGCCTACATACACAGCAGCCGGTGAAGTTGAAAGAGGTGGCGCAAACCTTGCTGCATCGTGTACATCCTGATGCATGCGAGGCACATGTCCTAATGTCGACCTGAACGGTGAGCTCGTTGAACTGACAGCGACGGATAGCGGCAAGTACCCCGACGAGCCTTTCGACATCCTTCGTTCGCTATCATACTGGTGCGCATGCATTAACCCCGGAGACGCTTCATCCTTACTTCCCAGGACAAAATTCTGCCAAACCTGTTCGTCTTCATTCATTTTCGCTGAGTTGTTCTCGTTTAGCTGTCGCAGACGGCCTGGCTTGAGAGAAGGCAAAGAGGCGGAAATGAGGGACGAGCTAGTGAGCTGACCTTTGGTGGCATGTTGTGACCAGCTTGCGTGTTCAGCTTCACGCATTCGCGTTTTGGACGTGGGCGACTGCTGCATACGGCTGTTTTCGGGGTCGTTCGCAGTCGTCGTATGGCTGGAGCTTCTGTCCGGAATGTGCAAGAATGGCTTCCACGCTTTGTCAACGACGCTTGAGGCTGCAGCTGCAGCTTCACTTCCATGCGGAAGCTCAATATTATTGCTGGTGCAAGGCATGCGACCCTTTTGGGATTTTCCCGCATAAGTTGCTTTGGGTGCACAGTCTGTCCCATTTTGGCCATTGCCACTGAACGTAGTGCGACATCGAGTGTCCTCAGAAGAGATAGACCCCGGAAAGACGAGGCGCAAATATTGATTAACATCTCCAAAAGGACGTGTGATTCGGAGGCCTTGGGCTGGCTTTTCACTCCTTGGTGTCTCTCTGAGCGAACATCCGTTTACAATCTCGGGCAAGTCAGATTGCATTATTGGTCTACCCACTGCGACTCTGTTCCGAGAAGCATCCTTGCCGCCGTCTTGAGGCAAATAGGCTGAGCTGGAACCCGGTTGAGCTCGCCCAGTAACTGGTGGGATTCCTCTGCGATTACTAGGCCCGCGGCTCTGAGTGGATGAGTGATCAAGTGTGCAGGCCTCCTGGATGTCAAGCTGCGCAGTCTCTTGCGTGGCTGGCTGTTCTGCATCATGATTCTGCTGATCATACAGCATCACATCCGAAGATGCATGCGACTGCTCATACCCGTTTCTCGCGCTTGAGCAGGCAGTCGTCAAAGCACCAGTACCAATGCGTATGCGGATATCGTTTGGGATATTCGTGATAGCACCGACAAAGCCACCGACATGTTGATCGACTGTGGGGTGAAAACGTTGTGTCATGGAACCCACGTCTTCTCTATGCCGAGCAGATGCGCCGTGCCTCCCTTCCACTTTCCTGCGTCTGCCGACCTTGATCTTCTCCTTGCTCGACATGAAGTGAAGGTTCACTGGTCGAGACGGCGCAACACCGACCCAGTCACGTTGTCCCAGCAGCCGCTTCCTGTTGGCTTCTAGTAGCTGGATCTCCGGGTCTATGTCATCTGCTTTTCGCTTCTTTCGTCGTTCATCTACTAAAGCGTTAGTATGCATGAGCAGCCTCCACCTCTTCACAAGCATGTGTGGTAATGGCAGCTGGCAAGCACACCTCGGACGTCACCATTGGCATGTCTCATCGGTGATGTATCACCACGTGATGGAAATTTCCGATAACCCGCTGGCGCAGGTAGCAACTCCTCTTCATTGTGGAGCTCTTCAGCGGCCAGTGGGGGTCTGCCATGCGTTGGCTCATGGTGATACCAGGCTGAGTGTTCAGTACGACGCACTGAGCTTGACACGAAGGCTGGCAATTGCCCGGTCAGCTCAGATTTCTCGTCGTTCCGCAAGTAAGTTGGTTTGAAAGGCGCTGCATGCGACTTTGGCCCATTCTGAAGGTGAGTCCGGGCTCTTGCGAAGTAGGCCTTTTGCGTTTGAACGACACCTTTGCTAGCTTGTTTCGTGCGCTGCAAGCTACCGCCCGTCCAGTTCATGTCTGGAAGAGTTTACGAGATGAAAAGATGGTTGTGGTGGGAAGAGAAGGCGGGGCGCGTTAGGTTCACGTTTCTGTTGTGGTTTGCGCCTTCCACCTGAAGGTGAGGGAATATTTGCGCCTGCATCACCACCATCACTATTCCCGATATCACAAATTTTCTTCCTTCTCATCTACAATCATCATTCTCGGCGCCTTTGCGGGGGAGTACCTATCTCTACCATACCTAAAATGCCGCATCCAGAGGTGACGGCGGGTGGGCGGAGAGGCGCTCCACCCTCTGAATCAAGTCCGCTCTACCTTCTCCACACCAATGGCGGAGGTCCCACGGGGTGATCGACAACCCTGCGCCGGCTTTTGGAGGGGAGGAGCTTTTCCACTCAAACGGATCGACAGAATGTTGGGCGACATCATCCGAAATGAAATTGGGGAGTCGAATCGCCGAACGACAATGTTGCAGTCGGCCAGCGTCTCACGCATGCCACGGCGGGCGACAATCCTTTCAATCTACTGCAACCACGGGCAGGATCCACTCGAACCAGTCCTATCATTTTTTGAAACGAGGTCCAGCACCGAGCGCGAGCCGTTCTTACCGAAGTACCGCCTTTAGCAATTCATCCCGCCTGAAGGGACAACATTGATTCTTCCCGGCTGCCTGATGTGCTGCAACACACCACCAGCAGAGTGCGGGCACAGACACGGTAGCGACTCATTCGTCGCGCGAGAATGACACTGCTCCTGGCGCTGTACTGTAATCGACTCAGTTGTATGTGTTCATCCAATGGAGTCCCAGATTATGATCGCTCGCATGGACAGCAACGGGTCATGTTACTTGGTCGATGAATATGTAAGGATCCCAGAATCTTGTCCCTCCTATGGTATAACGCTGAGCCTGCGATGCAATGCATCCGGCCGTATGAATGTGGTTCCATGTCTCCCGTTGTCTACAGAGTATATATTCCGATCGATGAGACAATATCGCAAACGCATTCCGGGATCCCTACCTATGTCGTCCGTCGGTAGCCTCTCAAATAGCTCGTGGTCGACTCACCGTCTCTTCACCGGACTCAACTGCGTGCATACCTCATCGCTGATGGTAGGCACCGATGGGCACTTGTGCTGCAGCCGCAAGTAGCTGTAATGTCTACACAGGCACTTGTCCTTACCAACGGACACACTACATCCAATAGATTGGCCATCAAGCTGTACAGCGACGTCAAGCGGCTTGAAATCCATGTCTTTGTGGATACATACTCTACAAGCGACCCACTGCGTGTAAGCTGTAACGTGCCGCCGCATGCACGTACCGTATTGCATGCGACATTTTGCAACGGACATGTGAAAACAGGAGCGCTGTTGCGCGATGAATGACCTAAGAAAACCACTTTATGAACTCAACACTAATTGCGGAACAGAGGAATTGTGCAAAGTCGAATGTTACCAAGCCAAGGACACAAGAACACGCTGCCCAGAACATGTGCCGGCACTACTCTGAGCCTCAATTCTCCCCTCGAGCCGCTCCAGCACTTGGCAATGAAGGCATATCCGGCTCATTCTCGCTGAGGGCAATGAGCGCTGTCGATCACACAGAAATCCCGAGATATTTCACAGGGTTGTGGTGGTTCCTCACGACGTTCATTCGCTGGTGTACTGACCAAAGCAGGCAACTGCCTTAACGCGCTTTCGGTCAAATGCGCCCTAATCAGCCCCTACGTCATCATGCAGATGGACTTTGAAATTTGCGACATCGTCCCACAACAACGTTCAAGCGCGGCCGTGGTAGCACAGGTCTGCAAGGGACTACGAAAATTCCGAGGTACTTCGCCCATGCTCTGCTAGGACAAACCGCGTGAGGCGCACCAGGCCGCGTGCCGTACTAGCATAGGTGTCTGGTCTAAACTGCAACATTGCCGATGCAAACCATCGAATAGGCTCCAAGATAGAGAGCACCATCCCTACGCATATGGCGCGAGGCACGCTTCTGGTGCTTGCAGCCTCTATTCAGGCACACCGATACATCGTCCGACGGTTCCTGATCCTACCCTTATGACGCCATGGATCCACAGCAATGCCCATGGAAAGTCTCGACCGATAAGCTATCTCACCAGGGTCCAACCATCGAAGGTAAGTGTAGACCGTCGCTATAGGTCCAATGTGCGATGTCATGAGTAATGCATGGTTCAACAAGCCGACCCCAGTTCTGCAGCGTCTATAAACCTCTGGGCCCAAACAACGAACTCTTCAAATCCATACCCCATATCCACCTCACCTCCACAATACCCACTTCTTGCTCCGCTTCATCGAGGAGTTCCCTGGAGTCCCAGCTGTGCACAGCCCCCAAAGCGTTATAAAGACCACTTTTCCCTCCACATCCCCAGATTCTTCTCATCCACTCTTGGGACTAGATCTCAACCTGTTTACCAGTCTCGACCCACTTCACCAACGAACGTCAATCTTACCAAAATGTCTGCACCTTCTCTTGCTGTACCACCTGCGGGTAGTCGCTTCGCACGGCGCCTGTCTTCCATCGAGGCAACCAGCGAGAAGCTACAAATGGGCCCCACAGTCGTTGTACCACCGCAACACCTAATGGCACCTTCGGCTGGGTCAGAAATTGCAACTGGCTTTGAATCAGCTAGGCACCATCTTGAAGCTGCTGGTTCGCCAATATCGCCTGGCATCACACCCCCTGAAACATCAGTCACCGACAAATATGCATTCGCGTTCGACATTGATGGTGTACTCATCCGTGGCGGTCGGCCTATCCCGGAGGCAATTGAAGCCATGAAGATGCTCAACGGCGAGAACGAATACGGAATTCAGGTGCCTTACATCTTTGTCACGAACGGTGGCGGCAAGACCGAGGAAGAGCGTTGCATTCAGCTTAGCCAGCAGCTGGAGCTGGAAGTGTCTCCCGGTCAATTCATCTGCGGCCACACACCGATGCAGGAGATGGCTGAGAAGTACAACACGGTGCTCGTAGTTGGCGGTGAGGGCGAGAAGTGCCGCATCGTCGCTGAGGGCTACGGTTTCAAGGATGTGTGAGTTTATCAGATCGTAATTACGCCTGGCATCAAGCTAATTCTGCATCAGCGTCACGCCAGGGGATATCATCAAGGACAACCAAGATACGACTCCTTTCCGCAAGTTGACTGATGAAGAGTACAAGAACTCTCGAGCACGCAACTTTGCCGAGGTCGAAATTGAGGCCATCTTTGTCTTCGCCGACTCTCGTGATTGGGCTGCCGATCAGCAGATCATTCTTGACCTGTTGATGTCGAAGAATGGCCGTCTTGGCACAAGGTCAGAGAACTTTGACGAAGGCCCACCAGTGTTTTTCTCCCACAATGATGTCGTCTGGAGCGCTTCTCACGACCTTACCCGTATCGGTATGGGTGCTCTTCGCGTGTCGCTCGAGGCCATGTACAAGGCTGTCACCGGCAAGGAGCTTGAGACCACTGCCTTTGGCAAACCTCAAATCGGCACTTTCGAGTTCGCAACTCGTCTGTTGCAAAGGTGGCGCAAGGACACGCACAACATCGACTCGCCTCCTTCCACTGTGTACTTTGTTGGTGACACTCCCGAGTCTGACATTCGAGGTACCAACGAGTACAACGAGCACACAGACGAGGCCAACTGGTACTCCATCCTCGTTCAAACTGGTGTGTTCCAGGAGGGCACCAAGCCTCGCTTCCAACCCAAGGCCACGGTTGACACTGTTCTTGACGCTGTCAAGCACGGAATGGAGCGTGAGTACAAGAAGGCTCTCAAGGAGAGCATGATTCAGACTGGTGTCATTGAGGACTAGCTTCATAGCCAGTCACCCTTCCCAGTATATTCAACACCTTTTCCCTTCCTCTCTTTAGGCATAGCAAACGGCGTTGGTGGATCGTTTCGGATTTTATTTCTCCTACAACTCATAGGCGACCTGTGCCTTCTCATTTGGACCCGTGTTTCTGTTGAAGGCCTTATCCGAGGGCCGCAGATGCGTGAGGCAGAATTTCATGATACCAGACTTTCTTAGAAGATCGTCATCTCCTAACAATGCAATCTTTGCATACTATACTATATTCTTTCGATATGACTTCACTTCGCCCCGCAACTGGCTCTTGCTGACAATATTGAGGGCCCATCAAAACCATGCTTAGTGCTCACGCCCAACGCCCATTACGGCGCTGTTAGCCTGCGACATTATGACTTTTATCCACAGGCGCACGTCGCTAGTACCGCGTGTTGAGCGATTACATCACTGCACCGGCAGAAACCGCCTTTCCTCACCGGACAAACGCGCCGACACCGATATCCACACTCATGCCTTGATCGCAATCATGAAACCCATCCCCTCGCCTTCGCCGAAGCAACCCACAATCTCGCACTCCCCACTACCTAAACAGCCCTGCCGCGTTCGCCCGACCGACCGTTTTAAGTCGGCCCGACTCACACCAAATCGACGATTGAAATCGCGCACGTCCCCCCGCTCGAACCACAGTTTCCAACTCCTCCAGGGTCGCCTCAGCCCTGGACCCTGAAAATCCCCATGAAACGAGCGCGTATCCTCTCATTTCGACAAAGTTACTTTCCAGAAGATCTGGAGATTTGACAGGGCTAGGAAACACGGGAGAAAAGGGGTCATGGGTGGCCTGCTGCGGGAGATGGGTGTGGCGTGTTTTAAGGCGGGAGGTTGGTTTGGGAGATTTGAGGGCGACGGGGAGGCGGGATTGTGAGGCTGCGATGTTGCGTTGGCTAGGTGGGAAGGGGCTTTTTGGATGCCTGAGGGTTGACGGAGGGGCAGTGCGGTGGCTGGTCTTTTGAGGCGTACCGCGTACGTAAGTTTCATTAACATGGGCGTGTGAGATGAGAGCGATGACATTCAATGTTGGCGTTGAAACTCTCAGTGATCAAACGAGTTTGTGGTAAATTATGGTGGACATCGGGTCTTCGAGACGTGACAGATTAATGTTAACTCGGAAGATGTCCCGACTCCGGATGTTACGTAGAAGACTCAGGTAAACAGGGGCAATATGAATAGAGTGACAGTAAAGGAAACGACATGTAAGCATTCACTACGGTGCTGTTTTGTCTTGCATGCTCTCTATGTGCCTACGGTAAGTCAGCTTCAAAGCTGGAGATCAGAAGCTTCAACTGAGGTATGCAACGGGGAGTGAAGACCAAAAGCTGAGCATGAAATATCTTTTCTCCCCGTGTGTTGCCCACGTCAAACATGTCGAAAGCATGTCATTGGTCTTGACGTTGTATTGGGAGTTGATGTATGTCTGGGTCTAACATGACCTCAATATTGACCCGCCCCAAGCAAAATAAAGTACATCTTAGGGGTGTCTTTTTGATTTACTCAATAGACATCACTCCGGGCTTTACGCGCTATAGAAATCTGCCACATTCGGTCGAGCACAGTGCCGAGATGCCGTACACTCTAACACTTTCTCAGTACAAAAATGTGAGCAAAAGATAAATATGAAATAACTCTCAGGCCTCCTGCGGTATGTGTTCGTCAACCAAGACAAGCAGGAATACTACCACTATACTATCCGAGATGATGAGTTGTGTTTTGTGAATGATAAAAGGCAGAAAGACGTGGTATATATACTACCAATTACGAGGCGAGATATTAAGCAGTATGAGTGAAGGTCATGTGCGGATGGCGGTTCACTTCTATCGCATATGCTAATGCGCGTCGCGATGATCCTTTCCACTCTGCAGGTGAAACGGCATATTTCACTTTGCTAAGATATCGGGAAGTGAGACAATGACACACTGAATCTAGAAGTTTCTGGTAGCTGTAATGTTTGATGTATTTCCATAGAGGTTCATTTGCTGTGTGTTAAGTCTTTGTTGCGATTGCGATATATTAGGGTCATGCTGCATCTGAGAAAAGATTCATCACGAACGTTTGGAGCTGCACATCGTCAACATGTCAGCAAATCCTCTCCCACAAAATATTCCGGTCACGGAAGCTGATCTGCGCAGTCTGAAGCATCTCGAAGGCAAGTGGCTGTACTTCACTACGTCTGTGAGTTGAACTAACTGGTCAAACCCACAGCATTACTTCCGATCCTCATTCCTGCGGACGAAAATGCACAAGTTATGATCGGCCGTATACAGACGCCACGTCCTGATAACCTTACCGCGGTGTTCGAGGCGGCTGTTGTGAGCAAACAAGGACGAGATCAAAAGAGAGTCATGTACAGAGGACTTGCAAGGGGGTTAACGCGCGAAGAAGCTCTCCAGCGGCTGATCGTTCAGATCGAAGATGACTTGGACAAGAGTTGGAAGTGCTACTCCTACTTTGGTCGACCTGTCCGGCATGGTGGCGGCGGAAGCGATAGAGGAGGATCGGGAAGAGGCGGTGCTTCTAATCAAGGCGAGAAGAGAAGAAACAATAGTGACATAGACGACCGTGCCCGATCAAAGAAGAAAGTAAAGGCTGAGGATTAGGCTGAAGATAGAGAAGGAGACATCATAGTCGATGAAGGTGGTGAAGCTCCTGGGAACGAGACGAAACGTGCTATACAGAACGTGAAGAGAAGAAGGCGAATTCCCGTCATGTCCATTGCTGGGGGTGCGTATACTCCGACACTTTAGCCTGTCGTACAGGGAGATGGAGGGACTAGCTGAGCTAGATTGAGGATGTATACCACGAAATGTGTACATATGAAGGGGAAGGGCTATAGCGATTTTACTTAGCCGTAGGCGGTGAAGAGGATGAAGTACAAGGCCGAGCCACCTTTTCACCGTGAATACAAGTTCGCATCTACCAGTGTCGCGTCTTTCCAATCTACCTATGTATATAAAAGCTAGGGCTCTGCACCAACGTTTTACAACAACTTCCCTTGTCATTTCACGGTAAAGTTTTATGACATTTTGAATCCAGCAAGCAGTTGCAACAATTTCGCAGATTATGTCATGTCCGGATCGAGAGGCAGCTTAAGAATCACCTCTACTGGTGATGTCTGGGTAGTATGGAATGTTCGTGGTATTTACTGGACGTGACGGTATCCTGAAGGAAATTACGGGAGCACGGTTATCAGGCTGGCATGACCAGAAGTCATCTCTGCTGTAGGTTTGATGTTCACATGACATAATTACTGCCAGGCTTGTAACATCTGCATACATCTCAATTGGCCTGGGCGCCTATTTTCAACCGCCGGAAAAAGTCGGTCAATGAGTGAGTACTATAGTCGTACACTGCAGTTTGCTACCACTAGTCTACGAAGCAAATCGCCTCACTTTCCGTCAGCAAACACGTAACTTGTGATGTCGACGTGGAATACAGTCCGCCCCGAGAGCCCGTTTCTTCATATAGTTCGCGTTTTGCATGATGATCTCTTCCCAGTAACAAGCAGATAGCCAGTATACATGTACTCGAGCTCTCGATGGACAACCCCGCTACTACCATGACCGAGCGCACCCGAACAAGAAGAGAGCCGCTTCCAAACCTCCGCGGAGAGGACGAGACTGAGATTCAGCTGTTGACTCAGCTCATCGAGAGTATGTGTCTCGTCCGTCACTTTTGATTGTGTATATTGGCTGACATGTGGAAGGCGGAGCTTGGATGCTCTCCCCGTTGAGACCGCCTACATGCGTCATTGGTCGTATACCACCCGAGGAAGTCACAGATGGTGGGCCGAAATACTGCGTATCACTCTACAGCATGGGTAATGGTGGCGTCAAGGGCCTTGATTCTGGTCCGAAGCATGGACTCACGAGAAAGGAAGCGCTCAGCAAGCTGTTGTTTCAAGTTGAGACGGAGTTAGGAAGGATGATGATCACTGATAAGAGGGAGAAGAGAGAAAGAGAGGAAGTCCGGGATAGGGAGGAGCGGCGGGCTGGTGGAAGCGGTAACAACTGAACAACACTAGCTGTGGTTCAAGTGTGCTGCGATGGCGCTGCGGTTAGAATGGAGCAACGTTGCTCTAGCATTATCTTAGATTTTTCTCAAAATTTACAGCTTTTCAACAACGTCATTCTGTTGAACTCCTGTTTAATAGAGTTGTAGTTGATGAATGCGTCATGTCTTTACCACTAATTTGGGAGTGATCTCGCAAAACCGGAATATGTTTTCATCTTCAACATTATGATAAATTGGTGTTATCTACGCCCCATTCGTATACGCGCCACCACCAACTTGGTTATCAAACTCGACCATCTCGTCCAAGCCACAAACCTGGAACAGCTCCTTCGGTCCATATCTTCTTCCATCCTTCTCCTGACTCTCCACCTTTCCAATTGTCTTTAGTTGCTGTATTGCCTTCCTTACTGCTGGGTACACCACCTCGAACGCCAGTGCCGGGAATATAGCAATCTTGTATCCGATCTGCTTCGCTTCCTCTGCACTGAAGTCTGGTGAAACACCACCTGGAACGTTGTTGAAGAGACACGGTGTAGGTGCAAGTTCTTTGCATGCTTTTTCAGCATCTTCCTTTGACGTTACACCTTCGAGGAAGGCTACATCTGCGCCAGCAGTAATGGCCGCTTTTAAACGTTTGACCGCCTCGTCGTATCCGTAGCCTTGTAACGCATCTGTTCGAGCGATAATGACGATATCGCCTCCGGATTGCTCTCGTGCTAGTACTGCAGCCCGTATCCGGCTGGCATATTCGTTCACATCAACAAGTTGCTTGCCCTTCAAGTGTCCACAGCGCTTGTTGACCACTTGGTCTTCGAGATGAAGTCCAGCAACACCAGCGCGGATGTATGATGTTACTGTTCGCCCGACCATGATTGCTCCACCGTAGCCAGTGTCAGCATCTGCAATAAGTGGCGTGCTGGGAGATAGACCGGCGATCATGCCGGCGTTGGTGACCATGTCGTGCAGAGTCGCGACGCCCATGTCCGCTTGGCCTAGACGAGACATTGTTGTTCCGGCACCAGTCTACAGAGAGGTGTTAGTGGGTTCGCGAGAACAGAGAATCGATGTCGTACCATGTATAAACAATCGACGCCTTCCCTCAACGCAATTTGTGCCGTGAATCCGTCGTATACACCAGGACAAGCAATAAACTTTTCCGGATCCGCCAACATGCTTCTTAAATTCTCAACCGCAGTCACTCTCTTGCTTCCGTTGCTTCCAGAAAGGGAACCCATGATGTCTGGAGTTAATGTCCAACACTTCCAAAAATCTCGTTGGTAAAATGTATAAGTATTCGTGTATCTGGGCCCTAGTGCTCGCTCCACGCCACCTGGTAAACAGGGTCTATCAACTCCAACGATCGACCGGATTTTGTGACGCAGTCAATGCAGGAACGCAGAGTCAGATGATGCAGGGACTACCAACGGAGGCTGAACCGACTGGAAAACGAGGACGGGAAGTATCTATCCAGCCGAAACTCAAGCGCCTCTTTATAGATCCAGCGTACACTGCCACATAACGCTCCACATAGCTTAGCTAGGTCAGAAAGACAGGGCTGTCTCTCCTCGGGCGGGTCGAATCCCACCCCCTCCTCAGTGCAGATAGAACATGTATCCCTATCCTACGATTGTGGTCGAAGTGGCCAAAAAGAATGCGGAACAATGAGCCGAGATAATCCTTCTGCCAGTCTGAACCATACCATAGGCCCAAATGCTAGACTACACCCCGCAGCGCCGACTGACGTAGCGAAAGCGCGGCCGAATTTCGCCGCATATTCTGCCGATGTAAGCGCTTTGGTGCTGCTGATTTGCTTAAGCCGTGCTCATAGGAGTGAGGAGTGCTTGTGAGGTGCAGAGCGATAATGTACATTGCCGATACAGGTCCGATATGCCGCCTGAAGTGTCGGATTGATGTATGCGTGATTGTACATGTTCGGGTACGGACTTGGGTGCTGGGTTGGGAAGGCTGCTTGCGAGGCCTTGGTAAGTGAGGGGTAACGGAGGGGAGACTTGTAATCCTGGGGTAGGGTAAAGTAGAACCCATCATGCTGGCAGCACGCGAGTGGAATTGTTGCTATCGCTCCTTCTTGTTCGCAGGATTGAGAAGTGCTCTAAAGTGAGAAACAAACTTCAATATATCGGCCTCGCATTGTTCCATCCTGCGTATTTCTTGATATTCTGCTATCATATGTAGAATTTCACCTCAGTTTATCATCATCTTATAGTCCGATTTAGCAGGCTTGCTGCGTTACCTGCAGCTGAATAATTGTGCAACTTGAGACTCGGGGTCCTTTGGCCGATTTTAACTTCACTGTTGCGGATGGATTGCCCGATTGGAGCAAAGTCGGCCAAAATGGATGAGATCCTGAATTTATTAAAGACGTCACGCAGGGTGGATCTTCAGGCCGACATTGACTGTAACACGCCGAGGTTACTGTCCGCTCATTATAAGACCACTTCGCTGACAGTCGCCGCAGTTGAACTGCGGTAACAGTCCTTTACTGCTCTATCCTCGCTCCAATGATAGATAAATCTCAACACTGCAAAACGCCGGATATCCTAGGGAAGTACAAGTACTCGCAGACGTAACAACGTTATGCAGAGACTCAAGAGATCATGACGGCCTCGACTTGCAGCCCGACGCAGCGCTTTGAGATCCTCATGAGCGGGAAATTCACTTCCTAATCTCAACATGGCTCGAGGCACTGAACTCTGCCGATCGCTCTGAAAACCTCGAACGCGAACTAACAAGTATCCCTCTGGTCATCAAGGTTTGGCCTTGATCGTGAAGCTATTCGCATGCAGGACGTCCAGTGTCCCGGCTAGGTGTCGCGCTGGTGACGGTGAGGTGTGGTTGTCTTCAACGTTAAAGACGGGATGGACAGAGGATCAGTTGGCAGTCTTACGTCTGCTGCCACAGTAGCTGCATCGTCGTTTGATATAAGAGCTACGGACCCGACCGATCTTATCAAGGAAATCAACATGGATCGCTGAGCTAGTTTGTGCCGGAACGAATCAAAGGCGATAATACCGAATACGATAACGTAAGTCGAGCCAGCCGGGGTGCCGAAGAAGATGAGGATCATGCAGAAACTGCACAAATCGGCCGCCCCCCTGAAAAAGGGTTATCCAAAGCAGATAGTGCCACGGTTGCAGGGAAAGTGCAGAGATTGGGCAATAGGATTGATACTGATGCAGTAGGCTGCTCTATCCTATATTTTTGTTGTTTACTAATCGTCGCATAGCTTGCACCTGCAGAATGATTGATACAAACGCACTCCAACGAAGCCATAGGTCAGCGCTGTCTTGGATATCTCTCGACCCAGGGTTCCGCGAAAGAGCTAAATGCGGCTTCAACGTTGCCTTGGGCTGGTAAGAGATTTCGGCTGCGGGTCTTTCGTGTATGGAAGCAGGCATGGCTTTTTCTTGGTAGTACTCATTCATCGTGATTGGGAAGGATCAACTAACTTCTTCCTATAGGGATGCGGGCGTGCAGTGCGTAATAGGGGGAAATATTCGCCCTCGCTCGGTCTGGTAGCCATCATGATCACTGATCAGGCTCTCTATAAGCTCGCGAATGAAGATGTCGAGATATCCATTGATTTGGTAGCCAGTGAAGTCGAGGTCGCAGGTTCGAATATCGGATTCGCATTCAGTGCCATGGAAAAGCAGCTTATGGAATCTAGCGGGACAACACAGGCATTCTTCAAACATGAGAAGAAGCTGTTTCAGACCATAGTTCAACCTAGTGGCGCAAAAGTGTTCCGAAAGATCAGCAAGAACGACGCGATGCTCGGCGATAACAGCCGATATCAACTAGCGTGGTAAGACCAGGCAATCAAGAAGAAAAACGATGCTCGGATCGACGGATGTCTTAGGTATCGCCAGTTTCTTTTTGTCCTCAAGGCAGCGGGCGCTGACTCCTGTGGGCTTTCAAGCACAACGTCGTGCTTGAAGTCGTAAACCTGCTCAGCCAAATGTGTATCCTACGTTGCTGACATTATTGGACATCATAGGACCGCCTCCAATGGGGCCAGTTGGCATAGTTGGAAATTCTGTGTTGGAGAAGTCGAAGCCGGCGGCCCAGTCGTAGTCAGGGAACTGATCCATCATCGGTGGGACACTGTAATCCGAGCCATCCCAAGTGTCGAAGCTCATGACAGCAGAATCCGTCGCCATCTGAACGAGGCTAGGATCAAACTTGTTCATCGGAATTTGGGAATTCATGGGCATAGCTGGCATTGGTTGCGGCTGCATATGGGTTTGTGCTGACTGGGTCAGCATGGGCTCGTCCGGAACGTATGCGTTTTGTAGAGGAGGCGTACTTGGCCGAGTAGGGTCGTTGGAAGTAGCGGACGTCTCATCGCCATTGTACGGGTTCGGCATATTGCCGAATTCTTCTCTCCAGTACCAGAACATGTCGTAACTGACACTCATACCCAGTCTTGTTCTCAGTCTCAGCCCGAGGGACTCGGTCTGCCCGTTCTTCTTCATGAATACCTTGTTGCTACCCCACAGGTCCTTCATAATAAGCGCGGTCCGCACGTAAATGTCACCTTGCTGCAAAGATACACTGTTAAGGAAGTGTATCGCTTGGAAATATGCCTTTTCGCCAGCAGCAAGGTCCAGATGTGGTGCAAGCGAACTCCGAACAAGCTTCAGTAAGACGAACCCAGCGAGAGTTATCGATCTGTCCATGGCAAAGGAGAAGTAACTCTGTTGAATCAGGTTTGTCGCTGCGTGAATCACGTTGATGCAGAGAGAGTAGAAGCGACTAAGGCTCTCCATGTCTGGTCCTGGATTGGTTGGGTGTGCGAAGAAATGGAACGCTAGAATATGTATCCGTGCGCAGTTGAGTTGCAGCGTGTCTAATCAATCAGCATTGTCCTCAAACTTCGGCTTTCACAACTTACCAATTTCGCTAGGCGACGATTGTGACAAGCTAAGCATTTGTTGATCGAAAATGCCTATTAAAGATCGTAAAACACGAACATCACAATGAATAGATTGTATGTTCATCTTACTCAGAGCTACTACAGCTCTGAGTGTGATGATGTAAGTCTTGTGCAGGAACTGCAGGTCAGCTGGAAGATATGGCACCATATTGTCGCGATCTCTTTCATCGCAGTCCAGTAGAGACTCCGCTGTGGGTGGTAGACCATCGGCAATGTTGGTCCGGATAGATTGTATCACACAACAAAGCCAAAGTCTGGCGCGGATGACCTTCTGATCCTGGTCTTTCTTCAGTGGCGTTCTCGAAAAGTCCTGGCCCACGCCGGCGATGTGAAGACCAATCTGGGTAGAGAGGTGAACAGCAGCACCACACATCAGATGCGCCATGTCCTTGTACATGGAATTGGTCGGTATCCGCCATATACAGAGGATTAGGAGACCCTCGATGATTGGAATTTGGGCTGAACGTCGTGCCATGGATGCAAAAGCCAGTGGGACAATATGTTGGCTCGTCTTCTCTAAGACCGTTCGGTCTTCAGCATACCGCCTTGATCCGGTCACAATGATGCTCCAGAACAGGAATGGGGAAAGCTCGTAGTAATCATTGGGACTTAACGATGTGTCCAGTACTGGAAACAGCGGATGATACTGCGTGAAGAATCTGAATGGATGTCAGCAATTGGCACGCAAACACACACACATTTATACCCACAATCTGAAGCATTCGTCAATCTTCGCGCCATCGAGAAAATAGCCATCAATCACGCGCGGGAGCGTCGTGTGATTCTCGGATCCTTTCCTCGTTGGTGGTCTTGATTCAAAAGCTGGCGAAACTGAGCCGTCTGTTCGTGCGGATGGATTAGAGTAGGTCCCCGAGCCATAATCATGTGGACTATATCCTTGCATGTCGATATTTGGCGAAGCTGTCGACGCGGGATTATTAGGGTCGCTACCAAGTCCAGTACCAGATCTCATATTCCATCGCAATTCTTCGAGCTCTCGCCGCATCTCTGCTTTGGTTTGGCGTAGATTCCTGGTACTGGTAGGAAGGATCCTACACTCGAGGCCCATTTTCTTGCATCTTCCACAGGGATCGTGAGGAGTTTTGAACTGTTCAAGTTAGTATCATGATCTATATGTATGTATTATCAAGCAGTTCGAACTAGTGCTAGAAGCTCCAAAATGTTTTAAGACATCCAGAAAACCACAGGGAACGCCCAGAAACTCAGCATTGCAACCAGGAAGCCGCGAGAGACCGAGAAAGACATTTAGAAGCTTGGAAGACTCGGAAAGCACGCACCTGTTCCACATCGCAACGAATTTTTTGCTGCCTGCATTCAACGCAGGCTTTGCGGCGTGGGGTTGTCATAGTTGGCGCGGATGGTGTTGACGGTGGAGAGCCAGCTTTGGTAATGGGAAGACGATGTTCCAAAATCAATGTCAATAGTAGTGTCCGGACCCGATAGCTTGAGTAGTAGTCGCGCCACAGCGTTTCCTCCTGGTCGACGATGAAAGCCAGCTGTGGGAGTAGGAGACGATATGCCGAAAAAAGATCGATAGCGATATCCCCACCCAGTGGCTTGAGTAGTGGCGCTACAGCAATTTCTCCAGTTCGACGGCAGAGGGCGACAGAGGTGTAAAGACAAAGACAGCGTGCAGTTTCGTGAGACTGATGGAACTATGAGGTCAGAGCAGGATAGTAAGACCGAGTGAAGCGCCGATGCAGAATCGAGGCAGATCATGCAATTGCTGTGTCCTGGGCTCCTGTCGCATTGGTACGCAAGAGTTTCCGTTATTAATAATTGAAGGTTTTAGCTAGGGTGTGACGGGACGCGCTCTGAGCGCGTTGAGGATTCGATCGAAGTAACATGAGATGCATCATTGGCGAACAAGCTATGTGAGCCACCTGGTCCGTGCTTCCGCACGGACCTTATCATGATTGCAAGCAGCTGAAGAACTGTTTACCTCGCCACTAGCTTTTTGGTCCCAGCAACGCATCGCGTGCTTTTGCCCTCGTCAGACGTTCAACAAGACATATCCCGGCCATATTGAATTTGCATCGACCATGCCTTCAAACCTCAGACATATTCTGTGGATCCGATTCCCAGCACATTGTCTGATCGTCTTTTAACACACCATGTCCTAGCTCTATACAGCCTAGTTTCTCGGCAACGATAGCTTCACTTGATGGGCGGATATGTCCTGCCGGGTTCCCATGACTGGAGGGCAGGTAAGGCTTGCGCTACGAGTCCTTCGAGTTTTTTTCATCTCGTACGAACCACTTATTTGCGAGCTTGCACCGGCACTTGTCTCCGACCGCCACATCTTGGCTATTACTGGATTCAGTTCTGCAGCATGTGGAGTTGAGTGTACATCTGTGGCTAGACTCGGGTGCAGAGCCTCATGGATGGATCGAGTCAAGGCGAGAGCATGCGTTTCTCTTTCATCAACAGGTTCCAGCTCAACGACCCTGGCTAGGACGACTTCCGTGCAGACAGGACATTGAGCTCGATGACACGTCCGACCTCACCAGACACATCGCAGCGTGTGGTAAACTATCGACATCCCCTCAGGCTACCATCGGCTGTTCCCATTCCGTCGATCCAGCCACAGCCCATCTACGCACGTAAAAATCCTGCGCCGTCCATTGACTTTTAGCTCAGGGTCTGTCCGGATGCGGGAGGCAGGTTAGCCGTTGCACTTCAACTCCCTTGCCCCGTAGCGTGCCTAGAATATGCTTTGAGTGGACGCGTGGTTGCTGATCAGCACAACTTGCGGTATCGCAGTGGACGAAGGAATACATACCTAGACTTGGGGAGTGTACTACCCGTGGGGTACTAGGATTCAGAGTCGCGGGCCTGTAGATCATGCCACGAGGCCATGTTGGTCTGGACGAGTGAATCGACACGCGAAGTTCCGATGCTGTAGATCATTCCGGGTTGGCAATATCGCCACTTGCTCTTTGGTGGTAGGAAGGACGGAATTCATCCGAGAGGGCGGAGGAGAAAGCCACACGAGCAGGGGCATTTGTCTGCCTAAACGAAGGCTTAATCTGAGTCGGTACTGCGTGTGGCCCGCTAGTAATTGACCACCAGAGATCAGTTCCAAGACCAAGACGCTCTCAAGATACGCACGTATACCTAGATTGGACCACAAAGTCTTATAAATCAAGCCACTTGCAGCCATAGCTTCAAACATCGAAGCCAAGTGATTCAATTTTCAAGATGGTACTTACTCAACCTAATGGGCAAGCTTACCATGTCTCTTGATAAACCAATCAATGACTTGAAATCGCAATACAAAAAGTCACACATCATCATATGTCAAACTCCTACTTCCACCGCGTCCGTTGATGGCAGCAATCAAATGAAAGCAGACGGCACCTTACCACGAAAGAAGGGGTATATATATATATACAGTGAATCACACCACAAGTCCAGACAGGCATGTCACTCATCAAGAAATTCTTCTCATCATCCACTCATCTTCATTTGCCTCCCATCAACTAACAATCTTTTCTACACGCGTTCTAGGATATCATAAACGATCGCGCTATTCACCATATAAACAACCATCTCTTGTCAAGTTTGCCAACAAGAAGACGGACATCCACACACCCTCTCATGCTTATGTAACAACAAGAAAAAAAAGGAGGGTTAAACAATATGCAAAAGGATAAGAAACCAGGGACCCGCCCAAGCCAGCAGACGTCCGAGTCTACAAGAAGGGCAAAATAATACCCTTGCGTTGCGGACTGGATTTGCCATCGACCGTCGAGCCCTCAGCACTATATCCCGAATCGCGATCGACGTCGTCGTTGTCAAAATCAATATCAAACGTGGCTTCCTCCTCGTTGCCTGCTTCTTCGTCGTCGCCGTCCCAGGCTTTTTGCGTCGCACCGCGCGAGTTCCATCGGAGCGTGCGACTGATGCTATCGAACCACTCGGTGGGTTGGGATAGCACGGTGGGAAAGGGGTACTGCGAGGCCGCGATGGTGACGTGGTCACCCTGGCGGAGTTCGACGCGGCCTTTGCCGTCGAATGCACAGTAGGCTGTGGCGCGCGAGCGAAGCGGGACGGCGACGCGTAGCGCCATGCTGTCGTTGAGGAGCATGGGCCGGAAGGAGAGCGTGTGCGGGCAAATGGGAGTGAGCAGGATGGCAGGGATGTCAGGGTGTACGAGAGAGCCACCGGCGGAGAGTGAGTATGCCGTAGAGCCCGTTGGCGTAGAGAAGATGCAGCCGTCAGCTTGCACGACAGTAAGCAGGTTGTTGTCGCCGTACAGCTCGAGGTTGGAGACGTAGGGGCTTGGGCCGCGGTCGATGACAAGCTCGTTGAGAACCTCGAATTGCTCGGCCTCGATGTGTTGGGGCTGGTCTTGTGCGGCGTTCTTTTGGTAGCGGTAAACGGTGCAGGTGAAGCGCATGCGCAGGTTGACGCGCATGCCGACGTCGGTCATGATCTTGTTCAGAGCAGCTTTGTATTGCGCGAACTCAAAGTTGGTGAGGAAACCAAGACTGCCGAGCGAGAAGGAGAGAATCGGTGGTACGATACGCTGGAAGAGCCATGATGTGAAGAGGACGGTACCGTCACCGCCGAGTGTGAGAACGAGGTCGAAGATCTCAGGAGTCTCCCAGCATAGGTCGGGGTTCCAGTAGCGGAGCATGTCCTCGAAGCGTTTGTCCTTCGCTACCAGAGATGGGGCATCGAAGCGCTTCGACTTGCGCAGCTTGTGGTCTACATAGACGTTGACACCAACATCAGACCCATAGCGAGAAGTGGTCAGAAGCCACTCTGCAAGCTCGCGCGTGAGGTGGACCAGAGCGTTGTCGCGGGCCTTTGTCACGATCATGACATTGCGCACGGTCATCTTGATAGGACGACGCTGCAGTTGTTTCGAGACCTCACGCACGCTGATGGCAGTTTGCATGAGGCGCGAGTGTGTGATTGTGTCATCTTCACCATCGCCCATCTCTTCAAGCACCCGGTCCATGTTCACAGCCTTGTCGAACTTCTTGTGGAAGAAGCATGGTGACGCAAGGGCAGCCATTTTATTGATGGCGGTGTCGTCCGACTGCAGCTGCAGCTGCTCGAGCGCCTCAGCAAGGCGCTGCTGGTTGACGCTCTTGGAGCGCTGTGTCTTTCCTGGGGCCATCAGGACTTCGTTCATGCTCGACGAGGACATGGGTGGTCGGGACTGCAGGGCTTTGAGAATCGTCTGGCGGGGCACTGCCGAATCTATGGAACACGCGTTCTTGCGATGCTTGCGGATGCGGTTTTCGCCAAACGAAGGCACCTGAGGTAGCACCGTCAGATTTTCGATCGAGGACGAGGCGCTTAATTCGGTATCAAGGTCGTTCCGAGACGACTCGTCCGGGGTGGAGATGGTCGGGGTGGGTTCTGATGCTGCAGGCGCACCGCCTATTTCTGTAGTTGCTACCGGAGAGTCATTATATGGCGCATCCTTAGGGCAGTGGACGCTCGTCTGCGGAGGTTGCGGAGAGTAATCAACGGGGCGGTTGGGGCTTAATGCTGCGTCGACGGAATTAACATCGGCGAAACTCCTGCCTGACTGTGGGGACAGAAGCGGATGGATCTTGGCCGGAGAAAACGGCTCCCCATTCCTGCTCGTGCGAGGGTCCATTGCGCTTGCTTGAATCCTGCTGGATGCACACCAGTACAAAAGCGTAATAGATTATGAAACTGCTGCGGAGGTGCTGCTTGCGGACCTCGGGAAGCGCGGTATGTACTGTAATCGGGGGATTACGATGCTGACGCGGGTGAATATGTACAGCGCGAAGTAATCGACGTAGCCAGACGTGTAATCGTGTGAATGCTCCAGGCAATTAAAGAATGTCGAAAGGGGAAGGAACTATGGTTCGTGTCTCACTGCATGGGCGGCAGGTCGCGAGGCTTCCTTTGTGATGGTGGCCGGTGATGACAAGAATGGCGGATAGCAATGTGATGGCCGTGTTACCGCCGAAAGAATGAATTCGATATCGTGAACGAGAGCGCAGCTCAAGGTATTACAACAAGTGAAGAACACAAGAAAATAGTGAAGAGTGGTTACGACCCCAGGCCGAGAACCGAAAAGACTGGAAGAAGGTGCGAAACTGTGAAGCTTGCAGAGCCCACTAGACACGATGCAGCCAGCCTATATTCACTTTGACATCTGCGCGACACCGACGCTCCAGTCTTTCCAGACCCACGAGCCACATTATCGCGATCCTGCGCGCCAGCCTCAAACGAAGGGACCGCAAGTACCTAACGGCTAGCCCGCTAGGGCGGTTGTGACACCTCAAGCGTCAGAAACCCGTGGGCCACATCGGAGCATCTCCCAAACATAGAACGAAGCTATCTACGACTTTGGCAATTGGAGACATTGCAGCAGAACAGAGTGCCGCCGACCTGGGAGGCGCACAGCTGTCAGATGGTCCCCGTCAAGCACTGTCTTGAGTTCGGCCAATGCTGACATGTCTTTGATCCATCAATCAACACCCGCCAGGCCTCCTTAGCGAGCGCTTCCTCGTTCAGGAGTCTCAAGTCTCCGACGTATCTCGAATAGTCTCAGTGGTAGTGTACATCAACTTGACACTAGTAGCGGGCCATGCCCGTACGGGCAAAGCGATGATTGAGCCTCAGTCTATACCGCCTCTCATGCACAAATGCCGCATAACCGGCGTCGAGAAAGAGCGAATTGGAGCTCAAGTGCGACGAAACAAGCCGAGCTGGACTATCGGTCATAGTCGTAGCGAACCTTTTTTCGAATCGTATTCTGGTGCAGGTAGGCGGGCGATAGCTCGTTTGAAGCTTGACTCTGCAGTAAAGCCGGTAACCGAGTCCCTGTGCTGGTATTGGAACGACGCCCCACAGAACTCATACACCACTTGATGACATGCAACAAGAGCCCAGGAAGGAAGCGGGAGGGACGGCACGACACATTGTTTAGAAATGGGCTCACTTTTGTGTTGGCAATGTTCATGTGCTGGCACTTGTATGGGAAGTCGTCCACTTTTGACGTGCTGCCTGAGGCGGTGTACTGAAACTCGCGCATGGCACAGGGTCCTTGTAAACAAGACACAACAGGTACTGTACCCTCTGATCCTAGAGTCTGGATCAGATGCTTAGATGCCGATTCGAATTGCCGTAATGCCAAGCTGCGTGTGGTTCATGAAGCTGTCAAAGTGGCGCCTGTCGAGCGGCTGTCAATGTCAAGTTCACTAAGGATGGGTAAGTAATGGCTCGATTTTAGTCAATACTGCATTAGCTACGAGTCGTGGTTCAGCCGCAAAATTGAACGACAGGGCAAGGAGTGGCAAAGTCAATGCAGAGAGAGAGGCAATAATGTTGTGACACATTATACGTTGTTGTATTGCGATGCGCTGGAATGTGTTACTGCCATTTTCAGCAGTTGTTTTCCCAGCTTTTGTGTATCGTTCGTAAATCGTGGTATCAAATGATGTGCAAAGAGAAGTGCAAGTGTCGAGCGAGCGCTGGACTAAGTAGCTCATCGGAGGGCCTTGCGGGCGAATGTGGGAAGGACAAAGGCCGCCTCGTGGATCTCCTTGCTGTAGTACCTGCACAGCTGCTCCTCCTCCTCGGGAGCCCAGGTGCGGAGAGGCTTCTTCAAGTCGCGATCGGCGTCCTTGCTGCAAACCATGAAGCCGATTTGCCCGGATGGGTAGGTGGGGATCGTGGTGTAGCCGTACTCGACGTTGGGGAAGACCTCCTTGCAAGCCTTCTTGAGATTGGCAATGAGAGGCATGTGCAGCCACTGGTTCTCGGCTAGTTGGATATAAAGTTAGCTAGAGTTCTTCAAAGCGCCGACTGGCGCATGGAAGCCTCGCAAGTAGACAATACATTGACGGGTTAGGAGAGGGCTTACAACCTTGTGTGCTAATGACACCGCCCTCGCGGAGGGCGCCGTTGAGGAGCTCAAAGTACGCCTTCTGGAAGAGGGCCTCGGCGGGACCTTCTGGGTCGCTGGAGTCGGTGATGATGACGTCGAATTCGCCCTTCTTGTCCTCAAGGAACTTGAAGCCGTCACCAACAATGGTCTGGGTCTTGGGGTGCTCGAAGCCAACGGACATGCCAGGCAGGTACTGCTTGGAGAGACGGATGACAGCCTCGTCAATGTCGCAGAGGACAGCCTCCTTAACACAGTCGTGCTTGACGACCTCACGGAGGACGCCACCGTCACCACCGCCGATGACCAAGACCTTCTCGGGGTTGGGGTGGGCGTTCATGGCCAAGTGAGTGATCATCTCCTGGTAGCTATCTCACTATCAGCAAGTGACTCTTCCACTTCACTTTGTAGCTATAACGTACGAGAACTCGTCGCGCTCGGTGCATTGGATGACGTTGTCGAGAACAAGGACCATGCCGTAGTCGGTCGACTCGAAGATGAGGACGTCCTGGTACTTGCTCTTCTCGTGGTGGATGACCTCCTTGACCTTGAGGGTCATGGCCTGGCCGGGCCACATGTTGGAGATCTCGCGGAACCAGCCATCTGAGAGATCGGATTAGTGGATGTAGCTTAACTGCTATAGAGCTGGGGAGTCCGTACCCTTGATAGTGGGGTGCTCAATGTTTGGCATCTTGAATGTATGGAAGGAACGGGTAATAGAGGGAAAGTATTTGGGTGTTGCAGGTGAGCAGCGTTTGTAAGAAAGTGGAGTGGATAGGCTCCTGCGGACACTTATAAGTAGCTTCAGATTTGCGGTGTCTATTATTGCTTGAGCGTTTTTTTCAACCTTGCTCTTTGGGCCGCAAACACATTTTTTGCGCGCCCACGTCATTGGCGCCAGACACATCCTTGCCCCACCATAACCCCGCCAGGCCATCCTAGCCAGCACCTGGTCGGAAAACCTCCGCATCGCCAACAGCTTCTCTTTCTGGTCGCCGTCTCTCGTCTGCTTATGATAGTAGAAGATTCGATGTGCGGTTCACCTTTCATGGTGATGTGGATACTGAAACTTTAGCATCTTGTCGCAGCTTCCATTGTGGAGTTACCTGAGCAGTGCATCCATCTCCATCGACAGTAGAAGTCGTCGCTGCATGCTCCCGAGGTCATTATTGATAGCGTCGTGGTTGAGCATATATTGCTTCCACGTTGACTTGCACCAGTGCTTCAGGAACCGGCACGTGAAGTAAATCCGTCGGGAGCGGAATTTAGCTTTCGCCTAATCGTCTTATTACCATGGAACTAAGACCGTGGGGAGCGAGGGCCGGCTGGCAGAAGGTTATCGAATGTAAGCGGAACTAACCATGATTCTTGCACAGCGCATCCTTCCTACAGGGCTAGAATCCTGCACATGGTGATGCCTGGAGGAGGGCGCTAATCTTGAGAATGAGGGTGACGCTTGCCTGGCGCCCTCTCGCTTTTGAGCATCCGGACATAAGGTACATGAAGAGCGAGGTACATACACATGGTTCCAGACCTCATATAAGAAACTCACAGCCACCGCTTCTGCGTTCTTGCACACATACAATCCACCCGCTCAGCAACAATGGCTACATCTGATCATGCAGAAGGGACGCCCGAATACAAGCAAGAGATACAAAGGAAGCTTGGGGAGTACATCGAAACAAAGAGGTACATCGAAGAGCCCGAGATTCTTCCGTGGTATAAGAAGGAGATTGGAGAGCTCAAGCCTCCTGCGAGAGACCTGTTCGAGCAGTATAGCCACGTTGCTCCCGATGAAGTTGAGACGCACATCAAGCGGATCGTGAGTATACAATGCCGTCGATGTTTCCAAAAACTCACAGCTTTGTAGCGCGATGAAGCTTTCAAGATATTCCCATACCCCTGCGTTGGCAATTGGGGCTTCCTCAACTTGAGTGTCATGGAGTCGCCGGTCTACAAGGAAGTCCTCGAACGCATCAAGAATGGAGAACAGTATCTTGATATCGGATGCTGCATGGGCCAGGACATCCGCAAGCTTGCCCACGACGGTGCGCCAGAGGATAACATGTATGGCTCTGATCTCAAGAGCGAATTCTGGAGTATTGGATACGACATGTTTCTTGACAAAGCCACCTTGAAAAGTAAATTCATCGAGGCGGACGTTTTCGACGCCGACTCTGGATTGAAGGAGCTTGACGGCAAGCTTAACATCGTACATGCTGCTTCATTCTTCCATCTGTTCGACTGGGACAGTCAAGTCAAAGCAGCCAAGAGAATCGGGCAATTGCTGAAGGCTGAGCCTGGGGTCATGGTCTTTGGGAGACAAGGCGGTATGCCCGAAGCAGGCACCATCGGTCACATCCAGGAAGGGAAAAGCTCATACTGGCACAACCTCGAGTCGTGGGCTAAGATGTGGAAGCAGGCTGGTGACGAGACTGGGATAAAGTGGGAGGTTCAGTCTTCTTTCGGTGAGGAGGATCTAACAAAGAGGATGAACGCTAAGATTGTACCTGCGGGAACGAGGTTCATGACTTTCACCATTCGTCGTGTGTAGTCGTGGCTCTTGTGGATATGACCTAAATGTATCTTTCCTGGTCAATTTGATCAGAGTATGGACATGGATGTCATATGAATAGACACAGAGAATCAGGTTGTTGATTCAAGTGCCCATTCGGTGATGTGCAACTCCCTGGTCAGCCAATCAGAGGCATTCAGGGTCCAAGCAAACGCGCCAAACATATTCGTGGCATCAGCAGCATAGCAGCAGTTCCAGTGTTGCAACATAGACAATCGCCTTCTTTGAACCTCCAATACCTTTGCAACTATACCAACACTCATCATGGACCCATACTCGCCAGAAGGAGGTGCGAACACCCCGCTCTGCTACCTCAAACAACCCACTCACCCACTTCACAGAGCTCATAAACATCCACTCGGCCTTCCACGCCGGCGCATTCCAACAAGTCCTAGACTTCGACACCTCTTCCTTCTCCTCAAGTAACGCCTTGCCCGTCCGCGTCCTGCAATTGCGCTCCAAGATCGCCCTCGGCCAAGCAAAAGACGTCTCCTCGGAGCTCGCCAGCGAAAAGACGCCAGACCTGATCGCAGTAAAGCTGCTCGCAGACCAAGAACAGGGCAAAGATGTGCTATCGCAGGCGAAGAAGCTGGCAGAGCAGCATGGCCAGGAGAACTTGAACGTGCAGCTGCTCGGGGGCATGGTGCTGGAGAAGGCGGGGGAGACGGAGGAGGCGTTGGCGCTGTTGAGCAAACACCAGGGCAGCTTGGATGCGTACGCCGGCTTTCGAATCTGATATGTGGGACAGCAAGCTGACATTCGCACAGCGTAGCGCTCATCGTACAAATCCACCTCCAGCAAAACCGCGCAGATCTCGCTTCCAAAGAGGCCCAACGCGCGCGCAAATGGGCCCAGGACAGCTTGCTCGTCAACATTGCCGAGTCGTGGGTTGGCATGCGCGAGGTAACAACCACCACACACACCAGAAATCACAACAATTTCACTGACATGGCATTGCAGGGCGGCGAGAAATACCAATCCGCATTCTACGTCTTCGAAGAACTCGCGCAAACCTCGCAATCCCAATCCCCACACTCGCTCGTCGCACAAGCCGTCTCCGAACTGCATCTTGGCAGGTTGCCCGAAGCCGAGGCTGCGCTGCAACAAGCCATTAGCATCGACCCGAAGAGCGCCGACACGATTGCGAATTTAGTCGTGCTAAATACGCTACTGGGCAAGACCAAGGAGACGGCCGAGCTAAAGGAGCAGTTGCAGCAGGTGGATGGCGAGCATAGGGCGCTGAAGGACTGGAAGGAGAAGAAGGGCGAGTTTGAGAAGGCCGCGGCCAAGTATTCACCGAAGTTTGAGGTGGCTACGTAAAGATGTGGATGTGGATTTGGTGTGAAGCATTCAGGACGAGAGGCTTTGGCTTACCGTATATCACAAATGAACAGTAGAAGACATATCAAGATGCATGAATCAACGATCGCAGCTACACAGAACTTCAGAGTAGTGGTTCGCTGCAAACTACGGGCAATAGCGCCTCTCTACTTTATCCCATACATTCTCCTACTCCAAGTGAAGTGGGAATGCATAGGCGGCTGATCATATCGCCCGTCTATCCTCAACCCACTCCGAATACCCTCGGCGTAATCCAATCGCAGCCGTCTGTTCATCACATGCAAATTTGGCAAGTTACTGCCAACCTTCAGCTTCTCTCTTCCCTTCTCTTATCCTGGTACAGCCTGCGGGCCCAGGGAGAAAACTTTATGTGGATAGCTTGGACTCGTATCTAGAGAGGAGAGAGTAAGGAAACAACGGTAGAGCTGTGGCCGGGACGCTGTGCAGTGACAACGTCCGTGTCAGCATGGACGGCTACGGGCTCTGGTCCACATTCGTAACCAGGCTGGCTTGGACAGTACCGAGCCCGGGACGTCGATGATGAGCATGTGTGCCAATGTTCTCCCGTTTTCATCTTTCAGCCAGGTCTTATGGATGTAATTCGTCAACTTAGCCCCTCTCAGGCTACTTCAATCAATCTACAGTGACTTGGAGTACAACAGACACACCTGCGCTGCTGAAGCCTGTCTATTCGGCTTTTTTTCCGTTATTTGTACTGTTGATATATAAATACAGCTGAGTATGATGTGGGGCTGTTCGTCCCTCTACATTCAGATGCCTTTGAGATGAGTTAGCCGCAGATGCGGCTGGACATTTCCTTCAACTCCCATGCATGATGCTTGAAAGCAGAGAGATGATCGCCCACTAGCGCCGATCATCCTCAGCCACACCACTTCATCCTCCCACCTCTAAAAGCCTCCTCCTAATCCACCTCTCCTCGCTATGCATAACTTCGTAATCTTTTAACCCACCCTCCTCGCACCCGAAAATCCCGCGCAGTCCGCGCACCACACCGCAAATTTAGCATCGTGCGACGTCGAAACGGCTGCTACATTTCCCGCTGCACGTCGGGGTGTGGCGCGCCCGGGAGCTGCGACATCCGAGGGGTAATGTGTTGGGTCCATGCTTGCATCTTGCGCGCGCTGGCCAATCAGGCAACTGTGTGTGGAATGTATTTGCCTGCATTGGGGAGTGTGCGTGTTGGTTGTGAAAGATGGTCGGGTGGGCGCGTGGGTTTGTCTGGTGTGCCTTAATGCTCGCACGGGGATTAAGGAATTACTTTTGTCCATGTGTACATCTTGCACTTGAATTTTCCACTTCAATTTTCTCGAAAAGAATTGTTGGATTGAAATTCCAACCTCACGTTCGTTAACCAGTCCTTTGTTCAGCGCAGCTCTAATTCCGCAAACGCCGAATAGCGCTGCCGAGGGGTTGGTTCATTGTCAGCTCAGTTAGACCAGCGGGGTATTTTCGGCATTTAGCAGCTTGACGCAATGGAATATGACGAAGCGCTTGATGCGCAGACACCCATTATTGAAAACATGGTTGTGGGTGTGCCGCCTGTGTTTGAGGGTCTGACGAGGCAGTTGGACAAGATAGTGGAGCAACCGCTTCTTGGTCCCCGGAGCGACTTTCCTAAAGGTATGACTACTTCATGATCGACATGGCTGGACATGCATGTATTGATGCGAAGACAGCTTCATTTGCGTATGCGAAGAAAGATGTCTCCGGGAAGAGGAGACCGCAGGCTATTGCCCACCGAGGGTACAAGGCGAAGTTTCCTGAGAACACGATGGGGGCGTTCAAGGGCGCTGTAGGTGTGGGTGCAGATGCGCTCGAGACGGATATACACCTCTCGAAAGACGGTGTCGTTGTTTTGTCGCATGTGAGTTGAATATGTTCTCTCTACCCATGTCCCAGTACTAAGGCTTGCCAGGATAAAGATTTGAAACGTTGCTTTGGGCGAGATGAGAAGCTCATCGACTGCGACTACGAGTTTCTGAGCAAGCTGAGAACGCTGAAAGAACCTCATGAGCCCATGCCCCGCCTCGCCGACCTTCTCGAGTATCTTGCACAACCCGGATTGGAAGACATCTGGGTACTGTTGGATATCAAGGTATGTCCTCTGCAGCTTGGTCTACCTTGCGACGCGCTGACGATTGTAGCTCGACAACAACGCAGAGGACGTAATGCGACTGATCGGTGACACAATCCGCAGTGTTGCTCCTTCTCCCTCACGACCTTGGAACACCAAGATCGTCCTTGGAATATGGGCCGCCAAATACCTTCCGCTATGCTCACGATATCTTCCCGGCTTTTCCGTGTCACACATTGGCTTCTCGACGCTGGTCGCATCTTACTTCTTCACAGTGCCAAATGTGTCTTTCAACATGGCGCAAGTGGTTCTGATGACGCCATGGGGCAAGGCTTTCATCCGCAAAGCTCAGTGCGATGGACGGCCGGTATACGCGTGGACGGTGAACGAGGAGTCGAGGATGCGATGGGACACTCGGCAGGGCCTAGATGGCGTCATAACGGACGACCCGAAGCTCTACCTCGAGGTTCGGAAAGGTTGGCACGAGGGCACGAAGGATGGCTTGCGCGTGAAGGACGGGCTGGATGTATTGAGGATCAACTTCTTCGCTCTCATATATACCGTCATGTTCTGGATATATTACGGCGTGGGTGAGGGCAGGTCGAAGCGGCGGTAGGCAGTCGGGCAGCAGCTATAGTGTCAGTAACTAAAGACGTTCCAACACTGTCGAGTACAGTCTCCATAATACATCTTAAAGGCAAGCGTAAACGTCTCAGCGCATGTGGCGTGGCGTGGGGTGAAGTGAGATGACATGGAAGTGCAACGCGAGGAATAAGTTGGGGAAGTCGCGCCCAAGCCCCCGCCAAAACGCGTCAACAGCCCACCACACCATCGCAAACACAACAACATGCCCAGGTACGCCACCCAGTGTGAAATACACGTGACTATATCGCTGACTGCTAACCAGAGAAATAATAACACTGCAAGCGGGCCAATGCGGCAACAGCGTCGGGCAGCAGTTCTGGCAGCAGCTGTGTCAAGAACACGGCATCAACCAGGACGGCAACCTCGAAGACTTCGCGACCGAGGGCGGCGACCGCAAGGATGTCTTCTTCTACCAATCGGACGACACGCGGTACATCCCACGAGCCATCCTCCTCGACTTGGAGCCGCGAGTGCTGAACTCCATCCAAACGGGCGCATACAAGAACATTTACAACCCGGAGAACTTCTACATGCACAAAGATGGCACCGGCGCGGGAAACAACTGGGGCATGGGATACAGCATGGGCGAGCAGGTGCATGAGGATATTCTGGACATGATCGATCGCGAAGCAGACGGCTCCGACTCGCTCGAGGGCTTCATGCTGCTGCACTCGATTGCAGGCGGTACTGGCTCGGGTCTCGGGTCCTTTATGCTCGAGCGACTAAACGACAGATTCCCCAAGAAGCTCATACAGACATACAGCGTCTTTCCCAACACCCAAGAAGGAGACATCGTGGTGCAGCCATACAACAGCTTGCTCAGTATGCGCCGGTTGACCCAAAACGCCGATTCTGTGGTGAGTACACATGGTGCAGTCACGCATGACTTAAGCTAATATTTCATTTCAGGTCGTCCTTGACAATGGCGCCCTTTCCAAGATCGCTGCAGACCGACTGCATGTCCTGAATCCTTCATTCGAGCAGACGAACCAGCTTGTCTCGACCGTCATGTCCGCCAGTACCACAACGCTTCGATACCCCGGATACATGCACAACGACCTGGTTGGTATTGTAGCATCGCTCATTCCCACGCCGCGCTGCCATTTCCTCATGACCGCCTACACGCCCTTCTCGGGTGAGAATGTCGAACAAGCAAAGACTGTGCGCAAGACCACCGTACTGGACGTCATGAGGCGATTATTGCAGCCCAAGAACCGCATGGTCTCTACGAACCCCACAAAAAAGAGCTGCTACATGTCGATATTGAACATCATTCAAGGAGAGGCTGACCCGTCCGATGTAAGTCTTCCTGCTCTGCTAGTAGCACGCTCAACTAACGAATATAGGTCCACAAATCACTTATGCGCATCCGAGAACGACGACTAGCCACATTCATCCCATGGGGCCCTGCCTCGATCCAAGTTGCCCTTACCAAGAAGTCCCCATATGTCACATCCTCGCACCGTGTGTCCGGTCTCATGCTTGCCAACCATACCGGTATCGCCACCCTCTTCAAACGTATAGTCGCACAGTACAACACCCTCAGGAAACGAAACGCCTTCCTCGAGCCCTACAAGCGCGAAGCCCCGTTCAAGGATGGCCTTGGCGAGTTCGACGAAGCTAAGGAAGTCGTCACGGGCTTGATCGAGGAGTACGAAGAGGCTGAAAACGCCGACTACTTGACTAAAGAGGTGGCACCCACGGATGAAGGTGACGATAAGCGAGTGGGATAGATGTGGTTGAGCATCTGTTAGCGTCTAGCATGTCAGTTTGGGCGCGGAGTTTTTGGTGTACCCTCTAGGTTGATCAAAATTGAGGCGTTTGCAGGTTGAGGCGGCGCCGGTCGTAACGTCTTCTTCAATGATACCACTTCTTTTCTTGCCTGTGTAGTCTTTCATGCACCGATTACGATCAAAGGCCTGTGCCAAATTTTCTTTTCCGACCATGTTTTCGACGGTATTAGAACTCTAGTACCGACTCCCAAGCGGCCATACTCATACTACGAGACTACAAAGTCCGCTCCCCACTGGCAAATTCATGCCTCAAATATTCTGCCAACAGTGGTTCGCCATCCAACTAGTCTATCCTCCTATCAAGATGTTAGTAGTTCGATATGCGAGCGGCTCAGATCGCGAGGATCAAATGCACATGTCATGGCTATCATCCGATCCTGGGAGAGGAGACAGATTTATCCGCCGGGTGCGTAGTCTGGTGGATGCATGTCAGCTCGAGGTACGACGTCGAAACCGAAGGCAAAGATAATGCATGCGGTCTGCGGCTCGTCGATCGGCAACAAGGGCCCATCTGATTTAGTTTGTCAATGTTATGTTGAAGCACATGTTGTTCGGACAGCAGCATTGATTGGGTACGTGTATCCATTCATTTGAAGTATGGCGCCACTATCTGGATGTATGAAACGTCAGAGACGGACCTCATCCCAAGCATTGCATCCCTTCAATCCTGCCCAAATCTTCTTGTGGTCATCGGTGATCACGCTTACTCACTAGGATCAGCGTCGCGTGCGAAGAGCACGATGCGAATCCTTGGACGGCAGATGGCGGGTGACTTAGTTGCCAATGTTGGCCAGAAGACCGTCGTACTTGTTCTTCCAGTATGCGGCATCTCCACCAGAGCTGGTGCCGTTGGACCGAGAAGCCCGAGCCGACGCTAGATCCTGTCGCAGGGTCTTGATCTGGTTCTCAGCGTCCTCGGCGGCGAAGCGATGCTGCTCGGCCTGCTTGTAGGTTGGGAGCATTTCCTTGTACTCCTTGTAAGAGCGCTATCGTACTGTTAGTTGCTTTCTTCAAGAAATTCAGATTGTGACAAGACATACTTGGGCAAGCTGGGTCCACTCCTCGAGAGCCTTCTCGAGCTTCTCCTTTTGAATTTCCAGATCCTTAATCTTGATCAAGTGTCCTGTATCGGTACCGAAGGCTGGCGCTCCACCAACGGGAGGTGCAGCCTGGTCGGCCTTGAGCTGGCCCACCAAGACTTTGAGCTTGTCATTCTCCTGCTTGAGATCGGAAGCACCCTGCATTGATAGAGCGGCTTCCTTCTTCTCCGCCTGAATAGTCTCCTGCTTTGCCAGGAGCTTGCTGTTCTCGTTCTTTTGCGCCTCATTATCTGCCTGCATACGTTGGAGTTTGTCTGTGAGAGATGAAAGCTCCTTGTTGGCCTTGGCGCAGTTGTTCTCTGCCACCGAGACCTTGTCTGTGAGCTTTCCAACTGTCTCCAGAAGACCTGCCTTCTCCTTGAATAGACTCTTGTATTGGGCCTCTAGCTCGGACAGCTTTGCCATGCGAGACTTCATTTCGTCACCCTCCTTGCGCAGGCGCTCGGCGTCAACGGTCAGAGTTTCGATCTTCTTGTTCTGCTCATGGCCCTTCTGTTTCCATTATTAGCCATTGCAATTACTTATTCGTCGCGGCGACTTACGGAGAATGCTTGCGAATGCTCAGAAGCCATGTGGTTGTACTTGTCGTTGATGAGCTTGCTTTCGGCACTGAGCTTGTTCATCTCCATCTTGACGTTGCTCTCTTGAGTCCTCAGGTTGCTGATCATACTGTTCAAGTTCGTCACTTTGGCGGTCTCTTTAGCGAGTAGATCCGTCTTCTCTTTCAGCTCCGTCGTGAAGCGATCGGTCAACTGCTGCTCTGCAGAATGCATCTTCTCTTTGAGATCTCCGATGGTCTTCTGAAGACCGTCGACCTCGGCAAGCAGCTGTTTCTTTGAATCGACAAGAGACTCAAGCTGGCCCTGGAGAGCATCGACCTTCTTGAAGTCTTCAGCTTTGGTGCTCTGCTCGTGCTCCAGCATCTTTGCGTATTTGTCGATCTCCTCCCGGAAGTTGCCCTTCTCCAGCGTCAGCCGCGACACTCGCTCCTGAAGATCATCGAGCTCCTTGAGCTTAAATACAGTCTGGGCCTTATAGTCCTGGAACGCCTGTTGGTGTTCGAGGATGAGATCATGCTGGAGGTTGACCTGAGATGTTATTAGTATCTAGATGATACTCAATAGATGAAGCGTGACTGACTTTCTTATGCTGCATTTTGAGCTCGTCCTGCGAATCGCGATAAGTCTCGTTCATGACAGAAGCATGGTAGAGGGCCATGTTGTTGCGCTGCTTCTCAAGGAAGTGGGGCAGCGCCTCTTTGGTACCTTGTGCAGCCTCGAACAGCTGCTCAAGCTCCGTCCATAGATCATCAACAGACTTGAGCGCATTCGGGTCTTCCTTCTGCACGGCCTCACGGATGAGCTCTAGGAGCTGGCGGGTGTTCGTCACAGCGGCAGATACGGTCCTCGAGAACTTGGCCGCGTGCCGTTCAACCTCCTCCTTCAAAGCGTTACCTTGAGCAATCGCAAGCTGTGCATCTGAGTTGTGGTTTGCGACATCGATGGCAGACTCGTCATGCGATGCCGCGATCTGCTCCCTAGTTGCGATTGTGTCATTGGCAGGTGCGCTCTTGGTCGACGAGACGGCCGCGGGAAAGCTGGCGGGCTGAGCTCGCTTCGCACTGGGACTGGCATACTTGGAGTAGGCGAGAGCGGTCGGTCCGCCGTAGGCACTCTGGGGCACCATCACGAGCGAGTCTGTGGGAAGAAGACGGGTTAGTAAGACTCACCAGCTCGACCAAGATGAGGCTCAATACATACCTGACTGTATAAGAGGCGCCCGAATACGCGAGATGTTGTCAAATGTGGTAGCCTCCACGATCTATAGACAGCTTGCAAAGCTGCGCAAGTTACCGCATTAGTCATGCAGGCTCTTGAGAGGCGGCGCTTTCATTGCACTTACAGAGCAATGCCTACCAAGCCGAATGGCGCGAGTGTGTAGGCTGGATTGAAAAAGTCGAGATAGTCGTGTAGTTGTTGTTGCGGGGGTGCGGTGTTGTGGTTTAAAATTATATGAGGCAAGAGCGGCACCAGCTGGAACGGCAGTCACGCCTTCACCTCACAAAGTGAGCAAATTTTCGCGTGTGCCAGAAACCTTGAACCGGGTATGAGGATCGGAACAGTGGTGAAGTGAGAACGCGAAGCAGCGCTACTCTCATGCGGTGAAGTCACTGATGAACATACGAGGTCGCCCGGTGCAGACATGCAAATGTTGAAATGCATAAGACCTGAGAGAGAACGCTGTATATGATGCGAAGGACTTATTGGAAAGAAGCATGTTGTAGAGATACAGCAACAGAAGGGACGAGAGACAAGGAACTGGACATACATTCGCGGATCCATTGGATGCATGTGTACTGCATTCTTGCAAGTGGCTATTCTTACCGACATTGAATTGCTGGGCAGTGCTTAGGTTACAATAACGTTGATGCTCGTTTGCGTTGTCGTTAGGGCACCAGCTTTAACACTCGCTGCTCATGTGCTCATGTTGAGGCCAACCAAGATGTACTACCGGAAACAGAATCAGACGTGTACATATCGGCCATGCACAATGGAAGAATAAAACACATGACCAGGCTCTACGACAGAGATTTGCTCATGAGTTTGATACAAGATGCACATGAGTGTGCCTAACGAACGGAAAAAAACTACTTTGTCGCAGTCAAAAGAAGTTGATGACTACAAAAGGTCGACGCGACGACTTGTCGTTTCTTTGACACCCCTGTCGCTTCCCGTTGGAAGTACTAGGATGGTGTGCACCGTTACGGTGATCTTGACGTTTTGTGACATGCCCGGGTGCTTTCGTATAAGAATGAGGCGCGGCGAGAAAAGCAAAAAGTACTTTAGACGAGGGTGGAAATTGAACAACTCAAAATCGGAGACCGTTGTAGCTGGATCGGTCGTGTTCAAGCGACCACATACACCGTGTACGTCGAACTCGCCTAGAGATCAGACGTGGTGGAGAGACATGTCTCTCAGGACTTGACCTAAGTTAATTGACAGCACTGTAACAAATCCGCCCGCTTATCTAAGAATGCACTAAGGCATGCACACGTTCGGCTTCGGAAGACCCGAACCCAACAAACAGCAAGCATAAAGATGCCGGCGGCTCAAGAAGCAAGCATGAAAAAGAGGATTTGAGCAAAGAATAGAATGCTCGGCGGAAGTTGGAACAATAAGCAGGTGCGTCGAGATGCGCCAGGATGCCGCAGGACCAGAAACGCGGGACGATGTGACATTCGACCAACGGAGATCGTGGCCTACTGTAGCACATTGGCCGTGTCGTTCCTGCTCCGCACGCTGCCCGTGTAAGTATTGGTGCAAGATCTGCATGCCAACGAGCCTGTCTGGGCAAGAACTGCAGACAGAACGTGGCTTTTCGGTACCCGACCGAGGCTGGTAGATGTCTACTGTACACAGTCAGATGGGAACGCTTCCGAATGCGGCGTAAGGCAATGCAGATCGCATCCCGCGATTCGCATCTCCTGGGTCGTAGTCCTTCATCGAACGACCATGGTTCAGGGGGTCCACACCACACGCGCCTTTTATCCGGCGGGCGTTGGGCGCACACTCGTGGTCGAAGGTGTAGAGTGGGAACAGTCGATGGCGATATCTGGCGATCCGTGTACAAACGTCTGAGGCAAGAGATCGAGGTAGAAAAAGAGGGCGAACTCTATTCGTCGGGCGTGTCTACAGAAGGAGACTGGGCGATTCTGGCGCTAGGGATCCTCGGAGGTGTCAAAGTGGGGTTGAGCTGGCGGGAACAGCCGTCTGAAACAGCCAGAGGTGCGGTGGGAAAGGTGCCCAGCTTGCCTTCGCACGTAACTTGTGCCCTTGTCCATATGTATGTACTATGTCTATAGCCTGTATGCGGCGACTTGTGGGGGCAGCTTTGCTAGGCAGCGTCTATGCTCCTAGAAAGTAGCCTCAACTCTGTGGCTTTGTCTCGCCGCGCGTATGCATCCAGCCGTGTAAAGGGACCCTTGAGCTGCGACTGAACACAATGGTAGTACAAGGCGAAAAGCGGGCTAGTCGTTCCGCTTCGAGCGTCGTCGTGCTGCCACAATTGGCAGTGACAGAGCAGGCAGGGATGGTTAGTAAAGCGTGCTCCCAAGTGACTCTCTCGGTGTCTCTCCCCTGCGCTCGGGCTTTCCAACGTCTTCATCGCCCTGGCGCTGCGGCTGCTGTCTCTTCACTCGCTCAACTTGCCCTGTTCTTCTGCACGCTCTGCCGCTCGCAACTCGCTTAGTCGTCGCTACCGTGCCCGCTCGCCTTTTCGATTCATGCTCCTTCTCAGCGCAATCTACTCTTTCCCGGCAGTCTGGGTGTGCTAGACGGCAAAGCTGACCAAACTTTTGGCGCATGTTGTAGGGTTACATACCCACACAGCTAGTGCACAGCAGGGTCACTCTACCCTACTCTTTCGCCCACGTCCCTCGTCCGCCAACCGCCAACCGCCAACCGCCAACCAACCCAACGATTCCCACGATCTCTCCCGTCCACCACCACCGCCGTGAATGGCACCAGCGATCATGTGCTTTGGAAGGAAACCCGCCGACCCGGAATTCCGGAAGAACGAGGACATTGAGAAGGCCCTCCGCAATGACAGAAAGCGGGCAGAGCGCGAGGTGAAGCTGCTGCTGCTCGGTATGGCGCGATCAAAGCTTGGCCACGCACTCCAGCTAACACAGCACAACAGGTGCCGGAGAGAGCGGCAAGTCGACGGTGCTCAAGCAGATGCGCATCATCAATGCCGGCGGATTCGGAAAGTCGGAACGCAAGACATGGCGAGCTACCATCTTCAACAATCTGGTCTCGGCCTTCCAGACAATTTACGCCGCCATGCAGGAAGACGACACCGACTTTGAGGACGAGGACAACATCGTAGGCCGCATAGCTCTGTGCGTGCAGCGTGCACTAGCTAATTCGCTCCCAGAGATATTCAGAGCTCGTCAACTTGGCGCCAGACATTGGCACAGAAGAGCCACTGCCCGACGAGTTCCTCACTGCGTTCAACTCCCTGTGGGCGGACAAGGGCGTGCAGCTGACAATCCTCAAGGGCAACCAGTATGCCTTACACGATAACCTGAGCTACTTCTTCCAAGACATCGAGCGACTCTTCAGCAGAGACTTCCTTCCCACAGACCAAGATATCCTGCGCACACGATTGCGGACCACCGGCATTTCCGAAACCATTTTCGAGCTTGGCAACCTCACATACAAGATGGTCGACGTGGGTGGCCAGCGGTCAGAACGAAAGAAGTGGATACACGTCTTTGACAATGTCCAAGTAGTGCTGTTCCTCGTCGCTATCAGCGGCTACGACCATGTCCTTGTTGAGGACCGCAACGGCAATCAAATGCATGAAGCGCTGATGTTGTTCGAGTCCATTTCAAACTCAAAGTACTTTGAGAGGTCGGCTCTCATTCTCTTTCTGAATAAGATTGATCTCTTCCGAGAAAAGATTGCAGGTGGTATGAGCCCCATCAACAAGGTCTTCCCCGACTACACCGGAGGTGCCACCGACATCGAGGCGGGAATGGAGTTCTTCGCGAACAAATTCCGCAACCTCGTGCGGCAGCCCAAGAAAGAGGTATACGTACACTACACCAATGCGACAGACACGGATCTTCTCAAGAAGACAATGGCATCGGTTCAGGACATGATTGTCCAGCGAAACCTCAACGCCCTCATCTTGTAATTCCCACCATTCTGAGCGTCACTTGGAAGAATGGTAATTCATGCAGGGATACTTCGACAGCATATGAACACGAAGCACTCACACGCAAAGTGCACGCCGCACGCCGCATGCCGCACGCCGAATCCACCACCGCCCACAAGCGCTGCGAGCGCCGACTCCGAGTATCCCGGTTCACTATACAAGGAACTTCGCGGTCTACTTTCATACTATACCCAGGATTTACTTTTTCTATTTCGACACTGTACTACAACGAGTTCACGACATAATTCCGCACCTTCACGTTTCTGTAAGAGCAAGCGGGTCCACATTAGCAGAGCAGAATAGCGTCCGCAAGCCAGACGAGCGGGCATTACAAAGAGGAAAAATCACGTTCAGTTCACTGTTTTCAAAAACCCACACGTGCAATCTACAATCTGCTTCCTCGCGTATTATCGCTTTGTCGGCAGGTACATCGGTGTGAACATCGTGAACGCGAATTTTCTTTGTCAACCATGTCAGAACATGGTCTGTACGCGCCAGGATTCCGTCGCGAAGGGCGGGGGCGGATGTCGTTATATCGAGCAGTATGCTGCGGCGCCCACGCATCCTAGAATGCATCCTTTTGTGCAGGGGCAGGAAAGAGCCCGAGAAACCAGTTGTCCACAGTAAAAGTTTCGGACCACATCAACAACAGATCTAATGAACCTTCCTAAAACAAACTTCCCATTGTTCCTGATTGCGAAAGGATCCAACCTACATGACTATGCATGATGTATGCAGTAAGTTACGGTTTTAGCTACGACGGGAATAGAAGGGATATGCACGGGTGTGGCGCGTGATAAATGCATGGATGCGGCGTGATTGTAGATCGTTGTAGATTAAGATAGCGTGTTGGCCAATGGGTTTTTGGGGGGTTGCACGTTTGCTTACATAGATGCGGGTTTATATTGAAATGGGGCTGAGTTTGGGCCGGTTTCTGCGCTTTTGCATGTTCGATCGGATCGAATGGTGACAGTTTCTGAGGCGAGTGAGATTTATGAATGGAGACCTTTGTGGGGAATAGTGGGGTTTTGGTGTTTGGGTAGAGCTGTCAAAGATCCCGGATATCACTGACGTATAGGCTGGCTTGGTTTTCTGAATGTTATATCCGATGTAAGGATCTTATACAGCGCAGATCATACATGTGGTGAGATTTTGGGACTGGATTGGGGGGGGGGGGGGGAGACGAGGACTAAGACTTAAGAAGACGCAGCTGCAAACAGCACTATTGTTCAACACGTGGAAGAGGAAACAGCTGTCAATAATAGACTTCGGGTCCATCTTGTCATGCGTTTCCTCTAGACTCGACAAAGCGTTCGTAGCGTGTTCTGTCGGTTGTGACGGCATGTGGTACACGGAAGTCACATGAACGTCGTCTGGTCAAGTCGGTGCTTATGGTTCACCTAGCAGTAACCGACGAAGTCACACTTGTGGAGCTTCTAGTCACGAGCGAGCGATCCTATGATGCCAGCCTCGAACGGTGAGGAGATGCCGCTATCGCAACTCGAGCACCGGTGTTCCGGGATGCGCTCGTGACACTTAGCGCTACCAATCGGGTAAACGTCGGCCCTGACGACGTGCAGCAAGTCCTGACAGCGGCCTGGAGCCGCGTTGAACCTCATTGACACCACTCTCAACCCTCGAAGCTGGCCATGTTCGCGCCCTCATTTGCGCGAGCCGCTCGCTCGACTACCTCTATCTCCACGACTCCGGCAAGCTCCCTCTGCCGTGCGTCACTCACCACCGCATCGAAGTCGCTCCACCAGCGGCGCTACTCATCCTCCAAGTCCTCGATACCACCTAGCAACAAGAAGAAGCCTGTGGAGGAGCTGGAGCAGAATGCCCCCACACAGCTCCAGGACCCAAAGACCGGTGCGGAACTCGACAAGGATGAGGTAAAGAAGATACCGTTTGCGAGTTCGGCCGACAACGTCCCGCATGCACCACCCACCACGCACCTACACGAAGACGGTATGTGGCTGCAGACAACGTGTTGTTACTCGACATACTAACACACAGCAGATGTGCGGTTGTCGACCTTTTTCGCCATGCATCAGCCCATATCCTTCCACCGAGAAGCGTGGCAGCAATCGGTGACAAGCATGGGAGCAATCGATGACCTGTTCAATACTGAACTGAATGGATATCGAATGAAGGCGATACAGAAAACCGAGTCTACCCTGACCGAATTTCTCCAGCGCGTGTCCGCCAGGATGGATATAATAAATCATTTTGAGGAGCAGAAGGCGTCCGAGGCGATGCAGGAGTCGGACATCTTTGGTGAACCTCAACCACAAACTGAAGAATCAATCATGCATTACGCATCGAAACTTCTTCCCTTTATCCCGCCACCGCCGCCACTTGCACTCGATTCCTTTGCGCAACAGTCAGTGCATGCGCAAGAAGTCAACGAGCGCATCACTGAGGTCGATCTCCCAGTAGAGCAGACACAGCGACCGGCCACATTCCGAGAGCACGTCCACCGACGGCGAGGCGGCATGCTCTTGATCAGTGTCAAGAGGCAGCGAAAGCTGAAGATGAAGAAACACAAGTACAAGAAGCTGATGAAGCGCACTAGGCTGGAGCGTAGGAAGCTAGATCGTACCTAATAGAGACACAATATGGCTCACAAGCCCCGCATCTACTGCATTATCCAATGAATCTGTAAATTGTGAGAGGCATCCAAGCGACACGCTTTGCGATGCATCCAGGCAAAACGCCGCCCCCTCCTGCGCTGCGGGCCATGTCTATGATTCGTGCTCAATCCGTCTCGGCCTGATCTGCACAAGGCATGAAAGAACACCCTCAGCTCATTCTTCTGTTTCTCGGCGATTGCGCAGAATTCACAAGCATAACTGTTTTGATCGCCTTGGTGCCCGGCAACATGCCAGCCGTCTCTTTGCCAATAGCATTATTGTTCTCAGCGATAAGCGTCTTACTGCATAAGTTTCTATTGCGCCTTGTACGTTTACCAAATCGCCCTGGTTGCCGTGATCTTGGGGTGGCAGCCCGAACGCATTGTCCTCTTGTGCGTGTCATGATGGCGGCTACAGCTGTCGTGAGGTAGTCTGAAACCCCACCGCGACCGAGGCCGTCACAACAGCGCAGCCTCGCTCTCGGCTATACCCAGGCTCGAACATACCGCGGCGGGCCCTACCCTTAGGCGACGGGTACTAAGACGTAACGGAGTAGCAGCCCGCAAATCACACGTTCCATCGCGCTCAATACCGCATGACGCCTTGGCAGGAACGCTTTACTAGCCTTCTTCCACGACGGTTCCAGTGCTTCCTGCGATGCTTGGCACCGTTTTTGCTCGCGCAGACGTCAAACTCGAGACGTGCAATTTCCTTGGTCCCGGGTGTGGCGATAGTCATGGCGCTTGTCAGGACGGGCAAGGCAGAAGACACTGACAGGTAAGATGCATTGAGATATAAAAGGTCAGGGTATCGCCTGCAATTGAAGGCCAGCCAACTCGACACATTTCGCAGTAAGCAAACAATCAACCTTTCGGTCTCTTCCTTTCGCTTTTCGCTTCTTCATTCTTTCAAACGCCCCGGTCGGCTTCTTACATTTTATCTCACCCCCAAACGAAACTTAGAGCTAGCCTCCACGTTCGTTATACACTCCTTATCTTTTTAAGATCTTTTTTGATTGTACATATTCCACCGTCAATATGGTTTCCAAGACTGTCCTCATCGCGGCGATGATCGCCTACGTCGAAGCCCGTTTCGGCCAGGAGCAAGTCCCCATTGCTGCCATTTCTGCTGTTCAGGGTGGAGACGCCGGTGCTGCGGCAACCATTGCTGGAGCCACCATCAGCGACCTTCTCGGTGGAGCCAATGCTTGTGCTAAGGTAAGGATCCGAGTCACTCATTCTCCATACAAACAAACACTAACCCACACAACAGCTCACCCGCGCTGACCAAATCGTCACTGAGCTCGGTGGCGGTGCGGACGCCATTGCCGCTGCCATCGGCCTCGTTGCCGCAGAGAAGAACACCAACCCCTTTGCCAACGGCAATGTTCAGAACGTCTGCGGTGACGCTACTCTGCCCGTCACCCCTGAGCTCCGTGGTATCACTCCCCTCATCGACCCTGATGTCGATGTTGACGGTGCTGCTGCTGCTCTCAGTGAGCAGTCTCAGGGTGCTCCCCTGGCTGCTGAGGGCATGAGTGTTTTCGACCTCATGGAGGCTGCTGGTCTCGGTGACCTTGTCGTTGCTCAGGACGCGGCTGGCGGCGCTGCTGCTGGAGGTGCTGCTGCAGCCGGCGGTGCTGCCGCTGGTAATGCTAACGCTGGTAACAACGCCAATGCCAACGCTGGAGCAAACGCTGGTAACAACGCCAATGCTGGCGCTGCTGCTGGTAACGCCGCTGGTAACAACGCCACCGCTGGTAACGCCAATGCCGGTGCCAACGCTGGCAACAACGCCAACGCTGGCAACAACGCAAATGCTGGTGCCAACGCTGGTAACAACGCCAATGCTGGCGCTGCTGCTGGTAACGCCGCTGGTAACAACGCCAACGCTGGTAACAACGCCAATGCTGGTGCCAACGCTGGAAACAACGCCAATGCTGGTGCCAACGCTGGAAACAACGCAAATGCTGGTAACAATGCCAACGCCGGTAACAACGCAAATGCTGGAAACAACGCAAACCAGAACGCTGGCAATGCCGACAACGCCAACGACAACGCAGCTGACAATGCCAACGCCGGTAACAATGCCAATGCCGGTAACAATGCCAACGCTGGCAACAACAACAACGCTGGTAACAACGCTGGAAACAACGCAAACCAGAACGCCGGCAATGCCAACGCTGGAAACGCAAACCAGGGCAACAATGCCAACGACAACGCAGCCGACAACGCGGGTAACGCAGCAGACGGCGCAGCAGCAGGTGGTGCCGCCGCTGGTGGAGCAGACTTCGGCCAGTGCACACCCACCATCACCTTCCAGGGTGGTGAGGGCAACCGTCCCGCCGACGAGTTCACCTTCCAGATCGCTGACGAGCTCGCTCGTGGAGGCCAAGGCGAAGCTCTGAACCCCAACATCATCACCAACGCGCTCTGCAACCAGCTCACCAACGTGTGCGATGCCAACGCCGCCGCCGTCACTCTCTGCGAGGACGCCGCTGCCCAGGTCGAGGCTGCTGGAACCCGCAACAAGAGCACTGCTGACCTCTTCAACACTGCTGTTGGCTTTGCCGGCGCAGTTACCAACCCTGATGGTGGACCCGCTGATGTTGCTGATGCGGGTGCTGCGGCGCGCAAGATGCGCAGGGGCTTGAGGGCTTAGATGCCAACTTTTGGTGCGATGGATATATGTACCCTTTTGAAAAATTTAGCGAGAATGCGAGGATAGAACTGAACTGATGCGACTTGTTAGAGTTGGGCTCGATAGGGGAGGAGAGTGGGATGTGTTTTGATACCTGGACAGATGATTTTTATATTTCTTATATGTACGACTACATAGCCTTTATGGCATTCATGAATTACAACGATTGAGTGGCTCAGCTTTTTTACTTTTTCATGATTGATTTGTGATCACACTGATTCATTTCGTGGCTAGTTTCGCAGGAAAAACAATACATATGCGTTCACTGTTGAGTGGGGATTCCTCTATCCTAGCCGCACATCTACCTCTTCGCTCCTCTAGCCTCCTCAGTCTCTCCTTACTTTCCCGCTCCACCTTCCTCCCCCGCTCCTCCTCCAGAATTCTCAGCATCTCCTCATCCATCTCCTCCTGCATCCTTCTTCACTCATCCCCCCTCCTTTCCCGATCCTCAACCAGCATCTTAAACAACCTCCAATAAACCAACGTGATCAATACCAGTACACCACAACCTATCATCGCGTCAACAACATTTGACTAATCTTCTTGCCTGTCGATTTTATTGAGCTTGGAGAGGTAGCGATGGAGTTCTTCGGCAGACATACTGGACATGGCGAGTTTGAGCGCGGTGGCCCGTTCGAAGCTGCTGTTGCGTGTGAGATAGGAATTCAGTGCGTGGCGAGAGGTTTGGAGAGCGTGCGGGCGGTCGGTGGGGTAGGGGTATGGGTAGGGGGGAGGGCTGGCGTCGGTGGTGAAGGTACGTGTGGAGATGGGTGAGAAGGGTTGGAGGGCCTTGATGAAAGACGCTCGAGGTGGTCGTGAGATGAATGGCAATCTTGGAGTGACGCCGAAGTGTCAAGGGGTGGAGCGGGAACTTCTAGAAGTCAGCAATCGCGAAGTGAGCCAGTATGCTGGCTTTGAAGTACTTGGACATTGACCTCCGGGCCCGTGATGCTACGAGGCCTTGTAAGCCCGAGAGCGTAGACTTTGAAAGACATGAGCGGATTTTGTTACGTAGCGCGAGACTGAGTGGTTCCATGACGGTCCAATTTACGGTGCGTGTCTTGATGTCGTGTTGTTGGGATATTACAGTTTTCGCAATGACCAAAAAAAATTGAATGCAAGACAGTAATTATATAAGCTACTTATTGATCTGTTCATATTCACGAGCCTTGAAGGGACCCAGGCGTTGGGAAGCGGAGGTGCGCAAAGTTCCGCAAACATCGTCGTTCCATGGTTGAGCTCGGAAGATATCGTGTACGTGCGGAACACATTAATAAAAGCAGGATGCAATGCGAGCTGACCACCAAATTCTCTCCCAAGTTCTCTGTCTCACGATTGCATTCATAATATGTACTGAAGTAAGATTGAGTTGAGATTTCTGGATTGTAGATACACTTCGCCCTATGACCTTCTGAGATGCGCCACAAATAGTTAGGATATGGTATAAAAAGCACATAGCGATGGTACATGTATGATCCTATTTGACTTTGACTTCCCGTTTACGGCTTCGATGCACCATTCTGTGACCTTAACGTATCGTCAGACTTCAACCGATCTTCCGCTTCTTCGGGTTCTTCATATCGCTCTGTTCCATGTATATTAAGACTGCAGTGATGACTGCGACGCCACTCATGATTAAGATCGCCGTGCTCTTGTCGTTCATCCATGGTTCTGGTGTGAACGGACCAACAGTGAAGTATGGTTGAGCTCGGGTGAAGTCGCGATCCCAAAGGATGACTCTGAAATACCTGAGGCAGTCACCAGTACTATAGAAGATGACCTTCCGTCTTGAACACATGGAACACCAAGTCTGTACTAGTGGACGTTTGAAAAGTCCAGTATGCACATTGAAGTTCTCTGAAGCCTCCAGGCCCCAGTGATGAAACGAAGCACATGAACGACCATCGGGCGCGCCGTACTCCTTCCTGCCAAAACAGCACATATTCAAGCCCATTGCTTCGTGTCGGATAACGTCTTCTGCTTCTGGTTCTCTCACGTAGTTTTCTTTAATTTTCCATCCTCTTTTTCATCGGGTTGCGCGTGCACTTCAGACAATCAGTGTCGGCTTCGCGCTATGGCTCCAGGAGGTAGAGGGCCAAATCCATGAAGCAGTCAGCAATTGGTCTGCTTTATTCAGAGTACGACCGATCTCTCTTTCTCCAATAGAGGTTGTACCATCTTCATAGTACTTCAGCTGATGTACGTGGTGAATGAGCCCAAGTAGCAGCGCTCAGTACCAACGTACTCAAACTCCGTGTCCGCATTGACAATAGCGCGACAATCTCGCGTCGACTACGGTGGGTTTCTGTTACGTTTCTCCACGCTATCCCCAGACTTTTAGTGTCGCTTATTAGTTGCCCATGACGCCGCGCAGGGACCGAAGACGGCGGGCGGAAAGCGTAATGATGGAGGGGCACATCACCCCTCAGTGCATGTATGTACATCATAGCAGCGATCGTTGACAGAGTCGCGAATCTCGCATATGCAGGACAGTAAGCCGCACCACCTGGGGCGCGCGGTGGTCGTTCCGAGGCCGATTGCCAAGGCCGGGAGCGGTGTCGCGTGCATTGTTCGCGGGGGAGATAAGGCCAAAGTGCCTTATCTACACTGACGGGCATCCCACACGACAAGTCACACCTATCTCGCATTATGCCTAGACTGTCCGCCCGTGAATCATATCGGGTCATCCGAGCCCGCGAGGTGGGTCGCCGCGGGTGTGGAGCGCGGTTACTGACTGACTGACTGGTGATGGCGGGAGTCGCTAGATGCTATGCACGCTCATGTGACTGTTGCTCTCGGTACTACCTGGTATTCTGTGTCATCTTGCTTGAGAGTTGACCTCTCCTCTTTCATTCTCCTTTTCATACACCCTTTGCGAGGTGCTATACTGATATAGCGAGCTCCTCCGCTTCCTCCGCTATCTCGAGTCTCAACCGCCGGACGAACGACGTCAGCGCGCCGAGGTGTAGAACAACGAACTCGAGGCTCCCATCCCACATCTGAAGAGCAGAAAGACAGAGTTCATTCTTTGGGAACATTTGCTCAAAGTCGCGTGTGCCTGCTCAGCTTCGTATTGCGGCTGTGTCTTGTGGCTTCGACCGTGTGAGCACAGCACCTGATCGGTCAGCCTTCGCCAGAACAACTAGGCACGCGACACACCAAAGAGAAGTGACGAGCACAACTTCACATTTCGCAGCTTTAACGTAGTTGTGAAGCCTCACCTAAATCTACTGCTCCTTCTGCTCCATCGATGCGAGCATGCCACCATACCTGTCCCCACTGCGTATAGCGGAACCATCGTTACCGGCGAACTGCGAACCTGCGAACCAATTCCTATACCACCTCTCTGCCACGTTCCATACCTGCGTGCCGACGAACCTCGCCCTTGTATCCACGCTGCTGGGCACATGCAGCATCATATCATGGCTATTCGCACAGCTGCCACAAATATACAAGAACCACAAGCTCAAGTCGACGTCAGGTCTTGAGTGCTTTCTTCCTGACAGAATGGTTGCTGGGTGATGTGACGAACCTTTTGGGGTGCTTGTTCACGGGACAGGCATCATGGCAGATCATCATCGCGTCATACTACGTCTTCGTGGATTGTTGCTTGTGCGCACAGTGGGTGTGGTATGAGCTGCTACATCATGGCAGACCGCTAAGGCCCATCTGGGGACGCTGGAGTTCTGGAAATGGCAGTCCAGGCAATGGGCCATCTGGCATGCACCAGGTCACGAACGCGAAGACTCCGCCCAACGACACAAAGGATGCGTCTTCAGACAGCTCTGAACGGCCTCGGTCAGATCCTGTGGATGCGTTCCGGATACCCAACTTCGCGCGCTCCCCAGCACCAGATTCATGGCTGAACTCCCCACAAACCGGCTCTTCGCCAAACCCCCAGATTCGACGCGTCGCTGCATCCAGCTCACCCATGCCCTCGCCCAAGACCGTGCTGTACATCTCCCTCATCTTCGCCGTCCTCTCTCAATCCACCCTCGCAAAACCCATCAGCCCCTTCGCCCCGGCCCCATACCACGCCCGCACCGTCACCCACCACACCATCACGACCTCCTCCACCGCTACTCAAACCGCTGGCAAGGTCTTTTCCTGGATGTCCACATTCCTCTACCTCGGCTCGCGCCTGCCCCAACTCTACATGAACCAAATCCGCAAATCTACCGCCCGGTCTCTCCCCCACGCTCTTCGCCGCCGCCTTCTTCGGAAACCTCTTCTACTCTTCCTCCCTCCTCACAAATCCGTGTGCATGGTTCGACTACGCCGCCCGGTGAAGGTGCGGGTTGGGTAGACCCAGAAGGTTCTAACCGTGAGAACTGGGTCCTCCGCGCGACCCCGTTCTTCCTCGGGGCGGCGGGCGTGTTGATCATGGATGCGGCTGTCGGACTGCAATTCTGGTATTTCGGCGACAACGAGCCGGAGTCGAGAGGAAGGGCGCAGGACGACGATGTTATCATCACTGTTGACGACCACGGCAAGCTCAAGCGCCGCCATTTACACTGGCGCAGAGTCAGTGGGTGGATGCGCGGATGGGCACCGGCGGTGAGTGTGGCTGCGACGCCGACTGTGAGTCGTGCCACCACGCCGGCGGATACGCCGCGCGAGGGCAGTCCGCAGAGTGTTGGGGGTTCGTCGAGTAAGAGCATTCCGATTAGGGGCCCAGAGGGGCGATGCGTTGGATGAGGCGCAGGGCGTTGTTGGGGACGAGTAGGCATGCGAGTCCGAGGAGTTATGGGGCGCTGGGCTCGCCTAGATAGGATTCAATGGCCGTTATTTGTGGATTGCATTTGAGAGCGAGTATGGCATTGAATGCTTGTTATGATGGGCATGTCGATTTTGCATCTACACAGGCGGTTTATTTTTAGGCATAAGGATCTAGCATATGTACGAATTCAACGAAACACATCCATCACCAACACCATCCAAGCCCGTCATGAAGACGTGTTTTCGCATTGCAAGTTCCCTACCCAGCCCCGAGTCCCTAGTCCGGTGTAGTACGCGAGAATTGAGCAGAGAGCGCGCTACTGCGTATGTTCAAAGTTAAAGCTAGATATTTCGCCTCGAAATCTCCTCGCAAATATTAGGGCGAGTAGATATTGGGCCCAGCACCCTGCCTTGTATTACTTAGGAGCGACATTCATGCTAGGTATTCATACGCCAGTAGAAGTAAAGGGAACTGCCTTGTATTGTCGTAGTATATATGTACCTGTGTGTAGGAGAAACCTGTGGAGTTGCGTAACACAGTGTTTCACGGCAGAAGCCTAGCCACGGTCATTGTATCTTTGCCACCTTAAGCTACTCTACGGTCACCTCCTTCACCAGAGCAGCGGGGTTGTAGCTGGGGTCGCGCTTGACGGCCTGGTCGACCGCAACCTCCTTTACTAGAGCAGCTGGATTGTAACTGGGGTCGCGCTTGATAGCCTGGTCAACTGAAACCTCCTTCACTAGAGCAGCGGGGTTGTAGCTGGGGTCGCGCTTGATGGCCTGGTCGACCGCAACCTCCTTCACCAGAGCAGCGGGGTTGTAGCTGGGGTCGCGCTTGATGGCCTGGTCGACCGCAACCTCCTTTACTAGAGCAGCTGGATTGTAACTGGGATCGCGCTTGATAGCCTGGTCAACTGAAACCTCCTTCACTAGAGCAGCGGGGTTGTAGCTGGGATCGCGCTTATCTAGTATATACAGTTAACCAAAGCACATTATGCTTAGACGAGAGATGTGTGACTTACCAAATTTCTCGACATTAAGGTTTCCCCGTACTTGCTTTGGAGTTGCAAGAGCAGTCGTAGCCGACAGAAACAGGAAACCGTGCAAAATCTGAGAACGCATATTGAGCTATTCGTTAAAGGTTGTAGAATTGGTCGATGAAGATGAAGATAAGGATGAAGCAAGATTTCGGAAGGACCTCTGGCTGTTTAAATACAGCATGTGACATAGGATGATATCGTTCAGTGTTCTCTTCGTACCCAACTACCGTGACAAAGTCCAGCGCTACTTAGGTAACGGGCCGACAGCGACGCAGGAGGTCAACATAATGGAAACTAGATGCTCAAGGAACAGTATTTGGCCGAAAATTTCATCAGATAAATGGCTAGCAGTGATGCTCTACCGCAATGTAGTAGCAACGATGGGACACTTTGGTGCTTACAATCACAGCAGCAGTGCAATGCAACGATACAACAACTCTAAAAAATAGCTAATACAATTTACTTGCTCTATCAGTTAAAACTTAAGAAGTCATAATTTCGCTTTTGCCATTACTGTATAGGTCAGATTGTTGTGTTTGCCAAGCGCTCGGTGTCCCACCGGTGGTGAATTTGTGCGTACGCTACCAGAGCAGCGCGGGAAGCTCTAGGAACGGCAATTGTGTGGGAAGATCCGTTAGATAGCGGGCCGACAACGTTTGTCGTAAGAGAGGCGGAAACTCCAGGATCTGCGGTTGCCGGACAGACCCGTTGGGTAGCGGGGTGACAGCGGTGTGAATAGTTTCCGTAAGAGAGGAGAGAAGCCCGAGAAATGGCGATTATGCGGAAAAACATAGTAGATCGCGGGCCGATAATGACCTGGAAGCTATGGAACCTGCATTACGCCGAAATATATAGTGAATGGCGACATCTGGATACCATAGAACCTGCGATTACGCCGAAAGCTTTAACAGTCGTAGGATAACTGGAAGCTCTCAGAACTGCGACTACGCTGAAAGTCTCGTTAGATAACAGGCCGACAGCAACGTAGGAGCTCTTCGAAACAATATGCCTTGCGAGAATAAACGTCAAGTTTTGAATGTTTCCAATAGGTGTTTGGGAATACAACAACGCTAAAACCCTTGCTAGAGACTGGGCCGATAGTAAAACAGATGACTACTGTGATCGAGAGCGGAAGCCCCGGGAACTGCGATTACTCCGAAACTTTAGACAACAGGCCAATAATTACGCAAAAAGTCGCTGCAATAGGGACCAGAAGCGCTAGGAACTGCAATTACACCGAAAAGCACGTCAGACCTGATAGCTATGTATGAATTTAATATGAGTTGTACAACCGGTAAGCGCGGAAGGTTGCACTGCAGATACCCATAGGTATCCTGGAACTGCTGAGGAATACTCCTAGCTCGGCGAGACTACGGCGAGGAATCTCATGGCGTGAGGTCTTGACTTTAGCAGAGCGTGGATCAGTACCGGCCGACGGTGAAACGTCTGGCTAGATTGGTTCTGTATATATGTCTGTAGCTGCGCTTGGATGGATGTGCAAGAATGCACAACTATGGATTCACACGAAAAACTTCTTTCCTCTGATGAAGATAGCGACTGCGAGAATACAGGCTACATCCAACGTCGAAGGAAGCATCCAAAAACCAGGTTTCTCAGTCACATCGTCGGGCTGATTGCCTTGGTCGTCACTAACATTGCTTCATTCATCTGGGGCAGCTATTGGCCGAGGACTGAACTCGAGCATATGAAAGCAATCAATGTTTGGTGTTAGTACTGTTCTTTCCAACTCTACTCCAAAGTCAAATGCCGTTCACTAAAAGTCCTTAGCACCTCTTCACTCATCGGTTTCGTACCATCTCCACGCCGACATGCTGAACGCAACTACCCAGACCGACAACCCATCTCTTTGGCGCGCAGATCCGAGTCCCGAGGGCGACAAATTATGGAAAGACAACTGGGATACATATCCAATACTTATCCCATTTGACGACCTCGCAAAACTAGGCCAGGATCCAGAGTACGGTGTCCGTTGGCCGTATAAAGGTACTAGCATGACAGCAGTCGGCAGTCATGCCCATCATCTTCTTCACTGTCTCGACGTTCTTCGCAAGACTGTATGGGCAGACCACTATTGGCCCAACGGCAATCTGAACCCTGGCCATCGTACCCACCAGACCCATTGTATCGACATTCTCCGCCAGGATCTCATGTGTCGCGCACCCATGGACGTGTATTCTTTCATATGGCTAGAATCGGAACCAGCATCACAACCCAACTTCAACATTAGTATGAAATGTGGAGACTGGGACGGGATGCTCGCGCGGTGGAAGGAGCGACAACTAAGCAAAGAAGAGGCGCACATGGATCCTGAAAAACCAGAGGGAGTCAAGGAATGGCCAGCTCCGAATGCCTTGAAACAAGAAAACGCGGCATTGCTCGAGCTTTGCAACAAGCCAGGCGTCAACTGTACGATAGACGGAGAACCTATATAGCCCAAGGAAATACAGATGGTGCAAACTATGTTCATTGAATTTGACTACTATTTTTTGCCACGCTAGTGTAGTAGGTGCAGACCTACGTCTGACATGATAATAAACAAGCACCAGTTAGTGTGCGGGGCGAACCTAGTTTCGACTCCGCACGAGGCTGGGTCAGCATAAGCCGGGCCAGGGACCAAAACACACCTTGACGGGGGTTGCGGCGGCTGGAAGGTCTTGTAACTTGGTACACCATCATTTCACTTGACAAGAGTAAAGGCGCCGTTGTTTAGGAGACTAGTCTTAATTTTGTTCGTCCATCTACTTGACTATACATAAGAAAATTCATCTCGCAAAGAAGGAACTCAATGTTTCCACCATGGCCAAAGGTGGGAACATTGGAAAAAGCGCGCTACATCGTCTATCCCGTCTTTCCCTTCCCATCGCAGCATCGCACTTAGATGTGGCAGCGGTAAGAGCTGATGATGTCGTTGAAGTTGAAATCAGCGAGGTTGTTGATGCCGGGCTTGGTGATCAGGATGTTGTTTCCGTTGCAGCCGTTGTCCCTGGAAAAATCGGAGTTAGTATGTCACTCAGGGCAGGTGCAAGGGAGGGGGGGGGGACTTACTGGTACACACTGCAGGCGTAAGAATCGGGGCCAGCGGAGCTGATGCTGTCCTGGAAGGGGGAGGCCAAGGTGTCTATGCATGTGTTAGCCACGGGGCGCGAACAAGGGATTCTGAACATGGCATGCTTACAGCAGACGTCGGTGGTGAAAGCGAGGTTCTGGCAGATGCCGCCGAAGTTCTTGTCAGTGCAGACGTAGAAGTTGCCGTTGCCGCGCCTAGGATTCAGTCAGTATATGCTATCTTGGACGCTGAAGGTGGACTTACTTCTCAACGCTGCGCTCCACAGGGCCGGCTACTTGCGAGATGTTCAGAGTAGTGGCGACAGGAGTGCCGGGGACGTGGATGGCGATGCCGGGGGTGACGGTGAGGCTGTCGACGGCGGCACCCAGAGTGAGGCCGTAGCTGCTGAGAGCGAGAGCGATGGTGGTGAACTGCATTTTGAATGTAGGTAATGAAGAAGCTTTTGGAGGCTGCGTGAAGATGCTAATGCTGGACTGTAGACTGAAGCTGTTGGTGCTGTCTAAAAGAGCAGAACCTGGCTCTTATATATACATGTTATGAGTCTAGCGGTCTACCTGTCTTTACAACTGAGATCTACGTGAGTACTGTGACGGACACATGAATTCTCACTCATTCTGCTCAGAAGTGGTAACCTACTCCTTCGGATACGCAGCTGACGTGAGGAGTACTCTGCACTGTTGCCACTTTCTCGATTCTCTTGCCACAGGAGCGGGGATATTCTCCGTTCTATCAATTACTTACTTGGGTTTACTCTCTTTCTTTCATTATTTTGTAAGAAGGATGTTCTACAGTCTAACTGGGACACATAGTAATGTACACGGCAAGTTGAAAGACACATCGCAGATCTGGGGTTGCTGTTCGGTCATCTGGGAAGAGAACGCTGGGTGTTCAAGAGATGCTGTTGATTCTTCTTGCACTCGTGTAGACATGATTCTAAACTGAGTTTTTGCAACCATCGAGGCGGTAAATTTTGTAAGACCGACACTATGCATGAGAAATGTCAACATGTCGCCATTGCGTATGTGGAGAGGTCGGGTATACCCAGCCAGCTGAGCAATAGTGGATATGCGCAGTAGCACGCGCTCGACCCTTAGGCGACATCAAGTGTATGTCAGAGGCGTTATGGTGTGTGTAATTCTAAGCAAGAGAAAAAGTAATCTTTCTGGGGTTGGAAATGCATCTAGCTCGATGCACGAGGAAAAGGAACCTTCTAAGGCTGGAAAGGTGGCGTAAGTAAGCCCTGCAGAACCGCACTATCGAAAAGTCATATAGCTAGCTTTGCATATACGAATGTAACGAACACCATCATCAATCAACAGCAGCATTCCAGTTGATTGAAAATGTCTTTTCGCATTGCAAGTAATCCACCGCGCCCCAAGTCTAAATCTTGCTACAACTACATACACATGAGGAAAGTTCCCAACTCTATCATATGCACACACACGCACACAGCCCGCTCAACGCCGAACAAGTCAAAGAGAGAAAAGGAGAAAAATAGGAGGATGACAATCCCCGCGCCGAAAACCCAGGTAGATTTAGTTGTACAGAGGTAGTCGCACAGAAAGCCATGAGGTATATGTACGTCAAAGCAGCACTTTTTGCAGGATCCAGGACGCCGTTTTCTCGTCCAAAGCAGAGGCTGGTTTAGACACGCGACACATCGCGGCCAAAGACCTTAGCCTTGACCCAGTCCATGATGACAAGCACCCTGTTGCGCGTGCTGAAGCACATGCTGAGGTATGCCGACCGCCAGAATATGTATGTCACGGTTCCACCAGACGCAATGTTTCCAGAGAACCATGAGATATCGGCGACAGCCTTTTCGGAACCAATGTACGCAAGGGAACCCTGGTGGGAGTACTCAAAGGGACCAATTTGCTTGACGCGACGCAGGCGCTTCTGGAGGTTCTTGATTTCCTCGAAGATCTTGTCGCGGGCCTCCTTGCCGGGGGCCTTTTCTTGGGCAATGGAGAGCTCGGCGAGTTGGGCATCGATTTCTTGTGTCTTGGCCATGTTGTTGAACATGCGGGCGAGGAAGGCGCCTTCTTGGGCGGCGACCTGGGCGGTGGGGGCGTAGTTTGCGACGGCGCAGTCGCCGACGGCCCAGACGTTTTCGGTGCCCTTGACGACGAGGTATTCGTTGACGGCGAGACCGCGGCGCGAGTCCTTTTGTGCGGGGATCTGGTTGATCAGGTCCTTGACGACGGGGCGGAGTGCGTTACCGGTGGCCCAGACGAGGAGGCCGTAGGGGATCTTCTCGAGCTGCTTCTTGCCATCGGGGCCGACAGACTCGGCCTCAATGTACTTGGGAGCGACGTTCTTGACCATAGTCTTTGTGCGGATGGTGATGGCCTCCTCGTCAAAGGTCTTCTCGGTGTAGTCGATGAGCTGCTTGGAGAACATGGGCAGGACGTTGGGGAGGGCCTCGACGAGAGTGACGTGGAAGTTATCCTTGATCTCGGGGAGCCACTTCTTCAAGTCGGAGTGGAAGAAGTCTTGGAGCTCGCCAGCAAACTCGACACCAGTAGGTCCACCTCCAACAACGACCATGTGTAGCAGACGCTTCTTCTCCTCGTCGGACTGGTCCTTGAAGGTCGCAGTCTCGCAGCAGTCCATGATGCGGGCACGGATGCGCTGGGCATCGCCGACCTCCTTCAGAAATAGACCGTTCTCGCGCACACCGGGAATACCTTTCTATGTTAGCCTTGCCAATCTTCAAATATCGTATATGACGTACCGAAAGTCGCGTTCTCAGCGCCGACACCAACGACGAGCATGTCAAAGGGAACCTCAGTCGCAGAGGAGTCACCCTTGATCTCAGAATCGTCGTTGATGTAGACGATGCGCTTCTCGTAGTCGATCTTGGTGGCCTCGGCTTCGTAGTACTTGACGGCGGCCTTCTTGTGGCGCAAGAAGTTGCGGATGGGCTCCATGATGGAGCGGTGCTCGATGGTGCCGACGGTACATGAGGGCAGCAGCGGGGTGAAGAGGAAGTAGTTGCGCGGCGAGACGACGATGACGTTGTAGTTCTCCGTGTCGAGCTTCTTCAGGAGAGAGACAGCGCCCCAGCCGGTACCTGCACGTGTCAGCTTGCTATCGTACTCCTGATTGCGACTCTTGACATACCTAACACGACAAGCGTCTTCTTGCTCGCGTCGGGCTCCGGCTGGTCGTGCGGGTTGCGCATTTCGTAGATGCCGTAGCCAACGTAGCCCAGGCCAGCGATAGCGGAGAGCTGGGTGAGCCGCCATGTCCAGCGCAGCAGGCGGAACCGCCTCTTGGGCTTGGGCGGCTTCGCATCAGTGGCAGCCCGGCGGACAGACTGGCGCAGGGCAATCTGGTGCTGGATGGGGCGCGGGGTCCATTGAGCTCTGCTGGCGATAAGAGACGGGCGCTGGGTGGTGAAGGCGCGGCGGCCGACCTGCGACACGAGGTTGGCGGCAGCAAAGGGCCGCATGTTGGGAGCCATTGTGAGGATTGAGGCTGCAGAGGAGCAGCACGCGGGCAATGGCAGGTTGTTGATGAGGGCGATGGGGCGGACAAAAGGTGTTGAGGAGGTCAAGGGCTCGGATGGACTGGATAGCGGCTCCGATCAACTTTTTCGCTGGCGATGACGAACTCAGCTACTGGGTAGCTGGGCGACTGCAGGGGTGCTAGCAGCTTGCTTCTGCGAACGATAAGCCTTTTCCAATTAAAGCATCCCTTGCCGCTCCCGCGCGACCACACTGCAGATTAATTTTGCTCAAGCGAGGTCTGTGTACACTGTAGTCCATCCCACGCCTCAATGAGCATGCGGGTTTTTTTGAGTCCTCTGCACCTCCACGCTCCTCATCAATTCACATGTTCAACTCACGCATCAAGCGCATTCAACATCCTCCAAGGTTTCGTCTAGCACATATATCGCCAAACCATGTTCGGTCCTACCCTTTCCATCCTAGCGAGTGATTGGCGCCAAATGGAGCATCAACGCGGAAGGATAAAAGGATGGCTTCGTGTAGTCCCTCAAAGTGCCATTTAACCGAACCGCATCCCTTTGTAGACATGAGGCTCAAACAGAGGTAAAATTTGGTGGAACCAAGGGTCCAGACGTCTTGACCCTGCACATCACGCAATTCCATCCCACGTGCTTGGGGGTTGAGCGGTGTGAAAGGGTTTCTTCTAGATTCACATGCTTTATGCTTTGACTAGAACCGACTCACTGCAGATTCACCATGCAGAAAACGTTGGACGTGTCAGCATCATGTTTTCTACTTCCTAGGTGGCATACTTTACCAATTCGTGTTCTTGTGTATCTAGGGAGGATAACAGAAGCTCCTAGAGCAATTTGCTGCTTCACGTAACATCTTGATCATTGCTTGTAAATATGTGGTAACTGTCCCGCTACCTTGTCTACGTTGGGCTCGAAAGAAGATATGCGATGTCGGCACATACCTCACCACCCGCCGACCGAAAGCAACGCGCAATGACGCCCTTCATTCACCTCCCGCATAAGCTCTTATCGATAAGACAGCTACTCCGCACCACGCATCCGTCAGCACCCCAAGCTACCATACTTGCAGTCTTCGATTGCTCCTACTCCAATACCAAATCCATCTTCTAAATCCGCAGCACAATGCCCCACGCAACAGCCACCGTAAACGGCGTCCAAGTCGCCTCCACTGACACCTACGAAGTCGTCGACGGAAACATCTACGTACCATCCTCCCTGCTCCCTCCCCTTCCCCTCTCATTCTAACAAGAAGACCAGTTCCCACCTGATAGCATAACCCAGTCCCACTTCACGCCCACATCCACCAAAACCCACTGCCCCTACAAAGGCGACGCATCCTATTACACCATCACCACCAACAAGACCGAAGTCAAGGATGCAGCGTGGTACTATCCCGAGCCGCTCGAGGGCATGAAGAAGATCAAGGGCTATGTCGCGTTTTACAAGGGCAAGGCCGAGGTGGAGAGTTCGTAGAAAGCACACCATATCATTGATCGAAGTGTATAACGCCCATTCCCATGCAAATCGTGAAGTGAAATGTAGTCTAATCCATAACCATTGTGTCGTCGCCATCCACGCCTACAGGCGCGGGCTCCAGCATGACGCCCCTTCCTCTGCCCTCGAGTAATTCGCGCCGCACTTCGGGGCTGATGCTCTTGTGTCCGCGCGAGAGCAGGAGGTCGAGCAACGCCTCGCGCTGGTCCTCGGTGATATCATTGCGATACCGCTGCGCAAACGCCAGCAGACATTGATGCCAAATAACCGGCAGCTTCCCATTGCCGCCCAGGTCGCCCGCGGTGGATTCCGTATCCATTGCGTCCGGCGCAGTCACCACGCCGCGGAAGCGCAGGAAGTGGAAGACGACGGCGTCGATGACTTTGAATGGGAGCGCGTATTTCTTCTCCAGAAAAGTCTTGATGAAGATGTTGCAAGGGCCCGCGGCGTCGGGGTCGGAGGACATTTGCTCAGCGGCAATTTCGCAGCAGCGGTGCAGGGCGACGGCGGAGTGGAGGACGGGCACGGAGACTTTGGCGACGACGGAGGCAATTATGACGGCTTCGCGTTGGGTGCATGCGCCATCTGTGAGCAGGGGAAATAAGAGACCCTTGAAGAATGCGCTGGGCTTGTAGAGCGCTTTCTTCAGCGCGTTGTAGTAGTGTACATTGAGCTTGTGTGTCTCGTTGATGTTGTCTTGCACGGCGGGTAGGAGGACGGTGTTAAGGAAGATTTGCGCGGTTTGGGGTTTCGAGGAGATGAAGATACGGGTTGCGGCGAACATGGCGTTGGGCGTCCAGTTCTCGGGGCGTGTGATGCCTAGGAGAGTTTCCCAGGCTGGAATTGTGGGCAGGATCTTGAAGGGTTTGGGCAGTTTGCCAGACTTGTAACGAGACATGATGAGGCCGATCTTCGAGTAGACTGTACATAATTAGCATGTGGTGGGACTGAGATGACTGGGTGATGTTACCATCAACGACCTTCGCAGGCAGCTCGACAGCGTCTTCTGCGTCGCCTCCACCCAGGATTTCACGTGGCTGCTTTACTGCGCCATCTGATGCCTCGTGTGCCGCAATCTTCTCCAATATAAGCGCCGCCAGATCTGTCCCTGGGCCTTGTGGTTGTGCTTCTTCGCCCGGCCATACGATGGGATTCTCATCCGTCGGTATGAACTTGTTCCACGCCGCCAGATCGTTCGCATCAATCTCCACCTCTTCCACTTCCTCGTCGTCTTCGCCCCACGCCTCGTCGTCATCTTCGATGTGTGCTACTTCCTCATCGTCCACCAGATCTTCCTCACCCATGCGTGACTCGAAGTCAAATGCGGGGTTGGCGCCTTCTTGTCGCTGCACCTGGCTTTCGCGCTCATCCTCCTCTTCTAGTTCGCGACCAATATCCAAGATCTTGCGCGAGCTCTTCGAGTCGACAAACTTGTCGTCTTCCTTCTCTTCCTTGTTGCGCTTCTGGCGCTTGGCGGGCTTTGATTTCCATGGGTCTGAGGGTGCGTACTCTTCGGCGAGGGGGTTATGTCGCTGTTGCACGGCCGCGCCGGGCGATTTGGGTGCTTTTGGCATCGTGGGTGGAGGCTGTGGGACTGGAGGGGCGATGTATGAACAACTCTTTGCAAGCGGTCTTGGATTTTGACGGCGCCGTGAGTCGTGCGCAGAACTTGCTAGAGCGTCGGAGTGTATGTGGTGCTGCTCCAGAAACTTTCGCAAAAGTTCGTCGGCGAAAGATAAAAAGTTACAAAGTTAGTGTGGGGTGACTTTGAGAACCACGCTAGTCATGCCTGCCATCCACAGATCGCCATAGCTCCAAGTACCTTCAACATTACTAACAACACTCACGATGGCCGAGTCACAGTCCAACTCGCGGTCGAACACGCCGTCTCTCGCGCCTCCAATGCGGCGACCGCTAGAGGAAGACCATGCACCTGCCGTGTCCTCTCCGCTGAACCCCAATCCCGATGCTGCGGCGCGTGCTCGACCGAAAGCTCCACCGCGTGAGCGCGAGCAGAGAGAGAAGCGCGAGACGTTGAAGAAACGCGAAGCTTCAGCAAATACGCGCGCCAGTACGCCCGTTGCGAAACCAACCAAAAAAGAGCGCCCCTCGGCAGACTCGCCTATGCGCTATTCAATACCTGAACCCAAGGCTACCGACTACGAACCTCCCAAAGACGGCATCTTCGTCTCTCACGAACCCAACCCAATCTTCACACCCGATGGCAGCGCAGAGCTGAAGAGGCCGCATGATCAGGCGTGGAACAAGAAAGGCTACAAATACACGCCCTGCGTGGCAGATCCGCTGTTCCGACACAAACAATACTATCGGCAGAGCGACTCCAGGCCGTATGGACCGAGAATGAGCCACGAAGACTCGGACAAGTGGTTTCATTTCGACAATACTGGCACCATTGTCACCCAGGAGAAAGGATGGCGAATGGGTCGAGGCAACGTGATAGCTCGCGAAGGGCGGGCATACTACGAGGTCAAGATCCTGCGAGGCATACCCGTGAACGGTCCCAAAGACCCTGTTGACCCGAACACCGGCGAGACGAAACCTGGGCCACACGTGCGAATGGGCTGGGCGAGACGAGAAGCGCCCTTGGACGGCCCTGTGGGCTTCGACGGCTACAGCTATGGCATTACCGATGCACGCTTCGAGGCACAACACCGGTCGCGCGCTTCCAAAATCTTCAAGCCCCTTCCGAAAGGCGCCAAAAGCAAACACATGAAGGCCAGACCACCGCACGGCAAGCCAGCGCCCGTCGAATACATCACGGACGAACACATTCAAGAGGGTGATGTGATAGGCTTAGAGATCCAGCTCCCAGCCTTGTCGCTACACCGTAAGGTCATTGAGGGTATCTACAATCCAGCAGTAGATCTGGGAGACGGATTCGATGTAGCCAACTCGCAAGACCCGCTCGACAAACCCGTCGACATCATCCGTGACCGGATACCAGTCCCGTACAAAGGCAACTTCTACTTCGAGCAGTTGGACTATCAAGTGACAAAAATGGTCGAGGCGTACCATGACCGGGGCCCAGTGCCAAAGATCTACCCTTCGCCAAACCACGAAGACGTTAGTGTGAGATCCTTACCTCACTCGCACATCAAGGTCTACAAGAACGGGAAGGAAGTCGGCATTGCCTTCGAGAACCTTTTGGCATTCCTCCCTCCAGCAAGTGTGCCCTCAGTCGAGGCAGTCAAATCCGGTGCGAGACCTGGTTTCGATGACGGCATGGTAGGCTACATCCCTGCCATCTCACTCTTCAACGGAGGCATCGCACAAGTCAACTTTGGTCCCGATTTCTGGTACCCGCCTGAAGAGATGGTACGCCAACGCGAACAGGACACGCAAATGGCTGGCAATGACAATGTGGAGCAACAAATACCAGAGGGCCGAAAGCTGCGGGCTATTGGCGATCGCTTCAAGGAGCAGATCGCAGAAGATGTTGTATGGGATATCATCGATGAGATCGACTTCTTTACGCAGGATGGAGGCTGGGAGTACAAGGGCGAAACTCCCCAAGATGTTGCCGGCAAATCAACACCACGCGCCCGAGGATTCGCCAACCCTGATGAGAATCTTGGTGTTGAAGTGGGCAAGAGGTACTGACCTGGTGGCTTCCTATCTTACATTGCACGTAGTATTAGTGCATTTACCCATATACCCAATGAAGTATTCCATGTGGCACGTCAATCTCTAAGCTTTGGCGCGTGCGAGTCAGAGATAACACGTCGAAGATTTTAGATACTAAACGTATGCATACACGCGTATTCTTCAGGCAAGTGTGCGCCCTACATGTACAAATTGGCGACACTTCAATTCCGCTACCTCCTACGCTAGAACTAAAGTGGCAAAAGTGCGGAATTAGTGGCTCCAAAATTCCTACTTCATCATCACGCCGCTGTCGGACCTGAACGATTTCGCTTTGCTCTATCTTACCTTAAAGCTGTATAGACGGTGGTACCTCCAAGAAGTTCCCTTGTCTTCATCAAGTTGTTCCTGCTTTCGCAAGCATATTTTCTACCCCGCGATGGACTCTTCACAATTCCGTGACGCGGCAAAAGGTGCCATTGACGAGAGTGAGTGTTTTGTTCTCTTCCAGCAACCATTGAGTGTGACTTCTAACCAAGAGTAGTCGCAAATTACTATGACACAGTACAAGACAGACCCGTTCTTCCCTCTGTCAAGCCTGGATACCTTCGACCTCTGCTTCCCGATGGACCTCCCGAAGAAGGCGAATCATGGGACAAAATCCAGTCAGATATTGACCGCGTCATCATGCCTGGCCTCACTCATTGGCAGTCTCCCAAGTTCATGGCTTTCTTTCCTTGCAACTCTTCATTTCCAGCAATGATTGGCGACATGTACAGTGGCGCGTTCAACGCCGCGGCATTCAATTGGATTTGCTCGCCCGCCATCACGGAGCTCGAGACCATCATGATGGACTGGTTGTCGAATCTGATCGGACTGCCCAAATGCTTCTTAAGCACAAGCGAGAATGGAGGCGGTGGCATCATTCAAGGCACCGCGAGTGAAGTCATTGTGACCGCTGTAGTAGCAGCTCGAGAACGCCTAATTCGACGACGACTAGCAAACATGCCTGAAGGCGAAGAAAAGATGGACAAGGCAGCAGAAATGCGAGGAAAGCTCGTCGCTCTAGGATCCGAACATGCACACTCAAGCACCCAAAAAGCCGCCATCATCGCCGGCACTCGCTTCCGAACCGTCCCTGCGCCCAAAGAGACAAACTACAGCGTCACCGCTGCCGCGCTTCGAAAGACCATCGAAGAATGCAAAGCCAAGGGCCTGGAGGTTTTCTACTTCACCGCCACGCTCGGCAGCACGGGAACATGCGCCATCGACGACCTCGCCGGCATCGCCGAAGTAGCGAAAGAATACCCCGACGTCTGGATCCATGTCGACGCTGCATACGCCGGGTCCGCACTCGTATGCCCAGAGTACCAGCATCTCTGCCCGCCAATCGAGCACTTCGACAGCTTCAACTTCAACCTGCACAAATGGCTGCTAGTAAACTTTGACTGCTCCGCGTTCTTCATCAAGCGCCGCAAAGACCTCATGGACACGTACAGCATCACGCCGAGTTACCTGCGCAACGAGTTCACGGAGTCGGGACTTGTGACGGATTATCGCGATTGGCAGATCCCACTAGGACGCAGATTTAGAAGCTTGAAAGTGTGGTTTGTGTTGAGGACGTATGGCATTAACGGCTTGAGGGAGTTCATTCGAGGGCATATCAAGCTGGGCGAATACTTCCACTCCCTCCTGCAGTCGCGCGAGGATATTTTCAATGTCACGACAGAGCCAGCGTTCGGGCTTGTCACATTCCAGGTGAAGCCATCAACACCAAAAGCAGCGGGAGCGCTGGCGGATGACTTCACGCCCGATGCCGAGGCGCAGTATCGCGAAGCTACGAACCAACGGACGAAAGAGGTGTATGAGAAGATCAACGCCAAGGGCGACTTTTTCTTGACGAGTACGGTGGTTTGCGGGACGTATGTTATTCGCGTGGTCAGCGCGACGATTTTGAGCGAGGAGAAGTATTTGAAAGGTGTGTTTGATGCGCTGGTTGAGACTGCAGAGGCGAAGGAGTAAACGATGAGATTGACCATGCATGTGCCTATCATTGTTCGAAACTTGTCTCGGGTATATAAAGGCTCTCTGCTCTCTCGGAGGCTATCAACACATAGAGATCGTGTGAGCGTTCAAAAATCCATCTGCAATCCGGAACATGTCCTGCGTCTTGTCTGAAAGTCGTTTGCGATCTATCTTATGTCTTCTGTCAGTCTTCCCGCCTATCAAACAGCGTGCTTTCCTATATAGATACCTTCCGGTCACTCTAATCCTCCCTTGTCACATTCTCACCGCTCATTTGCCAAAAACACTGCGCAACGCACACATGATCAAAACAAAGTGAGTACCAAAACGCCAGCTGTTTTGAGCCATGTCTGCGCCACGATCTTTCAAAATCATCAGTATTCGTCTGCATGACTTTTGTTTGGCACTAAGATGTGGGTGTATAAGCCCCTCCTCACCTCCCCGACTTCACATCCATCCATCACTCTCACAAAGTTCTTTCACATTTTCAAAAAGTTACGGGAGGAGTTCTATGTTTGTGCGTCTCCAGTACTCTGAGAAAATAGAATCTTGAAAATACATGTTCTTTCTCCTCTTTTCCAAAATCCAAGTTCAAACTTGGTGTGTTCTGTTCGTCGGAAGATCCAGGTCAAAACTCTTCTGGTCTGCTGCGAACAACTCTGAAAAATTATTGACCTCGATGTATGGTGCGAAACCAAAAATTTGGTTCGCGATGACGACGCGCTGAGAAATTGCACGAAAAGCCTAGTATGTTTGTCACTGTCTGCCTGCTGGATGGGTGTAAATACTCCATCAATCTTTCGTCCTAGCAATAAGAAAAAAGTGAAGAGTAGACCTACTTATGTCCTCTGCTTCGCTGACCAAAGTGAAAAGCAAAAGTACCCATGACGTTCAATGTTTCCGGTTTTGTACATTTTGTCTTTTGTCATTCGCTTTGTGTTCTGTGCAGCTTCAGGTAACCTGTTAGATCAGGTCAAACCCATCAGATGTGGGCATGATAGCTGCATCTTCTTCTCCTTCATGAGCACGTCTTTTCTTTGATTGAGGGGGGCTGTTAGTTTGCTACGCCAATCATCAGCAAACACCTGCTCATGGGTATGTGAGCAGCTGACATGCCCACATCTGATGGGTTTCGACCTGATCTAACATTACCTTGCCGAAGTCTCGAAACAACGCTCAACGACCTTGCTAGCCCAAGCCAACTCCACGTCTCTACTGACACCATGGCACCCAGCATGCCTCCAGGTGTTTCTGCAAACGAAGGAACCGACGAGCTCGCGGAGCAGCACCTCACCCACCTCAAAACTCTCCTCGATAGTCCCTCCGGACCATTCTCTACCATCTTTCCCGGCAAGACTTCCGAAGACTTACTGGATCCCAACTTTCTGGCCGAGGCCATGTACATGGCTCAACTCCTTGCAAAAGATGACATTATTGCGGATCTTAGCGACCAGATTGCTGAAAAGGACGTTGTTCTCGACGAACTGAAGGCTGAGATCGATGCCAACACGAAGATCCTCGCCCTGAAGGACAAGAAGATTGCGGATTTGGAGCACAAGTTGAAGGGTCCGGATATACGTCTGTCACGCCAGTGAAGCTCAGATATCGGAGAAGACATGGTTAAAACCGAGAAGATTCGTGGTCATGAATCATGGTAGCTGACGCCGAAGACCCTCGGGCCTTTTTTGAGCATCTTGTAGGAAACGATAAGCTTTTGTACATTTTCAGGCTGGTATAGCACATGAGCATCTTCTGGAGCAATTTAGATCACATACGTAGTAAGCGCACATTGTTTCGTATTCAAGTGTTCACTATCGTCACCAATGTATATGTTTTTTCGCGCAATGCCAACAGCAATCTCGGGAGTTGTGCTTAGTCTCGGTGCATCTTACATCAGCGACGTCGTCTCGTTAGGACAAGAGTTCTCGCAATACATCTGGATTTCAGCATCGCCTATCTTGCTGTGGAACAGCGTTCCATCACCGTATACCGCTTTTGACTCTTGTATTAACTTGGCTATCGTGAAGGTTACATCGACTAGCCTAAGAGGGTAGCAATCGGCACGCGGGGGAAGCGAGGCCAACGATAGCGGCTGTTGACATCCCTGCCTAGACAACCCTGCACACGGCACGACTACAATCGCCCTGGCACAAAAGGTACGATGTCGCCGTACGAGTGCTTATACGGCGGTCGCTTTTCATTCAGTCATGCATCGATGGTCAATATTCATAGGACTGGCAGCTGCTCTCCAACCACTTCCACCAGTACAATGGAGCAATAACATCACTACTACGACTGGCTTCTCGCTCCGCGAAGTATCAAAGACGATCTATATCGATAAAGTGTTTGCTGGGATTAGGGATACGGAAGGACTTACTCTTATACCTCCATCTGGGCGCGAATTCGCGGGCACTTTCCTTCAGGATCTCTCCACTCTCTTTGGCGGCAACTGGACCCTACAGGAGTTTGATACACTGCCTTCGTCCGGAATAATACTTGGGCCCATCAGAAGTAACTCAAGCAGGGCAGCTTACGAGAATGGAGTCGTTACGGAAGAGGGTTATGAAATAGAAGTCGCAAATGGTAGCGTATACATCGGAGGAGCTGGAGCAAGAGGCATGTTTTGGGGCACGCGCACGTTATTACAGGAGCTTCTGATCGCAAATGGGACGAAGATTCCACCAGGTCATACACTTGATGCGCCAGCTTATGCTACTCGCGGCTTCATGCTTGATGCTGGGCGAAAATGGTACACTGCGGACTTTCTCAAAGAGCTCTGCACGTATGCCTCTTTCTTCAAGATTTCTGAGTTTCACTACCACTCAAGCGACAATTACCCCTTGAATCGCGGTCGCAATGAGACGTGGAACGAAGTTTTCTCACACTTCTCGCTATACCCGGAGAACAACACGGAGCTACAAGGCATCATTCAGCGCAAGAATGAGACGCTGTCCCGCGCAGAATTTGAAGACTTTCAAATGCACTGTGCGCAACGCGGTGTTACTGTCATTCCGGAAATTGAAGCGCCCGGCCATGCGCTCGCTATCACAAAATGGAAGCCGGAGCTTGCATTAGCCAAGAAGGACTTACTGAATCTCACTCACCCGGATGCTGTTCCGACAGTAAAAGCCATATGGGCGGAATTCCTGCCATGGTTCCAGACGAAAGAAGTACACATCGGCGCAGACGAGTACGACCCAGAGCTTGCGGATGACTACATCAACTTCGTCAATGAAATGGCCAACTTCGTCAACACGACGTCTGGGAAGCGCATACGCATCTGGGGAACTCACGAACCCTCCGAAAATCTCACAATCTCGAAAGACATCATCATTCAGCACTGGCAGTACGGCCAATCAGATCCCGTGCAGCTCCAAAACGATGGCTATCAGCTCATCAATTCGCAAGATTGGTGGGCTTATATGAGTTTGAAGAACGATCATAGCCCCATCCTACCGGCCACATATCCACAGTTCTACAACGTTACCCGTACGTTGAATTTCGCGAACGTGCCTGGCTGGCAATGGGACCCGTCGCTGTTTAATCAGGTAAACACGACCCAGCAACTCGCGGCTGGTGCGAGTGGGAACAGGGGAGCAATTTTGGCAGCGTGGAGCGATAACGGACCCGATGCTACTACTCAGCTGGAAGCGTACTATGCGATGCGCGAGGGCATACCCGTTGTGGCCGCGCGAGCATGGTCTGGCTCAAAAGGCGTGAACATCTCTACCAACAAGCTGACAGAGAGTCTCGCACTTCTCGTAAGTCACTCCATTTTTCGTCGTTCCAAGTTCTAACATTTCCTCTAGACCTCCAAAGCCCCAGGCCAGGACCTCGATCGCCGCTCTTCCACCACGCCAATAAAATGGTCACGACAATCTAACACAACGCTGAAAGTCGGGTCTTACGGCCCGCCCTACACTCTGCGCTTGAATGCATCTTCTCCGTTTACTCTCACTGGCCCAGATACCTCGCTCTCTCTGTCCAATGGAACACTCACGTTCACAACATCAGATAACTTCGCCTACCCGCTGCGCCGCACATCCATTCTTGATGGGTACGACCCAGGACATCCAGGGCGCATTTGGACGAATCTTACATCCTCCACACACGAGCCCGTCAGTATTCAGCTACCTGCAATACTTCGCATCGAGACGGATGTCGTTAATGGGACCAAGGTGTGGGTCAACGAAAGCTTCGCGGGGAGATTTGAAGTTTTCGTGTACGGTGGGAGGAATACGCTGTTTAGTTGGAGTCAGATGGCATTTGTTGCTCCGTTGGACAGCGTGGAAGGAGGGGTGGATGGGGTTTTGCTTGAGGATGGAATTGTGAGGAGTGGTGGGAGTGGAAGTGGTAGCGAATTGCCAGTGAGTAACGGAGCGGGGAAGAATGGAGCGTGGATAAGTGTCCTGCTCGGGGTGATGGCAGTGTATTTCTTATCATGAGTACGGTGGAACGGCCATTGCGTTTTTAAGTAGGAACCAGCCGTGAAAATCTCAGCTCGTGAATTAGTATGATCTGGTACAGCAAAGTAGCTTGGAGCCATACGGGTTGTGTCATCGGAATAACGAAATAAGTTCCGTGAAAATTCAAAGTCTTAGAGGAATTTCAGTCCCCAATGTGTGTTAGTCGTATCATCTTGTACAAGCTACTAATCTAGTCGGAGTATACGGACAGCATTGCCTCCAAGGACATCTTGCGCTTTCTTGTCATCGGTCGCGAATGCTTTTGATATGGCCCCATAGTTTGCGTTGACACTGTGCCACTCCTTCGCCTCTTCCTCGAGCGGTGGGAAGAACGGATGGTCAGTACCTGCACACTGTTAGCCTCTCACGCCTGCTATCAGATAAATGACGCATACCGAACAGTAATCGGTCCGCACCAGACACGTCAAGCGCAGCCTTCAATCCGACTTCAGAGTAGATGACAGCGTCAAGGTAGATGTTAGTTTTGAGGATATCCCACACATCCCTCCGCTTCTCGGTCTTTCCATGCTTCTTGAGATGCCCATCATGCAATATGCACGACTCAATTCTTCCAGCCAAAAATGGAAGCGTGCCTCCAGAGTGCGCAAGCAGAACACTGAGCTTCGTGAAGCGATCCCACACACCACTCAACAACATCCTGCTGACCGCAATTGTCGTCTCCAAGGGGAAGCCGAGCGCAAGGGGCAGAACGTGTCCATACTCGCTAGCCCTAGGTCCATAGACAGAGGCTGGTAGACCGTAGTGTGGATGCAGGAAGATGAGTTGTTGATGCTTCTCCAGCGCAGCGTAAACGGGGTCGAGTTTCTCATCGTCGAGACCCTGGCCCAGACCTGAAGTACCCATGATGACACCCCTCGCATACTTCAACGTACCCAGTCTCTCAATCTCCTTGACGATATCCTCCGTCGATGCCGAAAGCGGCAACGTGCCAAAGAAGTACAATCGACCTGGATACTGCGAGCACTGGTCGTTCACATCATCGTTGATGCTTTTCGCCGCAGCGCCTGCCTCTTCCTTGGGGAGGAAGTCAAGCCATGGGTTTGCGAGCGAGATGACGGATTTGTCGATCTTGTGCAGGTCCATGAATGCGATCTTCTCTTTGATCTCGTAGTACTCGGATCCAATCGGGCGGCCACGTGATGTTGAGGGGGTGGAAGGGTCATCTTCACCAGGGAGAATGATCAGACGCGCGGAGTCAGGAGCATCGGGGAAAGTTCGAACATATGGTACTGTGTCTCTGGAGCGGAGGAGCTCCATGTACTTTGGAGGGTAGACATGGGTATGTATATCGACAATTGGCATCGTGGCGGTTGTGGATTGTCCTTGACGCCAATTTTGAGAAATTCCGTTTGACAGCTCACTGCAGCCCTGCTCATGAGAAATTGACACTCTTGTCGTGAGGTTCAGCCAAGCAGGAGGTTTGTCAATGGTGTGAGTGTTATCATGGTCATTCAGCCTTTGGCGGGGTAGCTTCGAGCTCTTGCCCCACTCCTCCAAACATTGCATCCCACCTTCCTCATGCAGGAAAGAATGATGGGGCAAATAGGTCCACCATGGCGGAGTTGGCCGCTGAGATGCCCAGCTGCGACATGATGGTTGAGATGGCAGAGAGCATCTGGCCGTACTTGGTACGCAGTTTATTTCCTGGCATTGAACGACTTTGGATGGCCTACGGTATTCGACTAAACCCCAGTTCTCAAAAATACATTCGGCGGCTTATCCCTGCCTTGAAATTCTTCATCTACATCCCACTCAATGTCACCTACGCCCTCATCCTTGAAGCCCAACTTCCTGTAAACCGCACGTCCCATAGCACTTCCTTCCGTAGTACATTCCAGATTGCCCCTCTGTTTCGCTTCGTCCAGACCGGCCCGCGTCAACCTGCCTGCAATGCCACGGCGCTGATATTCCGGGTGAACGGCACATAGTTCCAGAGTGAAAATTGCTGGAGGATTTCGACCTGACGCCTCGACTTCCTTCATGTATGAGATTCGTCTCTTGAACAGCGAGCGGAACATCTGATCTGCAAAGCGTCTGTCTGTATCGTTCTCCAGACGTGCAAGCGAATCTGACATGTCCCCAGTGAACTTGTCGCCGTAGCCTTCGACATTGGAAAGCTGAGACCAGATAGCAAGACCGACAACTTTTCGGTCGCCCTGTTTCTCGAGATCTGGTACTGTGGCTTTGAAGAAAAGAGTGTTCGGTTTACCGTCCTTGTTGGTTGTGGTGTTCTTCCACTGTTTGATCATCTTCTCCGCATTGAGTTTTTGACCAGCTTCGGTGTCCCAGCCGGGGTTCATGGCTGTCCATACGGAGTCTTTAGCCTGGCGTCCAAAGGCTTCACTGACGGCATGGTTGGCTTGAATGACATCTCTCTCCGTCTCGATTTGAGAAAGAACGATTTCATGTTCGGTGGAAGTCATCTTGAATGTCGACGGGATGGCTCGAGAGGTTGGAGTTGACACGTGGTCGTGATGAGGAACGGCGATTTGACGTACACTGGCTATGTGCAGATTGTTACGTAAGCAGATGTCTAGATTGCCGCAGCTCCCTGCTCGTGATAGATGGAGTTGCCAAGATTCATTGCGATGTGTGTCTTGGTCTTGGTCTCTTCATTCTGGCCCACGCGGAACGCTCGCTGGTCGTGAATGCAATTTGCTACCAAGGTAGCGCTACTATGCACTACATGTTCAACTACGACGGAAGCCGACGCGGGTGACTGTAGCTATACAAGGAGCTTCACCCTCGCAATCGACACCTAGCGACACTGTTTCTTACTTTAGGCTATCGGATGCGCAAGACAGGTGCGTATGCTTTGGTCGGAGGTCTGTACCGTAGATGCTGCTTTGGAACGAGGTTTGCAATGAGAGCACTTGAGGCAGCCTCGAAGACAGGATGCGATGGTTGTCCGTTGGTGCCCAGCGATCCGAGAGTGTCACTGTGTGCAATCATGGTGCACGGAGTTGTGCATGTTGAGGGTGCCGTGGGCCGTGGCTGGTGCCCATTAAACACGAACAGGGGTGGCTCGGGCCATGACGCGTAGTGTCGCGACTACCGCGTTCACCCTCCTGCACTTTCCGCGTCTGCAATGCCAAACCACAACACTCATTCATCCTCTTCTTCTCTTCGACTTACACCTGCTTCGCCTTACATCTCGTCTCCATAACACGTCAAGATGCCCGGCACAGTCACCAGGACGCCCGCAAAGCGCGCTCTCGCTGACGCCACGAGCAATGGAGCCAATGTTCAGGCATCCCCCCGCTCTTCAAAGAAGCTGAAGTTCGAAGACGGCAAGAAGAAGAATGCACCACCAGTGAAGCACGTCAATGGCTCTTTCAATTCGAGCCAGCCGGCGCCGAGCCAGTTCGAAGAGACGCTTGAGCAGATGACACAGGACATCGAGACGCTGAAGGGGAACAACACAGAGAAAGACCAGCAATGGCAGCGGCCAGCACTAGCACACGACTTCAACGAGTTGACCCAGAATCTCGTCTTTCAACAGATTGAAGCAGAAGAGGGAGTCTTGAATGGCGGAAGGACCACGGTCAAGCTCTTTGGCGTCACAGAGGTAATGCAGGACACACCGACCATGTTCATCCGAGCTAATACGTTCATATAGAACGGAAACTCTGTACTAGTCCACGTGACAGGCTTCATGCACTACTTCTACGTCGCCGCGCCGATAGGCTTCCAACCGCAAGACTGCGATGCTTACAAGATCTACCTCGAAAGCGAATGCCAGAAACAGCTAAACCAGCACTCAGCCGTCATTTACTCGGTGCAGATGACGATGAGGGAGAACATCTTGAGGTACCAGGGCAACCAGAAGAGTCCATACTTGAAGATCACCGTCATCGACCCGAAAATGATCAACCGCGTAAGGACCATGGTCTCAAAAGGCTTCGCCAATTGGAAACGGTTATGGCCATCTGGGCACGACGAAATTCTCACATTCGACAACATCACATACGTGCTAAGGTTTATGATTGATACCAAAGTAAGCAGCCTGGCGCATTTGCAGCGAAACACTACTGATTTCGCAGATGGCTGGTATGTCTTGGGTCGAGGTCCCAGCTGGCAAATACAAGATGCTCAACCCGCGCGACCGTCACTCGAACTGCCAAATCGAGGCGCAATTACACTACAGCGACCTAATAGCACATTTGTCCGAGGGCGAGTGGTCTAAGATCGCCCCTCTTCGCATCCTCTCCTTCGATATCGAGTGCGCTGGTCGCAAAGGTATCTTTCCAGAGCCGAACGTCGACCCCGTCATCCAAATCGCCAACGTCGTCACAAGATCTGGTGAATCCAAGCCGTTTGTACGCAATGTCTTCTGCATGGATACAGTCAGCCCTATCGTGGCCACACAGATCTTATCGTTCAGCAACGAGGGTGAGATGCTTATGAAGTGGCGTGACTTCTTGGAGGAAGTCGACCCGGATGTCATTATTGGTTACAATACCTCGAACTTCGATTTCCCTTACCTTTTAGACCGCGCGAAACATCTCAAGCTGCCCAAGTTCCCATATTGGTCCCGTCTGAAGTCGGTACAGACCAAGGTACGTATACCCACGATCTTTGCCCTTCCACCCTGCTCTATGATGATCTGGATTTTACGTATTTGCTACTTCAGAGCTTCGGCTATGAGACAAAAACACCACACTACTGATGGAACTTTCAACATTACACTTTTGTACCAAATTTTGTTCGCGCATAACGGCTAACACTTTCAAGGTGCAAACCTCGAATTTCTCGAGCAAGCAACTCGGCAACCGCGACACCAAGACTGCCAACACCAATGGACGTCTACAGCTTGATTTGCTGCAACTCATCCAGCGCGATCATCAACTTCGTAGCTACACCCTTAACTCTGTTTGCGCGCATTTCCTGAAGGAGCAGAAAGAGGACGTACATCACAGCATGATCACAGAGCTCTACAATGGCGACTCGAATTCCCGGAGACGTTTGGCAGTCTACTGCTTAAAAGATGCCTACTTGCCGCAGCGGTTACTGGACAAGCTCATGTGTCTCGTCAATTATACCGAAATGGCCAGGGTCACAGGTGTACCCTTCAACTATATTCTAGCACGTGGACAGCAAATCAGGTTCGTCAGCCAGCTGTTTCGAAAAGCTCTCGACCATCAACTCATCGTTCCGGACCTTCCCAATCAAGGTGACAACGGTGATCAGTACGAAGGTGCCACAGTCATTGAGCCGAAGCGAGGGTACTACAAGCAGCCGGTCGCTACTCTCGATTTTGCATCTCTGTATCCCAGTATCATGCAGGCGCATAACTTATGTTACACCACCTGGCTGGATCGACAGACAGTAGAGAAGCTGAAGATGAAGAAAGACGAGGATTACATCGTAACACCAAACGGCGATATGTTCTGCACCGCGAAGACTCGGAAAGGTCTTCTATCTCAAATTCTGGAAGAATTGCTGGGTGCGCGTAAAAGGGCGAAGAAAGAGCTAGCAGTTGAGACAGACCCCTTCAAGAAGGCTGTGTTGAATGGTCGTCAATTGGCATTGAAGGTTACCGCAAACTCCGTCTACGGTCTCACTGGTGCTACGAATGGCAAGCTGCCCTGTCTTGCGATCGCCAGTAGTACTACGAGTATCGGTCGTCAAATGATTGAAAAGACCAAGGCTGAAGTCGAGGCCAAGTACAACATCGCCAATGGATACAGTCATGACGCCGAGGTCATCTACGGTGATACCGACTCCGTCATGGTCAAGTTTGGTACATCTGAGCTGGCAGAGGCAATGAAGTTAGGCGAGGAGGCCGCCCAATATGTGTCGTCGAAGTTCGTCAAGCCTATCAAACTAGAGTTTGAAAAGGTCTACTTCCCATATCTACTGATCAACAAGAAGCGTTATGCTGGTTTGTACTGGACAAATCCAGTCAAATGGGACAAGATGGACACGAAGGGTATCGAGACAGTACGTCGAGACAATTGTCGTCTTGTTGTGAACGTTATCGACACGTCGTTGCGCATGTTGTTGATCGATCAGGACCCAGAAGGCGCGCAAGAGTAAGCCGAATCTCCATACAAAGAGTATAACCACTAACATGTTACAAGGTTCGTCAAGGAGACGATTGCGGATCTTTTGCAGAACAAAATCGATCTTTCAAATCTCGTCATTACCAAGGCTCTTACCAAACAAGAGAACAAGGATGGTACCGGTGGTTATGCCAATAAACAGGCTCACGTTGAGTTAGCAGAACGCATGAAAAAACGAGATGCAGGTTCTGCACCTGCTCTGGGTGATCGTGTGGCATACGTCATGATCAAGAGTGCAAGCGGTGCCAGAAATTTTGAGAAGTCAGAAGATCCTCTCTACGTCTTGGAAAACAACATACCCATCGACACCAAGTACTACCTTGATAACCAACTCGCGAAGCCACTTGGCAGGATCTTCGAGCCTATCCTCGGCGAAAAGAAAGCAAATTCGTTGCTTACCGGCGAGCATACGCGGTCCATCACCGTCGCGGCGCCAACCATGGGTGGGCTCATGAAGTTCACGAAGAAGACGTCAACCTGTATGGGCTGCAAGAAACCTCTCACTGGTGTGCATGAGAAGGATGGAGCTGTGTGCGAAAATTGCCGCCCAAGGCTCGGTGAGCTGTACACCAAGACGCTCAGCAAAGTCAGTGAACTCGAAGTTCGCTTCTCACGACTCTGGACACAATGCCAGCGCTGCCAGGGCAGTGTGCATTGCGAAGTCATTTGCGAATCGAGAGATTGTCCGATTTTCTACATGCGCATGAAGGCGAGGAAGGATGTTGAAGATGCAGGAAAAGAGCTGGTGCGCTTCGACAAGGATGCTGCACTTTGGTAGTGCATGGTTTGTATGCATAATCGGCGTTTGGGGGTCATTGGCGACGTCTCAGCTCGTCTACGGTGTATGGTTCTTTATTTATGGATATCCACCTGCGCACTGGGAGGCATGTTGCCATGTTCGCATTCACGACTATGTTGCTAAAATTTTATTCGCTATAACGACTTGAATTAATTAGGCCCCTTGCTTCAGCCTCGTCTCTTCATGCTCCGCGGCGCGTCGAAGCCGCACGCGCAACGATGATGGTGATGACGCCCACCACACATTGACGTCTCGACCTTGGGGTCGGAATCCTCGGAATCCTCGGAATTGCATGCATGACGTCTTTGATCTCACACGCGTCAACGCGTCAGTATGATCATTCAATCCAATGCCAGCCTTTATCCAAAAGTCTGAACATGTCTCACTGAATTTCACTCGCAACTAGATCCACGGCAACCATGGGCAACAATCAATCCCAAATCGTGCGCTACCTTGCGCCAGCATCGTTCCTATACGACTTCGCAGCGCAGCAATATGGCATGTTCAGTAGCCCCAACATGCTGGACATTCACAACAAGAATCTCGCAGCGTTCAGTCCCCAGCCGTACTTCATTGCGGGATTCTTCTTCCCGCAGCAGCTTTTCCAACTTGCATGGTTATGGAAACTTTGGAATCAGCAGGGCAATGCGGCGGAGACGAGGATGATGAATCGATTTGCATACGCGTATGCGCTGGGGAATGTTTGTATTGGAAGTAAGTACAGCCTACTTGGTCCACAAATTTTGTACGATGTGCGGAAGAAGACATGAAGAATGCTGCTAACGCATCACAACAGCGTGGATGTTCTTCTGGAACTCCAACAATCTCGCTACATCCAACATCTTCGTCACGATCAACACAGTCGCGCAACTATTCTACATCACTACCCAACTTGAGCCCATCGATTACAACTCCACGCCCAACCTCCTCACGCACATCGTCGCGAAGACGTTTGCGGGAATTGGCGTCCTAGACCTCCTCCACAACACCAGCGCGGCGTTCTACAAAGGCATACCACCCAACAGCGCAGTACAAATCGCCACAGGTCTGGGCTTTGCAGGCGCGACGGCGTGTAGTGACTGGATCTTTGGTGGGTGCCTGGTTTACGATCTTGTTGCCTTAGGATGCGGGCAGAGTGGAAGCTGGAGTCAATTGCTGTTTGGATATGCCGCTGGCGCGGCGGGTATTCTGGCGGCGAAGAATTACTTCTAGTATGTGAGTAAAATGCAATGGAGGGTAGGCTTGTAAAGCTGACGACGTGGGTAGTCCGAAGTGGAAGGGTCAACAGCAGGAGTATAGCAGAATTGGGGAGGATGGGAGTTTTGTGTAGGGCTGGAGGAAGCTGATGAGTTATGATCTTTGTGATTTAGGTCTTCTGCGCAGGAGTTGTATGTGGTACACTGCAATATTCTCATGGGACTAATTAGCTGGCGACACTGGCTTTAACCTGGAGTCTACCAGAAATACAAACATGATTTGAAAGACAACTGTCAGGTATTGATTTCTTTCAATGTGGGATCATGTGCAATGGCCCATCACCCTTCCAGATGTCACACTCTCACCAAATTTCGCAACAGTGCCATTGTACGAACGTGGGCCTCAAACTTCTTTGTAATCGAAGAACATGGAGAAATGAGTGTGCTGATGTGTCATTGAAATGGTCGTGATGTTATCGTGGTGTTGAAGTCGCGTCGCGGCGCACCCCACCTTTGTATCAAACTCGTCTGTACCTTCCGTCTCTGGCATGCCGCTCCCCACCACAATCGGCAGCTCAGCATGAAGCCACGGCGGAGATGGCCGCTGAGAGCGCGCTCGTCGTATGATGTTGAATGCTTCTCTCCGCAGATAATATTCCACGTGCTTGAAGGACCATAGAACTTCCTTTCCACTTAGTACCCCGCATTAGCTGTCGCACGCGACATCAAACAATCAGCAATGGCAGGCACAACCCAAGAATCGGCAGTCGCGAAGGATGACTTGAATATTCCAGTACGCGCACAACTCCTTCGCGTTTTGACCACTTCTGATATGCGGCGCGACAGCTTATAGACTTTGGACAATTTTTGTCGAATGACCCCGCCGCGAAACAGACAACCGCCAAAGCAGTCCTCGAAGGCTTCCAGAAGACTGGCTTCGTATACCTCAAGAACCACGGCATATCGCCATCCACTATATCCACCGTCTTCGCCAACAGCGCCAAATTTTTCGACCGCCCACAAGACCAGAAGGATGCTCTGGCCTGGTATTCTGCCGCCGCGAATAGAGGATATGTCGCACAAGGGCGCGAGAAGCTCGTTGTGCTCGAGGAAACAGGCACGGAAGCAGAGCTTCGCAAGATCGTACCCGATTTGAAAGAAAGCCTGGAAATTGGGCGTGATGATCAGCCCGAGACGCCCAACATGTGGCCCAGCGGAGACGAAGACGCGAAGGTCTTCAAGAAAGAGATGATGAACTTCTTCGACACATGCAAGAGCTTGCATATGCAGGTTATGCGCGCGATCGCATTGGGTATGGGCATACAAGAGAGCTGGTTCGATGAGTTCACAGATGCGGGTGACAATACGCTGAGGCTGCTGCATTATCCTGGCGTGTCGAAGAAGATCTTCAAGAGGGATGACGGGCAATTGCAGGTCAGGGCTGGAGAACACAGCGACTACGGTACGGCTATCCGAATTTAAGTCTTCGACGTTCACTGACAAAAGTGCAGGCTCAATCACTCTTCTATTCCAGGACGTCCGTGGCGGTCTGCAAGTCCGCTCGCCCAAGGGCACATTCGTAGACGCCACACCCATCGAAGGCACCATTGTCGTCAACGCCGGTGACCTGCTAGCGCGATGGTCCAACGACACCATCAAATCGACACTGCACCGGGTAGTAGAGCCGCCACCAAAGCCTGAGGATGCCGACAAAGACGTGTACCCGCCGCGATACTCGATTGCGTACTTCTGCAATCCGAACTATGAGCGCATGATACAGGCGATTCCGGGGACGTATGAGGAGGCTGGAAGGAAGTATGGCGATATCCAGAGCGGGGAGTATTTGATTCAGCGGTTGACGGCGACGTTTTAAGTATTGTGTGATGAATGAAATGAATGTCTATCCTTCTTGTGTCTTGATATTTTCGAGGTGTTCAACTTCTCGCGTCACTCTTGGACTTTTGGGTGCGCGTCTCCGCCAGATGTCGCTGTAATTCGTGTGCGCCCTGTTCAGATCCCATGAACGAATGCAAGACGAGTATTATCTTACATGAGAGCCTGATGATATCTGAAGGCTTAACGGCATGTTAGAAGACCCTCAAAAGTCAGTGAAGCTGTACAGAATAAGCTATAGGCATGCGGTTTGGCATTCACTTTTTGAGGACGGGGACGAATGGTTGCACCACCCTGTGTCGGCCCATCGCCTTAAACATAAAGTAAGCCCTACAATACGCTAATTTGAGCATGGCTCCAACATGCATCGGCGGTACCTCCATTTACCTCTACTCAGTTTCCACATACCTTCCAAATACCGCGAGCTTCCCATCACCCTCTTCACTTCTTAAAAACCTTTTTTTTGTCAATTTACAGGCACTGATAGACTGCAATAGGGTTGATCTTGCGGTACTGTAGCTGTATAAGGCACACCTGCTTTGACGTCTGCTTTAACGTCCCACTCTCCGTGTTAATGGTTCATCATTGTAGATGCATGGCAATCTATGGAAGGGAAAGAGAAGCTCGAAAGACATAGACATACAACGACCTTGAGCTCCGCAATCCATGGTCAAACCATTTCGGCTTGATTCCAATCTCGCCACTAGCCGGATCCGTCCACCTTCACCTGTGACTCTCCTTCACCTCCACTAGCCTGCGCACAGAGGGCACACGGTCAGGGCACAGACCTCAGCAGGCTAGCGCCTTGGACATGCGGGGGACGGTATAAGAGGCAGCTGCCTCCCTCACCTGTATTTCCTCTCCACGGCACACCCACACTCGCTCATTGCTTCAACTTTGAGACTCGGCCTTCGCTTACCCTTTTTCAATTGAAAGTCCGCGCGTAGTGAAGACACTCAGCGAAACTCACGCAGCCGATCCTTTCACCGAACACTCCGATTCCGCTAGCTGCAGCTGTCTACCAAACCCCGAATGGCCTTCCGTCCAACGCGTTGCTTGCCTGACAGTGACCTGGAGGTATTCGGACGTGTCGTTGCGCCGGCCGTTGCTTGAGCTCCTCTGAACGCTCGCAACATCGATTTGTCAGGTCGCGCACCCCACTGCGCAGCCTCGGTACCCTTCGGCTTGCAGTGTCTTGCTATGCATATATCAGAGTCAGTTGTATCGAGGTCTGTATGGGTTCCTAAAGGTTTTTGACCGGTGTTTACCTTGGTACTCATCCATTCTCCCGTGAGGATCCGCAGGCGCGTACGGAAGTGGTCTTGATATGGCGCCGTTCCCCAGTCGAGTCACGCATTGTGAGTACAGTGAGCAATCTCGCTCTCACGGGCAAAGGAGCGTAGCATACACCTGACTGTGTCGGCAGTCAGTGTTTTTTTCGTTGACTTCTCGGCCTTGTGCTGAGCGTTGAAGAAGAAGAATCTTTTGGATTGTGTGAGCGTACGAAGAGTGTTCATGGCCCAGGGCGATGAATCCGAACGTCCAAGAGCAATTGGACGCGAGAAGGTCAACAGTACGAAGGTATGGACATATAAAAAGCGAGCATGTGGTTGACTGGACAGATACTGGGTTTATTATTCACCACAAGATAGTAATGATGCTAATCAGTGCGGTATCGCAGGTACAAAGTCACTTCTTTGCGTTTTTCTCCTTCACTGACAACATCTTATATCCGACAAAACCACACTTGAGAAGGCTTTTGGTCACCTCACCATCCTTTTGATATGAACAGAGATACAATTACCAGGTAGTGTTATAACGTTGAGGATTTAGTAGGACAAGATGAGCTCTCTAAGCATGTCATGACATAGATGTGACTAACAAAATGTTCTCATACATTGCTACCAGCACTTTCAAGAACTGAAGAGTTGATGTAGTAGCACAGGATCGTCAGCTATAAAAACCTTAGAAGGCTCTAGTCCATCACGTGCTGGTATAATACTACACCTTACCGACCGAAGACCAGCTCTATTTGCCACGTAAGGTATCAATGCCATTCTAACTTCAGGAGTGATGGTGCAAGAGCCGGAAATATCAACCGTCTGCGGAGCTTGACGTTTTCTGATTGGCGGCTCCTCGGAGGTCTCCGAACGTGGGGCCGCGGGGTAGCTTTCCAGACACCACTTTTCATGGCAATCCCCAGCTCTTTTCAGTCCCTTTCCTGAACCTGGAGAGCCAGTCAGACGAACCGTGGTCCCACAAAGTCATCACTCTTCTCCTTCACGGATATCCCCTCGATACCCCCATCCCGAAGAATAGAATGGCTGCCGACTCGATACCCAGCAAGCAAACTGTGGCGTGGATTGAGAATCCAAGCCCCAGCTGTGTTCTTCAGATCCGGGATGATGTGGAAGTAAAGCAGCCCGCCGAGAGCGAGGTCCTCATTAAGCTCGAATGCTCCGGAATCTGTCATTCAGACTGCCACAATCTTGAACAAGCTGGCATGTACACCGAGGTTCCCGGACACGAAGGAGTTGGGAAGGTTGTCAAGCTGGGTTCGGGGGCGTCCAAGGATCTCCTAGGAAAGAGGGTGGGCATCAAGTGGCTCTGGAGTGCGTGCAATGAATGCACAAGCTGCAAGAAAGGAAAGATAAACCATTGCGCAAAGCAGAAGAATACTGGAAGAAGCGTATGGGGTACTCTACAGCAATATGTTGTGGCGCATGCCGACTTTGTTACAATGATCCCAGAAGGCGTCAAGAGCGAAGTTGCGGCCCCATTGCTCTGCGCGGGATTGAGTCTTGCTGGTGCTGTGTCAAAATTGGAGCCGGAAGTGCAACCAGGAGATTACGTTGCGATCATTGGCGCTGGAGGTGGTCTCGGCCATGTTGGCGTTCAGATTGCTACCATCAAGGGATATAAGGTTATTGCGATCGATAGTGGCGCGGAGAAGGAGAAGCTGAGTAAAGAGATGGGTGCTGTTGCGTTCGTCGACTACATGAAGCAGGATGCTGTGCAAGCCGTCCGCGATCTCACAGATGGCGAAGGCGCGCACGGTGTGATCTGCGTTGCAGGAAGCGAGAGAGCTTATCAGCAAGCTCCAGACCTTGCAAGGAACAGTGGCGTCTTTGTGTGTGTGGGTTTGCCTCCACCTACCTTCATGTTCCCCATGTCCCCAATCCACATCGCGAATCGAGGTATATCGAACTCCCATCTTCAAGGCTTTCTCGTGTGCTAATAGAAGTAGGACTCACCATCCGGGGCTCATCGACTGGTACGAAAGCGCAAATGGACGAACTGCTCCAGCTCGCTCTTGAGGGCAAAATTACACCGCGGATCGAAGTCTACGACTTCAAGGATGCGCCCAAGATTATACAGGAGCTGCAGAGATATGAGGTGACAGGTCGAAAAGTAGTCAGAGCACCATAGGGTACTTCACTACTGTACACAAGTAGCGAAATATCCCCCACCTAGGTCAGGCCTACACGGTACTCATGCCACGTCATCTTCATTGTCATCGCCACTAAGCCGATTCTTGTTATTCATCATATATTTGCTGTCGTTTCTCCAATATTATGAAGGAGGGAACACACCTGTGCTGTGAACCTAGCGAGTATAGCAGGTCATGGTTATTGTCAAGTTGTGATTGCGAGCTCGGGATGTTTGATAGGCAGGTCTCGTGACTCTGGCAATTTTGAAACGAAATGGAGCATCTATTTGGAAGCAATGTATCCATCTCGGTATACTACAATGCACGATCGAGGGGAGCTATTCCCATTGGGAGAGAAGGTGGAGGGAGATGGGACGTGGAGCTCGACTAGTTGATGTATAGACTAGCGCCGGAGAAAATCTCGAAATCTCCGACAATGCTTTCATGAATCATCTCGGCCGTTCAACATTTCTAGGCAATTCCATCATGTGTCGATAGCATTTCCTGCGTTTTCAGGCGTTTCTTGTTGATTCGATTTCCTAGTTATGGATCGCCACGCTCGCGTCGTGGCGCAGGTCGCGTCCAAGGTGAAAAACTACTTTGTCCGCAAGGAGCCTTTTCGGATATCTCACGGATCAACGAATAGCACGCGTCCGAACCTCAAGAAGCGCGTCGTCGACATCAGTGATCTGAGGAATGTTGTCAAAGTCGATACTGCCAACAAATCGGCGCTTGTAGAGCCTAATGTACCCATGGACCGTCTTGTGGAAGCGACATTACCTCACGGCCTCGTCCCTCCTGTCGTAATGGAGTTTCCCGGTATCACTGTTGGAGGGGGTTACGCTGGTACTGCTGGCGAAAGCAGTAGTTTCAAGTACGGCTTTTTTGATCGAACAATTAACGAGGTGGAAATGATACTTGCAGGCGGCGAGGTTGTTAAAGCTTCCGAAGAAATCAACAGCGACTTATTTAGGGGAGGTGCGGGCGCTGTGGGCACCCTTGGTGTCACTACGCTCGTAGACTTGCAGCTTATTGAAGCGAAAAAGTATGTTAAAACAACATACTGGCCAGTTCGCAGCGTGGCGCAAGCCGTAAAACAGGTTCGAGAGCATACCGAAGGCGCTCAAGGCCAGGCGAACGACTACGTAGACGGCATTCTCTTTAGCAAAGATCACGGTGCTATCGTGACCGGCGAAATGACAGATGAGCTACCTGCCAATATCAAGCCGCAAACCTTCAGCAATCCCTGGGATCCATGGTTCTATCTACATGTCGAAGCTGCTACGCGCCAATCAACACAGCCAGTAACCGATTACATACCACTGGCCGAGTACATGTTTCGTTACGATCGTGGAGGGTTTTGGGTTGGCCGTTCCGCTTTCCAGTACATGCGCTTCCCTTTCAACTCCTTCACTAGATGGTTCTTGGACGATTTTTGCCATACACGGATGTTGTACCGCGCCCTTCATGCATCCGGTATTGCGACCCGGTACATTGTCCAAGATATGGCGCTGCCCTACCCCAATGCCGAAAAGTTCATCGACTATACGGACAAGACATTTGGTATCTGGCCTTTGTGGCTCTGCCCACTTAAGCAAAGCCCGCAGCCGACCATGCATCCTCATACCAAGGGTGATCTGAAGGACGACCAAATGTTGAACATTGGACTTTGGGGATTTGGACCGAAAGATCCCACGAATTACCTTGCGAAGAACCGCGCACTCGAGAAGACTTTGGGCGACATGGGTGGCATGAAATGGCTATATGCGCATACGTATTACAACAAGGAAGAATTCTGGTCCCAGTTCGATCGCGAGTGGCACGAGAGGCTTCGCAGAAAATATCGGGCTGACGGCGCGCTTCCCGGCGTGTATGACAAAGTTCATGTGGACATCGAGAAATATACGGAGATGACGAACAAGGACTTCGGTATGCAAATGAAGAATATATGGCCTCTTGGTGGTTTCTGGGGTATCTGGAAGAGTATAAGATCGAAGGACTACTTGCTACACAGGAACGCGACCTGGCGATGGAGGAACTGACGCAGAGCACTAGACGGTGATCGACTGCAGTGCGATCGGAACTTGACGAACTCAATCTGATTTCACCACTCCCCTCTTAAGATCCATCCGCTGCCTTGAGCAGACATGTCTGTACATTCCATATCGTGGCTGTCCGAAGCACCATATCGTGGCCGTCCGAAGCACCATCTCGTGACACAAACAAACGTCTGGATGCCTACGTCAATAAACAAGAGAAGAGACGTGTGCAGGAAGAGCTACCGAAGTCGAACGGGCTGCCCAGTTAATAATGCGCTTGCCACTGCAGAAGTCGATGTTGCCGTCTATCGTGGGTCAATTCTTCGGCAATCTATGCGGAGCAGTATGCAGAAGGTACCGTCAGGCAAAAACCCCAGCTCTTACTTTCTTTCTGGCCATGGAATACCTGAGAGCTTCTTAACAACTCTTTCTCCGGTCCCAATGTCGCTCGCCTCTGTCAGGGACAAGGCTACCGAAACATCATTCCGAGTTGAACAACATCATATATGGTCTACCCAACGATGTAGGGACACCAGAAGCTATTCAAACCATACAAGTCATCACACAGCAATTGAACGGCGCCTATAACCGATTAGTATTCGTATGCGATACAATTCAAACGCGAATCTGGGCGGACACATCATGGGCGGCCAATGCAGCGGCAAAAGTATACGAGATGCTAGCGACCACAATCGATCCTGAACTGTCGGCACCACATCTACCCTTGAGTGGCGCACTTTTGGTGCTTAATGAGATGACGAGCATGTGTCAGGCTGAATTTCAGCGGATGGTGTCTGAACCAAACTGGAATCGCGGGCTGCTCAACTTCCTCGGTCAGCTTTGCACCATGGGCAAGATCACCAGCACAACGCCTGGCATCGTACTTCATATTCTGGATAACCTGATATTATCTGCGTCTCTTGCTGATCACGAAAACTTTGATCACCTCATGAGCTTCCTCATGCACGCCGGACCATATCTTGACAGCCATGCACAGCACCGAACGCGACTTACAGTCAGACTGCAACAATTGCGACAGCGACTACAGTCGTTGAGTGTGTCCTCATGGCTTGCTATCGAAGTACTACTATATTTGAGGGCGCGCGGCTGGCAGAAGGAGGCTTCGCAAGACAACTCACTGAGCGCCCAGTGATGACGCACCAGGCTGATCGATCAACGTGCTTTTACCAGGGGTAGTCTTTTGGACATGATTGAATTCTCAGGTACATCAATGCTACACATGAAATTCCTCTCACATTGCACATCTCTCATCACAATTGCCTCTCTTCTAATCAACACACGACTTTGCGCGCAACTACTTGTCGTATCCCAAAAGTTGTTCTCGTCTATTCTTGATGGTGTACAGCCGCTTGGTGTGCTTGCTAAACACGACACATAGTCGTCAACCTTTCTGACAGGCTCTTGTCGTTTCATCTTTCCAGAGTTATGTATTAGACAGCAATTAGGATTTGAGCAGAGCGCGCACGAATTATTGCACCACCAAGTGGTTGTGCTTTGTGCATTACGTCAGACAGTCTGTGCGTGAATGCGGTTTCCTCCACGATCGCTCCAATTGAAACCGAAAGTATGGTTGGTTGAGCACTCCGTCCGCCAATTCGCCTGCCGAACACTTTTACGTGATGATGGATGGCATCCGGGAGACTAGGTGAACTTTGGTGCCCAGTACTATTGCGGAACACGGCGGAGCGATGTTTCGCCGAGGCGATCCGTGATTGCGCTATGACGATCTCCATCAACAACACTGGACTTATTCACTGCCTCTCGAGGTGCCGACACCCGTATTGTGTATAACTTTGCATTACCTTCCTCCCTTTGTATTAGTACTCTAGGCCTTACGACAACTCCAACGGCATACTTGATTCGCTACTTTGCGCCAGCTCAATTACGCGCCTCATATCACGTGCAGCCTCATCAAAATGGCCGAAGTAGCATCCAAGAAAGGCGGATTGCGTGCTTTCTTTGGAGGGCGCTCAAATAACTCGAATGAGCGCAGGAAATTATCGAAGAAAGGATCACATAGCCAATTAAGCCACGCCGAAAAGCTTGGTACGGAGATCGTGGCGAACCCCCGACGGCAGGATTCAGGTAGCTTCACACAGCAAAGCATCGAACAAACCACCGCTGAAGCTGGCCCTCCAGAATACGAAACTTCCGCAGTGCTACCGAATTATCGGGATAGCCCTTATGCTGCAACCAACACCCACAGTCAAAGATATGCACCTTCAAGTCCGGAGGTAGCAGAGTATCGTCGCAATTCCGAAGGACAACAACAATATGCTGTTCCTCTGTACAGCACACAGAGCTCAAGATCATATTCAATACCTCAATCCAGTAATGATCACATGCAAACGCAAGGGCCCGGTGCACCACCGAAGATGTCTTCTGCGAAGCTGAGCAAAGCTCATCGAATGCCTAAGCCTGAAGAGATCCTCGATAAAGATACGGGGGAGAGGAAAGATTTGACAGACATGATGCATGCTTTCACCTTCAACGAAACCATGGACACCATCGACGAGAAGGTCTACGAAGAGACCCTTGATTACGACTATTCAAAACCTGATGGAACCGCAATGCTCAGTGGTGTATCACCGGAAGTCTGGCTAAACATCGCGTCTTTCCTGACACCCTTCGATGTTTGCAACCTCTCCTCAACATGTCGCACTATGTACACGCGGCTCGGTAATCACCCACACAAACTGCTAGTGGACCCGGCCAATCGTGGTCATCGCCTCAATTTCCTTCTAGCCATGGATCACAAGATGCCACGTCACCTCTTCTGTTTCCCTTGTGCCCAGTGGCATTTGCGTATCCAGCCTGGATCTGAGACACTCAAACCCCATCACGTACTCAATCCGCTTTTCGATTGCCCGAATCAGACCAACATCCATCGACCGCCGCCACGTCTACGAATCACAGATGGTCGCACGCTTCCCTTTGCTTTTGTACAGCTAGTGCGACGCTCATGGGCATTTGGACCGGAATTCGGTATCAAACACCAAACTCTGGCACGAAGATGGAAAGACCCATACTCGGAGTGGACACACGAGAGCATGTATCATGTCACGGAAAAAGGCCACGTGATGATGCGAATCAAGTCACAACGCTATGTCGAGGGAGGTATGACAACTGCAGCGAAGCGCATGGCATTATTCAGTCGGGGCGACTACACTCCGTACTTCAGTGTCTGCTCACACTGGAAGGATGGCATACTGACCTCAATACCTAAATGCGCGCTGGACCATATCCCGTTTGAGCAGCTCCCGGACGCCCTCACACAACTCAAAGCCAAGGTTGGCGCAAGGAAGGCGAGCGGGTTTGTCAGTCTGTGTAGCCGCTGCAGGCCTATGCGTCGCTGCCCAATGTGTCCAACAGAATACGTATTCGAGCTGAAGCTTGTCGAGGACAAGACTGTGAAGATCCAGTCTCCGGACCGGTTTAAGCAAGCTTTGATAGCCACAAGGTGGAGCGACTTAGGCCCGGGCCGATCACCGGATGACAAGGAATGGGCTGCGATAAGCGGGGAGAGTGACAGTTATGACAGCTTCCTAGAGATCGGACGACGAGCTGTCAGCGGCGTCTTCGAGAGCGCGTTCACAGACAACCCTCCGGGTCAGCGGATACTCTCTTCTAATCCTAAAAAGGTCAAGGCCGATGAGATTGGAGGTGACTGGTATTGAGATGGCGTGCTTTGGGGGTTTGTCTCAGTGGAAGTTTGGATGCTGAATGAAGAGTGTACATCATAGAAGCCCACCACCCTTGCTGAGGAACACGAGGTGGAAGCAAAGCAGAATTGTGGCGTATTTAGCTTTATCGATTGGGCTTGCATGTCTGCAACCCAAGACTCCGCATATGAAGCTCACACCACCAACTACTTACATACAGCCAACCCGCAAGTAACCCGCAAGCGCTTTCGTTAGTCGCGAAGCTTCTATTGTAGCAGAAAACTACCTCTATGCCTCTCTTTCCGAGTGCTATGCCATGGTTGTGGTAGAATTGACGATCTTTTCCTCCAGATACCATACCCTTCAGTACATCTTCTTGTGAAAAGTGGAACTTGTAGGTTGTCCCTCGTGTGCACAACGGAAGTCGCAAAAGATCTACATGCATCGTAATATCATATTGTATGACAATGCTGCATGTCCGCGACCGGGTAAACAAAACCCGGATACCTGGGAGCGACAACAGGCAGCCTCGCAACTTGCAGGATAAGCCGCATATGGAGAACACAGCGGGACAGCCACATTGAGCTGTGGGATAGAGATGGAATGTAAAATGAAGCACTGGATAGCTTTGGGAGTGTCTAATGATTACACAAGATAAGTATGAAGATGATTTATAGTGTCCGGCCGGGAGGCGGTTAAGGACTCGCGACAAAACGCTACGAAGCGGTTGAGTTCCAGTTATTCTGCAGCAGAAAAAAGAGCTACGTCACATTCCAATTATATATTCTTTATGCACACTGCGATGCTCCTTCGGTGTTGCATAGCTGACTGCAGTACAGAATCACTGACGCTACGCTATGCCCACCGGATGAGCCAAAACATGCATGCGCGGTAAGATTCCAATATTGGTGAATACGAAAACAGAATGATGCTCTCCGAGGGTGGCGTTGCAGCCATGGACCAAGTATTAAAATGGTCCTGGGGCTTCTTGAATTGCGAGGACATCCTGGATCAACAAGATGTTTTCCCTTAAGCTCATCATTGCCACGACAGTTGCATTCTTTACACTTGCTCAAAGCCAGCAGTTCTTTATCCAGAACTGGGGTAACGGCGAGAAGGCAACAAACTATACGTACAAGAGTCTTGACGCCGGTCGCTTCACGGTTGACTGGATTCTGGGAGGAGGGGGAAACTTTGTTGTCGGCAAAGGCTATCGAGGAAGCCAAACACTGTTCGTCCGGTCATCATTACTTCCTTCTTAATGAAGCTAAACAATCATCAGCGTGGTAAACTACACGGCGAATTATAATCCTCAGGGGAACTCTTACCTTGCCCTCTATGGCTTCACGAGCAACCCACGCGTAGAGTTCTACGTCATGGACGCATTTGCAGAGCACAATCCCTCTGACAATGCAGGTCACTCATTTTATGGGTATCACAATAGCGATGGGGCCCAGTATGAGCTCTGGAGCAAATACAATGGTGATCTTCGCCAGTATTTTTCGGTCCGGAGGACAAATCGTCGCGGTGGCACCATCACCTTCAACAATCACTACAAGGCCTGGATTGCGGCTGGTTTGCCCATGGGAAGTCTGGGCAACACTTATATGGTTGTTGAGGGGCAGCAAGGACGGGGAAACGCTGATATTACGGTCGGTGTTAGACCGACCGGCACAATCAGAGAGACACCAACGCCGACTACGCGCTCTATCGTCTGTGTAACTCCTACGCAGACTATTGGCACGGTCTGCAGGCCGAGGGCGGCTAAGCGCACAGCGGCAGCATATGTTGCGTAGAGACGCTCCTTCGGCGAGTCAGAAGAGAGGACTTGTTTTCAATATTTCATAGTCAAATGCGAATGAAGTGGATCTAAAGTTGCAGAACAAGCCAGATACAAATGACACAGTTAGACTGCTACAACCATCTCATAAATCTCCATGTCTGCGAACCAAATTTGTGAATAACTCCAGTCATCCTCACCATCCGCCTCCATGAGGTCCTTCAAAACCACTCATACCTCCTCGGCCTCTTCGGCCTCCTCCCATCCTACCGCGGCGTCCCGGGAATCCTCGTGGCCCGCGCATGGGAGGATAGTCATCCTCGTCATCCGAGAAATCGCCGCCTCCCATTTCTCTCAAAGCTGCGGCCATGGCCAACATATCCATCATGTTGCGATGATCCTCGCATAGCCCTCCCATGCTAGGATTTATACCGCCACCTCGACCTTCCATCATGCCGGGGTGCATGCCATCACGACCACCCATCATACCAGGATGCATACCGCCACGGCCCATGCCAGGGTGCATCATACCCGGCCCACCCATAGGTGGTCCCATATCATCGGACCCGCCGAAGTCGCTCTCATCGTCAACCATACCCGGATATCCGGGCATCATGCCCGGCGGATCTTGCCTGCCATCGCGGCCGCTCCGACCGCGGCCTCGCCTGCCGCTTCCGTAAGGGTTTCCTCGTCCGTACATATTAGTGGTTGGAGTTGTTTGAGTGTATTCGTAGTTTGTGTGCTGTTTTGTAGTGTCGATATTGATTGGTGTAGAAGATTGATATATGATTTGAGGTAGCGATGTGTTGTGGATACAATACTCGGTGCCAATGCGAACTTTTATACGCAAGAACGAGCAATGAATGCGCTGTGGAAGCGGGTGAACGCTGTGAAGTGTTTCAAAACTTCGATCGCGAGCAACGATTTGCGAATTCCTCTGTGCGATCGTGTCAACTTCGTTCCCAGGTCGTTTTCTGGCATGGTCCTGTCACATAAAAATGTTCGGCCTCTATCGTCTTGTATTCTCCTGGGCCTCCAATTAGCGCGCTGGCTGTCAGAGCTGGGGATTAAATGTGTGAACTTGATGTGACATAGTGGTCCAGCGAGCTGAGTAGCAGCAAGTCGAATACTGTGCTGACTGCATTTGAAGTTCCTTCCCCTTTGTATTGTGGAGTACGTAAACAAAGAGGCAGTCGGGTGATGCCGCACTTTTCTCTATGTATACTTTGTGGGCAACCTAGTGAAGCACATTCCAGCTGAGTTGCCTGCATCGTCCAGCAATCCACGCACTTCTAGGGTCTTATCTGCCTTTATGTGATTCGTGAAGTTATCAAGGAAATTGACGCCCGGCTGTTCAGGATGTGCACTCCAATCGAGTACCAGTCTCTTTGTAGTTAGGTAGCCATTGTATTTGCCCCAGTCGCAAACTCGCTTCGCCAGATAAATAGCTCCATTCATGATTGGAGATGTCTCTGCCCTTGCGCTCTTGCAGCTCTGAGAATCCTCGCGGAATGCTACAGTGAAAGTGTTGAAGCCAAAAGAATGGAATTCGACCAAACTGTCGAGCATGTCCCGTACGTTCCTCTGCGTTGTACGATAGACTGTGAGATTGAGCCAGCCATGAAAAGTGGTGGGAGGTGTGTAGATGATCTCGTGGCCAGCATGTCTCCCGGTGTTCATAAGTATTATTCGTGATGCGATTTCGTGAAGGTTTTGGGCCAAAGCTTTGCAAATTTCGGGTCTCAAGTTCTCCCTGAATGGTTTTGCAGCTATACAGTAGACCTGAAAAATCCGCTGGCTGGACTTGCAGTGGGTTTTCTGGTAGGACGTAATGAAAGATGCGAAGACGAAGTTCCACAGGTAGCTCAAGCAGAGACTTTGCGCCGTTCACGATCATAGCAAGCTCCAAGGTCGCTATCCGCGTACCAATATCGGCCGCGAGGTGCAGCAATTTGTGCGCGCTCTGTTTGAACGCAACCGACTACTGGAGATCGACTGTCATCTTATGTACAAGCCCAAGGGAACTCAACGGCTTACGAGTACTTGACGAAGTGCTAAAATAGCGTTGGAATTAGATAGTTTTCTTCATGTCACGACTTAGGATTTAATGCTCATAGTTCTCAGATAGCGTCTACGAACCCTGGCGCTGGGGACGGCAGGTAAGCACATAAACATCAGCCCCACCAGTCACGTGCGGAGTGCCGCGCGCGCTGCGATCGCCAAAGCTCCACGCGGTCCACCAAAACTTTAACTCTAAGTCCACAACCCATAATGCCGTCGTCTGACTACACGACGGCCATAGGCGGCGGCTTAAAGCTCAAAGGTACCGGCGTCGACAAGAAGAAAAAGAAGAAGAGACCCAAGCCAGCTGAAGATGCCGCCGAATCGGCCTCTACCGACGTCGCAAAGCGCGCAAAATCACCTTCACAAACACCCGGTCGCTCATTATCGCCTGATGCCGCTGAGAAGAGCATGAAAGAAGCTGGTGGAAGGAAGAAGACCGAAGCAGAGAGGCGACACGACGAGATGCGCCGCAAGAGGCTCGAGGAACGACTCAAGCGCGAAGGCGTGAAGACGCACAAGGAGAAGGTGGAGGAGCTGAACAAGTACCTGAGTGGACTCAGCGAACACCACGATATGCCCAAGATCGGACCTGGCTAAGACGACCTGCCGCTGCGACGCAACGAACGGTTGCGACAAGATACAGTCCGAGAGCACGAGACGTGGACGACCTACCACGCGACACGATTACCACGGCTGTCTTATGCGAAGAACAATTTCGAGGGCCGAAGAGCGGATCCAAAGGGCAGACGGATGCCAAATCACTCCGCTTTCTGGTATATGATACAGGAATGGACGAATTTCAGTCTTGGTTGGTCAAATAGGCGTACAAATACATACAAACAACACGAAGGAAGGCCATGCCCATGACAGGCTTAGGCGCACTTTGTGTAAGTAGATGAGCCTAGTAGTATGTAAGACACGATCCAACGAAACAGTCAGTCAGAACATCAATTACCATCCTCTTCCCAGCTTCCTTCTCCGCGTTTCATGTTTCTTCCTCTACCTTCTAAGTGGTTTTTCCATGCGTCAACTACTACACTTTTTTGACGCATTGAGTATCATACGCACAAAGCCGTTACGGCCCCAGCTTCATCCTCAAATACGCCCCGAGGACAAATCGCATACAAGAAACGCAGCATGACAACTAGACGAATCCATGACGACGAAGTGTGAAAGTAAATAAAGAAAGCCAAAGTCTAGGACATCACTGGAATGTCGATCTACTCTGCTGGACAGCGACGCTCTAGCACTCGCATGAGGCATGTACTCCCGCAGCCTAACGTAGAAGAAAGCATGTGCAAGCGAGTGACAATGGCACCTGACAAGTTCGAGGGTGCATGTATACACAATGTGGTAATGCAGTCAAGCACAGCCTGAAAATGCGGCTCCACAAGCACCGTAAAGCTGGATATGTGCAAGGCCAGCCTTCCAGGCAACCCAATCTATCGGAAAAGCCGCATACCGCGAGCGCGTGATCCGACGAGCTATCAGCAATCATGCCATCATCTGATTGACCTTCTTGTTTTGCTGTCAGCCTTATCGTGGGGGCCGCGAGCAGAGTGAGATTGGTGGAAGTCAACGGAACGTCAAGAGTGTACTTTCGGCTCAGCGACTCCTTTTGTCCAGCGCGTACTCGTCTCCTGTTAGGCATACTCTGGTCAAGCTACCTGCCTTGCACTTATGCTGAGTGAGACGTGCACCGGAAGCCATGGTCTCCCGAGTTCATGAAGTAGTCAACCGGTCAAAGGAATTTGACCTCGCGTGCGCCGGCCCGCTAGAGACTTCTGCGGCCATGTGAATGGTTGGTGGTTGTACGGAGTTCCGCTAATGGTGTTGGTAGGTCAAGTCGATAGACCAGTCCTGTACTCACATCTACAAACTCGTTGGGAAGAGACAAGTAAGCCAGGAGAGTAGAAGTTGACCGGCGTGCGTGTTACGATCCGGTCCCGCACACCACGTTCACCATCAAAGCAATACCAAGGATCTATTCGTGTTGGATGAGAGGCTTAGTGGCTGGAATACCTCTATCCTTAAATGTCGTTTTCTCGCACAAGAAGCCCTGATGGGGCAGGTCGTAGCTGAGAAACAACAGAGTAGGTGTGCTGATTCGATGGCCTGCTTACTGCAGGGCAAGGGCCCTGGATTCGTGTGACAGCAGTACAGCTCACGCGACAAGCGCTGGAGGCACCGCACCTGAGGTTCAGAGCCCATTTTCGAAACAATCGCCTTGTGTAATTCGTAGAACCAAAAAGCGCGCGTTTGCTACTGTCGCAATCAAGCTTCAGACCCTGCGAATAAGGTTCCAGCGGGTTGGGTTTGCAAGACGGGCGATTGCGCAGCCGATTGCAGACGCAGCAGGCTGATATTGAATTCTAGAACAATTCCTTATCTAGGCTGATGCATGCCCATTATCGGTTGGAGGTCCATCCGGACATGAGCTGATGTCTGGCCCTTGTCGTGTGGTGCACAAGGAAATCTGCCACCTGCCCAGGATTGCTTAGCCTATTCTTATTCGAGCTTGTCACGCACGCCAAATTGCGTAGCAACGAATACCAACCCGCGCTAGGAGTAGATCGTCTGCCGTCGCGTACGTTGGCATCGCCTTATTTCTATCGCGGTGAAGGGTTCCATAAGGACCTCCTATTGACACTAGCCACTGTCAAACTCTATATCACCAGTCTAGCGCAACTTGGAGAGAGTTTGCGATTCTCCAGAGACTAATAATTTACCGTCTACCAAGAACGCGTATATGTCCGACACGTACGAGGATGATTGCTGCGGTGGGCGGTCGCGACTGCGTAGCCTGGACGGTTGGTCGAGAGCTTATCTGTACCCCGCGTGAGTTTTAGAGCGAATGGCCGTGTTGAGTGAGCGGTCGGCCTGTCCGCAGCTCTCTGGAAGCATTCATTCGATAGTAAGACTCGCCCGGGCATCTAGAATTGCGACTATCTCCCACGCCGCACTTAGCTCGAGGGTTCAAGTCGCCGCTGAGGTGCCGATTTGTGCACCCTGTTGTGCTCAAGATCGGGATGGGGACACGAGAGAGTTTGGCGAGATTGTAGGACCACTGGGTGCCTGTCGATATAAAGTAGGACCTTGTACTCTCATCAGCGCGGTAGCGCCGCAGCATTTCGTCTCCGTTTCCTGGTGCTATAGCGTTTGCCTTATTGTCGGGGTGAATCTCCAAGTCCTGGCGCTAGCTCAGTCTGAGCAACATTGAGACGGTCTGTCCCGAGGTCATATATACTCACGACCTGCTTCCACTTTTACACTCTCCATCGACTCAACTTTTTCGGTTCCCAAGATGGCGGCCAACAACTACGAGAAGGACCAAGTCGCCATCCAGGGCGACACGACTCCTCCACATGACCACGGCATCGGGAACATTGTCGAGACCAAGGGTGCCGCGCTGGGAGAGGCAGCCGGTATTTACGGTGATATTGAGACTGCCGAGCGGTACGGCTATGTCGAGCGAAATCTCAAGTCTCGTCACATCCAATTCATCGCACTCGGCGGTACGTTCTCAAGCGCAAAGGATTACAGGTGGAACATACACTGACTTCATACCTGTAGGTACCATCGGTACTGGTCTCTTCCTCGGTATCGGGACTGCGTTTGCCAACGCTGGTCCGGTGTCAGTCCTCCTCGGTTACACCATTACTGGCATTGCTGTTCTCGCCATGATGCAATGTCTCGGCGAGATGGGTACATGGCTGCCGCTGCCTGGTTCTATCCCACAATACTGCGCTCGTTACGCCGATCCTGCTCTTGGATTCGCCGCTGGATGGAACAACTGGTACCAGTACTCGATTACTCTTTGCGCTGAGATTTCTGCCGCTGCCCTCCTCATCAACTACTGGGACCAGGAACAGAAATACAACCCCGCCATTTGGATCACACTCATAATTCTTCTCATCCTTGGCTTGAACATCTTCGCGGTCGGAATCTACGGTGAGGCAGAGTTCATTTTTGCCTCCATCAAGATCATCACCATGGTCGGCCTCTTAATTCTTGGACTCATCATCATGCTGGGTGGTGCACCAGACCATGACAGGCGAGGTTTTCGCTACTGGAAGGAAGGCGCGATGAAAGAATACGTTGGCACAGGCAACACGGGTCGCTTCACTGGCCTTTGGTCCACTCTGGTCAACGCCGCATTCTCGTACGGTGGTGTAGAAATGGTCTGCGTTGCGGCTGGCGAAGCTGCTAACCCAAGGAAGAATATTCCCAAGGCTGTTCGACGTGTCGTCTGGGTGAGTTGTCTGATGGTTCCTCCCGCATGCGTACCTACTAACGAAAAGTCAGCGCATTCTCTTCTTCTACATCCTCGGCTCCTTCTTCATCGGCGTGATCATTTCTAGCAACGACCCTCAACTCACCAACTCGGAGGCACAGGGCGCACAAAAGTCCCCATGGGTCATCGCGATGAAGAGTGCCTCGATCCCGGTCCTCCCTCACATCATCAATGCCGTTATCTTGACCTCCGCTACATCCGCGGGCAACGCCTTCTTGTACACCGGATCTCGTTACCTCTTCGGTATTGCGCAGAATGGCCACGCTCCCAAGTTCTTGCTCAAGTGCTCCAAGGCCGGTGTACCGTATTATTGTGTGGGCATCACCTGCTCCGTCTCTTTGCTCACGTACTTGAGTGTCAGCACTGGTGCCAACAAGGTTTTCCTGTGGTTCCAGAACCTGACTACAATTGCCCAGTTGTTTACCTGGTCCTCAATCTGCTTCACCTACATCCGCTTTCGCAAGGCTCTTGCGGCGCAGGGTGTCGACCGCAGCACTTTGCTCTTCTCCGCCCCGTTTCAGCCATACGCCACCTGGTTCGCTTTTACGTACTTTGTCTTGATCATTGTCTTCAACGGTTTCAAGGTCTTCACCACCACTCCGTGGGGTTCTGACGAATTGACGGCTTTCTTTACTGCTTATGTTGGTATTGCGATCTTTGGGCTCTTATTCGCCTTCTGGAAGATTTTCAAGCGAACAAAGATGGTCGACCCTGCGCATGCCGACATTTGGAGTGGAAAGGCTGCCCTTGATGCAGAGGTTTGGCCGGAACAGATACCTCGGAACATGCTCGAGAGGTTTTGGTTTTGGTTGTGCTAGACCAGACCGTATATGATGGTCGCGTCAAAGAAGCAGTCTCACTTACATACATCGGTCGACACGTACCTTGTTGATGTACTCGAACCAAGAGGGCCTCGAATCCTACCTTGCTTAGAAGATCGGATCGTTATTGAAAACTATTCATAGTAAACTTCTACTCACCATGGTAATGTGTTGGTGATAATGCCATATGTAGAGATTTCTCCACACTACGGTGTTACCATAGTTTCTCAACTGCGACGAATGGTAAGAGACCAGAGTGCAACAGCAAGCAGCCCATCGTGTTAACCGAAGCGATACATTGCCGTCGCGGTCGAAGCCTGCCGATACTGTGTATAGCTTCGGGCTATTAAAGGCCCCCGATGGCTTTCCTCTGTAGTTAATGACCCGCAATATTCAAGGTGCTTCGTGTGATGGCTTGCTTTGCGTAGTCGCCAAATCGCGGAATGCTTCCGCTCGATCATTTCGTTCCTGGACTTGGTGGAACCTCGGTGGCATAATTTAATAATTTAATATCAATTCGATGGGAACGCAACGACCGTCGACAAGCTCGCTCGGTGTCAACTCTGTTGGGGTTGAAGAAGCATGGTCGTAACGCCATATAGGCGCGTGTTCTTTCGTCGATCCGCCGGCTTAGTTTAAGTTAGCGTCTTTCTGCCTGCCCGGGTATCAACAGCTCCAAGGCGCCCAGTCACCAGTCATCACTTCAACCTTCCACATAGCGGATATTTTCCTGAATTGATAGCTTTCAAATACTTTTATTTTCCAGCGCTTCCATTGACTTGCTAATAATCTGGAAGAGCAATGTCTTAAGTGCTACTGCGGCGCCATTCCCTATGATGACAAATCACGATCCTACGTGCTGGAACCCCAGAGCGACCAACCTGCTCTCAGGCGAAACTCGGAGGCTAGAAGCCATCGCTTGATCAAGCTTGGCAGTGGATTAACAGCTAGACACAGAAAAATCGATGATCATCAGCATGTCGTTACCACTGAATGCAGCCCAAGATGCAGCCGCAAGCACCTTTTATACAGCATTGACACCAGTAAAAAGTCCGGAACCAGAAAGTTCGAGGCGGCCCTCAGAGCAGGCAGCTCTCAATCGCGCGTGTGAGGCTTGCCGCGTGTCAAAAGTCAGATGCTTGGTCAATCCGGACGCAGATTCTACTCAATGTCAAAGATGCGCAAAGGCCGGAAGAGCTTGCATATTCGCGCCTCCAGCGAAGAGGAGACAGCGCAAGAGAACCGATGTGCGAGTCACAGAGCTAGAGAAGGAGATCAAACAGATGCGTGACCTTCTCAAAACCTCGAAAAACGAATCTTCCAACCACACGAGCGATCAAGAGTCGGACGAAGAAGACTCGCCCGAAGATGGACCTGAGGGCGGAGAAAGCAGGCTCGATAGAACCACCACTGCAGAGCAGTCGAGCAATAACAGCAACACAAAAATCGAATGCCGACCAGTGGTACAACACAGAGACTGAACGTACGCAGGGCGCGCCTAGCACGAACAACTGTGGATCGAAAGATCCTCTTGGGTCCTGCCGAGAACGACATTATCGATCGTGGCGTTATCACACCCCAACAAGCTGAGGAATTGATGGGTGTTTGGAGAAACGACCTGGTAAACTCTTGTCCTGGGATTACCATACCAAAACACTGGACAGCGAACGATCTGCGGGCAAACAAGCCGGCTTTGTTCCACGCGGTTATGGCAGCTGCCGCGCACTCATACGGATCCCAGATATCCGATAAGTTGCACGAGGAAGCTGTCTACCTCTATGCTCGATCTGCATTCATTAATGGCGAGAAATCGATAGAAAGCATACAGGCGATGATGGTCACCGTGGCCTTCTACTCGCCACCAAAAAAACCTGGACAACTACAGATTTATCAATGGGTCAATATGGCCGCATCCATGGCATTAGAACTGGGTCTTGCGTCGAAGCCAAGAACACATGAGCAGCTACCCAAGCGAGCGATCAGGTCACTGCAGAAAATCTCCTCACCGGAAGAGCTACTCGAACATTGCCGGACTGTACTCAATCTCTACATCATTAGCGCTGGGTTCTCAATGCGCTTGAAACGACCGAATATTCTACTGTTCAACAGCTGGATGGAAGAGTGTGTCGTCATGCTCGAAAGGTCAAAATTACTCGACGACAGGCGCACCATTGCCTGGCTCAAGTTGCAACGAATCGCAGACGAAGCCAATACAGCATTTGGCTTCGACGATGCTAGTACAAGCTTCAGCCTCTCCGAGTTGCGTATGCAAATCATCTTACGAATCTTCGACCGGCGAATGCACGACTGGAAAAAGTCTGTACCCGAGGAAGTCATGACTGTTTTTCTCGAGATTGAATTCCACCAGAACAAACTTTCGATGTGGGAGTTTGGTATGGATGGAGGTCGATACGACGTGACCGAGTTTAGAAATCGACATCTAACACTTCCAGCGCTGGACGATGACTCTGTACAACCGGAATCTCTATTATCAAGGTCTGCGTTGCAAATCAACGCAACGACAAAATGCATCGGCGCCGCGCACAACATCCTCGACTGCTTTATCCAAATCCCCATCGAGCGCCTGCAAAAAGCCCCCAATGTCCTCTTCGTCCGCGCAATCTACGCCCTCGTCGCCCTCATGAAAGCCGACTATGCCGTCGGCACAGACGCAGACATGAGCGAGATCCTTGAGTCGAAGAGCCTCAAAGTCGACTTCTATCTTGCCATTGTGCTCGCGCGAACCTCTGAAGCCATGGGCCCGAAAAAATGCAGAATCCCAAGTCACTGGACATTTGTGCTGGAGGCCAAGCTCAAGTCCTGGCGCGACGAATACACACAATGGCGAGAAGAAGATCGGCACCTCAAGCGGAGGAAAGTCAACAATGAGGATGAGGCTGGCGAGAAGACGCCGACGTTCGCCCAACCTGCCGCTTCGTCAACGGGCGCGCCTCTCGAGCAACCTAGTACCCAGATGCCGGGTCAGAATTTCACTGTGAATAACCCGTATCCGGCCTGGAATCCGCTGGATACTACTGCGACAGCGGGCCAGATTGGCGAGTTCACTCCAGATATGGGCGACTTTAGCGCGGCTTTTCAAAATGGCGACTTGTATCTCTGGAACGATATGACGGCGGATTCCTTTGGTGGATGGGTGCCTCAGAGCGGGATGTACAGCGGGATGGAGTTTGGGGGGTTGAATGGGCAGGGTTTCTAGATGCATGTAACCACGGGATGTGGCATTGATGCGTTGATGAGAAATGATTGACCGATCTTGTGGCATTAGGGGGCAGCGGGCATACACTTGTAATGGATTGAAAATCGCCGCTTTGTACTATATTTCTACATATCGAGGCTCAAGGTATCTTCGTAAGGATTCAGCTTGTTGCTCGTCTATGTGTTTAGACGGACTGTTTTGGCGTAGCAAAATAGCAAACTGCGTTCAGGCGCGTCAAGGTTATTACTGTAGACTTTTGCAACATCTGTCCACAACTTTACGCATACAATCCCTAGGCAAGATACATATTGCTCGGTACACTTTCCTCGTCGGAGATGCATGCAACGCAAGGAATGTCATACAAGAAAAGAAGTCGCGACACAAGGTTCGCGCTACGATCAGACGATGCCGCGTTCCATTCTCCACCTAGCGCGAATTCCGATCGGCAGCTTCCCCAGATTATCGCGACAACGATTGCAAAGTCGCGAATGCCCGAGAGCTCCATGAAGCCATGCCTCGCTTCTCCGTGCGCAACATTGTCGTCACTGTCAACATCCTGCTTCTCACCGCGCTTGTGATCCACCTGAAGCAAGTGTTATGGGACAGGCAACTCTCCCCTGCCGACCTCGGCACGTCGCATATCCCTGATGAGCTTCTCGACGACGCCCAGTTCTCGAAGCGGCGAACGGCCGTCGTTGTCGCGGCGCAGGCGAGCGAGAATGCGACTTGGCTCGACGCGTATTTCCCCGACTGGGAGAAGAATATATACCGCGTTGACGATGCGTCTGCGGCGCTCACTGTGCCGAAGAATAAGGGACGGGAGAGCATGGTGTACTTGACGTGTGTAATCACTTGTTGGGAGTTGATATAGTCACGCGATCTGACTGTGAAGATAGCTATATTATCGACAATTACGACTCGCTCGCAGACAACGTCCTCTTCATCCACCCGAACAGGTACCAATGGCACAACGACGACCCAGACTACGATGGCCTACCGATGCTGCGCCGCTTCCAACTGCCCTACCTCGAGAAACAAGGATACGTCAACATACGGTGCGCGTGGTCATTGGGGTGTCCAGCGGAAATCAAGCCGTTTGAGGAAGAAGGCGAGCATAGGGAAGCAGTGCACGCGGGCGGCGACTACAAACAGGCATTCGAACACCTGTTTCCTGGTACCAAGGTGCCGGAGACGGTGGGCGTGAGCTGTTGTGCGCAGTTTGCTGCGACGAGGGAGAAGATTAGGGAGAGGAAGAAGAGCGAGTATGTGAAGTACAGGCAGTGGATCATGGACACGGATCTGAAGGATAGCATCAGCGGGAGAGTGATGGAGTATTCGTGGCATAGTACGTATGCTTCCTACTGGCGACTCTTCCTCCACGACTGTCCTCTTCACGATATGGGTGATTTGCTAACTGTCACCTTTTAGTGATCTTTGGCAAGCCACCAGTGCACTGCCCGAGCGAGAAAGAGTGCTACTGCAAGACGTTCGGGCTTTGCAACCTCACATGCAACGGCGATCGCGACTGTCAAGGCCGATATACCTTACCACCATTCTCGTCGCTGCCCGACGGTTGGCCATACGTTGGCTGGAATAGAGAGGACAGAGAACGAGCTGGGCCTGAAGATCCATTTGCATAATTACATGCCCTTAGCCGCAGTATACATGTGCCTCGTGGTCATCTGCAGAGCATAAGCTTTGTCGGCACATGCCACCCATCGTTGATTACACCGATCTCATCACATACCCAACTTCACTCTGAATCTGGAAAGCCTGTGGGTTTATGAACCCCGCACTAGTTGTGTTGGCACAATATGCGCCCTCGCTTCTGACCGGTTGTGCAATGGTATTACTGGACCTAGTGCGGTACTGCATATATCAGGACTCCATTGTCACCGTTTGCGGCCTTTTCTCGATTGCTTGAACACGCTCCTCCGATCTAGTCGAGCCCAACGTCCACGACACCCGGCATTCATCCTACGCTGCCCATCATGGGTCTGCGAGCCTGTCAAGGTGATTTACCAGCTACCAATCGATAGTCGAAGAAACTGGGAAGAGATATTATTGGTTCTGGACTGTCAAGTCGCCCCCACTCGATATCAATGGTTCCACTCGGCCTACTGTTGTATACAACGTCGTGTCCATCTAATCCCTTGTGCAGCATCGACCCTTACCGATGGTTGATTTGATACCTCATCCTTTGCCATTTCCGGCCATTATCCAAGGAAACAGCTCCATCGCTGCAGCAATGGATCCTCGTTTGTAGCCTTTGCTACTAGCTTCGGCCCCATTCATAGCGATATCACCTGCAGGGCTATGCAAGCCCTCATGCAGTACTCTGCGCTGCGGAACACCCAATGTACCATGCTACCCGAGCATAGCACCTACCTGCCCACCTCCCCTCCCTTTTCCATTGGCTAGCACATCCCGCTTTTCAAGAGGAAAGCTGCGAGGACCCAAAGGGTTCAGGGCCAAGGGCGTTACTTCGGTGTAAGATAATGCATGTGACCTTCTCTTGTGCTTTAACGACTGCACGCACTGCGCACACGCATCGACTATTGGAAAATGGATACCATGGCCGCTTCTGACGATCAGGCTGAACGCCTCCTTGCTCACTAGCGGCAGATATTGAGGCAAGGCTGAGCTCGCCGTTCACGTCGAATAGAAAAAGCAGCAAGCTTTGTTAAACGTTGGCTTCACCCGATCAAAAATATAAGCGCTAATCTTAAAGATCGAACGAACACTGCATATGTCTCACGCGTCATATATTGGGCCGGTACAAGCGTCGCGAAAGGCTGCGACTGATGTCAAGGAACATGCGGCTCTGCAACGAATGTGCGCAATTTCCGAATTAAGTTAGACCGAGTACTAATCGAAATACACCTTAACATCAGCAGGGGACTGTGCCACTGAACGCTTGCCGTCTCACCTGCAACAAAGATCTGAAACATTTATTAGCATTCCGGTCGGTGATCGGAAATTTATCAGAGCCTCATGACCCCGCTATAGTACTGCACACTTACGAAGGGGAGCAGTTGAATGTCATCAGCCTGACATTCTTCGAGTGACATCCCAAAGCAAATCCGGACTTGCTACGTAGGCCTGCACTATCGACCGGTACGACCTGCACTAAGGCCAGGTATCTGCGGCAGAGCCGCATGAGCCAACCCAGCCCATGGCGTTCGGTCCTAGGCCTTGCTGCATATGCAGCTGACCTCTTCGACGGTTCAAAGAGCCTCATCATTTTACAGTACAAGTTGCCTTAATTTGCCTTCAAACTTGGACTACCTTGTGAATAGGGTGTGGCTCACGTGTGCCTTTGTCCGTGCTCTCTCTCAACGCCTTCCCGTCCCTTAGGCATGACTGTCTCCCTCGACGGACTACCTTATGACATCCTATTCTATATCGCTTCGAGCATCCACCTTGACGACGTCGTTCATCTTAGTCAAACATGCCGTCAGCTCAGAAGCCTGCTGGACGAGAGAACTCTTCAGCGTTGCGTAGTCGAGGTATGAGACCTTTATCCTTCGATTGCACAGAGTGGACAATTGAGTCTCTAGCAGAGTTTCAATCACGCAAAAGAGACGGCTCTTGCGCGTACCGAAGAGATAACTTACAAAGAGGCGCTTCATGCCATTTACGACAGAAGAGACGCCATGTCAAATGCACACCCTTTCTCGGCTCGCGTTCTTGGACAAGGAAACAGCTTTCTATACCGTCACGGCATCATATGCATACTACAGGGTCAAATAGTCAATGTTATGGATGTGCGCTCTGCTTCGCCTACCGTGCGTCACGATCTCGGTGCCTTGGTAAAGCCTGTCCTCGAGTCCGCCTTTACTGTCTTTGGTTCTATCAAGATCTCTTTGATGTACTACAGCGATCACGTCCTCGCTATTTATGTTGAACCCGAGGCGCGTCCCAATGCTGGGTACATCTTTGCACTTCGCACAGAAAGACACTTTTTGGACAGCAATAGAGTACTTGCAGCATTTCATGTGATGGCAAGCTCAAAAGTCTTTGTACGACATAACGCTCGATATCTATATTATGGTACTCATACTGGCATTGGCGACGACGGACATCATAAATGGGAAGTGTCGGGTGTATCGCTTGACGATAAATTTCCTCTACCTGACACAGGAAGACCATTATTATTCGAAGATTTCCACGGCACTGATATTGGATCAACGATTGCATTCGAAATTTATAACAACCATTTCTACGCCGTCTCGAATCAAGGGACGTTTGAAGTTGAAGAAGTGGATTGGACTTCGTTCTACCACTGCATTCGATTTCCTTTGGACAAGCCTGTCATGAAAGAAATGCTCAAAGATGAACGTGTTTATCGTCGGCAGCACGCTCAGGGACCTATACATGACTCCTGGACAGATTTAACACTTCAACTTGGCGAATGTACGAACGAAGTTATGATCCTTGAATCGAGAAGAGAATGGGCGCAGGCTTCATCACGTCAATCACGTACCTTCTACACTTCAAAGTTCCACGTCAAACCCAAGCACACATCTAAAGAATCTTCGTCAGCCGAAGAAGACACGGATACAGTCTTACTACCTGAAAATGATCTTTTTGTCGACTTGTTGGACTCGTCGAACAAGCCAAACTGGATGCCTACGCCACCTCAGTACAGCTGGAGCCGCCATCCCGAGTTCACCAAAACCGAAACATCTCCTCGATCCTTCATACTTGCCAAGACGAAATTTCGCGCCTACAACCATTCCTGCACGTCATTCCTAGACCTTGTCGAAGATGAGTACTGCTGCAATGACCCAACCAAACCCGGCTGTCTCAGACTCCGAGTTGGCTCGCGCCACTCAACATCACTCAACATATCACCGCTCCACGCCAAAGGCAAGAGCCGCGCCGACGACACGGCACCCATATTCAACGACCACGTCTCCTATCGCAACTCGTCAATCCACATGTGGCCACCGCCCGCATCGCGCTGCCCATGCTCCAAGCGGCTGCACGACATCATGAACCCGCCGTTGCAGCTGGGCCCAAGCCACGCACGATCTGTCACCGGTGTCCTGGACGATCGGACGTTAGTGTATATGGTGACGGCGGGGAGGTCGTATGGTGCCAGCGACGACAGTGCGTTGGGCACCATTGTGGTCGTGGACTTCACCCGACCATATAGCAGCACACCATCGCAGATGAGGCGTGTGGACAACGAGCTGGACACCGACGAGGCACACTGGAAGTGGACGACAGGCCAACTTCGCCGATGCAAGAGTGGGACGTGTCAGTAAGCGAGTGGTTCGTACCATAGTTTCCAAGAATCGACGGGCGATGCTGCCAGCGAAGGGAAATGTAGCAGAGCCGCATTTTCAGAGGCATGCTGTTTGGGCGTACCGTTTGCCTGTTCAATGGACCCGCGTGACTGGCCCTGTATCACCCCGCACGAGGCTGAGGCTGTTCAATACGGATGAGTTTTTCGCACAAGGGGCCGAATCTGATAACCGTCACGATATGAAGGATTTTTTAAAGTGGGTTGCATGTGCATACGCGGCTTTTGTGATATCGGCCTGCATGTACATGCAAGTTGTCCTGGATTAGTTTTGTTTGGGGAGATAGAAGCGAAGTTGCATTCATCCGAGGTCGGGGTTGGTACTCAGCCTTGTGGGGGCTTATTGGCATTGATATTAGTCCGTACTATTCAACGCAGAATCTCATCGCTCGTGTTTCTTCTTCGGTCTGATGTGAACTATGTTGAGCAAGGGCGTTGTACACTCTATTTCGCGCTGTACCGGAAAGCTTAGATCTCAGATCGGTGGTCATGCGCCATCTTGCTGATGGCTTATAGAGCATGAGCAAATCAGCTCTTGAACCGGAAAGTTTCTCTAACCGGCGGACATGCAGCGTAAGATCGGGTGATGGAGGCTTAACGAAGCAGAGTAATCAAGGCTAGACACGGCTCGTGTAAGTAAGCGCAAGACTGCGAACCTGACTCTCGAGTTGCAGAAGGAGCGAGACATAGCCGGTATAGCAATACTGCTACAAAAGTCTCAAAAAACAAAGATAATAGTGAGATAAAGCTGCGAATGACTTGAGGAAGTCTTTTAACTTTTCCTAAGCTAGATCCAAGCAGGCTGTCAATATGCAGGCTAGCTCCTCGTATTCAATATTTGATTTTGTGTTGAAGCAATCAGGTATCTAAAACAATTCCATGTACTTTTTTTCCCACAGCCCATGGTCCATTCACTCTTCTCAAAAATCACACGCTTCTCCAAGCATACACGCCAACTCCTCCAACGCCCTCTGATCCTCCCCATCAAACCCACTCAACTCGGCACAGTCAACATCGATAATCGCAACAGTCCGTCCCCCCTGCACAATCGGCACGACAATCTCGCTCTTACTCGCTCCATCGCACGCAATGTGGCCGGGAAACTTGTCCACGTCGGCGACAAGTTGCGTTGTTTGCGTCGCGGCAGCGGTTCCGCACACGCCGCGGTTGAACAGGATCGTTTGGCATGCAACTTGGCCTTGAAAGGGGCCGAGGATGAGTTTGGCTGGGTTGGACGGGTCGGTGAAGTAGAAGCCAGCCCAGTTAACGGAGTGCGAGGGGGAGGGGAGGGAGTGTAAGGCGTGCCAGAGAAGGGAGGATGTGTTTGAGAAGTTGCTGTTCGGGGTCGTTAGAATAGATATCGCTGGACATTTACATTGACGTGAAGTTGTGATTTTTGCTCGGTTGAGAGACTGATGATGAGTAGTGAACGTACCAGACCTGGACTACAAGTTAGCCATAAAATCGCATTTAATGAAGCATGATGCATTGTAGTTTACTTACCCAGTTCCTCTGCCCGTCGAATAATATCCGCGCTTGTTCGAGGACTTGCGCGTAGACTTCTTTTTTACTCAATCCCTCTGCAAACGCAGATGCATCGGCATGAACCTGCCTCAGTCAGCCCGAAATTCACATCATCATCATTATTATTCAACTTCAGTACCATTGCGATGATATGTGGCTTGGCAGATGCAGCTTCACTGCCCGAAGCTCACGACGTTGCGCACCAGATAGAGAAATGCGTGAAGCCGAAAAACGCCGATCAGACCCTGGAAAGAGAGAACCACACAGAGGAATTTGTGGTTTGTTTTAGCAACGCCCGTTGGATTTCATTTTTGGGATTCACGTGGGTTGTGGGTCGCCGAAATGCTTAAGCGTTTTTTTGTGGAAATGGCGTCATTGGGGACTAGACTCGAAGTGGAAAATTGGATTGTCTACGGGGTTGATCCTGGGTAGGTTGTGCGACGTGACGATAGAAAAGTACATAGAGTTGTTCAGCTACATGATTGTTTCAACACAAAATCATCATTTCACACAACGGGGACTTGTTTGTTTTAGAACTTTGGATAAGACTACTGAAAATAACTCCACATTAACTCATTCATACACGTCATTTTCACATCCGCGAACACTGCAGATGGCAACAATACAAGTCGCAAGCTTGGAGAAAAGAACAAGATGTAGAGCAGCAAGGAAAAGAAACAGAGAGCAGTGACTTGATAAGTAACGAGATCAAAACGCCTCCAGAAGAAAGTGAACTCCAAAGCAGTGTTATGCCAAACCACAACCCATATGGACCAAACGCCCGTCCTGCAGACGACAGAGTATGTAGCGCCGTATTGACAAAGAGAAGATGATGGATAGGAGACATCCTTGATGCGCCGCGCCGATGATGCAAAAGATAGAAATCAGACCAGAAGGCAGGAATCGATCATGACTTGGTGCGGGCAAGGCCGTTGCCGATGCTGCCAACGCGACCACTCGTCTTTCGTACGCCGGCGGGTGTCTTGCTATCCGTGCTTCGTCGTGTAGGGCTCGTTCGGATCTTGCCCATGCTAATGCTGCCGTTTCCACTCTTCTCTTTCGGTGTCTTTGGTCGCCCACCAACAGCGGGTGCGGTGTTCTCTGCGTCGCTCTCTTCACCAAAGCCGAATGAAGTGTGTGTGACGGTCTGAACCACGGAGGTGGTGCTGAAGGCACGTCGCTGCTTGTCCTTCGCGACGGGCGAGCGGGTAGGGGACCTGGAGTTGGTTCTCCGTGCGACCTGACGGAGATGGTACTCCTCGTCTGACTCGCCCTCGAATCGGCTTATGTCTGCTCTGACCTCTGTCTTTGTGAACGGCTCGTTCTCGTCAATGCGCTGTGGTGACTGCCTTGTGCTCCCATTGCCGTAGAGCTTGCTAGTCTTCCGCGGCTGACCAGGCGTGGGCGCTGGCAGGTTGTCCTCTTGTACTCCAATGTGCGAATGTGCTGCGTTGCCGCGTTCGTTCGACTCGATCTCACCAAGAGCTACGCGCTTCTGCGAGCCGTTGGGTGGTGTGAAGGTCTGGCCGTTGCTTGCAAGGCGCTGCTTGCGCGGTGACTTGGTGGGTGTCGAAGGCATCATCTCTGCGTACTTGGCCTTCATGGTGTCCTCGTGCCACCACTCGCGGAAGGTGGCCTGGTTGAGGTGCAGCCAATGCTGCTGGGGACCGACGACCATGCCGGGGCGCATGAAGCGCATGTAGGCGATGATCTCGTTGGCTGTGAAACCGTGCTTGTAGATAAGGTATGCTCCGATGAGGCATCCCGTTCGGCCAAGTCCAGCTTTGCAGTGGACAGCAATGCCCTTCTTGTGTACCGTGATCATCTCGTGGGCGAGGTTGATGAACTTGCGGACCAAGGATAGTGGCGGGCATGTTCCGTCGTCGAAGATCATGTTCAAGTGCTGGATGCCCATCTTCGTGAAGTAGCTCGACGAGTAGAGCTCCGAGTTCAAGCGCACTACCAGACCAATGTTGCGCGCACTGAAGTGCGACAGGACGTTCTTGAAGGGACCCGGTAGCCCTGATCGCTGGACCTCGGCGATGTTGGAGGGGAGCGTCGCGTACATCGGTGATGAGGTGGGGATCTCGTGGGTCGGTTGTTGCTGAGGCGAGGCGAATGCAAGGAATTGAGGGGTCACCCAGTTGAAGTCGCCCATGTCGACGCGCTCAAACTTCTCATATCTGTGCATGTTAGCATTGGTCGCGCGCCGCCAATCGCACAACGTACTCTTCCAGGCTGAAGTCCTTGAGCCCGCAAAGACCTTCTTCCTTGGCCTTCCACACACCGTAGATGACGTCTTGGATGTTGAGAACATAGTCTGCTTGACTGTAGCCTGCATCGCGGAAGGGCATGCAAGGCGGGTCCATTTGCGCAATGGGCGCGAGGGCAAGGTGAGGCGGCCATGACTGGATGAGCACCATGTAGCAGGCCAATATGCATGCGGCATTTGCGCGACCTGATACTGTTAATTGCTGCATCGTGATGGACGGGTGGTTGTCTTACTTCTTGAGTCTGCGCTGCTCCAGAAGACTACTGCCCTGTCCTCGTTTGCTGGGTCGCCGAGAACCTCGTGCAATTGCACAGCGAAGCGGTACAGGTGGCCAATGTGCAGTGGGCCGAAATCGCCGTGGAACGCATTGTAGAGGAGCGTCTTGTCGATGCTGAAGTACACTGGTGGGTTCGCCTTGGCTCCGGTTGCAGTAGGACCGGCTTGTGCGCGTGCCGACCGCTTCGACGGCGATGCGCTCTGCTTGGGGTACGGGAATGGCGTCGTCGCATCAGGCGCGTGGGTGTATGAAGCTAGGTAGAGTCGATCTTGGATATACTGCAAGGAAAACGGCGTGAGCATGCTGTGTTGTGGCGCATTGTTGTGGTGTTGTTATGATGCTTACCTCGATGACCTGCCCATAGCTGGTCGAACTGGCGCGAGGCATTCTGGCTACTCGCGGTTGCGCAGACATGGGATTGGAAGGCGCAACACTACAATTCTCTACAAGGTGAGGCGATGTGAGTTGGCGACTGCAATGTCGGGACTTGGGATGACAGCTCGAGCTTCAATGGAATGACACGGCGGGTGTGGAAGCGCGGATGGTCGCTGTAGTGTCTTCTGGAGCTGAAGGCGCAATGCAGGATACTGCTCGTCCTGCAGTACACGAAGTAAGGAATAGCAGTAAAGATGTGAGTCCTTTGATGGTGGATGGGAGGGTTCTATACATGTTGTATGTTTTGATGTTGATGTTTTGTCCGTGCACGACATACGGTAACCCGGTCTGGACTAGGCGGTTTCGGACCAGCACAACAACGCCGTCGACGACATCAAACCCAATTCAGCCCGTTCTGGCCAAAGCGCATCATAACACTGCTTGCAGTACGTCCTCCCCTCCAGCGCTTTCATCGGCGCAATCATTATGCTCTGCTGCAATTTGCTGGATGACATTTCCAGAAGCATTGTCAGAGATCATTCCAGTAACGGAGGGGCCCAGATATCCGTCTACCCGTAGCACGTACTGCAGGCGCGAGATCACAGGGTCCAGTGGAGCCGTTGTTATCGCGAAGGTCTGCAGCGGGAGCTGGCACTAGTGGCAACACCACAAACACGAATCCGGTCGCACTGCATACATTACCGTCGTCCGACTTTATGTTTCCGAACATAACAAGTCCGCTCAATCTAACATGATCAAGAGAGGTAGGCAGGAGGGCTGGCTCAAAGAGCCCATTGAGTCGCTGCCAAGATGGGCCACCTTCCATGGAGTGAACTTTAATCACGTCAAGATTGGCCCGTTGCCAGGGTTCGAAGAGAGGGGCTCGACTGTCATAGCTTCTCGTGAGCTTCAAGGAGGCAGCGTAGAACCTCTCCTGATCGTGCCAAAGGATCTGATAATATCGCGTACGAACATCGAGCTCTTCGCCAGAGCGGATCGTCACCTACGAGAAGTTTTGGAAGCCATTGGCGAATTTGGACGGGTGCGACAGTCATCTGGCGCAATGTGTGATCTGAACTGACCATCGCTAGACTACCAGAGGTGCCGTGCTCACATTCCTGCTGGTGCAAGCAACGATATGCTGTCCAGACGTCAAGAACATCGGCGTCCTCAACCCTTTGACGGAGTACATCAAATATCTGCCTGATGAGTTGCTGCCCACCTTCTGGAGCGAGGAGGAACAGGAACTCCTCGAGGGCACGACCCTGAAACCAGCCGTACGTGCCAAACTGAACAGTCTACTACGAGAGTTCGAATCTGTCCGAACCGCAACAGAGTCGATTGAATGGTGCGCGAAGTATTGGTGGGATGAAGACCATGGTATGATCACATTTGAAGACTGGATGCTAGTCGATGCCATGTATAGATCTAGGGCCCTTGAATTTCCGGGTACAGGCGACTGCATGATGCCGTGCGTCGACATGGCAAATCATGCATCAGGGGAAGCAACAGCCGCATTGTACGAAACCGATGACGATGGGAATGGCCTTCTCTTGCTTCGGGAGGGCAAGACCGTCGTGGAAGGAGGCGAGATCACGATCACGTGAGTCCGTGTCTTGAATTTGGTCACATGTCTGCTCACAAGCAAAGTTATGGTGATGAAAAAGGCGCATGCGAAAACATATTCTCCTATGGCTTTCTCGAAGATGGAGTCTCCTCTGCCAAGGTCATGTTTCTGGCCCTCGATATACCAGACGATGACCCGCTAAGGCCCGCTAAAGTATTTGTGTCTACCGCAGCACCCGGGATTCCGTATATTTGACAAAGAAGATAGTGTAGGTTGGGAAAGCGACTACATCTGGCTCGTCGTTATCAACGAAGAAGATGGCCTAGACTTCAGGATCAGGCAAACAGTTGACGGCAAACGAGAGATACAAGCTTTTTGGAAAGAACTGGAATTGGATGATACTTCCAAGCTTCGGGACTACCTTCAAGAGGACCCCTCTTGGGATGTATTCCAGCTGCGAGCTGTCGTTCTTCTCCAAAATCAGGTCGAGGCGCAGATGGAAACGATCCAGGCGATGCAAGGACTAAACCAAGAGTTGACAGTCCGGGATGTTCCTTGGAGACTTGCGGAGCGTCTCCGAAATCTGGAATTCGATATGTTGCAGCGTGCAGCGCTGGCTCTTGACAGTCAGGTAGGTAATCCGTCCAACTTGTGTCTAACCCATCGCACCTCTTGAGCTGCATTACGTCAGTCGGTACATTAGTCGCTCCATATCACGCTCCACCGATTTCCCTACATGAGTGTTGAAGAACTCATGCGGCACTTGTTTGCCGATCCGTGGGCCCGCTCTCGTCGAACCCAACTGCGAAATTGCGCTTGATCGACCACTCGGTTACCTCCCGGCGACAGCTCCGTCAACCAATGATGACTTATGACATAAACTGACTATCACAAATCAGAAATCCAGGCTCCTCGAATCGAAAACTGTACTGCAGTACTTGGGTATGGCAGAAGATGATGGAGAGGAAGTGGACTTCACGTGAGAAGAAGCGACCCCACATTCTTGTACCTGACGCAGATCAGGGGCCCCATGCTCGACAATATGGCAGCCACGAGTGTATGTAAACCGGTACTACAATCAATTGTATGGCAGCCGCATGCGCCTCCAGCAATCTGGCTCAAGCAACCATTAAGCACAATATCTGGGATTGCCGAATGTTCGGTGCGTCCTACCTGGAGACCCAATCAAAGCATGCTGGCGAGTCGGTGGTCCAAGCATTCATGTGCCGACACATATTGCTCGACAAGCCCTGTCGCCTGTTGTGCGATGTAACTGAAATGCGCGAGGAGTGATCATAGAGTGGGCCGCGTGGTGTACACGGGCTGCACACGAGAGTATGTACAACTGCCGTGAGATCGAAACGGCTACTACAGCCGCGAATCCGAGACAAATTCGAGGTAAACACAATACGAATACCCAGTCTTCTGCAGAAGAACAAAGTGGTATCTTTGCCCACCAAATGTTCGCTAAGCAGAAGCCTCGTTCGATATGCCACATCAACACCGGGAATATGATCTTTGAGGTACGCGGCATAGTGTGGGATGTGGCTATCAAAAGCAACCAAAGGAATCACATACCTGGGCTATATTTCCACCACCTCGTACAATATTGATGTTGGTGTTCCAGGCAAGGCAGCAGACAGGTTACTGATTCGCTGTGTCAAGCTTCTGGAAGATTGTGAGAGACGCGCTAGCCTCGACTTGACTAGCATTGATCGCCATAAAGGCTGTTGTGAGGGTAATCAACCATCAACCATGTGTGTGGATGAGCAATAAGCTGTCTACGGAAGAAAAAGAGCAATGGCCCCTGGTGAGGCGTATTCTATGCGTAATCTCCAGACGGGGGATTATTCGAATTGGTGCAGTCAGGTGGGATGAAAGCTGGACTCGGGATGATGTCCTGGTGTTGGAATCCAAGACAGGCGACATCGGTTGAGGTGGCACAGCACGAGCAATCACATCATTCGGGCCGCATTCCACTCCAGCGTCCAGGTGAGCAGATGCATCGTGAAGTCGGTTCACCCCGCAGAATCGGAACTTTGAAGCAGCAGTGAACGGCTCACTCGGCGATGGCTGACCAGCTGTCCTGTCGTTTGAAGGGGGTTGTCCCCGCGTGCGGATCGCAGGGGCGCTATTGAATTAGTGGCTTTTTGAGGACGAAGATGAATCGGCGAGCATGGTGGTCGTGCTTTGCAAGGATGCGATGGCGTCCTGCAGCCTGCCACCCCGCAGCCGCCCCAGTCCGTCCCCAGAAGCTAAAGCAGCGTACATTTCCCCAGCCGTCACACCCATCCCTCCGCACGCCCTCTTCGCTCCAGGACCCTCTATGCACTCGCCCCTCTCGCTCACGTTCTGCCCACGCGACACTGTGATACGCGACGTTGGCGCTTCGACAGAGTTGACTTCCACGTTTCGCGATTAAGTGCATCTTCGAACATCCGCCATCTACCGGAGGACCGGATGACAGATAGCGCCCTGACCTGCCAGTAATCCCCTCGGGGCTCCAAGCGAAAACGACCACCAATTTCGATTCCGCAAGCAGAGATACACCCGCCAACATGCCTGGAATACTGCCTATGAAGGTGATCAAAGTCGGCTCAAACTGCCAGGCTCGCATCGCCCAAGCATGCGACCGATGCCGCTCCAAAAAGATACGCTGCGACGGTATACGCCCGAGTTGCACACAATGCACCAATGTTGGCTTCGAATGTAAGACTAGCGACAAGCTCAGCCGTCGTGCCTTCCCAAGAGGATACACCGAGTCACTGGAAGAGCGCGTTCGCCAGCTGGAAGGGGAAGTTCGCGAGCTGAAAGAGCTGCTCGACGAGAAGGACGAGAAGATCGATATGCTCTCTCGTATGCACTCACATTCACCATCTGCACATTCGGCTGCAAGGCGGCCGTCGATACACTCGCCCATTGCTTTAGAATCACGGGAAGACTCGCAAGAAAAAGACGACACATTCAAAGTGCAGCAGTCGCCGCTTCTGCTCGACGATATAAACGACGACGCATATTTTGTGGGCAGTTCAAGTGGCCGCACACTTGTTGGTATGGTTCCCTGACATTTCCTCCCAAACTCAGTACTAACACGTCACAGAGGCTTTCAAGCAAAAAGCGCAAGAATCAGGGAGACTGTCCGCTGACATCAATTCTGGTGCCTTCTTTGGAGCTGGCGGCGCCAAAAAGAGCAACGGTCCACGACGGATCGTTTCTTTCAAGGCACCCCCTCGTCTAGTCTCTGATCAGATGATCAACATCTTCTTCCAGGAATGGGCTCCCCTCTTCCCTGTTCTGCACCGCCCAACTTTCCTTGCACTATACGAACAGTACGTCGGCAATCCCGATACTATGGTCGAGAAGAAGTCCATCACTCAGCTCAACCTTGTCTTCGGAATCGCTGCCCTGTCAAGCGACGTAAGTACCCACTCATTTCCCCACACTTTGTGCATATGCTGACAACGCGAAGCCTCGCGATGGTCAGGACGTCGATTCCTTCGAGGCGCAATGGCAGAGTGCCATCGAAAGCTTCTTGATGGACAATGACGTCGTAACCCTGCAATGCCTTGTCCTTGCCCAGATCTTCTGCCTGCTGAGAGCTGACTACTCCCGGCTGTTGAAGTATAAGGGCTTGGCTATTGGCTTGTCGCAGCGTCTTGGCTTGCATCAGTCACAGAAGCGATTTGCGCTCGATGCGCTGAGCAGCGAAACCAGGAAGAAGGTCTTCTGGTCGCTGTACACCGTCGACTGGTATGTTGATCTCGATGCACCTCGCTCATCCCATTGCTAATGTTGCTACAGCCTATCTGCTGCCCATCTTGGCCTCCCCAAACTCATCCGGGAAGAGGATGTGCACTGCGAGTATCCGGTAGATGCCGACGACGAATACGTCACTGAGAAAGGGTTCTTGCCTACCTTGCCCGGGGAGTACACCAAGCTCTCCAGCGCATTGGCCCTCTTCCGCATGACACGCATCCTGTCAAAGGTCCTCACCGAATTATATCCGGCGTCAGCGTCGCATGACATCTCATTCCGTACCGTTGCATCACTGGCTGATGATTTGGAGGACTGGTCTATGAACCTTGCTCCACATCTGAAGCTCACGTTTGCGCAAGACAAACCAAGCACTAATGTTACCAGCAGCAGAGCACCTGTTTTGGTATGTGATTCTATATTTATACGTTTGAGAACTTTGCTAACCATAACAGTCACTGGTATACCACCACATCCGCTCTCTAATTTACCGGCCAATTGTTGTTGCAAACCTCGGAGACAAAGCTTCCTCAGCCATCGTAGCCATCGGCGATGCTTGCAAACACATTATCCAGATCGTACAGCTTCTTGACGAGCGCAAGCTCAGCTTTTCGTTCTGCCTCAACCGAAATGAGGTCCTCGTCCAGGCCGGGTTCGGTCTCCTCTTCCAGACCCTCAACCTTGCCCGTGATGGCAAGCTGATCAAAGACTGCAACCGCCTTGTCTGCTCCATCATGGACATGCTCGAAAGCGGCAATGCTGCTGGCTACAACGACTTCCGTCGCATCGGGTGTACTCTCGTAGCCGTGCCTCGTGTAGAGCCAATGGCTGCACCACAACTATACCGCCACCACTCAGAGAATAGCATGGGTGCGCCCGCAGAAACCTTCCGTGCAACACAAAAGACATTGAAGGCCATCGCAGCCCGCTTCTCGCCTGGTGCCATGAAAGCTAGACAGGAAAATCATGAGCCGCGTCGTGCGACACTGGCTACCATCACTCCCAAGATGAGCGTGCACACCAACCCCTCCTCGACCAGCCTATCTTCAATCCACTCCGAGCCCCCCGTCGCCCGCTCCGAACCAACCCTAAGCCCACCATCCCACCGCGCCTCCTTCTCCGCCTCCGACAAGCGCCGCCCTAGCCAATCAACCCCCCAGCAGCGAAACATCGACTACCTCTCCTTCGCCGCCGACCCGCTCGCCAGCTACACGCTCCCGCAGAACCCCGGCATCAAATCCGAAGTCTCCAGCTCCGACTGGGAACGCCTCCTCTCGTCGCTCGACAATGGCCAAACCAACATCTACGACACCATCTACGGCGGCCCAACGGCCGACGCGCTGCTTGAAATGGCGCCCATGTCGGCCACCACTGAAGGCACTGCTACGTGGTCGCCCAATGCGTGGAATTGGGGGGTGTACAGTGAGCAGGCGGCGCCACAGAGCGTGCTTAGTTTCACGGATGAGAGCCTGACGAGCGGCGAGGAGTTTAGCGCGAATTCCTGCGATTTCAACACGACGCCTGAGAGCGAGAGGTTGTATCCGGGCATTATGATTCCGAATATGGGCACGCCGCACGGGCTGGGCGGGTTGGATGGGAACTTTGGCTTGTAGATGTGGTCACGGTCGATGATATGACTGGGAAAGGAGTAACATGGCGCTTCGGCGAGTGGGAGGGGGGTGTTTTTTTTTTTTTTTTTTTTTGTTCAGTCTATTCCCTTCTTTTTGAGATACCACGCTCTCGCTCTCTCGAGATTGAGCATTTTTATTCATCTTTGTATACGCTTGGTTTTTCACCCCCAGTATTTCCCTAGTTCTGGACTCGGCACCTAGTTTTTTTGTTTCGCGCAACGCAACGTCGAAATACAAGTTTGTAAACCCAATCGCATCTTGCTACCATTGATGCGAAATTCCAAGCAGTTGTGTTGTCTACCAGATTGCTGAACAATCAATCACACCTATTCCTTCACACGTCAAGCGTTGTATAGCCTACACGCTCAGTATCTACTGACATCACATCACCCTCCCCACAGCAAGACGCAGCAGTTTGTTTCCCGTTTCCGTTTCATGCTATATCCGAAACGAACCAGTTGACCACGCACCAAGCGCGCCACACGACACCAGACCACGGACCTACCCCAGATTCCCATCCTCTTGGCCTTCGGAGTCTTCTCCTCCCTTCCCCACATCCAAAAAAACGAGAGCTTCACGCGGGGCGTTGCACAGCTCGAAACCAATATTCCCGCAGAACAGGTAAGCTTTCGCTTCGCACGCGATTCAGAACACTGAAAAGCAAGTCATGTCCACTCCACGCCTCGGAAAAAGAAAACTGAGCTCGCCTCCTCGGCTCAGCGGATGTCTGGGGCTTGGCGCACGTGGCGTGGATAAGCGGGGGTGATTGTGGAGATTACCGGCGTCGTTACAAAGACATGTAATGTGGCTGAAGGATCGGTGATGGCATGGACATGGGACGATCAGGAGGCATGGTAAGTTACTGTAAATCATACATCACGATCCATCTAAGCCCTGTTGCGAAGATCAAAAGTGCCGACAAGTGTCGTGTGCCCCATGCTGTTCAACGTCACTGGAAGCTTGATAGTCACCGAAGAAGCGTCATTGCAGCTGAAAAGGGACGGCTGAGTGGTGATCGTTTGGGTATCAAGCTACAGCGCCGTGCCAATCAGACGGGCAAATATACCACCCTTTTCGAATCATGCTTTTTTAGCGCCTGCGCCGTGAATCGCGAGTATACACGTTCGGATCCGCAAGTGAGGTGTCGAAGTGCGGCCAATTGCTTACAGGCTCGATCGTGGGGTGCATGAAGCTGAATATCGAGTTTGAAGTGCGGGGTGAAGTAAGCTCACGCCATGTTGTTCGACCCCATGGGGTATAAAGCTGGTATGCGGGCGAAATCGGAACTCTGCGATGGGGGAGATGCCTGTCTATGTTCCAGGGATGCAGGTGCTGTATTTTGCGGCTCCTCTAAGCTTTGGAAGATCCCCGTTGGTATCCGTGCTCGCGTCCGGTGGAGGGGAAGGATACGTCCGGCGTGCGAGCTGGACACAAGGATCCAGCGCTTGTCCGGCACAGGCATGCATTTGGTGGCGGCTATCGTGGTGCTCTAGCGTAGGAACTCCGAGTTGAGGTAGTCGACGAAGACCTCCTTGACCCGTGCCTTGGAGAGGCTGTGTTGGCGGTTCATGGCGATGAATTGGCGGCGTATGCGCTGCAATTGGGGCAGCGTCATGGGTGTGGCTGGGAGCTCGATGGGCGTCTTGACGTCTGGGACTGTGATGTCGCCTCCTCCTTCTCCCTCGTGATCTTTTTGGTAGGTCATGATTTGCGCGAGGATGTCGGACGTCGTCTTGTCGAGTTCGTAGAGGTAGTTTTGCTCGGTCGCGGGTTTCTATTGCTGTTAGAGGACATTTGGGGATTTACGGGAAGAGGTACGTACCAACACTGTCGCCATATTCGGCTTCACCGTCTTCATCTTGCCATCGCTGCCGACCATGGCTTCCCATATCTGCTCACATGGCGGCGTGGCATCTTCTTCGACCACGATGAACAGCGGACTGTCCCACCTCGTCATGCCATTGGGCTCCTCATACCTGAAGATGAGGTTCTCGAAGTCTTCCTCGTCATACCCTCCATCCGTGTCCTTGTCGGCCAGCAGCTTCTTGTTGTTTTCGCGACATCGATCGGGCGGCGTCCCTACATGCAACTCTTGGACTGTCAGTCTCCGATGCCCTGTTTCGAGGAAGCGTGGGTACTGACCACGCAGCTGGGGGTCTGCAGCGCCTTGGCTTCACAGTACAGTTGGTACCGGAAGCCCTTGATGTAGTTCATGCCATCGGCGATGACGATGTCATCGCGCGACAGCACTCTCTTCACGGCTGAATATTCCTCCGCGCGCGCATCTTTCTCGGCTTTGGCTGTGTGGTAGACGTTTCGAGATACCCCGAGGGTCTGGTCGTTGATAAGGTGTACTTTGAGTCGACTGACACGTGCATCGGCGCTTGCGTTCGCAATGGTAGACTCGAAATGTTCCTTCAGTTGCAGCGCCCTGGTTGTTTTCCCCGCCGAGGGGTAGCCGCTGATGAGGATGAGCTGTGCGCGTCAGTCGCGAGCGAAGCAAGCAGGAGCACGGCGCTGGGACGTACGGGCATATTATTTGTAGCACGCTTCTCCACGACTCCAGGTTATTATGTATAGCCGCCCGTCGACGCTTCAATGTTGCGCCTAAATCAGGCTAGACGGCGTCGCGCAGTCTCGAGACGAGACGGTTTCTTCGGTAAAATTCCCGGCGAATGACGCACCGATCTCACCTTCTTCTACACAATCTGCCTTAAATCAGGCAAAGCCTCGGCATAGACATCTGGCAGAACCGATTGTGCTTGTATCACCCTCTGGCCTGTTACTTGCGTGCTTGCCTGCTGTTCCCCCTCTTTCCTGCTTTCAGCCGTTTTTCTGCGATTGTCGAAATTACCTGGTCCAACGCAATCAACGGGGAGCTGGAAGAGTCTGCGCATTCCCTGCCGTAAGGATATTGAAATATTCTCCATTCGCTCTTGCCAATCAGTACCCACCTGGCACTCACTACTCCACATCTAACGGTACTTTAACCTGCGACTACCTCGACCCTACTGTAAACTGTAAAAACCAACACGCCTCCCCTGTGATCTCAAGTGTTTGCTGCTACTACATTACCCATCCGCCATTCCATCTACCTTCCCCAGACGACTCCACTTCCCACGGCAAACAAACACCACAAACTCTTACCATGTCGACTCCCCGCAACTCCCAAACCACCGCGCGCCCAGCCTACGCTCCTCTCCAGACGAGCAATTCCTCCCACACCTCCAGCTACAGCAGCATATCCTCGTCGACATCCGCCTCCTCAGCGCCGCTCAACTCGCCCTCCACCGGCCCCCAGCAACACATCTACGGCAGCATGTCTCGCGCAAACCTCGCAGCCGCGCCACCAGCCCCAGCGCCATCCCAGCTTCGAGTACCGCCCGAATCGTGAGGGTGCGGGCCAGACGGCCGCCGAGACGACGAATTACCTGAGCCAGATGGCGCTGCTGAACGAGGCGGCGAAGCGCGCGCAGATGGCGTGTGTCATGCGGGACATTGGCGAGATGGAGTTGTAAACAATCCCCGTCGTTTGTTTGGCTGCGATTTTCGGATTACCGCGAATGGGTGCCGCGGCGCTCGCGATACTTGCCGATGTGGTTCTGGCATGTGGGGACAGGGGATCACATCACTCCCACATCACTTCCCACGACTGTGCCACTTACCACTCATTTACCGGAAGAATTTCGTCGCGCCAAAGTTAAAGTGCTGTACAAAGCGCTTTTTCGAAGCACGAGTCAAACGCGCTCTTCGACTACTGGCACCCGCGATAAGCTCCCGAGACTGTCACATGCCAAACTCTTCCCTTCACTTCTCTTCACTTCACTTCCACCAACTGTATATATTACTCCCACCCACGACCATTACTTTTCCTTGATTCCCTTGTCCACAATTACGCTGGTAGCATTTCCATCAGCCCGGAGTTTCCACTTGGGAGGTTTCATATTAGACTCAAGAGCATTTCTTGCATGGTGCATGGCTTGCGCGCGCCTGCCGAGGTTACAGATTATTCAATTCAAAAATTCCTTTCCTGTTTTGGGATCGGATCAAGCTGTGTGATCGTGAACTGCTCACATGTCCGAAAAGAGTGAGGAGTACGATTTGTTCTGATTCCCACGTTTGCACCAGGCGTTGCAAGAACAAGTAATCGATCTTGCTGTACAGTACAGTACACGTTCGATGATTGCGTGCTACATGGCGTGATCACAGCAGTGTGCGAACTAGCCTCCCAAGCAAACCTTGACATTTCCATCCAAGATCCAATATGAAGTCGCACATTCATTTACGATTTTCCCTTTCCAACCACCCCCCCTAACCCAGCTTAAGTATACAGCTCCTCCGTAAGCGCATTCAACCCCACCCCTTCCTTCGCAATATCCTCCTCCTTCAAGAACAGCAACGGCATCTCCACGAGCGTGCCCTTGATCTGGCTCAACACCTCCTTCACCTCCCTAATCCCCTGCTCCCCCTGCGCAAAGTTCTCTGCCACAACGTGGCCCCACTTGTACAAGCTCGGCTTCACATTGTTCTTATCCTTGGCATCCTGCGCGAAGAAGCGCGAGTAGTACTCATCATACTCCTTCCAGTTCTTGACTCTGTCGTCGGGCACAGGGTGGAACACCTTGGCAAACGCCTCAGTGTTTGTGCGCGCGCGCCAGTTCCAGAGATTGAGGAAGTCGTCCGAGAGAGGGTCGGCGACCTGGCGGTCTTCGTTGGAGCCCCAGTCGTAGATGTTGGGGATGCCGACGGGCTCGTAGTTGGGGTCCGGGCGCTCCATGTCCTGCGGCTTGAGGAGGCCGAGATGCTTGCGGAAGATTTCGCGGCGGAGGGAGGTGGCGAATTTGGAGGCACGGAAGGGGCGGCCGTCCATGGTGGATTCGATGGGCTCGGGGTCCTGGATGATGATGGCGATTTCCGAGTCGTGGTCTCCGAGTTGCGAGCGATCGTTGAGGTTGGCAGAGCCGCAGATGACGATTTGGTCGTCGGCGATTAGGAGCTTGCTGTGGATATAAAGCTCCTCGGACACAAAGGCATCCATCTCGCTGACATTGCCACCCTCCCAAGGAACGTTGCGGATGTCCTCACCGTTGAGCATGTAGCACTCGCTGACAGAATCCCAGCGACCACTTCCCAAGCCCTGGTGACTGCCAATCTTCGCGGCTTCTTGCTGGTAGCGTTGGTAGTCTTCCTGCTTACCTTGCTCTTGAGGACGACTAGCCGGTGTGGAGCCGTCCATCTCGTACACGCCGTACTCAGCGGTTGGAGGTGGGCGGTATGCCTGGTAGTCGCGGGAAGCGTCGTGCGTCGCGTCGAAGCCCTCGCTTGCCTTGTTGTATGATACACCGCTGGCTTGTTCTGCTTGACGCATAACGTTACTCGAGTTGATGCGATCGTAGCTTCGTAGGTTGTAGAAGCGGATGTAGTCCATCGGGTTGACACCAGCCCTGGCGATTTCTTCGTAGATGGAGTGACCACCACGGTTGATCGAATCGTACTGGAACTCCATGATTGCCCTAGTACCCAGTGCATCGTCGGCCTTCAGGTCACCCGCAAAGGCAGGGACAGACGGGATCATGATGATCATCTTGTACTTTTCGCCATTACGAGCAGCACGAACAATGCGCTCGACCATAGCCGCGCCAATTTGGTTCCTGATTGGCTTCTGTTGGTCTCCGGTAGCGGTGATGAAGAACTGGTTTTCGATGTAGATGAAGTGCTGGCTGTTCTTGATGATCTCGCAGTATGCATTTTGGATGGAGTGCTGGAGACGTCAGTGGTGTTCGAACAAAACGCATCCCGGGAAGCCTTGTTGAGCACTTCAAGCTCGCGACTTTGTGGGGTCGATGGTACATACCTCTGTGTTGATGTTGTGGCTCCACTTCGCAGAGCTGCGAGTGATCTGACAGTCCACACCACCTCGCTGAGCAGCGTGCTCAGCATGTTGCTGGTAGTCGCCGCCCTGACCATGTCCGACATGTTCATGATACTCTTGGTTGGCACGCTCGAATAACTTTTGTCGCAAGCCACCACTGCGGCCAAACAGACCACGCTCGCCACTCTCGCCCTCGCCACCAAAGCCGCGCTTTCTATTACTTTAGCTCTCGAGTAATTACAGTGTCGCGCGCTTCAGATTCTCTCACCTGAGCTCTCAGTGCAGACAGCATATTTAATGTCACACGGTTCAAAGCCACGATCTTTCCTCCTCTCCACTCACAATCAAACATCCCCATCACGCCGACTATCGATACTGCAACAACACCATCAAGAACCGAGATTTGCAGCCTTCGCGGACATCTGAGATCATGGCAGATCCGACAGCGAACATGACAAGCGCAGCAATGGCCCCGCCAGTTGACGCTGAACAAGTGGCCGCAGCCAGACCTACACCCACTACTACTACGACTGCGACACCGAGTACTCCCAAAGTCAAGCCTCAGATCGAGATGGTTCGTCCGAGCAGTACCAGCCAGCCCAATATTACCGAAACAACGAACGCGAGTGCCGAGCCACATCCAGCTGCTAGTGATGCAGAAGCTGGTCACATCATCATCGGCGAGACACGGTACGAGGCAGAGCAGGCGGCTGCGATACAGCAATACATCGAAAACGAGAAAAGCAAGTGGCTGAGCGGGATGAAGAAACAGGTTGGGCTCCAGTTCGATGATGCATTGTTCCGAGTCGAGTCATACATCGGTGCAGCGATTCGTCATATTCTCCTGGTCCCGGTACGGCGGCAACCTGAGTTCATTCAATTCGGTGGCCAGTCTTTCGATCCTAACCCGCCAGACTGGAAAGATCCCGAAGAAGTTGCTGAATCTCTACGCGAAGTTGGCAAGGACATCTGCACAAAGCTTTCCTCCCTTGGTGAGCTCATCACAGACAAGAAACATCCTTTCTACAACATCCCGGCGCACTTGATCGAATATTCCCTCCAGTGGAATAATTTTGGCCCTTCCAACTTTCATGACAAGTTGCGTCGCCTTTACGAAGAAGAGGACACTGAGAACAGGCATGCACATTTGCCCGCCGATCGCAAGAAGCAATGGCATGTATTCTCAGATTTGCCAGACCGAAAACCAGTGCATGGCCACGCTGAGCCAGAGGAAGATACGATATCGACCTCGAAAGCCAAAGGCAAAAGGCCAGTCGATCAGAATCTCATCAGTACGAAGGCTTCAACGAAGGCAAAGAAGGACCAAAACCCGAAACAGACATGGCGAGAGAACCCCAAGAATGGGGTCGTCATTTATCTTGAGGCGACAGAGGACGACATCGTGCGAACACACAGATCATTCTGGGGTCAGCAACACTGGGAGTCTGAAGGGTGGATCATCCCGCCTGATGCCGTCTTCATTACTGAAATGGAAGAAGGCACGCTCAAGGAGTACTACAAGCAAAACGCGGCCAAGTATTGTACAACATGCCATGGCACAGGATGGCTGGTGATCGCATACCATGATGTGGGGAATTGTAATGAGTGTCAACACGGCAACAAGTTCGTCACAATCGACATTTACATCCCGCCTGGCCGTCGATACTACACACTGCGGAGGGGATGGAGCATCAACGACAACGGCGATGTATTGGACACTGCGATGAAACTTGCTGCGCCGAAGAACAACGTCGGCAAGCTCCATGTGTATGGCAAACAAGTCTGGGAATCTGGCACGACATACACACGCGCGAACATTGGAACACCACGGCACATCAGTGAGGCATACCGCAAAGGCACTTTGAGAACATTGAAGCTCAACAGTTTTGATCGCTGGCTCCTGAAAGATGACAAAAACAAAGTCAAGTACAAAATGGCATTCGAGGTGCATTCACGGGCGTTTGAATTACCAAAGAAAAAGAACAAGATCCTCAACGAGTGGGATGGGCAGAAACCTAAGACTTTGGCGGAATTCCATGCTGTGCGAATGCATGAAGTGTGGGATTTTGCCGGCTTTGCAGATAATGAAGTCGAGTTTCTTCTAGCCAAGATGCTCAAAGCTGTCGAGCGCCTTGGCAAAGATGGAAACATCCTGGAATCTGCATTCGACACTCATAAAGATTGGTTCACCAGAGAAGATGTGGAAGAGTTCCGGAGCTGTACCAGCCTGGAGCGGCTCGTCCTGCATCTAGGAGGCACAGTGCCGGGCAGTCGGAGGAAGGAATCGGCCGCCAAGCGAGCGAAGAAGAGCAAAGAAGACACGCCTGTTGACCTTGGACTGTCACTTGAGGGAACAGTCACTCCTCGAAAGCGAGGGGCAAGCGCCAGCCCGGGGGGTAAGAACACCAGGGTCAAGCTCGAACCTCAACCCGACATGTACGCAATCATTCATGAATCGAAGTATTCTGACTCCGAGTAATCATTTGCACATCTGGAACACTTCTTCAACATTGCAGCAGGCCGGGAAGTCCATAGCTGAGACCCATGGACTGGCATCTGGACACCATAGCGACATTCTGACTTTCTACCTGCTTGAGATCTTGCTCTGGACTTCCTGGACATCAGCATCATTGGGCACATTTTCTTTTCTGTTTAGTTGGATATCTTATTTGCATTTATGGACATCAGCATAGGTGGAACATTCTGTCGTTCTGCCTGCCTGGGTCTTTTCTTTGCATTGCTCAGACATCAGCATGAAAGTAACATCTGGCAATGAGAATTCCCGATGCAATTCTTGTACACTCCCTCTTCATGCCCTTATGGTGCGGCAACAAGAGTGACTACTTATCATAAACACAAACTATAAAAAAAATGAAAATCTGTATTATATGTACACATCTGTTCTATCTAGGTGATATCTTACTGCCGTTCCCACAGGTCACCAGCAATCATTTCTTCTTCTTTGGACACGTCTTCGGAATTGACTCTCATAAAAATCGATTTCTCTTGCGTGTCGCTATCTCAACTTATGGTAGCTTCAACCTCCGCCATGAGAATGAGATTTGGCGGGAATGGAGTGCTGTCTTAACATTTGACAGCCCACCTACATACTCGGATACACCAACAACATCTTGCTATTCCATCTCGCTTTCCATGCTAAAGCGGGAATGCATTGCCCCGTCCTAGTAGAGATTTGGCGTTCTTCTGGACCATCGCATTATGTGTGTCTTGCAACAACATACTTGTCTCCTCAACGCGGCGGGAATGACCATATATCCATAAATCTGACAGTGTACAATCGGAAGCGCCGACCATTGAAGAAGTATTGAAGAAGTTCAACACCGCTCAATAATATGTCTCAGACGTCTTCCCATTTCCGCCACAGCGAGCCCTAGTGGCGGAGAGGTATCTTCTTACCGGTACGACATCCAGTTCCTTTTATTCATGTATTTCATTCGTAGACGAAGCTGCAAGGCTACATTTTGCCGACATGGATCCGCTACCGTACGTAAGGAGCAGCGGATTTCCTGCCCCACCCAGCATCCCATAAACGTCACAATCACTATTAAACATCCGCCACTATACACAAGAATTGGCGGTTCTCTATTTACACAAAGCATCCCAGATAATTCAGGAACCCCATTAAGAACCCGCCATTGTAGATGAGGAGCGGCGGGAATTCACTCTGCATAGCCTTCTAGGTCCTTTATAGATTTCGTCATGAACCCGCTGCCGCGTGACGAAAGCAGCGGTTTTTCATGAACACAGCATTCCAAATACTTCAGAGGTCCTATTACGAACCCGCCACTATACGCAAGGAGCGGCGGGAATTCACTCTGCATAACCTTCTAGGCACTCCATAAATTCTACCGCATATCCGCCAGCGTACATTACAAGCGGCGGCTCCTCATAAACACAGCATTCTAAATACTTCAGAGGTCCTATTACAAACCCGCCACTATACGCAAGGAGCGGCGGAAATTCACTCTGCATAACCTTCTAGGCACTCCATAAATTCTACCGCACATCCGCCAGCGTACGTTACAAGCGGCGGCTCCTTATATGTATAGCATTCCCCATACTTCATTGAATCTACCATGAATCCGCCGCCTTACTGAAGCAATGGCGGAATCCCATTCTATGTCGCCTACAGGTACTCTGAACATTCCACTATATATCCGCCATCGTACATGAAGAACGGCGGAATGCTACGCTATCTAGCATTCCAGGTATTTCAATTATCAGCTATATATCCGCCATCGTACATGAGGGACGGCGGGATGTTACGCTATCCAGCATTCCAGGTATTTTAATTATCAGCTACATATCCGCCATCGTACATAAGGAACGGCGGGATGTTACGCTATCCAGCATTCCAGGTATTTCAGTTATCAGCTACATATCCGCCAGTGTACATTGAGAGTTGCGGATGTCTAGTGCTACACAACATTCTATATACTTCACAGTTCCAGTCACCGGACGTCATGTCTGAACCTTGTCTCGGAGCTCACCGCCAGCCGAATGGTGGTGAGAGAATTTGTTTCACTTGAGTCATGCCATGATTTTCATTCTTGTCCACATGCCACATATTGTGCTGTCGAGAGTCTCGCCGCAATCCTCATGAGTGGCGGGTATACGATATTCTGTCATATCTGAGTTTGCATTATTGCTACTAATAACGACAAGGGCAAGTTCGAATGGTACCCGCCAGCAAACCTCGGAACAGCGGACCGAAAAAGTCCGGTCGCATCCTATTGTCCAATTTGTGACTGTTAATGACATTCCTTCCCCCAGAGGCTCCGCCGTACCTGACCTAAGTGGCGGGTGAGATGTTCCATCACATATGAGTCTTCACACTTTTAAGATGTCTGACTTATTGACAGTCTTAGAGTCGTGTCCGCCACACCCCTTCAAGGCGGCGGCTTCTTCGGTTCGGTCCAAGTATACAGTGTCAAAAAAGCAGGCACAGTTTGCAACCTGCAAAAGTGACCTAATTAGTGCTTACATCAGCCGACACCGACCGAGTCGGCGGACTTGTCGTGTATCCCCAGGTATACTGAGATACCCTTTGCATGATAAAAGAACGTGCATAACAGCCATTGAAACTCATGGCCGCGGATATTGAGATTTCAGAACTCTCACAGTTCCGGCTTCTTCATGCCATCTTGAACCATTAGGTTTAGGACAGAAAAGCCATGTAGCTTTATGGCGGCGGAGCAGGATCACGATATTAACTTTCGTAATTCAGTCAATTTCTTCTTGTTGTACCATTACAGCAGGCCAACGCTATCGAGATTGAACTGACACTGTTGCGCCCTTTTAAAATCCGCTACGTGGTTCACAGGCAGCGGGAACAATAGCATAAATAGGGATCTGAGTGTGTCACAACAGTCTTCGCAGGGACCTCGAGACCCGCCTCGCCCAAGTGCGTCGGCGGATGCGCATATGAGTCCTACACCTCTATCTTGGCGGCAGGAATGTAAATGTGGTTTCGAGTTCCGCTAAGATGACGGGAAAGCAGATCATTTCATGGACACGTGGCCAATATGAAAGCATACTCTGCACTCGACCACTTCCGCCAAACGGTTCAAAACCGGCGGCTTCTGAACTGACCTTGCAGTCATATATATTCTCGAAGCATACACCATGGAACAAATCGATTTGCCATATCCGCTGAACATCATCGGCGCTGCGGATTTCATCTGCTCATATTTTGTCGTAAACACGGGAATCTTTCGGAAGTGGGCTCAGCCTCGCAGTGCAAGACCAGCTGTTTGTTGTTCTCTGTTTACCCTGCTTCATTGAAACTCTCTATCAAATTTACTTCGACTATTCTTCCGGTTCCATGGTGAGAACTGGCGGGGAAGGTCTGTATTACCGAATTCGATGCACACCTGTGACATGTCGTGCATACCTATACTTTCACGTGTGTCAAATTCAGCCACCAGGTCGAATGTAAGCGGAAGCCCACCAGAAGTGAAGGACCAAAAGATGCCTTCACGTTCTTCAGTAAGCATACACACAATGCTCGCTATCTTCACCGCTTACACCGGAATATCACCAGTAAGTTCATTCCGGGTGAAGCTCACGATTTGTTGATCTTACCCTTGCACTCATCTGGTCATTGGATTACCGCTGAGTATGGGTAGGATGGCGGATCTTTCGGACCAAGCACCTTTCTGGCACTTGCGCGAAGCACCAGCTGGGAGACCTTATGTTTGCACATAAATTCCACAGGGAATTACACTGCGCAAATCTTTGAGCAACCATGCCTCAGCCATAAGCAGAGTCGTTGGCGGGAATGACTTTGCTAGGATATCTTAAGTAGGACAAATGTGAAGATAGCATACAGCCGGACAACATACAGCTGAATGGAATTCAGGTTATTTACTTATCCTCAAGCTTTACAGCATATGCTACTTGCAGCTTTGTTTCAGCCAATGTACTACCCACTGGCGGAAATGCAGCAAGGCATGTGTATCATAACACTTCAACATCTTGAGCAGTAGCTACCGTGTTTCCAGCTACCAAGTGATTCTCTGGCGGAATCTATGTAGGTGCGACCGCGCTGTAGCCCGAATATATTTGTCGAGCGAACCATAAGGTCAGCCAACAGAATGTAGTGGCGGACACTGCTCAAATCAGTGCCCAGCCACAGTGTGGGCCTACGGCGGATTGTAGGAAGTTGCTGCCATCGAAGAGGTCCATCAACCAGACATTCAGGTGGAATGCGCTCCGCCAGCCTGGAGAGCACTGGCGGGGTCGCGCCATTTCAGACGCATTACCAAAATCGGCGAAACGGACTCCTAGAACGTCGATGTTCAGCCAGACAAAATAATATCGGCGGCAATTGGCGAGCCAGCATCTTTTTATTTAACAGAAGAGGATGGATAGTAGGAAAGGTCTGCCTATACTATACCAAACTCAGTGGCGCACAGAAGACACACCACAGCTCAAATATACTGCATGAATGGTGTTTTGTTCCGCCGAAGTCCTGATGCTCGGCGGGAAAGTGACGGTGCGAATCTGTAAACCAAGAAGACAAAAAAGAAGAGAATGAGAGATAGGAGGAAGGTATTGTTGGGCAGGACAAACATTTCATCAGCTGCTCATCAAGCTATCGGCGGACATGAGCTCACCCTGCGCATTTTGATACAAAGAAATATCCACGGCAAGAGATATTATCTCCCGCTAGAGGATGTGATCGTGGCAGAGATGGAAGTCGCTAGAACACAGCATACATGGAATCGAAACTAAGATTTGCGTGTTCCATATCCGCCAGAAATCATCGACCCAGTGGATTTGAGTGAAGACTGGCAGACCAAAACTCAGGCATTGAGAGACAACGAAAAGATTCGGGCTACGCACACAGGCGAAGATCGTCGAGTGATATTTCCAAAATATAGCTTCAGCTGAAAAAACAAATCCAGTGAGAATACTATTCACTCTTCATCGATGGCCACACTCATTCAAAGATTTGGCTTTCATTCCGCCATGCCGTGAGCCTCTGGCGGTTGTATAGTCAAATCTGTTATCCTCGTGTCATCAATATTCTATCTATATTCCAGCCTCACGAGTTCTCAGTGGCTGATAGTAAAAGCACGCAAGCACGTCCTGGCAAAAAGAGCAAACTATCCTTCCGCCCTTCCGACCTCCGAGCAGCTGATATTGTAAGCACCGAAGCATTTCCCTAACATCAGAGACAGGTTATCTCCCGCTCTATTCTTCAGCCACGATTCGTATCTCTGGCGGAACTGTCGATGAGCGGGGCACACGCGTGCATTCTGAAGACATTATGGGAAGGCTCGATCCCAACCCTACGCCGAACATCGGAATTGACATACCATGAGTTTGCTTTCAAGTAGGCATATATTTACAGCTCGGTAGCATGCTCACAGCGGATCTTGAAAGAAGAAAACACTAGTCTCAGCATCGAGCAAGTATAAGAGAACAGCCGCACGCTGAGCACACGGCGGATAATACAGCAGGGAAGAACATCTGCTCGGCATCGAGCAAATACAAAATGACAGCTGCACACTGAGCACACGGCGGATAATACAGCAGAGAAGAACATCTGCTCAGCATCGAGCAAATCCAACTAACAGCCCCACAGTCAGCTGATGGCGGATAATACAGCAGGGAAGAGCATCTGCTCAGCATCGAGCAAATCCAACTAACAGCCCCACAGTCAGCTGATGGCGGATAATACAGCAGGGAAGAGCATCTGCTCAGCATTGAGCTATTATGAGATAACAGCCCCACAGTCAGCTGACGGCGGATAATACAGCAGGGAAGAGCATCTGCTCGGCATCGAGCCATTATGAGATAACAGCCACACAGTCAGCTGACGGCGGATAAGAGAGAAGGGAAAGCATTAAGTAAACACGGTTGCTACTCGGGAAGTCGTGATGTACGAAGGTCACAGATACGAGGTCAATTTTCTTTGTCAATGATCTTGATTCTGCATTGTAATACTCTGAGAGCGCACCTCAAGAACAACTCCTCCAGTTCATTGAAGACATGGACCAGTTTGCGATACATAAAGCATGTGTATACACTTGCAAGAGTAGCAAACACTCATCTACAACTAGCTGATGCTTTTCAAGGAAACATGAGTGGCAACTGGTACTTGAACATCTCTTCAGCCTTCTTGAAGCCGCCGACATCTCCATCTTCCGCTGCAATTTTCATGTTCTCCAAGCAGTGGGCCACTTTTTCACCAAGGCCTTCGGGATCACGCGAGTATATGTCAGAGTAGACTTCGTACTTGCCTTCGAGCATTCCTTGTCGACGTGAAGTTTCCACTTGATCTTCTCTGGAGCTGGAAGTAACATGCGCATCCTCTGCAATCTGGCGAGAAGATGAAATGCCGGAATCCGTGCTTTTGTGCATCGCAGTTTTGTATCGATTCAGCATATCTGTGAACTGTTTTTTGATCTCAGGATCGACGTTCATCTCAGAGATGATATTAACATCATTGGCGAACATTCCTTCGACTCCCTCGCCAGGCGTTGATGTCGTCGACATTGAAGCTTCGTCTTGTGGCTTGATATCTCCTGTTTCTTGAACGGCACGGACTAGTGCGTGGTTTTCCGAAAGCGTGACGACCTCTTCATCTTCTTCTTCATCAAGCTCGTGTTCCGAGGTATCGGGAGCAGTGAGTTCGACACCAACACTGTTCTGCATCATGGCTGCCGCCCACTTGACCTTGCTCTTGGTCTTGGGCATGGGTACGTATTGATAATCGTCCTTGCCGCCAACTGGTCCGTACCATGCACATTCGTCTTGTAGATCGAGAACAGCCTTTTCTAGAAGGTCCATCAGAACTTCGCTATTCTCATAACAAAATTCCAGTGTGTTGGCCCTCCATGACTCGACTGAAATAGTGCGTCGCGAGATATCGTAATCAGTGACCATGTCTTTCGGCAGCAGAGTCTTGCATCCAGTCTTCATTGGTTCACCGGCTTGGATATAGCGCAATTTACCATCCGGCATGTGTTGCACACGACCGCGTCCGAATGAGTAGTTGGTCGGGTGTCCAATGAAGGGGGTCATGACGAACCCAAAGATATGGCATTTCCCACCTTTTTCGAACCATTGAACAATAGTCTCTATGAATAGAGTGGCTGGAGATTCATTTGTCGTATGTTTTCTGTTGCAAAGAGTTGCCATCGTGTGGAGTCGCCCAGCAAATTCTCGGAACAATAAACCCATGTCAGCGTCTTCTGGACAGCCGTCTTCTCGCCACGGCCAGGGGATCTTGTTCTTGCCAAGTCGAGGTAGAACAAGATTGTGGCGATTCATGCCGTCGGTTGATCGATCATTCTGGATCTGTGAGATACAACCGAGTATGATCTCACACTCCTCTTTCGTCCACATTGGATAAGACTGACGAAACGTAGCTGGAAAGCTCGCAAACCGATCACCCCTCATGATGAATGCTCTTCGGAGTCTGTCAGGCGACGGCAAGAGATTGCCATCCCACATCCCGCTCCTCTCCATTGCTATCACCTGGCGAAGTCGATCATCAGGCATTTTCGATTCTATGCGCGCGCGGATGCTTAAGTCATTCAGCATGCTGATCATTCTCTGGTTATCGTAGGCCTGCGATCATTAGCATCATGACTGAGACAACAGAGTAAGAAGAGCAACTTACACGCTCGATGACATTCCATTCTTCTACAACATCTGGCATGTACCGTCGACACGCTGGGTCCGCATCGAAACGCTTCTTGAGCTGCAGGGATTTCTTGAGCAGTGGAAGGATAGAGGGCCCGAAAGTACCCTTCAGACGATTGATGCAATCCTTGGTGAAGATGCAATTCTCCGGGCCATGCATTGACTTGTTGCCATCATCATCGACCCATAAAGGGTGAGGCTTCTCAATCGAAATACCATGCGGATGTTTTCGAGCACCGAACCTGTACAACTTCGACGTCGGATCATGTGTCTGGGCCTTGAAAGGAATCATAACTCCAGAGTAGCCGTCCTTCCACTCATCTGAGTTCCCTGGCGTAATAAATTTGTCTTGCATAGCCTTCACCAATTCTGTGGAGGTCCAAGTATGCACCATCCCATACTTTTTCTCTTTCTCGAGATGACTGCGACAGTTAGAAGCAATGCGAACTAGAAAGTCATGCGGCCTGAAAATCTGGACAGTGTCTGATTGCCCGATGCATTGTTGACAAACCACGAGGACACTCCCGTCAACAATCTTCCTGGCGGTCTGTGAACATGTGGCTATGGCAAAGCACCACATGCAATGATGGTCCGTAGTAGCACGCATGGCCTCATCCTCGCAAGCGCAGTAGCTGTCGAGAATATCGTCCCTCGTAAGGACGCCAGTTTCGATGTACTCAGCCGCTAAGAAAGCCGAGAATACCACATTGACAAGATCATGGCCCTGTGCGAGTGCCACCAGTGATGATTGCATGATGTATGCAAGACATACCTTGTCGTCGATGAGGGTGCGAAGGGCCCAAGTGTGGTTGACTTCGTCACTCAAACCCTCCATCACTTTCAGGGTTGGACGGATTTGGATGACGCCCCAGACATTTTTGTATGGAAAACCCCATATTCGAACCCCGTTGTAAGGACCATTTCCCTTCTTTGGTCCTCGGTATGCATGCATATCGCCAGATGCTTGGAAAGACTTCTTCTTGTTATCGATGACAGCGCGGAGAGCCGGATGCGATCCTATGTGACCAACAAGCTGATACGCGATTTCTTGACCGATGCGCACAGCCTCCTTTCCTAAATCTGTCGTGATGGTGTCATCGGGTGTACCGAACATGGCGTAGGTGCGGAGGTCTGTGCATGCTGCCACTTTCTGCGCATCCATCTTCTGAACCGCTGATATGAGCAAGGGTATGGTTTTGGATGGGTTCGAAGTGTGGGTTGGGCCAGAGTAGGGGTAGATGGTAGGTGTCCACATGACTTTGATCATGTTTGATTTGACTTGGTTCTGGTTTCTCTTCCAAGGCATCGGAGCTCCATAATGTTGTGCACTCCACATTGACACGACTCTTCCGTTCCTTCGCAGGTTGAGTTCACCGAGATGGACTGTCGGATTGTGTAATTGCTTCCATCGAACGAGACTCGCTATGTCAATGAAGATCCAAATGCTATGCATTATAAAGTGTGCGGAGGACGCCACTATCGATCTCTGAGGTGCAGGCAGAGTCTCTGGCATCCTGTTCATGGCATCCACTTTAATCTTGCCCAGTTGGATAACCAGGTTGCGATCTTTGCAGAATAGCTCCGTGATGATGTTTGGTCCTTGTTGGCGTTCAAGAGCGAGCATCGCAGTGCACTGAGGACCCAGGTTCTGTTTGACGCAGTGGTAGCATGGATTTTGCCTACTGCACATAACTTCGGACTGCACTCCTGTGTTGTTCCTTGTTATGCATGTCGGACAAGAACCCAGAGGAGACACAATAGAAGGCTGAACAAATAAGTCGATGGGCTCAGACCCCGGGTCGCGAATGTTCTGGGCTTGTAGCCGCCAACACTTCGAGGAACTGCCATCAGTCAAAGCATGGTCGTACAGAGAAACTTCACTCTCCAGCAACACATAGAAGCGGTTGGCTTCATCGTACAGGGGCATGTCGAGTATGTGGGTGCTCGTACTATTGTATACGGGAGTGTACACGTGTGGCTTTCCTGGGTGCGACTGAAGCCCAAAATCTTTGATGGCTTTGAGGAACTGACCATACACAGTTACGTCATCGTTCAAGTCAATGTTGGGATTCTCGAACTCCAACTTCTGCAAGCTGATTTTTGCTGCTACTGTGGCGGCTAGCAATGGGTCGGCGACGGATATTTTGACCCGCTTCCTGGGTCGCGCTCCGGTGGGCTTTTTGCTAGAAGACTTGGAGGCAGCTGTTTTGGGCTCTGTCTTAGTCTTGGTCTGGGGTGCAATCTTGGTCTTCGTCTTCGTCGTTCGCGCAGTCTTGGTTGTGGTCGGAAGGCTCGTTTCGAAATCTGACTCCGAGCCATCGTCGGTGGCGGCATCGACGAAATCAGAGTCACGCTCATCCTTCTCTTTGGACCTCTTGAGCTTGGGCGTGCCCTTTTGGCGTGGTGTTCGTGAAGCTGACATTTCGAAAGCCACAGGTACACTTATGATTGTAGCATGCGACTGCTGGGGATGTGGTTGTTCTGCGAGGAAGGTTGGACGTCAATTCAGAAAAGCAGAATATTGAATTCGAATTGTGCGACTAGTCCGTTTGCTTGATTGCGCATTTGCTGATTGTGCGTTTGCGTGCTCTCACTTCCCGTGTTCTTGGCGCGTCGTCAATATCAACCTCGAACTCACTGCCACGCACTCTCCCAACTCTTTTTCTTTTGGTAATCAACCTTCCACAATCACCTCATACCTGAAAGCATGGCGACCCAGAGCATTATCGACGTCCAATTCACGGATGCTTTCAACGAGGCTAAAGCGCTTTACGATGCTGACCGTCTTGACGAGTGTATTGCGAAGGCTCGTGAGCTGCTTGAAGATCCTGCTATACCCCGCTACCACCAAATCAAAACACTCATACTATTGGGATCGACTCTAGGAGAATGGAGCGATGCAAATTCATGCCTTGTGGACGCAGAGGCATTATGGGCGTTAACTCGCCGCTGGCATCCTGAGGGTGAGGATAAAGACGTGGATATCTTCATGGCTGAAATCCGCACTTCACTAGATGAGCTGGCAGGAGTCTTGCGCGAAGAGGAACCTGAGGATTACGACATGGACGACGCTATCGAGGAAGTTCTGCATGAACATGACGAGCAGGTCGCAGACGCCCAGATGATGATGGAGGACCTAGATCTTGATCAGGACAGCCACGAAGAGACGGGGAAGATTCCTCAGTCAGGAGCTGTTGAAGTCGATACCAAGGTACATAACATCGTCACTTACCGCACACCTGTTGCTAACTTATGAATTGCAAGGCCCGAAGACCACCTCAGCTTAACATCTCGGCAAATGTAGAAGACAGACGACCTCAGAACCGCCAGCCCCGCCAACCCGCTCCAGACTCGCCAGCCATGGCATCCAACAATTGTAAATCGCCCATCACACATACTTGTAGATATGCTGACATGCTAGGGTGGCATCGAACTCCCGCTTCAGGTCAACTCCGTCATCAGCCGTCTCTGCGCGACCTCGCTGGTCAACGCGGTCCTGGTCAACTTCGTGCCCAGCCGTCTCTGCGCGACCTCGCTGGTCAACGCGGTCCTGGTCAACTTCGTGCCCAGCCGTCTCTGCGCGACCTCGCTGGTCAACGCGGTCCTGGTCAACTTCGTGCCCAGCCGTCTCTGCGCGACCTCGCTGGTCAACGCGGTCCTGGTCAACTTCGTGCCCAGCCATCCCTGCGCGATCTTTCCTCTGACTGTAAGCTTACGCCCTTTATTGTTAACGTCAATCGCTAATCATCGGAACAGGGAGAGATCTGAACTACCCGCATCCCCGCAGTGAAGATTGAGAAGAGACGCACCTTTGAAGTGGATAGACACATGCTGCGCAGGCGGAGCACGGCGGTTAAGGAGCACGACTTGGCTGAATAAAGCAAGTGGAAAACATTTCACTTATGGCTTTGGCTGCTTGCGACGCATTCAGCTTAGATTGGAAATATACGACTATTGTATGCCATAGCTTCAATTTGATCATGTCTGGTCTTATTTCAACTATTGTGCTTGATAGAACGCAACGCCTCATCAAAAAAAGTGAACGAACGACCCTACCCCGCTCTTCCCTACCCCACCTTCCACATCCAACAATGCGTTCCATGTCACCCGGATGTGCGTCTGCGATCGCGTGCTGGTTCGTGTCCCATCGACCATAGCACAAATCCAAGCCACCCATGAAAGCTATCTGACCGTCGACAAGGCACAACTTCTCGTGATGCGCCCAGTACATGACAGTGCCGTCGTGGGCTCCGTATATCGCCTTGAGACCGTCGCCTGGCATCTGCGCCAACTTCGCCGGACTGAAGGACATGTTCTTCATGGACGCGAAGAAGGAGGATTGTAGTACCGCCGCATCCGGAAGATGATCAGGGTGCCTAAAGACACCGATGTTGGGGTGTAGTTCTTCGAGGTGGTGCTTCGTATGCGCGGAGGAGACTGATATGGGCGGAGCTATTAGCGGATCGGTTCTTTCCCACTCTTCAAGCGATTTAAAAATGACATCCAGCCCCACTCGGGTGAGGCCCTTTGTGAACTTGTCCGTCGTGTGTGGTAAAAGAGAGTGGAGATAGTCGGGCAGCACTGGATTCAGCAACTTACGAGTCAAAGCTTGGGTAACCTCCTTGTACACGATGATGTTGACCTTGACACCACGCTCAGCCGCAGCATGGAGAAGGCGGTCCAATCGGTACTGCTGGTTCTTCGCCGGTGGGCGACGCAGGTATAGCTCGGGTGACAGCCACCAGTCGAGGATCCATATAGACTCTCTGGCATGCTCAATGGCAATCGAGACTGCATACATGTAGCTGCAACCATCGACATACCACTTGGTCTCGTTGCCACGTCTCTCTGGCGCAAAGCTCATAAAGCGATGCTGGCTGTGGTACTCCTGGCCTGGCTGCGCCGGCGCTCCCTGCTGCTGTGGTTTGTTCTCGTCCTTGCCAGAGAGCGAGTCTTTGAGATCAGAGACGAAGCCATGAAACGGCTCATGCAGCTTGTTGAAGAACGACATGCTGCCGCCTTGGGACGATGAACCTTGCTGGGAATTCTGCAATGTACCGAGTTAGATGCGATTGGTGCTGTAGCTGGAAATTGTTGAGAGAAGGAAAAGGTCGAGGTTGCGGGCGGCTGAGTGCAATCAAGGAACCACGAAAGCAAAACGGCCCGTACGCTAGGACAACCACAATTTGACTCTAGCCGCCTCTACTGGGTGCACTGTTTGCAGGGTATACATAGAGAGGGATGGCGCGTTCGTTTCGTACCTCTTTCTTGCCCCCAAACAGGCGCCGACCCATGTCGCCTATCATGCCTCGATCGCCCTCTTGACCCTCTTGCTGGCCATGGTAGTCGCCATAGGCCAGGTCGTCGTCGCGGCGATTATGCGCCATTGCGACAGTTGCTTAGCTCTCGCTTTCGCTGGAGCGGTATGAGTGTTCGTAGATGTTGTTTGCGGAGCTGAGCTGACAGCTCATGTGAAGATGGAGATGCGCGTCATTGCCCCACCAGCTGAGCTGTTTCAGCTAACCCAATAACCTGCCAACATGGTACCAGGACCTGTCGTGCGCGCGCCTGCAGTGAGGGTCTCGCTTTTGCAATCCATTCGAGGTTCAATTGGATAGCCTCAGGCCTGTCCGATACAATTGTGCTCAAAGACGTGCTGCTATCGACATCGTGGAGGGGCAATCCTACCCCACCCCCTCAAGTTGCAGAAGAGCTAATGCAGCCAGACTGCGACAACAGTTCAAGAGCGAAAAGAACATGATCAGAAAAAGCTGGGGAATACCTCTAGGGAGTCTTTTTACTTTCGTTTAGACAGACTTAAGTAGAGCTATCTACGTCCAGGTGAGGAATATTATTCTGCATATAGAATTTCTAAAGCTGCTAAATCTCGCTTTTTCTGCAACTTGAGAGCCACCGTCCCCATCCGAGGTTCATCTGTCTCCGTACACCATCTAGACCATCATACAATAGTATGCCCACGTGCCGAGGAGATGATCATATCAATCTCAATGCAAGGCTCGTGAGCTGCTTAAAGATCCTGCTTTATCCCGCCACCGTGAACTCAAAACACTCATACTACCGCCCTCGACATGAAGAGAACAAAGAGACGCGAATTCATGACTTATAGGCGCAGAGGCACTATGGTACATGGTCAAAGATTCATCGTAGCAACATAGCTTTGCAAGAAGACAAGCAAGGCAGTATATGCTCGTCAGCGTGTCTGGATGCTCACGCCCAAGCACTGTCTCTGTCGGCCTCAGCGTCTGCCTGTTCATCACTTCCGCCTCCCTCCATCTGCGCAAAGGTTGGAATAAACCGCTTCCGCCAACTGCTAAGCGCGTGTTTGCTGTTGTAGTACTCGCCTTGTCGTGGGTTGTTTGATGTCTCTGCGTAGGCTTGACTCTTGTCTTTGTCGTAGTTTCAAACTGTCTCACAACCATCAGATTTATATCATAAAAAGACGGGTTTCTTTTCCCAGCTCATTTTCAATCCACCCACAGGCAGCGCAGTAAGTGTCAAGGATACTCTTTTCATCAACGAATACCGCAACCACGAATTCATCGGCTGATATCAACAACCGCCTCTCGCATCTTGCTTTGAGAACGATTGAATCGAAGCACCGGCATGTCAGGACCAAACAACCTCATCGGGAATTCTACCACTGCAGTAAATACCGTCTCGGATCCGCACATCAACGGGCACCTAGTCTCTACTGGAAGCTACGAAGTCGACGGAGTAACGCGCCTCTATATCCACAAGTCAAGAAAATGTATCAGCAGCGACCACATATGCCAAGTCTTCTCATATGATGCACAAACGTCGGGCATCCTCGACATGGAAGGCCCTTCGGCGGATTTTACGGTTGAGGAACACGGATGGTTTCGCGACGTCACGACATTTGAGCAGATTTGCAATACTCATCCCATGCCCAACGATCAATCCCCTGAACAAAACTTCACCAACTGGCGAAGCAGTCTCTTGGTGCTTCTCGATAGTCATCACAGTGGTCCAGGTGGTGCAGGTGGCCAATGGACCCGGGCCAACTAGGGCAGGTTGTGGGGCTGGTCACAGCAGTTGTTTCGGGGTGAGATAATTGAGAGGTGGACTCAGACAGCTACGACCACAAACTTGATATCATTCAGCATGCAATAGAGATTCAGTCAGAAATTGGGGGCCAGGGTCTGGGAAGTGGAGGGGGTTTGGATTGTTTGCTCTGTAGGAATAGATTTAAGTTTGTTTAAGGCACCAAGAGCAAATAGCGCATGAAAAACTGAAGGCATTAACTCACTCACACCTTTTCCTATGTCTCCTAAAATCCATGAATTCTATGGATTTTAACTAAATTACTTAACTTGGATCTCACAGAATACGTCTGGACAGCTGCGTGCAATAATTGGACACGTGTATCGATCTAAACAAGCGAATGTGACTGCATTAAAAACACAATTATCCAATCTAGCTACTTTGACAATTCTGTTTTACAAAAAACCTTCAAGCAAGAAAACTAAACGCACTTGACAGCGCCGAACGAAATCAGTCCTTGACACATAGTTGAATCCCCGTCGTTCTCTTTATTGAAGCGCAAACAAGCCTATTGATGTAGGCCCGTCGCTTGCAACGGATAGTTTATCAGTACATTTGTACTCATTATCTGATGTAGGCAAAGCAGATTGCTTGACCAACGATAATCGCATCGCCACCTGCAGGCTAAGCCGACTAGTAGAATCTCCAGGCCGGGTGTTCTCGGATAATAGCCAGGCGCTCCTGGTCAATATCAGGATCGAAATCCTTCCTCATCATCGAAGTGATTTCTGATTTCCTATAGGATGTGGGTTTGTATGGATCCGTAGGGTTGCGGGTTAAAACGCCGCTGCGTCCTATAATTTGCGTCCCTTGGACCCAAGCAGGGTACCATGCGCAGACTTCCCAATCGAGTAAGAAGACCTCCCAGTCTTCGCTTCCATCTTCTCTTGTAATTTTTTGAGCAATCATGTTTGTAAGTTTTGGGTCAATCCATGTGAACTTTGGCTCGTTGGGCTCCCAGTCTGGGAAGATGCCCATGAGCTTAGCCGTCCTCTCTTCGTCTCCATGCCACCATTCTGCAGATTTATAGCCTACAGCCCGCTGCACTTGCTCAGTGCGACGCATAGCTGAAATGAAATCTTCGTAGGTTTCGTACGGCCCAACAGTTGCTGGAGATGTATATGTGAATGACTTTATGCCTGTTGGCGGGTATAACCACGCCTGTTTGTGAACTCGTCCGTAGTATCCCTCAGATGGAAGTTCGCGGAGGTAACGAAGTTGCGATGACACTTTAGCGCAGATAGTGTCTTGTACCCAGATCGGTAGTGTTTGAAATACATCGTGGCCCAATGGTATACCTTCAATGAATTCCATCATCAGGCAGAACACAGGGTTTTCAATATCTTCTTCTTCTGTAGTCGACCAGAGGGCTAATACGGTGGGTATGCGCAGATTAGGGCGTTTTTCTGCAAGGAAAAGCAGGTTCTCAGCTTCCTGATGTTTCTTTAGTATTACGTGCAACAGACTACTAGTGTGAACATATTTAGCTTACTTACTTCCAAGATACTAGCACTACAGCCATGCTTGACAACAGTAGCCCCGAGTTTAGATACTAGATGGTTACCGTTGTTCGCATGGAGACTATTATCTGGGGTGACGTTGCGGATTTCTTCCATAGACGGGATAGGTGGACAAGAAGGCGCCTGGTAAAAGAGGGACAAAGGACGCGATCTCAACTTAGTCCAAGCCTCCAGGGGCGGAAGGGGTCTATCGTAGAGTTCTGCTCGTTTTTCATATACTGAGTATACATCGGGAACTCCCCATTCTTCCTGCAACACCTGTGCTTTGGTCCGTCGTGCTATTTCAGGCGTCCACAAAAGTTCTGGTTGATTTGTGTTCATGTCTGGGGGAACAGACATCATGTGAAAAGTAACTAAGTAGAGACCAGTTGATACGCAGATGTCTTGATTTATACCACAATCCAGTCTTTATTAGGCACTCGGAATCATAGGCGTGGGCGACTAGGGCTATGCTTCGTGTATTCGTTGTTACATTCGAAGGTTCTTTCTTCAATCAAGAGCTTCTTTTCTTTCGCAAATAGCACTGTCTGAATAGGACCGACAATGTGGCTCGAAGTCCATTGTTCTAGTTCGCCTAGCCAGGCTTGCTATTCGACAAAGCCAAAGACGTGTGCTCGGGTGGGTCCCGAAATGGTACTCGGTCTGGGCGTTTTCTTTCACCAATCAAAGAGATCTGCATGCGCTACGTAACAATACGAACGGGGTGTAACCGCATCAACTGGCATATACCTAAGTACCAGCCGTAAAGCTGCACCCATACACAGTCTTTAGTAACAGCATTTGCAGTATTAAGAATGGGCTCTCGCCGTCACGTGACCATCCTCCGCATTCCGTTCGCGGCGCTTGGTGACAACGTCAATAGACTACAATAGTGCAAGCTGGAGAACTTTCACGTTGATCTCCCGCGATAACTCTCCTCGCTTCTGTTCGCGTTCTTTCATGGCCATTTTCATTGATCTCGATGATAGTCGTAGTGCACCTCGCTTCACGCGCGCGCCTCTATGCCCAAGTGCTTTCGTTTATCATGCTTACGTGCAGCCCTTCCTTACTGGGATGGATTGTGAAATTTTTGTTTCTGACGTCAAGTCATTGATTTTCCAGGGGCATAGTACATGTCAGCTTGCCATTAGGGTTGATAAAGTAGCGTCTTCAGAAGCGTGCACTTCTTGGCTTCGATGCACGAAGCTATGGCTAATTTTAATTTGTCGAAGCATATGTGCGGACTTTGAGAGATATACTGTATAGCCTCATGCCTTTTTCCAGCCATTGAGCTTGACGGACGCATCGCTGTGATATTATCGTGGAGGGGCAGTTCTACCCCACCTTCGCCATAGATCCGAGCTTCATTACCTAGTCTTCGTACACCATCTTACAATCGTGTCTATCTTGCCGCTCCGGCATGCCCACGCTGCCGAGGAGTTGATCAAATCGATCGAAATAGAGCCCAGAGCCACTCCCATTCGCTCCCGCTGTGGGTCAAGGGCCCCTTGAAGAAGTGCGGAGTTCAATGACGTCTCAAGCTGTATTGGATCGGCATTGAGCTTCCCGTCTTCCTTATCTATTCGCATACAACACATAGGTGTGAGCAATTTCTACCCAGGTAGCTGTATATTAACACGCAATATTTATACAATGGCTTCCTTCTCTCGTGTCGCACTCTCTGCTCGTTTGGCCTCTCGTGCAATTGTACCTGCTTCAACTCGGTTGTTCCAACCTTCTGTAGCTTCACGTGGCCTTCACTTGAGCTCGCCCAAGATGTCTGAGCACCCCGTTGCTACTCTTCAGGTAAGACATATGCAAAACGTCTTCAACTGCAACTAATACGCCACTAGGAGGACATCGCTCCTCGCCTACCGCTTTCTTCCCTAACTCTCTTCGAAGCCAAGAAGAAGAAGAATCTCTCCTTCGAAGCAATCGCTCAAGCCGTCGGCCGCAACGAAGTTGCCATTGCCGCGCTCTTCTACGGACAAGCAATGGCTTCTCCTGAGGATATCAAGGCGCTGTCCAAAGTCCTGGACATTCCGGTTGAGGTACTCGAGTCGCAGCTTTCAGGCTTCCCCGACCGTGGTCGGTCGCTAGAGATGCCGCCCAAAGACCCGCTGGTTTACAGGCTGTATGAGATTGTGCAGAACTATGGACCTGCGTATAAGGCGATCCTGAATGAGAAGTTTGGTGACGGCATCATGAGCGCGATCAGTTTTAGCACCAAGGTGGAAAAGGAGACGGACGAGAAGGGCGAGTGGGCGAAGATTACGCTGAGGGGCAAGTGGTATGTGGAGTTACCGCCTCTTCAATTGAAGGGTACTAACAGAGCTCTAGGCTGCCATATTCGCGATTCTAGATATGTAGTGAGAGTTGCTGATGCTGAATACGATCGTGATGAGCAATGCACACAAAAACACTGCCAATCAGATGACTCGAAAGGTTGAAAATACATCTGAGCCGTTAATCTTACAGTAAAGTAGCCATGTAGCTTCTCGTCGCTCCACAATCATTTATCAGGTTGTTGTATTGAGGTTGAGTATTGACGTCGGACAGCTCCTGCCTCCACAAGGTGACAGACCGCTCTCACCCGCGACAAGCCTCGACCTTCACCTTGCGTCCCTCACCCAAATCGGTTCGAAGACCGTTTGCTGCGCTGCCTGGGCTATTTACTTATATCCACCCACAGACTTCGCTTTCGAAACACCACACTCCTTCCCTCGGGCTACCGGCAACAGCTCGATAACCCCCTCCTGGTTCGATATCCGAGAACACCCAGCCGAGTGCAGCACTCAGTACGCGCCCGGTTGACAAGGAGTCAACTTCACAATCACCCACCAGCTTCGCCGGACTAGCGAAAGGCTAGAGACAATACCATAGTACGAGAAATATTGAGGCGTCGCTCAAGCAATCTGACGCCCCAAGTGCAATAGCCAACTGCGAGGAGCAAGGGCAAGACCATTCATTACACCTTACGCAGGCTCGGAATTCCCGAAGACCAATTGGCAACCACCCAACATGCCAGCAGAGCTTGTACCGCTGCGCCGCATCAAATGCACGTATCCAGACTGCTTCGAATCGTTCGACACCGAGAAGCAGATGAAGAACCACAAGAAAAACTCGGACGAGCATGAGTACTGCACCAAGTGCGACGAGGACTTTGAGGACTTTGAAGCGTTCGCATTCCATAAGATCCTCGCGCCACTTAAGCACGACAAAGCTTGTCGAATTTGTGGAGATGAGTTCAAGTCAATTTCTGGACATAGACGTCACGTTGAGATGGTACGTCAGCAACAAGGTCTCAGCACACTGTTACTGACCATGACAGAATCACAAGATCAACCAGAGGCTGACCTGCATTGGCTGCCATGAGACGTTTCCCTGCGCTTTCCTCCTCATCGAACACCTGGAGTTTGGACACTGCAACGTCATATCTCAAGCCCAGTTCCAAGGCCATGTGATACACAAGCATCTCATCACTGAGTATCTCAAAGGTGGCGAGGCCTTGGTGCGCTTCGAACAGAAGCAGGCCAAATTTGAAGCCGCAATTGACTGTGACGAGCAAGAGGGTGGAGTTAGTCTTGGAGACCAGATCTTCGACGACGAGGAGATTGAAGACGTCAAGTTCCAAGCTATCAAGCCTGATACTCCACCAGACACACCTGTCCATCTCGGCACATACCCGCCTCTGCCGTCCCAGATGAACAGCGTTGGCCCAACCAAGTCCGACATATCTTCCTTGCTTGACCAACTGTCTATGACTGCGGACTTGGAGGCCTCTGCTACGGTCGTCAACTCACCCGTTGGCTTATCTACTGCGGCCACATTCCCCGTAGGTTCGTCACAGGGCAGCTCATCTCGTCAAGTCTCCTCGGCGGCTGCATCAAAGAACCTTCAGTCCAAAGTCTGGAGCTCCCGAGACGGCAAGTCGGCCAGCAGTGCGCTCTTCCCTGGCGCCAAGCCCACTCCCGTCACTGAGGATTTCAGCATTGTCGCCCACGATGAAAATATGAAGCAAGAGCACGGTGCTAACATCATGCGAACCCGTTTCTGGGATCCGGACAGCAGCGATTGGACGCCCGATCGCTTCTTCGATGTTGCCATCAGCCAGTACTACTGTCCCTTTGTCTGCGAGTAAGTGGTCACGACGTGTCTCGCCTCGATAACATTAACTAATCCCACAACAGACAGACCTTCGCCGACGCCGGAGAGCAGAGGAGACACATCATGGAAGACCACCGCATCACCCGCATGAAGTGTCCCATGTGTCTCAAGTACTTCAAGTCCGCCACCGCTCTGATGGCTCACTGCGAGTCGCGCGGCGCTAGGTGCGAGATCAACAAGGCGGACGACTTCAGCATCTTCCTCGACCGCATCTCTGGTGGCTTCTTGGGCGTGCAGGAGAAGACCCGCCCTGACCATCTCAACAACCCTAGCACCCTGCTGCACAACGAGGAGACTGGTCGCATGGAGCATTATAGGCCGCCGGTTGCCAACTATTTGCAGTACTCGGTCACTAAGCCTCCGGACTGGAAGGAGCCTGTGCGAAGCACTGTCATCGGTGGTGTTGCGATGCAGCCGCGCGTGAGGTGGTAGATGCTGAGTCTGCGCCCCCGTTGGAGTTCTTCCAAGTCACTCCGTGCTACTCTATGGCTTCTTATCTGGATTTTTGGTCTTCGCAGTCTCAGGTCGACGACCTCCTTCACAGTCAAACATCTTACTCTGTGCCGAAACATTAAAGGCCCAGGATTGATGATGGTATGGACTGGCGAAGCAAGCACCACATCGACTGCGGGACTCTCTATCAACTTTCGCCATACTGAATCTAGTCACTGGCTCACTTCTTTACTTGTTCGTGTGTAGTACTGGCACCCGAAAGTCTGTTTTTCTAAGTTCTCTCCGATCCAAAAAAAAAAATTGCGAAATCTTTGACTTTACAGTACGAGTGGCGTGAGAGTGTCTCTCGGTCTTTCATAGTGCCAAAATATCATGAGCTTCAAGTGAATTTAAATCATGTATATCATTATCCAATCTCCCGAAGGAAGTGAAGTAAAACTCCAAGCTATAATGCAATGGTATCTATGTCTTTGCAGTTTCCAATGTTTCCAACCTTCCCATGCTCTTTTGCGGCCATTTACCAGAATAGAGCCAACTTTCTTCACATCATCGCGCCCATCGCTTCCGCTACAAACCCGCCCAAATCCACCGGCGCAAGCCCCCTCCTCGCGGGACTCTGATTTGTCGTTGTGCGATTCTGCAGATTCAAGCCGCCCATATCGCACCAATCGACGCCGCCCGTGGTAATTGGCTATCAGTTGTGTTAGCAAATCCGCCTCTGAAGTGTCGCGCGAGATGACAGGGGGAGACAACTTACCAAACAAGTCAAATGCTTACACCAGCTACACGTATTCCGCCACTCGTAAAAGTTCCTGAGCAGCAGGACAAACGCAATAAACGCACACACCAGCCCGCCGGCGCGGACAAGCCACCACGCCCACCACAGCGGCTTGCGGGCTTTGAAGAAGCCGATAGGCGCTTTGGCGAAGCGGCTGAGTTGTTGTTTTGATTCGGAATCGGTGGGCGCGAGGGGCTGCGTGTCCACGGTGGCGTAGGGCGGTTCGTCGACGCCGATGCGCTCGCGGAGCGCTTGGGGAGAATGCAGCAGACACACGCCGAGAACGAGACCCATCAGGAAACCGCCGATGTGGGAGAAGTTGTCGAGGCCGGGGAGGAGGCCGAGCACGAAGGCAATTGCGATGTCGAGGAGGAGGAACAGTAGATCTTTAACCGGACTCCTTCGGGTGCTCCATGTGTATAGTAAATCGAGCAGCGTGAGGGCAAGGATGCCGAAAAGACTACCTGATGCGCCTACGGAACTCAGGCCGTCGGCGGCGTAGTTCCCACCGAGCACGAAGCCGAAGATCCCGGCGCTGAAGTACACGAGAGCGAAGCGCAAGGGCCCGATTTCCTTCTCCATGTCGCGGCCGAGCGTGAGTTGGAGCAGCATGTTGAACCCGATATGTATGATTCCCGCGTGCAGGAAGATGGGCACGATGAAGCGCCACCACTGGTTTGGCTCGTGGGAGCGGTCGCGGAAGTCGGTGACGGCGGATTGGTCTGGGACGCCGCCGTTGCCGCAGAGTTCTGACAGCGAGCAAGTGAGGCTTCCCGGGTCGAGGGAGGTGGTGTTGGGACACGGCCAGGATTGCACGTTGTTTGCGATGATTTGGTTGATGTTGTGCATGCAGGGGGTGAAGCGCGAGCCCATGTTGATCAGGACGTAGGGGCTAGGTCCGATCATGATGTTGAAGTTTGGCTTAGTTTGGATGGGTGAGCCGGTGAGCATGCCTGTGATTGTCAGTATACCTTCCAATACCTCAATTCCTCAATGATGAGGGTGTAGATATCCACAACCTACCATTCTTAATCAATTCCCCCACAAAAACTCCAATCTGCACCGTCGTCAAAATATACACGACCCACGTAACCCTCCCACTAAACCAGCCCTTCTTCTTCTTCTTGCTGCGCTTCCTGCTCGGCCGTGGAAGCGCCTCAGGATCCGCATTGTACCGCGTCGGACTGCCGTCGTCTAGCTTGTTCCTGCCACTACCATCCATCTTCGGCTGCGTATGCAACGGAATCGCATTCTGGTCGGTAAACGGGTCCTGCTGTCCGCCATACGACGTGCTATGTGACGGGTATCCGCCTAGCGCACCCGACGAGTGTTGCGTGTTGTAGTATCTATCATCCTCAAAGGGCGATGGCGACGGCGCCTGGTTGTGCGGTAGGGGAGGGAGTGCAGGGTCGGGACGGGCGTGTGGCGGATTGTACGAAGTGTTGTAGTAGTCGTTTGCCGCCATGGTGGCTGCTCTTTGTCGTGTCGTCACTCTCTCAAAGAGCGGTTGCGATGCAGGTCGCCGAGGATAAGTGTCTGACTGTACTGAAATGCGGAGGCGCAGGGGGTTGGTAGGAAGTTCGTCCGGTCGTCGGTTGTGTACACCGGGGATTGGGGTTGTACAGCTACGGGTAGCGTGCTTCTGGGGTTGTTTCAGGATTCCAGGCTACGCGCAGGAATACAAGTCAAGATGCAAGATGCAAGATGCAAGATGCAAGATGCAAAGAAATATGTCAGTTTCTTTGGGTAGGTTATGAAGACAGGTGCTCTATTGAAAGCTTTTGTCGACAGCGACGTAATGTGTCGGGGGGGTGGATCGGGAAAAGGGCAAGGGCAAGGGCCAAGCTGCTTGAAGACGCGTCGTTTTGTCCAGCACAGCCGCGATGCCATCCTTGTTACCCGCTGATCGCCGCTGCTATTTTGGGGTTTGCGCCACAAAGGGATCAGCCACATTATGCCTCTTTCGAGACGGCTTTACGCATACCGAGGGCAAATTGTTCATGGCCTGATCACTCAGTGCTGCCATGTGCCTCTTGTGTTCTGGGAGGCATTCTGATGCATGGCTGAAGCTGAAACATACTTGCATGCGGAGAGTGGCTCATCTTGAGTGGAGCCAGCGTTGGGATCTACACAGTACAGCATGCGCAAACTAGGGCCTGACAGCTGTCAAGCACATTGTGAAAGCGGCCAAGTTCTTGACGCATGTACAAGGAGCTGAACAACACGTGAGCTGTGACAAACCCAACTGAGCATCTTGACCTTGATTGAATATCTAAAGCGGCGGCAGCACCTCTCTACAATTCGGGCACATGAGCCTATACCTCATCCACCCTTCAAGACAACCCGTGTGAAAAATATGCCGACAAGGCGTAACCATATACATCCTCCTCTGCAGAATCATGCCCGTCCCGCCCATGCCCTCCTCCGCGCCTCCCGCAGGAATAACAGGCACCTCGACGTCCTGAGCGCAAATACTGCAATCAAACACCTTCTTGTTCTTCGCCCTGTCCTTTGATTCGCCTGGGGCTTTCGCCGACGCATCAATACCGTCTGCAGTGGTGATATTAAGCGGCATCGTGGCGCCCTCTTCGTCCTCGCGGAGAATGGGGTGGTAGTCGTATGCAGGCGGAACCCAATCGTTCTTCACGCACCATCTAGGTCCGAGGATTTCTTGCGTGGCGAGCATCAGAACTTGGCACCAGACCCAGCCTGCGAGGATAGCCATGCTCGTGCTATCTGTGCGCGCGAAGAGGACGTTGTCTTCCTTGAGGTAGAAGTATGACACGGGAATTATGCGCACGATGGATGTGCCAATGACGTAGTCCCAGCGGAAGGCTCTGCGGCAATTGCGCATCGTGTTGCGGTAGATTTGCGGCACCCAAAAGGAGAGATAGAGGAAGGAGAGCATGGAGAAGTAGATGCTGCGGTAGGTTGTGCGGGCGGTGCCGAATTGGATGGTTATGAAGAAGAGGACGATGAGGAGAAGACAGAAGCGGCTGTAGAGAGCGCCAAGTTCGGCTCGAGGGTTTGTAGTTGTTGTTGTGGTGTTGTTTCCTGGTGTGGGTGTAGGTTCATCTAGGTCGTCGTCTTGGTCGGGGGCGATGATGATGGGTGTTGGCGGACGCGGACGAGGGGCTGTTGCTGGCAGAGGAAGGGAGTTCAGTACTGGGGCTACGGGCGGAGTTGGAGCGACAGGAGGTTGTGGTGTGGAGAGTGCTGCCGCTGCAGCTTGCTGTCTGTTCTGTCGTTCACGCTCAGCAGCTTGGACGCCCCAGATATCCATCAGGAATCGTAGGTGTGTCAAGACCGAGAAGAGCGCTAAAAAGGCGATGCTATACAAGGCCAGTTGAGATGTTCCCAGGAAAAGATACATGAAAACCAGTATCAAAAACGTGAAGCCGTCTCCTAAAGCCATGGTAGCAATAGTGTAGAAGCTAACTCTGCTGCGCATTGATGGCGTTGCCGTCTCTTTCATCTGCTGTATGAGAAAGTAGAGCTGGAAAGCAAGACTCATGGCAAAGGCTATGATTCCATGCCTTGCCCGATCGTTGAACTGCTCCGTCTTGGAACCAACGAGATGGTATGCTTCCGACGGCGGAAAGTCTGGTGGTCCTTTGGACTCGATAACAAAGCCGCAATCCGGCGAAAAGGCGACCATGCTCATCTGTTTCGAAAGCTGTTTCGGCATCGGCGCTCCAGTCGGGTACCGCATCTCGTGTTCAAGCCATGCCGTGTCAATGCCATTCGCAACCGGAGCCTCTTGCAGGTACACCACGACCTCGCAATGATGTCCCTGAAACAGCCCCTCATTCCCCCCATCCGCGGACGAAGTCCAAGGATTCCACAGCGGAAACGCGCGATTCTGCTGCCGCTCAATCGTCTCCAGAATCGTGCGATTCAAAAACGACTGACTCGCATCAAACAACCTCTGATCGAACATGAGATGCGGCAGACCAAAAATGCCCGCATAACGATCACTCGTCGTCGTCAGTACCGCGGTCCCACTCTTCAGGAAATGCACGCCATGCGCGATAAACTCCCACCAATTCCCGCCAAAACTATCATCGTCGCCAATCACCACCTTTGCACTGATCTCCGAAGTCGTCTTATTCTTGTCCGTTCGCATCATGCCCTCGAGCTCGGTGAAATGCACTCTAATCGACCCCGCATGGCCCGTGAGATTGCGATCGTACTCCATGAGCTGCGCGAACGGACTGTCGGGGTTCATCGACGAGTTGCCCATGTCGATGGGATGCCGGACTTGACTGAGTGGCGAGCGCACCCATTCGCCTTGGACATAGCCTGAGAGATTCTTGTAGACGGGGACATCGTGGCCGTCGTATGCGTTGTCGCCTAGCACCCTCTCGCCCATCGCTTTCGCCCTTTGCCTCACCGGCTCTAGCATGTCCCACGCAAACCCATCCTCCTTCCTCAGCCCCGTGACATTCAGCCATTTCTCATTGCGCGGATCGAAATCACCATATTGCGTGCTGTTCAGGACCCCGAGGTGGTCGTATTCGCGCTGGACGAGCTCTTCGTAGCGTGCGCGTGCGTTGAAGGTGGGCTGTTGCGGTTCGGGCGAGTTGATCAGGAGGAGGAGGATGATGAAAAAAAGGAAGGATCGCGGATCCCTTCTCGCTTCCATCAGGGCGGTGGTGTCGCTGGGACGTGAGCCATAGGGGCTCGAATGGTGATACTGCGTGCAAGTGTTGGAGATGACGTTCCAAGGATGGCAGCGTCGGACCTCCGCTTCGCCGCATCCATGGATTCACGTGTAACTGGTTAACAGTCGTGTCATACCTCATGTAGTGATAGTTCAGTTCGATGAAACATCACCAATGAAGCAATGCACATATATCATTAAAGAGTCAAGGGGGGTATTGAATTTCATGTATATACACCAAAGGGCGATTCGTCCTATTGCATCGTGATATCCCAAACACCCTGCAAACGCCGTGTAGACCTTTTGCTATGCACAAGCGACAACTTCATGAACATGGGAAAGCGAACGTTCAAGCGTAAAAGCATCAGTGAGTGGGGTTGGAGATGGCCGCAGGGGGTGCAGCTTCGAGGTCGACCCGCTGGACCGTCTGGCGCAGGTCATTACTGCTGCGGACCAAGTTGCCAAAGTACTTGCGGGCGACTTCAGCCTCAGCCTTGAACTTGGTCGTCTGCTCCTTCTTGTTCTGGAGCTTCTCGACGTTTCGCTGAAGACCGATGCGAACATCGTTCGCGGGGCCCTTGAGGGCGCGACGGATCTCAGAGCTGATGCGGAGGGCGTTCTGATGTGTGTAGTCGATGGCTGCAAGCTGTTGAGAGAGCTTTGCACTGAGTCGGTGGGGCAGCGACTTTGGCACTGAGGAAAGAACGTACGACACTCCGATAGCAACTAAATTTTGGTGTTAGTTTTGAAATAGAACATGGTAGGGAACCACTTACGACCAGCGATGAGACCAGGAACCAAAAGTCTCTTCATGTTGTTCGTGCCCATGATCTTGGCAGCACCGAGTGCGCCATCGAGCCAGCCAGCGCCGCCCATCAATCGGCCGCCGACCATACCGGCAACTGTGACAGCCATACTGGTACCTGCAACCTTCTCTTGTCGCTCCCAGAGGCTGGCGACATCGAAGAAGTCCCAAAGCTCGATGTCAATGTCCACCTGACGAGCCAGAGCGTGAACCGACTTCTTGAACATCCTCTCCGGACGGAACATGACGTCCGCATACAGGTTGTTGCCGAGATGGAGGACGCCAATGTTCTTGATGGCATTGTAGCCCTGCACGGTTTGTGTTCTTGCATGCTCCTCGCAAAGGCGGACTGTTTCCGAAACTTCGTGGAGCATGGAGTCTCTGATATCCTCGGCATATTGGTAGGCGGAGAAGAGGCCAGGGTACTCGATACCCAGATCTTGCTCGCCCACCTTTTGGATGCAGCTGTTCAATGTGTCGCGTGTGTAGCCGTAGACGTCTGAAGTGGTGTCTTCGACCATACGCTCCACGGCCTCGCCAGCCTCCACTCTTGACTTCTTCGACTCTTCAAACTCCGGCTCGAGAGCTTCGATCTCTTTCTTCACGCGATCCAGCTCTGACTGTGAGACATCTCGGTTGACTGTGGCCAAATTGTTCATGTCTCCGAGAACGTTGAGTAGATACGTCTTAGCCGGGGCCAGCTTCGATCGGGCCCTCTTTTCCAACACGAACCGTCTCAACGAGGTCTCAAGCTCGCCAAAGTCCCGCCTCTTCTCAGCTTCCTTGCCCTTGCCTTTGTCGTTCGGGTCATCGTCACCATCGTCATCCGGAGGCGAGCTTCCACTTCCACTTCCGCCCATCGGTATCGCATTACTGGATACAAAATGTACCAATTCGCTCGACTCTTTGAAAGTTGCAGGGCTCAGGCCGTGGACCTGCTTGAGGATCATCTCCTGACATCTCTCTTGGTCACGGATGACATCGAATCCGTTGACGACCATGAAAATGTATGCCTTCTCGCGAGCCGCGTTGAAGATGAAGTTCTTGGCCGACTCGGTAAAGTGATTTGCTGCAGAAACGACAAAGACCACCACGTCGATCTCTTCCTGGCGGGCAAAAACTGCGGTGGTCATGACGGAATCGGCGTTGAGACCTGGTGCATCAATAAGTGCGATGTCCACTACTCCGTTGTTGAGGATGGACTCGTCTACTCCGCGAATGTCCTGGATGTAGATCTTGCACTGCGAGAAGCGATCGTTGTCGATGACAATCTTTTCCAGATCCTTGAGGTCGAAGACAACGTAGGTGCTCTCGTCATGACGGTTGTACGTTGAGCCGTGGGGGATGGCGTGGACCTCCTCAACGCCGCCGTTCTCTCTGAAGTCGAGTACCTCACAGAATATGCTAGTACACGGCTGTTGGTCTTCGGGCAGGACTTTGCGGCGAAGGAGGGCGTTGCAAAAGGTGGACTTTCCGGCATTGAGATCTCCAGTCACTAGCACTTTGCTTGAGGTATCCTCAATTCGTTCCTTGAGAGCGTACAAGTGGCGAACGCTCTGCTGTATCTGTCCGTCCAGCAGAGAAGCAATTGAGCTCTTCTCTAGTGAATGCACCAGGTCCGTCTGTGTTCGGCCGCCCATTCGTAGCTCCAGCTTCAGTACAGAGAAGTCCTGGGCCAACTGTGGGGTCACGAGTCGTGGTGCTTCCTTCTCTGGCTCCGGCTCTGTGCTCGGCCCTGGGACAGGGTCGTCTCCTATGGTCGTACCCGCCCGCCTCGGTCCGCGTGGACGTTCCGGTGAACGCATGTTCGGGTCGAAGTCGCCAATGGCAGACTGAGTGTGCTGCAGACCGGGTCGAGATTCGTTCCGGGTTCTGCACTTTTTGGACCTCGGTGACTTGCACGGAGGGGTAGTGGGCCGGCCATTTCAGGTTCATCTCTTGGAAGCTCTTCAATGTGTCGATGGTGCCGTGGATGGCACGACCAAGTGCGTTCTTGTTTTGGTTGTACCGCAGCTGCAACACATGGCTGCGTTGCTTGTCGTGCTCCGACGAGCTCGCTTCGCCGTTGAGGATGGTTGAGGGTGGTTGCGACGGCCTGTCCTCGCCAATATTAGCTCGCCACGACGAGGCAGAATCGCCTTCCATCATGCTGCCGCCGTACCCAGAGTCCTCGTCGAGCATAGACACCAGGCGGGCGGCGGCCTCGGGTGTCGATCCAGAGCCGACGGTCATATATCCTGGGGCCATGCCGCGGTGGCCGGGGGTGGCGTCGCCTGAGGAGGGTTGTCCATTGTGGCGGCTGGAGGAGGGCTCCCCCGCAGAGGAGGAGCTTTTGCCTTTGCCCTTGCCGCGTTTATCGGGATGCATCGAGGAGTTTGATTATCGCGCGTTTGTGGGAGGGTCGGGCATGTCGTGAGGGGGGTGTAGGAGGTAGGAGTGTGTGTTGTGGCTAGGGCGGTGAAAGATTTGGGTGTGACGTGAAGAGGCGTGACGCCGATACTGCCAGCGCTCACGCTAGCAGGGTCGCACTTACCAGGTTCTACCTGCCGCAACATGGCACCTCTTATTCCTAGGCAGTAGCTCTGGCTCGAGGGTGCACTTATAACGACAACCTAATCAAGATTGTGGGGTTGCACTCCAAGTTTCACATCTTCTCGACTTCAACTTCGCGTGATAGACCCATATTCGCAGTTCGCCCAGAGCCGAGCATTACCGTGATACGTTCCTGAGCAATTACCTCCCCACTGTCGCCGCGCACGTCGCAGTGTACCAGCCCGAAAACTCGCACCCACTCCGCAAACATGAACCTGGTTGAGTGGGCGTTCGGAAAGCGCATGACGCCGGCGGAGAGACTGCGAAAGCACCAGCGCGCACTCGAGAAGACACAGCGCGAACTGGACCGCGAGCGCGTGAAGCTCGAGAACCAAGAGAAGAAGCTTGTCGCAGATATCAAGAAGAGCGCAAAGAATGGGCAAATGGGACCTTTGCGCATACAGGCCAAGGACCTCGTACGGACAAGACGGTATGCTGGACCACGTACCCAAGGCCAGGCAGCACAGCTAACGTGATGCAGGTACATTCAGAAGTTCTACCAGATGCGCACACAGTTGCAAGCGATTTCGCTGCGGATACAAGTCAGACCACGTCTATGATAAAATTTGTGATATGTTCTAATCGCGTGCAGACTGTACGAAGTAATGAGCAGATGATGCAGTCGATGAAGGGCGCGACCAGTATGTTTGTCTGCAAGCCCACTGCAACCATGTCTAACACCTCGCAGCACTCCTCGGCAGCATGAACAAGCAGATGAACCTCCCCGCCCTCCAGCGCATCGCAATGGAATTCGAGAAGGAGAACGACATCATGGACCAGCGGCAGGAGATGATGGACGATGCCATCGATGACGCCACAGGCATGGAGGACGAGGAAGAGAGCGAAGACGTCGTCAACCAGGTGCTGGACGAGATAGGCATTGACCTAGGGCAGGCAGTACGTATGGCACCGACCTGGCGAAAGCAGATGCTAACCCCCAGCAGCTCGGCGAGACACCCAGTGGCCTGCAAAAGGCCGCCGTGCCCGAGGGCAGAGTTGCGCAAGCAGTTGGCGGGCCGGATCCTGACGATGATGACCTGCAGGCTCGCTTGGACAGCCTGAGGAGGTGATGCCTTACTACGGCCGTGCCAAGTGTTTTGTATCTATGGTGGCAGATTGATCCTCGATAGCAGATGAGCTCATGGCAGCTCAGGCTGAATTGATACCAGTGGCGTTTTGGGGGTCTTCGTGTTCAGAATAGGGGTCCAGCACATGCCAAGAAATGTTGACACTGCATCCGAGATCTTGCAAGCTTTCACCGAATGCCGCAGATGTTCACGATGGTGATTTGTTGTTTCACCGGAACATGCATAACTAAGGCTTAGCTCCAAGATGATCCTTGCCCCCTCTACCGTCGAGCCGGCGAGCATTCGATCTGGGCCTTGCTGATCGCACCCTGCGTGCGCACTGCGTACCATGGACTCAAGGAAATGCCTGGCCGTGCGGTCTGCGTTTGCCCCAGGCCAACTGTCAAGTCACCAGACGTGCGTCAGTGGTGCGTGGATACATACAGTAGGCCGCGGGCAGCCAGGAAAGGTGGGGTAGGAAGGCGACAAACACATCCCAACTCCTCCTCTGGGCACGATCAAATTCCAGGGCAGTGCAGGTTCCCGTCTTGTCATCTTGACGCCTGTGCCCCGTCTCAACTCGCCGGTCTTCACTGCACCCTCCGCCACACGCTACCGGTACGTCACCAACTCATGTCGCTTCCCCCCTTCGCTGCTTCGCTGCTCTTCATTGTCACCAACGCTCGCACCCGCATCTCTCTTCCCTACACCTGCGCACGATATCCCACCCGACGTCACCCTTATCCGAGTATTTATATCGTAAGGACAATCCAGGCATCTGCATTCCTGCGCACGGCCCACATTCGTGACCCCTCATCCGTTTCTTTGCTAACAACAACACTGCGACTTCAGAAGCATTGACGTCACCTCACACGCGCCTACACGACCTCGAGCCCCCGAATCATACACCTTTGTCCCATCCGCCCCCTCGACAGCGCGCCATCGCGAATTCTTCAACCTGGCAGGAAACAAACGACGGAGCTTCTCCTCCCAGGCTGGAGGAGGCGGCTTACTCAACCGCATGTTCGGTTCCGGAAAGGAAGACGAAGTTGCTCCCGCAGACGGTCCGACAGCTGGCGACAACACAAAGCCCGCCGCAGCGACTGCCCCACCTACAACTTCAATGCCCGCCGACGACGCCTCTCTAAGCAGCGCGAAGCTGTCCGGCAACGGGGCTGCTTCAACCGACAGAAAGGGCAGTGATGTCGGGTCCACGCCCACCGCAGAGAAGAAGCGGCGGAGTTCTGGTGTGAGTCGCGCGCGGGATATGTTTTCAAGCGCAAAGAATTCACTCCACCTAAGCGGCTCTCCCCCAACGTCCAAATCAGTCGCATCGGAGAAGGCAGAGAAGAGCAGTCCGCAAACACCCATACAAAAGCTGGGCAAGACTGATGCGGCATTAAGTGTTCCCCAGGGCTCGCTCAACAACTCGGCCGGCGAGTCTGCGCCAGGCCCACGGTCTACTTTCCGCGTCGGTGTCACTGAGGACAAGAATAAAAAATGCAGGCGTACTATGGAGGACACACATGCATACCTGTACAACTTTCTCAGCACACCCGCACCGTCCTATGGCCAGGAGCCGCGCGGTTCCACGTCCGACGCAGGCTCAATTCAGACAGACGTGTCATTGCAACAGGTCGTTGAGACCGACAATGGATATTTTGCCATTTTCGACGGCCACGCTGGTACTTTTGCCGCTGACTGGTGCGGAAAGAAGCTGCATTTGATCCTCGAGGAGACGATAAGGAAGAACCCGAACACGCCCATCCCAGAGTTACTGGACCAGACTTTCACGGTTGTCGACCAGCAGCTTGAGAAATTGCCCCTTAAGAATAGCGGATGCACTGCAGTCATCGCCGTGTTGAGGTGGGAGGACAGGATACCCAATGCGCAATCGTCGACCGGCTCGGTACTGTTCGCTCCAGCCGCTGTCTCTGCTATTAAGAATGCGGAAGGTGGCGAGGATGCCCCAGTCTCGGACCCTGCGAGCGAGCAGGCTGTGGAGACAAAACTACGCAGTGAGGCCAGTCGCCAGAGGGTACTCTACACAGCAAACGTGGGCGATGCGCGCATTGTCCTCTGCCGTAACGGCCGCGCGCTTCGACTTTCGTACGATCACAAAGGCAGTGACGAGAATGAAGGGCGTCGCGTAGCAAACGCTGGAGGTTTGATACTCAACAACCGCGTCAATGGTGTACTTGCTGTCACTCGAGCACTTGGTGATGCGTACATGAAGGACTTGGTGACTGGCCACCCCTACACTACCGAGACTGTGATACAGGCGGATCAGGACGAATTTATGATTCTTGCCTGTGACGGAGTGAGTAGTTCCCTATACTCGGCTGGGAATTTTGCTAACAAAAAACAGCTCTGGGATGTCTGCTCCGACCAAGAAGCCGTCGACGTCTAATCCGCCAAATTCAAGATCCGCAAGAAGCCTCGAAAAAGCTTGTTGAATATGCCCTTGCGCGTTTTTCGACCGACAATCTGTCTTGTATGGTTGTCCGTTTTGACAACAAGGCGCTCCGACAGCGCAAGAACGAGGCGACCATTGGTGTTGATGGGGACCAGGCGTCAACGAAGGGTGGAGTTACGGAAGCAGACGCCATTGTTGCGCAAGCAAGGAGGTCAATGGACGAGGCCAGCCAGTCGACGGAGAGTGCCGCGAAGGAAATAATCATGGAAGAGTCGGAGGCGGAACCAGGTCCTGAGCTCAACCTTGAGGCAGCCAAGGCAGCACAAAAGAACAAGGTGTAAATTGAGCGGGACGCGGAATTCTACCATTACGTTGTTATGTCTCAGCGGTGCACTTGCTTATTCAGGGCGGCAGCAATTTTCGGGCTAGAGCTTTGGGTCTCAAGGGCATTCTCAGGGTTTCGCAAATGCTTCTTTGCATGTTCCCTCTGTAGTCAAGCCTGGCGTTCGGCAGAGAAGAACATGGGTCTTTGTCCTTTCATTGAGTACCTCGAGCGCTTTTCGAGTACAACCAATATGAGCTTGCAGTTTTCGGAAAATCATCTCAGACAGCATTCGATCGAGTGTGCCTGCAGTGTGACGGAAAAGGTGAAGGCAGGTCTTTGTGCGAGTCAAGTGAACGGAGAATCCCTGTCGCAAGATGCTCGGGACGCGCTAGTCCCCGCATCCATCGTCAGAGGTTCCCGTCGTGACTACACAAAAGTCTCCAATGCGGTTTGCGACACAGAGCTTCGATATCCTACAACATGTCTGGCGCAGACGCGGCAGCGAACTTCGCGCCTCTTGACGCGCCTGCATTTGTTGCTCCGAAGCACCTGCTCTCGCGCCCGACCGTCTCACCCGCCGACAAGGAACAAATAGAGGGCCTGGTGAGCTTGACGTACCTGATGCGATGCGCGGGCGCTGACAGAGTCATAGCGGACCATTCGCGCATTTTTGAAGGCGAGGACAAGCTACGACGTGCTGCCCATCAGCTACCGCCTGATCGTCCTGGATACCGCGCTGCTGGTGAAGAAGAGCCTCAACATCCTCAACCAGAATGGTGGGCACAGCCGGATGCCCTGACCGACATGTGCTGACACGGCATAGGCATCGTATCGGCGCCGCTCTGGGACTCCAAGTCGTCGACCTTCGCCGGCCTGCTCACCACGTCCGACTACATCAACGTCATCCAGTACTACTGGCAGAACCCCGACGCCCTCGCCAGGGTCGACCAGTTCCGCCTAAACAGCCTTCGGGGTCAGCAAACCGTCGTCCCGATCATTGCCGCTGCTAACCCTCCGCAGAAATCGAGAGATCGCTCGGCGTCACGCCCATCGAGACCATCTCCATCCACCCCGACCGCCCCGTCTACGAAGCATGTCGCAAGATGCTCGAATCGCGCGCACGCCGCATACCCATCGTCGACAGCGACGACGAGACACACCGGACCATGGTCGTTAGCGTGATTACGCAATATCGCATTCTCAAGTTCATCGCGGTGAATGTCAAGGAGACGCAGAAGCTGCGGAAGCCGCTGTTCGAGATGCCGAATGTCGGCACGTACCACGATATCGCGACGGCGTCCATGGATACGCCAGTCATGGATGTCATCCATATGCTGGTCAAGAAGAATATCTCAAGCGTGCCGATTCTAGACAAGAAGGGCGTAGTCCTGAATGTCTTCGAGGCCGTCGACGTCATTGCACTCATCAAAGGCGGCGTATACGACGACCTGAACCTCACAGTCGGCGATGCTTTGCTGAAGCGCTCAGACGTACGTCTCCATCTTTTACAAACAATTCATCTTCATTGCTAACATCAGCAGGACTTCCCTGGCATCTTCACATGCTCATTATCAGACAACATGTCCACGATATACGACACCATCCGCAGATCACGCGTTCACCGCTTCGTTGTCATCGACTCGGAAAGCAGACTCAAGGGCATCCTCACGCTGAGTGATGTCCTTGAGCATACTTTATTGGAAGGACTTGAAGATGACGAGTAGCGCTACGTCATCGAACGCCAACCTTTGTATCACGATTAGCTGGGGTTGCGAGCACTCCATCATTGTGGTAGTGAAGCCCTACAGCTCGAGACGAGAGGACGGGGAGCGGTAATGATTGCGGAGTTGCGAAACAGAAGGTGCCACACCGAGATTACGAGTGCAGAGGTATATCCTCACTATGCGATTCCCACAATATGAAATGAAATAGGTTCTTGAATCTGCATTGTCCAACTCCCCAGTTACGTATTCCCTTCTCCATCTCTGTCTATTCAACAAACTCCAAACAACGCGCACAAAGACGAAAAACACAATCCCCTCACCTTACTCCTCTCCATCCCCCTTATTCCCCACCGCCTCAAACGCACTATCCGGCGCCACAAGATCAAACGACCACACGCTCTGGCGGTGCGTCGGACACGGCGTGTCAAGATGGCGCGTTGGCCATGTACCTGCCGGACTCGAGGCCGATGTGCTTGAAGACACAAACCGCGTCGGCGGCGTAGACGCGTACTGCAAAAGAGGGAGAGAAGTCCGACTCGACACATCCCGCCCGATCTCCGAAGGCCCATCGAGCCGCAGAAGAGGAAGAGCGTGTGGCGGTGAACAAGGTCCAGTCGAATCCAAGCACATACCCGGAAGCGAACTCGATGGTCTTGTGCCCTGTATTTTCTCAACGAATGCGGATACGGGCCTGATCGGGTCCAGCGTGTCAGTGCTGCAGTACACGCCGTTGAAGTCGGCGAAGATGTCGTGCATCGCGCTGCTTGTGGGCGAAACCTCGATATCTGAGGAAGCCGGCGGGATGTGGATTGTCGGAAGCTTGGGGCTCGATGTCGAGGAGGCGGAGGAGGAAGAGGTAAATGTAGTAAGCCCTGATGATAGAGAAGTAGTCTCGGTGATCGGGTGGGCTATGAGGGGTGTGGACAGCGCGTGCAGGCTGAGTTCGAGTGCTGGTGGGATTGCGGGCGGGAGGGCGCATGATGGACAGCTAATTGATGCGCAGTGAAAGCCGGTCTGGAGGTCTGAGGCGTGAGGAGCGGTTTTGCGTTCTCGCGGGGCAAGCATCTTCTTGATGCCCTTCTTCATTCTGCGCCATAGTCCGTGTTTATTCGAGTCGTCGATGGTTTCTGGAGCGCGGGATCCAGTGGTAGCTGTATTTACATGCGTTTCGTTCTCCTTCTTTGCCTGCATCTTGCGTCCGAACATATTTCGTCGATTCTTCTTGCCGATGATATTCGCAGTAGCTTCATGCTTTTCGTGCATTTGCACCTCTTCACACGACATGATGGCGATTTTTGGGTGCGGCCGGCTGACTTGCGTAACTTTGTAGACGGTACCCTCGATTGGCTTTACGGTGATGAGGTTGGGGTAAGTAGACAGAGTTGTTCGCTGCATCTTAACAAAAAGTTGATATTATACCGACGCTTGTCGGTAGATTTGGTCGGTATAGAGGCCTCTAGGTCCCAAGAATTTGGTTATGTCAAGGTTTGGTTGATGTCGAATTTTGGTCGAACCGGAGTTTGGTCGAACTTGAGACAGGGGTTAGCTTGAGTGATGGTAGATGTAAGGTGAGTATTGGGTGTGGTGTAGCTCAGGGCGCGATGTTAAGAAAAAGTGAGTGCTGGAGATATGAAGGTGGAGGAGTGTTAGCGGCGGTGTGGGGTCCTTCATCGGGGAGGCAGCTAAGGGGTTGTGCTGGTAGTGATACGAGGCAACAAGACTTGTCGTTGTCATGCGACAGTGAATGATAGCAGCTTTATGAGGCGCATGGGTACATCATCAGGTGCGGCGCAAGTAAAATTGTTTATGAAAGTGTCATGATGAACAGGCATTCGCTAAGGATGACAGATGTGTAGTTCTCAACACTTCACCACCATAGTTCTTGACCCTTTTTGCTAACTTCGAGAAATTGTGCTTGAATTGTGAAATATCAAGACAGTATTATTTGAGGCCCTCAATCCATCTCCAGACAACAATTCTATTTGCTCTTCCTCTCACTCCAGAATCCTCCTCACGTCTTGCCGGATATCCCCACTTCCCTGTCCTTCTCTGGCAACTTCAAATATCTGATCGAGTACTCTGTCACAAATCTCCTGCTCTTCAGCAGCCGTCAGTGACTGAATCGTCTGCTTTACAGTCTTTCCAAACATGTTCCAGATGTCTGCCAAAAGTGGCTCCACAAATTCATTGTCGCCCCATCTGGATACGAAGTTGCGCATAGCATCGTAGCTCGTGCCACCTTCGCCGTTGCATTTATCGAGACAAGATGTCCCAAGCTCACCAACTATGTGGCACAGATCCGATGTGTCCCTCTCTCCCACCTCGCTCCGCTTGTCCTTGCCCTGACCAAAGTCAACAAGCATGACTTTTGGCAGAGTTTCGGTCTCTGGGTCGCGGAAACCAAGCAAAATGTTCGCGGATTGAAGGTCTCCGTGGGAAATTGGAGGGACGCAAGTATTGTGCAAGAAGTCGAGGGCGTGATATGTTTGTTGAAAGACTAGCCACACTAGACCCAGTGGCGGTGCTTCTATGTTCGGGTTGGCCACTGAGTGCAGGTCGCAGCAAAAAGGCAAAGTCGATAGGACCATCCATCCTGGCGCAGGTTCTGGGGGTGATTCGACCAGACTAATGATGTTGTTACTGCCGACATGGAGGTGGGCTTGCCGGCGGATGGACTCGAGAATCCCGCGTTCGTCAGCGAAGTGAGATACCAGTATGGAGATCTTGACTGCGACAACTCTGGAGACGGCGGCATCGATAGCTCCATCTTCGTCGCCTCTTTGGAATTGGACTCTCGCGGAGTGGACAACCAGGTCGTTCAATGCCAGAACGACTCGGCCACTACATCCTTCGCCAGCTGGTCGTAGGGTAGTGTAGCCAGGGGGCATTGCCGAGAATCCGAAGTTTGACATAGCGAAGATTTCTTTGGTTGACTCGTTTAGTTGATCGCTCCGGAAGATATTTATTAGTATAGTAACCTATTTGGACTATATAGAACGGAGATCTTCTCTTCGTTTGCTAGCAGTAGGGTCATCGTGAAAGAACGGGTGGACTTGCATCTTGTCGGCTGCCTATGGCGATACGGAAGGGAAAGGAGCGTGGCAAAAATACAGAGCAGACAAAGTGAAAGCCATGTGCCGGATGGGCAATCGGGACATGAGAGGCAAAGATATCATGGTGCCCGAGTCGCGACTCTCGACGAGCTCTCCGCAAAACTGGATTTGAGGGCAAAGTCATAAAATAGCGTCCCAGTAATCAAGTCGATCATGGGAGAAAAGCAGAAGAGAAACCAACCGGCGCCAGTCTGGCTTATATATCCTCAAGTCATCCTTTTGCGACTCATCTCCTGGCGTATGGCAAGCAGATCACAGAAGAGCAAAGCGGTGGCAATAAATGTCACATAATCACGCGGATACCATCTTTGCGATGATAACCGATATTCATAAATAAGGAGCAATATGTGAAGGAATAATAGCATATTACGCTCTCCATGAATTGAATGGAATAAAGTAAACTAATCAAACCCGGATCAAGAACGAGTTACAGACTGTTGAGTTTGTACAGGCTACTCGAGACACGAAACATGTTTAGGCTCATATCGTGCTTTCAGAGCATGCTGTTTGAGCAACGTTCTGGGCTTTTGCAGTAAGCAGCTCCGTAATTTTCGTGTGCATGACCTCGGAACGAGGCCGAGTCACACCCAAGATCATGTCTCGTATTTGGGTCCGAGCAGTCTGTGGCATCGAAAGAATCTGGCGGTGAGCGAATGGACCAAAACGCTTGCACAGTAAGCCATATGATCGCTCATTGCCAGCTGTCCAAAGCATCTCGTTGATCAGCCAGTGAAAGCTATGCAGCATTGGACCCTGTCCGTTAGGATCGGGGAGATGTTTGCACATATTGCATCCCATATAGTTCAAATCTGAGCCATGCATGACTTTGTCCATGACGTCGGCCAACCCGGAGTAGTCTCGTCTGAACTGATTCACAGGGCAATTGGAATCGTCCAATCTAGCCAGACCAAAATCGATTACCTTGACCTGTAGGAGTTCAGAGCCTTCTGCGTAGCCAAGGATGATATTTCCGGCGTGCAGATCGTTGTGAATCATTGGTGGATCGCAAGTGTTGTGTAGGAAATGCAGGGCTTTGCGGAGTTGCCAGAATATCAGCCACACAAGGGGTTCCGGCATGGTCTGATACCGCTCTAAAAGTGTTGCCAGGTCGCAGCATATCGAGAGAGTCGATGTTGCAATCCAATTCTGCGTTGGACTGAACGTGTCCACTGCGGTAAGCTCGAAGAATGGGAGACAGACTCCTTCTGGTTGTTGTTCTCGGATCGCCTTCAAAGCAATAACCTCATCTCGGATACCATCGAGCCCGATGGGGCAGGCGATCTTAACTACTTGCAATGTGGACATCAGTGCGCTGACTTTGTCTGCAACATTGCCCTGCTCACGGGCTTGTGTGGCTGCTACTGCGTCCTTGGGTAAGCAAAAGTATGCATCTGCGTGGCAACCACTACCGGCTTCGCTTACCAGCAAGAATGAGTTCGGAATATCGGGACTGGGCTCAAACTCAATCATCACCGACTCGGGGATCCCTTGATACTGCTCGTCTGTCATGTTGATAAGGGGAATCAGTAACTGGTTGTTTGTTATGTTGAGGTTAGGAATTGTCGACATAGAAGCCGTAGTTGTTGTCTATAAGTTCTCGAAGGATATGAGTATTTTAATAGGGACTGCCCACATTGTGGGTGCAAGGTAAACCTATCATCCTTTACTATGTGCGCATGTAGAGGAAGTAGTGAATTTGACAGATTTCCCATTGGTACCAATCCTAATTTGGAACATTACATCTCCTTTTTGGGTGATACAACGAGGAAGAAGTGCAACGTGCGTCATGAAGAAACAATGTTAGAAATAATCTGCAAAGTCGAGTCGGAACGATCTACGACTAGTGATGCATGTGTTTTCAAGTTCAACCTTATCTGCCCCATTGTACAACAACGTTGATTGGTACTCAGAGTTTCCATCTGACAGAGAAGCGCGCGCGTACATCATACGTAGCATTATCCACCTCAGTGACTTTGCTTACCATTGAGCCGTGGACGCGCTTAGAGTCCGAGGACTGTGAACGTTGACGGTCAACGAATGTGGCACTGAAGCTTTGGAAGGAAATCAGGGCTTCAATCGAGGCAGCTATCATCCCTACATAGTCAACGGACATGGCCACCCTTGACTTCACATGCATGCCCGTAATCGACCTTGCAAAATGCAACAATCAGAGTTTTAGACGCGAACTTGAAACAGACCTGAGATCTGTAATCACAGATGTAGGATTTCTATACTTGAGAAATCACGGCATCTCTAGCGTCGTAATAGCAAATTTGGTAGAAGCACTTCCGCGATTCTTCTCTCTATCGCGAGATGACAAGGAAGAAGTCGCTTCGATGTGCCTTCCTTCCAGGGTATGAGGAGGGATCTGATGAAGGCGGAGGCTGTGGGGACTTTGCAGGGTCGCTCCGATAATTCAACCATTGCACAAAGAAGAGAGAGTGATAAGGGACGAGAGATCGATAGCGCATTCTTGAGGGGCAGGTATGACACTTGTAGTAAGAGGCAGCTGCGCACGGAGATTCGTAGTCGTCAGGATGTGGGAACAAAGTTCAATGGTGGTGTTTTTGAGGGGTATGTTGATGAAGATTCATGCTCGGCATGATCTGCAAGTCTCGAACTGGTAGGCTGAAGCTTTACACAGTGTCAATAGACTTCGAATGCGATGATAATGCATTGTGTATAGCTTCAGGCTATTGGATAGGCTGTCACCTGTTAGTCGCGAATTCAAACTTGTCGAAGTACAATGAGGCTCAGCTATTCTGCACGTTAGCTCGAAATGCTACGCGCGCGATCTCGCTTCCCCTCGTGATGGCGCCGCGACGCTCGTGATTGTCAAGTGACGAAGCCCCGAGCGACTTCGGCTTCCATCGGATGTTTTATCGGCCCTGCTATGATTGGTCCAAGCCCTCCATTGTTCTTCTGCAGGGCTGAAATTAATTGCGCCGCTTCGGAAGACCCGTCGAGTGCTTCTTGTTCTGAGCGCTTTTGGCAGTCTGTTTTGGTGATCTGGCTTACTGAAGACCCGCCAGCTGCTCCGGTTGCCTGTTTTGATCGCTCTTTTCGACGCTGCGAATCGGGCCGATTTGAGTTGCACAGCGTGACTGTGGAAGATAAGGAAAGCAGATGAAGTCTGCAGCTATGGGAATGATCGGTGTGTCGTAGCTGAATAGCTCGAGTGGTTTGGAGGGACGCAGGACTGAGGCGACGAGGAGAAAGACGTAGCGTAGTTTTGCTGGAGCTTCATCGAGTGACCTCGTTTGTGCGAGAACTCCATCGCCTCTGGACAACCTTTCATTTCTCTAAAATTCGAAACATCATCTTCGTCCGTCAGTCGTCACTGCAGTGGCCTTTTACATGGCACAACACTGTGCTCTCCTTGTAGCATCTGTAACTCAACTTCACTTTCAGAATACGAGGCTTGGCGTCGATGAGGTATGCCATCGCCAGTGCTCCGGGGCGGTCTGGGAACCTCGGACATGATGGCCGGGCATTGCAGGTTCGTTACGGGCCTTTCGGTCAAAGATGGGGACAAGTGATCCAGCGATTACGTACCGTTATCTTTGCGTGACGGAAGCAGCCCGTGGCCGGAATTTATACCGGCCATGAGGTATATAGACGAAGGTTGAGGCGCTCGAGGAAGTGCTTCACCACCACAACATCTCTTTGAGCACGGACCAAATTCCATCTGAAGTATATTCAGACGTCTTTTGCCCCTGACATCCTCGTCTTTTCTTCAATATGTCGCCCTCTTCCTTTGAATTCCCTGTCCTCGACGACACCAAGCCCAATGACCGCTCCCTACCAGCCTTCATGGTCTCCACGACCCGAGGCTTCCTGCCGCGTCAAGAGCCTGTCGTCGAGCTGCCCAAAGAGTTTGCTGCTCTTGAAAGCCTCTTGCAACGCATGCCCATCAAGAAACTGTCGGGTGAGCCAGGCTTACTGGCCGACTTCACCTTTGGCGACACTGTGTTGAAGGAGCTGCCTGACTTGTCGCCCGAGATTGAGAAGTACCGCGATGACCTTGTCGTTATGAATGCTTTGTATCGCGACTACTCTTTCTTGGCTTCGGCGTATCTGTTTGAGCCGTGTCATGAAAGACATATGAGAGGAGAAGATTATGGCCTAGGAAGGCAGTCGCTGCCGAGATGTATTGCGCTGCCTATTGTCAAAGTTGCCGAGATGTGAGTCTCTTTGGCGGTCTTCAGTTTGATGTGACCTCGTCTAACCAGTGCTGCTCGATAGTGCTGGCTTCAAGCCGTTCATGGAGTACGCTGGCTCTTATGCGCTCTTCAACTACCGTCTTGAGGATCCAGCAAAGGGCCTTGAGTACGACAACCTCCGATTGATCCGCGCTTTCGAAGCTGGATTGGACCCATCGTCGTCTGAGGCTGGCTTCGTCCTTGTGCACATCGCCATGGTCAAAGAGTCCGGCGCCCTGGTCAAGGGTGCTGCTGACATGCTTGACTCTTGTGCTGGCCGTGATCGCGAGCGTTTCAACGATGGCCTGCGTACTCTTGTCGGTGGTTTGTCTAAGGTCAATGCTGTCATGAACAGTGAGTATACCTACTTGTCTTGTTGTGCGATGACTAACTTGGCAATAGCAATGTGGAAGCGCAGCAAGCCAAATGGCTACACTAGTTTCAGGACGTTCATCTTTGGCATCACTTCGCAGTCCATGTTCCCTAACGGCGTCATCTACGAAGGCGTCAGTGAGGAGCCGTTGTCTTTCCGTGGCGAGTCTGGAGCCAATGATAGCATGATTCCCATGTGCGACAATCTTTTGCAGGTCGCAATGCCCGAGACACCGCTCACAGACATCCTCAAAGATTTCCGACAATATCGACCAGGTAATCACCGCGAGTTCCTCGAGGCTGTCCGCGATAGTGCCGAGCAGTCTGGTGTTCGCGAGTTCGCTACGGGAGACTCTGTGTCGGCTGCTTTGTACCTCCAGGCCCTGGATCAGGTGCGCGACTTCAGATGGAGGCACTGGTGCTTCACAAGGGAATACATCCTGAAGCATACATCGCACCCGACCGCGACTGGCGGTAGCCCCATTGTGACGGCAAGTACCAGACATGTACCTCAGCGTTCCAGGCTAACCTCCATTAGTGGCTCCCAAATCAGCTGCAGGCTGTGCTCGCACAGATGGCCGAGACATTCGAGTACTGCAAGTCGATCAATGGTGTTGACGACATCATGGAGACGGCAAACACGCAATGTGAGACGCTGCGAAAGGAGGTGGAGAAGTATTGTGGCGAACGTGGTGTTGCAGCGTCCTGAGATGGAGATGTCGCGTCCTATTCTAGACGAATGAATAAAGTGACAGCTATTCGTAGCCTTCAGCACGCCTTTGAGTTCTGATTGCCCTGGTGAATCATGGCAAAAGCGAACGCTCTCGTGTTTGCGCCCTTCCTCGTGATTATGACTGGTATTGCATGCGATCACGTCCCCCTTCAGTCACGTGGTTCGTATCTGAGGGCGCAGATGGCAAGTTCAGCCCTTAAACACGAGGTTGGCGTGGCTCAAGTGTGACTGACGCGTGAGGTCGTGATTCCGCGGTGTTTGTGACTCAGTGTCTATGCGTCATGCGCTATCGATAGCGACGCTACTTTACCCCAGATGTTCCCGATGTTCCCTCTGGCTAGCAATCCAGCGCCACCTTCCAGAATCTCCTCGATCAATCAACGACTGCCAGCCAACTCATGGAATTCTTACCCTTCACACGAATACCCTCCGTCATACTAATACGGCGAAACTTACGAAAACGAACCTGAGCAAGCTCCACAGCTAACAACCCCACAACGACCATGGCATCACGACACGCCCCCAAACAGAACCCTGTTGAGCGGCGGAAAGGCGAATCAGTACGTGCACACGTGATTACGTGTTTCACTATGCTAAAGAAACACGACAGGCTCTAAGCGAATTCGCCGACTATGTAGAGAAGCAGCAGGCACTGCGCCGACCACCCGGGCAGACACCCGCCGTTCTTGAAGACCACGATGAGCTGAGCATCCTGGACGAGCTTGGCCTTTCCGACGATAACAGCGCGCATATCCGCCTGAGGACGCTGCTTACGGACCCCGCTGAGGAGAATGTCCCAGCGCTTGTTGGGCATATCAGGGAGCGCTTGGCGGAGGGCCATGGCGAGGCGCTGTTCGACGTCGGACTCGAGGACAATGGCGAATCCATGGGGTTCTCAAAAGAGAACTGGGAGTTCGCTCTGGAGCGGATAGGAGTTGCCTGTGAAGAGCTGAAGGCCGACTACAAGATCCTCATGACGCGCAATGTGGGCGGCGACGCTGAGGTTGGGCCGAGGGACGCAAAAGAGACGGGCGTGAGTGGCAAGATGATCCTGCGACAACGGCCAGAGAGCGTGGATAATGTCATCGAGACGCGGATAGCGGTGGTCGGCAATGTCGATGCGGGCAAGAGTACCATGCTTGGTGTACTTGTTAAGGGCGGGCTTGACGACGGCCGTGGCAAAGCGCGGGTAAATCTTTTCCGTCACAAGCACGAGATTGAGAGTGGCAGAACCAGTTCTGTGGGTATGGAGATTATGGGTTTTGACAGCAAGGGCGAGATTGTTGTCTCAAATACTGCCGGCCGAAAGCTCACATGGGAGGAGATTGGACGTCGATCTGTAAGGACTTCACCCTGATTCTTGTGGGACAACGCTAACCAACACAGGCGAAAGTGATTAGCTTCACTGATTTGGCGGGTCACGAACGATATCTCCGCACCACCGTCTTCGGTATGCTATCTAGCGAGCCCAACTACTGTTTGCTGATGGTCGCTGCGAACAACGGTCTCGTCGGCATGAGCAAAGAGCATCTCGGTATTGCTCTCGCGCTGAATGTGCCAGTCATGGTCTGCATAACCAAAATTGACATTTGTCCTCCGCAGATTCTGGAGCAGACCATAACACAGCTCACCAAAATTCTCAAGTCGCCTGGCGCGCGGAAAATACCCATCTTCATCAGTAATAAGGAGGAGTGCATCAACACTGCGACTCAATTCGTGTCTCGTCGAATATGCCCCATCTTCCAGGTGTCAAATGTCACCGGATACAATCTTGACTTGGTTCGCACCTTCCTCAACATATTGCCCCATCATGGCAACTACGACAGTTCAGCCCCTCTCGAGTTCCATGTTAACGACACGTTCTCCGTACCTTTCGTCGGCACCGTAGTTTCAGGTGTGGTCAAGTCAGGTGTAGTCCACGCAGGCGATACCATCTTGGTAGGACCTGACAGTCTAGGCCAATTCACAACGACCAAAGTCCGTACCATTGAACGGAAAAGAATACAGGTCCCTGGTTGTTCCGCTGGTCAGTCCGCCAGTCTGGCGCTGCGAAATGTCAAGAGGAAAGACGTCCGGAAAGGCATGGTCGTCCTGCACAAGCCTGACAAGCCTGATGCAGCGACTGGTGTCCCTCCGAACCCCAAGGTCTACCGCGAGTTCGTCGCCGAAGTACTGATTCTGTCGCATGCAACCACCATAAAGACCAAGTACCAGGCGATGCTGCACGTCGGGCCCGTGTCCCAAACATGCGCCATTATCGACATCGATCGTCAGTACATACGAACAGGTGATCGAGCACAGGTTGCATTTCGATTCGTGCAGCGACCGGAGTACTTGACTGTTGGCGATCGAATATTGTTCCGTGAGGGTAGGACAAAAGGGTTGGGTATCGTCAAGCAAGTTGGTTATGACCCCAAACATCCGCTGAATCCGGATCTCCAGAAAGAGAAAGACCAGGAGAATGGCAAGGAGAACCAGCAGGATGGGAAGAAGATGGAGGCTTCGTGAGTTTGAACTGAAGATACGTTGTTCACATATACATATGGGCAGTATAGGCCACTGTCAATATACGACCTTTTACGCTACTCGGTCTTGATGCTTGTGGAGTTTGTGATGCTGATGTCCGACGAGGGTTGACTCAGCAAGCCCAGTCCCGTTCTTACTTCCGCTGTGACCCACCAGCTTAACGCGGTACAAGCCTTGGGGTTGATTCCGCTTCCGCCAGCCAAGACCTTTTCTCCGAGCGGAGCACAACGGCGATAAACTTCTACAACATCGCCGCGTCAGGTGCCTGAAGCTGGATTACGAATTGGCCTCGGCACTACTCCACAATTCAAACGCTCGATGAGGAGCTCCTCGGCTTGCCTCGTGCACCTAAGAGAAGCGAATTTCATGTGAGCATAGATAAGGACTATACAATTGTTCTTATAAAGCCCTCACTATAGCTTTGCCTATCTCCAGACTCTACTCACTGCACCCACGCAACATCATGTCATCCCTCCAATACTTCGACTACGAAGGTTTTGGCGAGCGATCCAAGCAGAATCTCAACTACAGCCAGGCCGTCCGACTACCCAACACTATACACATATCCGGCCAAGGTACCTCCCCTTTCCCCTCTCCACCCACCTACTAAACAACCAGGCGGCTGGGACCGTCTAACCGACGGCCTTCCCCACCCTCCCTCGACGCCGAAATCGACCAGGCATTTGCCAACGTCGAACACGCGCTGCAACAAGCCGGCGGCACGGGACTGCAGCAGGTGTACAAATTACAGATATACATTACCGGAGATATGAATGCTTACTTTGAGGGTTTGACGCGGCATTTGAAAGGGAAAGGGTTTGAATTCCATGGCCCGCTGCTCACAGTTGTACAGGTGAAGGGGCTGTTCAGGGATATGAGGATTGAGATTGAAGCGGAGGCTTGGGTTGGGTTGTAGTAGCCTCTAATCGTCCAACTTCAACAACGACACTTTGCTCTTTTCCAAGTCAAACGCCGTGTGCACGCCTTCCATGAATGCGGAACCTAGCACTACCCACTCTTCATTGACTTGTGGTAGGTATGCGAAGGGAAGCACGCAGCGCTTTCCCTTGTCGATGTCTTGTACCTCGGTCAGGTAGTCCCACGGCGTGAGCACGATTACTGCGTCCTTGCTGAACGAAAACACAATGTTCCGAAGTTCGTCGCGCATCGAACAATCCAGGTCCGCGAGCTGATCGCCCATGCCTAGGTTTGGATGGAGATGGGTTTGGATCTCGGTGAGTAGGGTGGCGGGGAGCGAGATGTAGCTGAACGAGTTTGTGAAGACGGCTTTGTATCTTGACGCCTTCCTGGCACCGGGATTGTTTGAGGGTGGGGATTGAATGGCTACTGAGTCCAGTTCGACTGTGTAGCCGCTCGAGATGTAGTATGATAGTTGGCTGAGGTCCTCACGCGGCGCGGCGTCGATGAGAGGAATAGTGACAGCACTTCTCGCCAAAGCTTCGGAAGGAATGTAGCCTAATGCTAACTCCCCGCTCTCATCATCACGACGGGGAAGCCTGAGAGAGAACACGGGTCTGCTGAGAACCTTCTGATCCAGCATATTCCGCAGGGTGCTCTTCGTACTAACATTCGAAGCCGGTGTGCGACTTTGGAGGCGTGCAAGGCCCAGTGCGCTATCCAAGGGTGCTCCGTTAGAGTACATGGATCGCCAGAAGGTGGCTTCTTCGAATTGCTGGTCACGGATTTCCAGACCACCAATTCTCAGCACATCTTGCGACAAATGGCCGGATGTCGAGAGGCCTTCATACATGATCTGAGCGTTGGCTTTGCTGGGGTGGTAAGTGGTGGAAAGCGATGCATCGTACTTGTTCTGTTCCCGGCAGTATTGCGCCGTGACCGGGTCTTGCAGGCACGCGATAGATGGGACGAACGTGTCTGACCAACTCAAATCGACAGACGCGGTGAAGGGCTGTGAAGGAGTTCCGATGCCTATAGAGGTGCTGTAGAGGAGATGGTAAAACGTTGATTGATCACGGCGGTTTAGTGGATGCTGATAGTCCGTCTGCTACGAAGTCAGCTGTGTGAGCCATACATAGACTTCTGGAGGGATCTTAGCACGCGGACCTCGGATTTTTGGAAGGTGCCGACATGTTGGTTGTAGAATTGCCAGTCGTCGAATTTGAAGCGAATGGTTGTGCGCTTGATTGGTACTGTCACTATGACGGCGCTGCACAGAGGAAGAAGGACAAAGATCAGGATGGCATGTATCTCGTTGCTTAGCATCTTTGGAATGTGAGCCCGAATTTTGAGAACTCGAGGGCGTAGTAAAGCTAAGAAACTGGAGCTTGTACGTTGAGGCACCTTGATCTGCTACCTAGGTAGAGACGTTTCCACGTTGACGTCGTGGCTCTAATTGGAAATACTTGGGCGTTTTATGACGTCAGAACCGTCACTAATCGGTCAGAGTGGTGTGTTCAGTGCTGATAATGGTTTTGTCGTTGCGGCATGGAACACATGTACGTAGACACTCTGCATTCATAGAAGAGCTAAGGGCCCACATGAGCGAGGCATCTCTGGTGTTGGGGGCCGTGGGGTGGAAGCGAAACTCGACAAGACCAGAACAGAGCGTATTTGTGGCGGCTTAGCAGACGTCAGCAAATGCGAATGCTGCGCGGAAACTATATTGTTGGATGTCGTTGGGTGTGATGAAACATGCCCAGGTGTCAATCCTAAAGATGCATGTAGCGCGTAATCGTAACCGTCTTAGCGGCTTCGAGTGACCAAAGGCACCCACTCCAATCCTTTCCTCCACGACTTGCTTATTTCAGCTATCGCCCAGACACCTCAAAGTCAAACGAACGAGCATAAAAGCGATGGCTCTACCCATGTCCTAGGTCAGAAAGTCTTTCTGATTGATATTCTCCCGAATTGCGCCCAACGTGGACCATATTCGGAACCTGTGGGTTGTCTATGCTCCTGAGGAAAAGAACTCTGATTCGATCATGACGCAAGTTCCTTAGCTTGAAACAATCAGAAACATGTCAGCTATTGGCGATCGACATATATGGGTTTGGATGTGAGGCGCAGTACATGTGGCACAGTTCGGACAGTCAAACGTACCTTGGTAAGGCCGAAGATGACGTTCAGACGAAATTTTGCCCACATGCATGAGCATCCTACAGATGACCGCTCATGAACGACTTCTTGTCTATGTCTCAAAGCTACGGAATTAAAATACAATGCCAACCGTGCGCCCTAAGAGATTGAGGTGTATCATGAGCCTTCAATACCCAAAGAGACATACTCTGGATGGAAGACCCGTAGATGATATGCGGCACTGTCATTCCGTCATATCATCCGTTGGCTGCCACTGTACGACGCCACGGAAACAATGGCCAGCTAAGTCATGCCCCAAGCTTTCCGGCTGACAGTTGCATGGAACAAAACCTCAATCCTTTGCCGCAACCCTTTACCAAAACACGCCGAGCGTCTCACCGGACTCCGAATGGATCATGCCAGTCCGCCAGTGATCAAGTCTTATGGTTTTCCAGAGCTCGCCAAGGCCTACACCATGGCCAATGTATGGCTTTCACAAACGCATGGTATGAGGGCTATGAGCTTGCTAGTCAGCTGAGACTCCAGGGCGATGTTCCCGCAGAGATCAATTTACGTCTCCGGTCATTTATTTAGGACGTACACCCAACTGTCACGCCGGTCATGTCTTGCTACGCCCTTTTTCGTCTTGCTACGCCATGTTGTATCTGAAAACGCCGTATTTTGCCTTGCCTGAAATGGAATGTATGATGTGAGTACTTCTTGGGTGTTCTGCTCAGTACATATCAAGTGGACATTCTTCACTCAGCGATTTTTTTCATCGTTCCCATTCACTCCAACTCCTTTGCATCTTTCTGCTTCATTGCTTTAGAGAGCTTTTGACGTCTCTTCTATAGGCTACAGCTACGGTAAACGCCCCTTCCTACAGTGCGTGGCACACAATGTGGAATCCGTCCCCTTTGGCTACGTTTGTTACGCTCTCGGGTATGTACGCTAAATAACAGTCACGCAGGTCAAGACTAACATCGATCAGCGCTGTGCGTATCTCTAGTACAACCCAGAGTATTTCCGCGCCAGCTAGTTTCTTCTGCGCAAAGTTCCGGGACAGCCCCTCCCCTGCCAACCCCTTCCAACAAGAATCTTTTCACTCCTGATTTCTATGAGTTCCTAAAGTCCGGCAACATATCACCAGAAGGCAATAACCCAGATCCTAAACCTTCTGCGTGGATTGCCTTGGGCGATTCGTTTGCGGCCGGCCCGGTGCAGGCGACGAATTGCAAGATGGCGCAAACTGCGTGCGCGGGAGCCAAAATTACCCCTTACAACTGCAAGCAGATGCAAACATACCAGGTCCAAACGGTCCAGATGGTCAAAAGCCGACATTTACACTTAAAGCTTGCACCGGCGATGTCACAACGGACCTTACGAATCGACAAAACCCAAACTACCAATTAGGTGATATCGGACGTGACACATCGTTTGTTACTCTTTCGATTGGGGGTAACGATATCAAGTTTGTTGATATCCTAAAGAAGTGTGTGTTTGGGTTTCCGCCCGTGATTGGAGGGCCTGACTGGGAAGCGCTTCTCAGCATATCTCGAGACATCCTCTTTGGCCAGGAATTTCACGGCCACTACAATGATGTGATGAACGGCGTCTTATCCAATATGGAGTGGGATAAACGAGGGTCTCCTAACACTGGAATCTATCAAACCGGTTACTCTCAATTCTTCGATGCCTATACAGACCAGTGCGAGGGCACCTCGTTCTACATTATCGACTTTCTTGGGCCGAAGATTACAAAAGACCTACGAATGAAGTTAAACAGGCTCACTCACGAGGTCAATTATGTCATTTCATACTATGCAGACCTCTTGAACGTAAAACAATCGCGCGCAATTGGAAGTCCGAGCGTCTTTCATCCGCTATCAGCTTTGTCGACGTCGACATCGGTTACAATAACCATAGATTCTGCCGACAAGGTGTTCAGGAGCCGCATCATCATAATTCAGACACAAACTTTTTCAATCTCAACTTGCTCGCGTCAACAGACAACAAGACGGTAATGGTCAGCGATACGAACATGACGATTCCCCGCGAAAATGCTACGGCCGAATGGATTGACGCCAACTACGGTGATGGCGTCCACGCATCATGGGCGTGGGTTATGAAGACCTTTCATCCGACTGAAGCGGGATTTACTCATACGAAGGATATATCGATGTACCCTAAGCTGCGCTTCCGAGACGCCATGCGATTCTGGGGGTCAACTTCGAGTAAAGATGTTGATCTTGTGGTTCTAGGTGACTACGTTGCATTTGCCTCCCAAGATCCGAACTCCCCCATTTATCAAGGAATCATCCCACATTTGAAAGCCATCTTCCGAAACTATCGATACTATGGCATGCCTCCTGGGTCGAATGTTCGTGTTAGACCAACGTTCTCTGGTTCACAAAAGCCACAGAACGCCAACTCAGCGTTCCACGAATGCTACAAACTAGCAACCATCGATGAATTGCACGACAAATTCGTCGACTCGCCTGATTTCTCTACCCGAAACAAGGTCATACTTCTGATGGCTGGAACCCTCGACGTATTTTATGATATAGATCTGGACCACTGGCCTGACCGTTACCCCGGCCTGGTTCATGATATTTTCGAGAACGATCATGACGCCAAGATATTTGCTGGCCACATTCCCATGATAGGTTACAATTCCGACGACGACGAATCATTTAAGTGGTATGGACTCCAAAAAAGGATTGCACAGTTCAATGCTCGACTCAATGCACTTGTTGATCAGCTAGCAACGGAACACAGCTACCGCATCATGACCGTTCACACTTCGGCCACCACAAGAAAGCACCTGGACGAAGATCTGATCCTGCCCAATGCGAGAGGATATCTTCGCATTGCACTTAACTTTGTCGAGTATATGGCCATGGCCGCGATGATGGGATGGTTTGACACTGGCTCGCGCGGGGCCTCGAATAGCATAACTTCGAGCGGCATAGCCAGTCAATTTAACGTCACAGCAACGCGTCCCGGGAACAACAACACCCTTGTCGTAGACAAAGTTACCTGCAACCAGGAGTTTGAGTTCTTTGCAGGACAGGGTATGCCATCAAAGGAAGACACTCTCAAGTCAATCCTGTGAGGCGCCTCCATGGATGACTTTATCACCAAAGTCGCATGCAACACTGACGAGATCTGCAAGTGGGCTGCCGATGGATTATTAAGTCTGCGATCTTGAGCCTCTCATGATGCAACAAGACTAATACGAACAGCACGGCGAAAAGACGGATTTCTCTTCAGCGGGCGGCACTGTCTGCGTCACTGCGGGTGGTGCTCCAGACAAGGCTGACTACAATCAATTGACTGTCGTACGGCCTGATGCTTCATACGATCTTGGCGGTGGTAGCTGTAAGGATGCCGTAAAAAGTATCCTCAATGACTGCATCTTGTCTGGCAAATATTACGGTGGTTATTTCAAAGGGAAAGACGGATTGTACATTGAGCAAACAAACTTGGTAAGCACATCCGCTGCTCTATCCCAATCTGAATGAGGATTGTGCTAATAACAATTCACAAAGAACTTCCCGCGAAATCCGACGCTGGATAATGGCTTCGCGATTCCCAACATCCCGAATGATGTTGTGAAATCGGCGCTTGATGGCCCGGCCCCAACTACGACGACCTTCAAGCCATCAAAGCCGTTTGCGACCGTCGCCGGTATATATGCGTAAGTTGAGTCAGGAGGTAGTATTTGTCACCATATACTTTCAAAGAGCCGACCTTTATGATAGCTGTTAGCCAGCATATACAAGTTCATTCAACCTATTTATTTCATTCTGCTAAACCTGGATGATGTGGCACATGATCACCAGTCTTCACCAAGAGCAGCATGGACATGGCAGATCTCTGGCCAACTGCAATATCTTGACTCGTGGTTCGGCATCGTAAATTTCGATCTCATGGGAGCTGGCTCATGATCACGTGAATTGTTTCATGCCATCTCTAGAAGACTTAGCGGGTGAACATAGCCCCAAATGCTTGGTGTTTGTTGACAAAGACTGCGAGATATTCCTCGTCAGCTAGCTTGGGAAGAACGTGAGCCGATTGGTTGGCACATTGAACTGCGCCACCTGGGCACGGCAGGCATCCGCGCCTCAACTCTACAGCTTCATTAGACAGCAACTCCGTCTCTGTGTGTTTCCATTCATATTCCCATCGATATCGACAAATTAATTTAGCCCGAAGATGTCTAGGCTTCTGACGAAACTGAAAAAGGGGATTCGCAAATGCAAAACGATTTGCAAGCAACCAGTGGAAGCATGCGCATTCGTACTTTTCTTCGCATGCCTCCCTTGTGTACTTTGTTTAATCATTGTTTCAGTCGGTCTCAAACAGAGAAGCAAGGAAAAGAAGCGCAGAAACCGTTCCTTCAGAAGCGATGAGATGCCTCAGTTTCCAAGTCCACGTCCACGAGCACTCAGCTTGCCTCTAGTTCATGCGCAACCCTGGCAGCGAGCCTTCAATCAATCCCAGTCAGCATTCATGATAATGATCCCGTTGGAGATTCGACGCATGATCTATTCCTACGTGCTGGGTGGCCAAGTGGTGCATTTCTGGACGTGGAACGGAGCTCCGCAGGCGAGAATTTGCTGGGATAAAGACGGGTGCAATAGTGATTATATCGACTGGGAATATCAACGCAAAGGTTTGCGTTTCGATCTTGCCCTGCTTCGAACATGTCGATCGATGTATGTGTTCCAACCACCAGCTTGTTTTCTCCACTTTGCTAAGCACCTTGCAGATATACAGAAGCAGTCGATTATTTGTACTTCGCAAACACTTTCTCCATATGGAACGTCGACTACGTCAGTCCAACCATCAAGCTTCTCTCATATTACTTTCTTCCGCAGCGCCTCCAGCTAGTCCGCGACTTGCGCATTCATTGGTCGTTCTGTCCAGATTCCGAATCTTGGTTGGAGGATTGGAAAGCTATTAGTAAGATGAAGGGCCTACAGCGGTTACATGTCACCGTTACGAATCCGTGGCTAGGAAGACCGGGCCACTCCACTGATGACACATGGCGAGACAAATTGACGGAAATTATGGCGGCGGTCAGGAATATCACAGCTCCGGGCGACTTTGTTCTTTACGTGCCGGACATCAAGTGGTTGGAATGGTCAGCGGACGTGGATCTTGGAGATTCTAAATGCGTATTCAGAATGGCGGAGGAACCGACCGGGGTTAGCTGTATTAGCTGAGGGGCATTCAATGACGATGTGTTTACCAAAGTCGTACTGAGATAAATTCCATCTGTGTACCTTTGTCTCCGTAGCTTTTAGGTAACGCACCTTCTGCGCGTCCTTTCTTGAGAATGTAGGAGGCGTCTCAAGTTGCAGAAGAAGCGAGATGTGACCGCTGCATATAGACTGAGGTGTAAAATAAATAGATAAGACAAAGTTGCGAATTACTCTGGGAAGTTTTGTTATACCTTACTGAAGCATGTATAAGTAGCGTTGTTTGCACAACGACTAAGATGTTTTCTTTGCATATCAGTTTTGAAGCTGCTACGTCGCGCTTTCTCTGCAACATGAGAGCAGGCTACTCTTGTGTGCAATTGCGAAGTTGAGCAAACAAAAACATTGGCGCCACGCACGGGAAACAGTACATTGTATGGCGCAATGGACGAGGCTCAAGATTGGTACCAGGATCAATCGATTAGGTCGGTAAAGCGATGAGCTGGAACGTGATTGTAGGTTTCCGAAGAGGTGCGCAAATAAAACTTGGACGCCATCACCAAAACCAAAGACGTTCATGTCAACAACATCACAGCTCCGACCAGTATGCAGCCAAGGGATCAGGATTCCTTCGCCAAGAAGACCTTGATCTCATATCGGCAGGTTTCCGGTCGACTCATCGGCGGTGGTTCAGCGTCAGCGAATGTGAGCGCGTCGGCGATCAACGTGAACGTTCGCCCGCTGCAATCCCCGTCCTGGCACTCTTGGCACTGGGCACTCTAACTTCCTCCGTGCAGCTTTCCACACCCGCGTTAACATCTCTCAGCCTCCATGCTCATCCAAGCAAAATCGTCAGGGTAGCGTTCCCCACGTGCGATAACCATGCAGTACGCATGGTTGAACGACCTGGCAGCTTGTGGAAGTCCACCCGTGTGGCTTTAGAACCGTAAAGTGGCCGAGGTATACTGGAAATGAGTGGCTCTAGATAAGAATGACCTTGCCCGTCATAATGCTTGTCCTGCAGGAACACTTCTGTTTCCCAAGCTCCCGGTTCAAGGTCTTATCAGGTGATCTGACTTCACGATGCGCTCTTTCATCACGTCCTCAGTCCTTCTTGGACTTGCTTCAGCAGCTGCGGTCCCAGCTGTCGAGCCCAGAGCAAACCATGGCCACAAGAAGTTCAACGTTCAAGTCGGCGACAGGCCTTACTACCTCATCGAGAACATGGAAGAGAGCCCCCTGAAGAAGAAGCTCGAATCCTGCTCGGAACAAGAGTTCAAGCCGACCGAGTTCTCCTTCGCTCATCGAGGCGCGTCTCTCCAGTACCCAGAGCACACCTATCAAGCCTACAGTGCGGCTCGTCGCCAAGGTGCGGGTGTAATCGAATGCGACGTCGCCTTCACAAAAGACAAACAGCTCGTCTGCCGTCACGCACAATGCGACTTGCACACTACCACCAACATCCTCAACACCACACTCGCCGCGAAATGCACTACGCCATTCAAGCCCGCATCTAACGGTACCGCTGCATCAGCAAAATGCTGCACATCCGACCTCACCTTGACAGAGTTCACCTCTCTGTGCGGCAAAATGGACGGCTTCAACCCCAATGGCACCACTCCGGTGCAATATATGGACGGCACGCCTTACTTCCGCACAGACCTGTACGCATCTGGCTGCCCCAAGCTGATGACACTCAACTCGTACATCGACACTGTCGACAGCTGGAATTTGAAATTCACCCCCGAGCTCAAAGCCCCGGAGGTGAAAATGCCGTTCAATGGCTACACATACGACAACTACCGCCAAGCCGTTGTCGACGCATTCAAGGCGAAGAAGATCTCCGCGAAGAGAGTCTGGTTGCAATCTTTCGTCCCCGACGATGTATTCTACTGGATTAAAAACGCACCGGAGTTCGGCAAGCAGGCCGTCTACCTTGATGAGCGCGTCGATACGCCAGCTGGCTACATCAACGCGACCGCATCGATCCCGGACCTAGCGAAGCGCGGCGTCAAGATCCTTGCACCGGCTATGTTCGCTCTGACCAAGGTCAACAACGGAACCATTGTTCCGTCCGAGTACGCAATTGCGGCGAAGAAAGCCGGTATGGAGATTGTAGCGTGGAGCTTTGAGCGTGCGGGATGGTTGTCGATTGATGGCGGCGGTTACTACTACCAATACGTAAAAGACGTTGTTAATAATGAGGGAGATATGTTTGAAGTACTACACGTGCTTGCGCAGAAGGTGGGCATTAAGGCTATGTTTAGCGATTGGCCCGCGACGGTTACGTACTACGCCAACTGCTTTGGCTTGTAGATGAGACAGTGTGGAAAATAATGTATGTAGTTTAATGATGTGAAGATATGAGAAATAGACAACTTTAGTCACAATATGTACTACTTGGGTAGTATTGCACGACCATCCACGCGTGGCCAGTACGCAAGCAGCAAAATTCCCGACCCCGAAAAATTCCATTCGCAGGTCTCAGATATAGCTGAAACTCAAATTCGCATTTTTGTGGATCTACTCAGATACTGGAAGAGACACTCTAAGGTGCCCTGAGAACTTGGAATGCTACGCGTTGGAATCTGACATCTTTGCTCCAGCCCGCCTCGCTTGATCCCTGAGCCACCTACTCAATATCAGATTTGTACTAAATTTCTTACTCTTTTCGACGACTGTGCTGGGCGGCTTAGAATGCGGCGTTACAATAATAACAGGTTCTCTTGCATTTTTTAGCATGACAGCGGACAGTGAGCTGCACAATCCGCTTCGGGAAGGATCTATCAGTGTTTTGAGGAGAATTTAGGCATGGATTTGTGGGTTCGGAGATGTTTTTCTACGACGCTGTGACTGAACGTGCGGACAGTCATGGCTATTAGAGTCTACGACGACTAATACCTAATCAGCGTAGCACAAGGTGATGACAAGAGGTGCTGGTGTCACACTGAGCTCTGACTTTATTTTGGCCTAGCTCAGCATAGCTTTATAGTGCGGCTATTCGCCTACAAATCTAGAATGATGATTGCGCTGTGACTACGAAGCTAGTGCGCTAGTAATATGATGCACCAAACACAAGCACGGACACATTCATTGCATAACAGATCGCTTTCTATCTATCATATTTGACCTTCCATCTACTTCAACCCTCTAATCTACCTATCTATAAACCACCTGCTTCTTCTTACTTTCACCTTCCGCCTCATCAGGATCACAATTACTCCCGTCTCTCCCATCGACACTCTCAGACGTAATCATCTGATGCTTTACCTCCTGAGTGTCGGGTATCTCCTCTTCGGTCCTCGGGCGATATCCCGTTTCCTTGTTGAAATAAGGCCCGTCTTTACTCAAGCCTAGTTCATCTGCTAGAGAATTTGTTTTTCCAGAAGCCCCAGTCGCCTTGTCATTTTTCGGGCGGTAGGTGTCATAATAAGAGTCAGGAACCAGGCTCGGCTCAGGCTTAGAGGAGGGCGAGGTGCTAGCGGTAGTAGCCGCGCGATTTGGTCGGTAGTCGTCGAGAATAGAACCCTTCTTGCTCTGTCCAGTGGGGTTCGAAGAAGACATGGTCGGATTGTTGCACAAGAAGTTTTAATTTGATTAGCTTGGTGACTTTTACAAATATCGCAATGAATATGTCGGAAGACCGGTTTGTAGCAGGACAGCTCCTTGATTGTCGTGGTTTTATATTGCATGATGAGTCTTCCTGGAATGCGTCAATGAGTTTGGAGCAATGTTTGCATGTTTGAGTCCAATGGGGTTGACAAGTGAGCTGATTCATTGTGCTACTTTGAGCACTGACTACATAAATATGTCAGCCATACAGCTTGCCCGGCCTTCCGCTTCTTGAAGCGCCATACCATTCTTGAGTAACAACAACCCGACTGTCCAAACATACGTCCAGAGATGTGTCAGCTTACTGACATCATCGGACCGCCGTTCTTCAGTCCTTCCGGCTTTCTGTCCAATCCTGTCGCTTGTGAACCTGATAGACTCCTCTCTACTTCTTCCCCTTCTTGTGAGCACGATACGCGTTATGGGTCCCTATGCTCATAGACGTGCGGTAGGCACGACGAACAGGCGCCGGATTATGGCGATCTTGAGGGTGATCGGGAAGGTTCTCGGAATAGTAAGGACAATTCGGCGCGTGAGCAGCGTTGCCCCGGAGGCGAATGCCTTCTGGTCCAGCGTAGGGAGCCAAGCAACGCCAGCAATACTCGAATTGACACTGCTCGCCTATGAGCAACATTAGTGTCACATCTCTCGTTCCTTTCAAAGACCGTTACTTACAAGTCATGTGGTCGCAGCCAGAAACTTTATCCCCGCGCTTCCCACACTTCGGACCAGGACAGTTCTTAGTGTGCTTGTCGACATACTCCTGGTCCGCGATCTCCTCTGCGGTAGGCGGCATTGCTTCACGGTGCAGACGATTGTCGTAGTCTTCGCAGGTCTCGCCATCGTGGAAGGGAATATCGTGCGTACTGCAGTGACGGTGACCGCACTCGTGGCAGATGAAGATGTTGCCATCCTCACTGTCGTGGATCTGTCCGGATTCGCAATCAGGTCCAATACATCTACGGAAACCAAGTTCTTCGGCCAGTTCTTGGGCGAGCAGATCATCGTAGCTTAAGCTCGTGTTAGTATATAAGACATATGTTTTTAGTTGGCTACATACCCTTGCAAAGTATTGCCCTCGGCATACTGTTCGACGTTCTCGCGCGTGAGGACAGTACCGCAACCACACGGACAAGTGGTATTGCGATGATGTGTAGTCTCGCCTACTCGGACTGCAATCCATCGCGCAAAGCAAAGGTTATGAATGTTGGGACCTCGCTGACATCCATCCAGCTGAGGAAATTCCTCCGTCGGGAAATCTTCAAGACAGGCCTCGCAGTGGCGCATAACAGGTGGTGCAGGTGCTGGAGGAGCTTCCAGCGGAGCGGAAGCAGCAGCTGGCTGGGGAGCCACCAAAGAGCCTTGAACTACGCCAGCTGACCGAGTAACACGACGTGATGGCCCGGCAATGCTGCTCACTGGTCGCGCACGACGTTTCGCGCGTGGCAGATCCTCAGCATCGGTTGCGATATCTAGACTGTCAAACTCTCGCTTGCCGATGCGAATGCTAGGTTGGTTGGTTAAGCTCAGATTTGGAGCGAGAGAACCAGCTTCGTTGACTGGAGAGCCGACAGCTGGCGGAATGATGGCTTGCTGCACGACAGCTTCAGGGACATCAGTTTCGGCGACTGAATCTTCGGCATCTGGGGCCCGAGACAAAGCAGCTTCTACTATCCGCTGACGGCGCTGCTCAGCTCGCTCACGCGGATGCAGTCGTGCAGAATCGGCCAAAGATGGCGGTGGACCAAGACCTTGGAGTTCTCGCTGACTGACCATGGCGCTTGGTTGATGAAGGCTGAGGTAGGATGCTGTGGTAGGTATGCAACATGTGTTGAGGTTGCGTGTCGTTGATGTGGTGGAGTGCTCAGTGAGCTTGAGGGACAGAGTTTATGTATCAAGAGGGCGACACATATCGAGGCTGCAGCGCGGGCGACGCCTCGAACGCCTGCCTGTCAGTCACTGGCAGCGCTACTTCTGGCCCATGGCCGCTTTGTTGCCGCATTGTTAGTGACTTGGCGGGGTCGCTGTGCAGGCTTGCTGCGCGCAGAAAGTAGTGAAGAGGGCCGAACAGCGCGGCGAAGTTGCATCATCTGGAGACATCACTGCACGATGTAGACGAGAGCTTTATGCAGCAAGTGCGTATCGCATGCTCGATGATAAATTTGAGAACGCGAACGGACTTTGCGGAGGAAAATACCTACATCTAGCCAGCACGTCCCAAGAAACCAAAGCTTCGTGTGCGAAGATACATGCCACCTCTCTAGCAATGAATATTATCAAGAACCTTTTGTCCAGACGCGTGATTGACTGTAAAACGCTTGTGTCAATAGCTTGCACCCGTAATCTTCTGCCAAAGGGCCCATCCCATGATCACAGAATCCAGATCTTCTCCTGTCTCCTGAAGTTGCGCTTGATATCAACAACCTAAACCTCATCTCGGAGATGTCCTTCATAGTTCGGCAGTCTGTTGGGGGAGTATCGGCATCCCGCTACATGCGCAGAGTTCCCGATGCGATGAATACCTCCTGGGCCATTGTACGGTGCGCGACAAATGTAGCAGAACTCGAATCTGCACTTGCGACCTACAATTCCTGATTAGCTTTCATCTATCGCCAAAGAGGCGGTGTAAAAGGGACTTACAAGTCATATGATCGCATCCACTAATCTTCTGGATTGGTGTCTGACATCCAGGACAGACCATCGCGCATCTCTTAACTTCTTCCTCACTCTGAGCCTCCTGCTGCTTCCTCAGTTCCCTGGCGACCCTCTCTTCCTCTGCCTGTCTATCTTCCTCGGCTTGTCTCTCTTCTTCACGCTTGATGCGCTCGTCAAACTGACCACACGTCTCGCCCTCATGGAACGCTGCATCATGAATAGTGCATGCGCGGAAGCCACAAGCTACGCAGCGAAAGATGTATCCCTCGGCGCCGCTGTTATGAACTTGACCGGAATTGCAGGACGGCGAGAGACAGTAGCGGAACTGAGCGTCGGCACTGAGAAAGCTGCGCATGGAGAGTTCGTCGAATCTACAATGTATCTGATTAGGATGCATTCTTTACCAGAAAATGGATTGCGGTACCGGTTGAAGATGTCGGCAGGTGCATTCGCCCGCACATCCTCGTGGCTAATCATCTTCTCGCACACGCTTGAAGGACACGCGATGCGGTCCCAAGCTGTGCTGTCCATCTCTTGCGTCAGCCAGCCGAGGAAGCATTCTTGACAGACTTCAGGCTCATGGCTGCATCCGCACAGACTAACCAAGTCTTGAATCTTGAACGTATCGGCGCAGATCGAGCAGTCGGGGTCCTGTGGAGGCGTGGGTTCCTTTTGCGGAGTAGCAACCTTGCGTTTCTTACTGATACCTCCACCAAGGATTGCGAATGCTACGTAGTCACCGGCTGCTCTCTTCTTGCGGCGTGCAGCAGCGTGGATATTGCGGCAGGCTTTGCAGTTGGTCCAGAAGAGGCCATTCACTTTTCTGGTATCCGTGCCATGTTGGAGAGGTCCGTTGCAGGTGCGGCAAGCTGGTATGATCTCTGGATCGTCACCTTTGGTTCATGATCGAATCTTGGGGCGTTGCGAGGCTGTTCATTGTAGCCGGTTAATGGTACAAGCAGGATTGCTGCTGTACAAAATTATGGTGTAGTTAAACAGAACGTCAGTATCAATGTGAAGGCGATTTGTTTCGGCGTTTGTAGTCGACTGCTATCGTTTCAAGAGCTCTCCTCTTACCGCGAGTATGGAGTACCCACTTTAATCCGCTATATCATAACGCGCAACGAGCCAATCAACAAGCAGGCAGGACCAAGTAGGAACCCGGAAACGGAAACCGAAGAGGAAAGCAAAACAGCGGATGTCAGCGAATTTGTGAAAACCTAAAGACTTGGAGGACTGGTAGACTTGCAGATACATAAAGATATGTGAGGGCCATGGTGAACTTCAATGGAATCTTGATTCTGCTTCGATGGAGCGGAAACTTTTCTGGTGGTCAATCTCACTATCACTATTACCTTCTTCCTGTGTCAAACAGCCCTAGCCAGCGATCGTCCATTTGAGAGGCGACCGCGGACGGAACGGGATCCTAACATTGCACTCCGGACTCCAAACATGTCCGCCACCTCAAAGTTGTCTGCATGTCGCCCAAGTATCGATGTCAGTTTGCACCATGCGGGGGTGATTTCGCGTCCTATGCGTCCACACCCAACCTTGAACATCTTCAGCCTCCCTAATCCCCTCCCGGTGTCATCACTCCCACCATCACTCGTCTTTCAGACAACAATCCCTCATCCCGTGCAGCGCGCGCCACGAACCCCACAATACACGGGTACGCGGCGGACCAAGCATGCCGTTCTACCCGCTCAGCCACCCGCGACCATCTTGGCGGCGTCCGAGCCGCCTATGTCCAGTGGATATGATGGCAATCAATCGACCATTAATTCGTGAAAGTATTTATGCATTACTGATGTTTCAGCTGCCCTTGATGTGCGCTTCGCTCCTGCAGGCGGTGATGTAGTGAACCAGACACTTGTCCGCGCAGACATCGTACTCTTCTGTGATCATGTATGTGACTCTGTCGAGGTGTTGCTTTCTGCATTCGTCGACGCAGGGAGAGGCGTTGAGGAACAGGTCGCAGCAGTAAGCGCTTCCGACTTCGCTGGTGCAGAGAGCTGCTCTTGAGGATGGGCCCCGGAGTCGTACAGCGAGGATGGACATGAAGTCGTCGGTGGTGTGTGTAAAAGTTGGGACGATATGGTAGAAGAAGATCGGTACGCAGAGTACGAGTAGTAATGTGGTGATGGCTGGACGGTGGCGCGACGAGGCTGGATTGCTGGAGTGAAGAATGTGCATGTCGGATTTTCTCTTATTTCTCAATAGACTATCTCTTCCCTTGGTCACACGTGGCGGATAAAAAACTGAATATTTCAAGGTGTTTGGTAGCCGTTCAGTTGTTCGAGTGGGGGATATGGCTACCATATGCTAATGCACATAAGGCATAAATACAGCAAGCTGAGCGGCAGCAGGCAAGATCTCGAACTTGCTTCTAGAAAAGTAAGGAATGACACGAGGCGCCGTCAGACGAAAGACGAAACGTAGAAGATAAGTATGTACGCATAGCCATAAGCACATCATCATCGGCACAGTGATACCCTGCCACGACGTTCAAGACGGTAAGGCGGCAGCGCTAGCGCTGACACTTCCTAACGTGCAAAACGTAAGTGACGGCTTGGCTTTGCAGCAGACCACAAACCAAGCATTTGTATTGCTACAGATACAGTCAGCGTTGGAACAGCATCGATCACTCACAAAGCAGCACTGAGCCACACTAAGGCGAAAAGATTAAGGGGTCGCAGAGCTGAGCTTCCTCAGCCGCAACAGAGCCAGGTTACGACAAGTGCTCCAGGTTGTTGGAAGAGAGCCACGAATTGCGGGGAGGTGGGCCGACCGCTTGAGCATGCGTCCGGGCATTGCGCATCAGATCGGTCGACTGTGCAAAACAGCCTGACACCATGGAATACAAAGGTGCTGCAACGATGCGCATCGGCCCCAAGAGTAATTTTGATCAATCATAACTGTTTAGAACTCTTGGTCCTTGGAATTGCGCCGAGTACACACATAGTCGTGACAGAGTTGGCCAGCGGAAGTGCCCGGATATATCTGTAAGTACCAGCATTGGCTTCCGTGAGGTCCCTTCGGACCGCAAAGTGAGACCCGCGATTGATAAGCTGACCCTTTCGGACATTCTCAATACCAATTATGGTAAGGTGGGATGCGTAATCCAACGCCAAGCACCAGGAATGAACTTGTGGGGCTGACACTGCTGGTTTGGGACGGCTCCATTGCGGAACATTAGCGATCAGCTGACCATACAGGAGTATGTGGTGATAAATATTTGCAAAAGGTGTTGGTTGGCATAAAGATGTAGTTGTGTTGACGCTGTGTATCCCATAGATCTATTTTGAACCGTGACGTGTCGCTGGAAAATGTTGTCTGTCTTGAATATCTGACAAAATACCTTGTGCGCACTCGATGCGCATGGAGATTTGACTAATCACGAGAACCTAAGACCAAGAGATCCTGTGTTTGTTAGTCAGATCTTGGAATGTGAGAGATGAAGGTACGTACACAAGCATGATCCCTGCGCCAGTGAACATGGCAGCGAACTGAGTCAGGGTCTTTTTGAGCTCCTGGCCTTTGTTTGGACCTGTTTCAAGCAGTTCTGGAATGACAGCTACGGTGCCAACATACAAGAAGGTACCTGCAGTGAAGGGAAGCAACATGTCTCCCCACTGAAGACTTGTGCCCATCAAACCAGGCCCTTGGCTTTCTGCCGAGGCCGAGCTACCGCCATACTCTTGAACGGCAATGCCAATGCAAGTTCCAAGGAAAGCGCCAACAGCAGTCACGAACTGTGCACCCATGGCAGCTCGTTTGCTAAAGCCGGACTGGATGAGCAGCGCAAAGTCACCGACCTCGTGCGGTATCTCGTGGAAGAAGACGGCTACGGTGGTGGTTGCCCCAATGGTGGGTGAGGCATAGAAGGAGGAGCTGAGTGCCAATCCATCAGTGATGTTGTGGGTGAAGTCGGCAATGAGATTAAGGTAGCCGCCGAGCTTGACGCTCGCGTTGATCTCCTTTTCGACCACGGCAGGCGCGGACAAGTTCTTTCCATTCGCAGCAGACTTGCGTGAGCGCAACGAATCCTTGGAGTCACCGATGTCGGCGCCGGATGTTGTTGCAGCCGCGTCAGTCTTTTCGTGTGAGTGTCCGTGTGAGTGATCATGTCCGCCTTCACCACCAGTCGCGATTCTCAGCCCCTTGTCCATAGCTACAAACGTCACGAAGCCAACCATGATGGCGACCCCCAGCAAGAGGTTCTTGTTGGGCTCGACCATGACGAACTTGACTTTGTCGGGCTCATCCTCACCGAGGAAGATCTCCGGCAGCAAGTGAAACAGGGTGTCGCCCAGCAGTCCACCCACTGCAAAGGCTACCATGACGGATAGCGACGAAGGGTCGATGTTGGGCGGGCATAGTGCGAGCAGGAAATTTGGCGGGCCAGAGATGTAGAGAGTTGCGAGGAGTGCATTGACTGCGGGGCTGCCTGGGAAGAGGAAGGCGAAGATCTGGGAGGTGAGGGACGACGTGGGAGGATTCGCTGTGATCTTGTGCTGATTGAGGGCTTGCACAAGCGGGCATTCCTGTTTGGCGGTGTTAGTACTCACATGACACGCGACCTCTTAGGTGCTCGGTATATGGCCTTGCAAACAGCTCAGGGCTTCTCCGAATATCCTCAGAAGCTGACGGGGGTCCTTCTCTATACGATGAACGCCTGACATACCTGCAATTGCTCTTCAATCTCATGTAGACTCAAATCTCCCACAGGCGTGCCCGTCTCACCCTTGACGGCTGCAGCGGCCACGTTCCATGTCAGCACTCCAATGAAGATTGCCAAGGACAGCAAAGTCCTGTTCCGTCGCGACACCATGATGGACGCGTGGCGTGTATAATTTCAATTTCCCCGGACACTGAGGGGGAGGGGAGGGAGGGGAGGGAGGGGGGGACGATGAAAGCTGTGACGTCTCAGGGGTGCTACTAGCTAACTACCCTAACACGCGGTTACAAAAAAAGAGCCCACTCACAAGCCCCGGTCTCCTCACCAAACTTGGCGAACAACAAAGAACTCCTCTTTTCAACGCTATATTACTACCTAACTATATCACAGAATAAAATATTCTTGTATGTATAAAATCTTCTCCTGATTAAGCTCTATCTTTTAAAAATTTAAACTTATCTTAATTTGCTATTTTCGCGGTGCTGTGATCCTGCGATCTAAGGAGATTTAGGAGTGGGCTCTTTTTTTTGTCACCGCGTGCCTAACTACCAGCCCACACGCTCGGCTGTGGATCCTCGCTATCGATAAGCTAGCGCGGCTTCCAAAAATTTGGGAGAAGTCGCGAACAGGACGGCCGTTCATCCGCACTCCAGCACAGAGTAGATCAACAGCCTCTTCATACCGCCATAATATCAGTTCAACCATGGGGTCGCGAACTCCAGAAAGCAAAGAACAAGTCGTCTATCCCCAAGAAGCGCCAAAAGGGCCCCTCCAAGAAGAAGATCCTGCAAAATCCGATCATCGCAAAGCATTGGTACGGCTCTTCGCCTTGATGACTATAAGCGCGCATACTGATGCACAGTAGGAACCAGAAGGAGACGCTCTCTCAAAACTATCGCCGTCTCGGCCTCACATCGCGCCTCAATCACGCCACTGGTGGCCAAGAAAAGACAATCGCCCTTCTCGGCCTGAACGACCCCAAGTCCTCGCGCGCTGACATCGCCGCCGGCAGCACTGCAAATGCCCTCAACATCGTCTCCAAAGCGCCGCAAACCATCGATGTCGAAGAGCTGGAAGTCGAGCGCGATCCAGAGACCGGCGCTATTCTGCGGGTCATTGGGCAGAAAGAGGAGACTGCAAACCCGCTAAACGACCCGCTCAACGAGCTCGACGACGATGAAGCCGACGAGTGGGACGGCTTTGCCATGGTCCCGGAACACGGAGAACAAGAGCAAGTGAACCCAGTCATCCGAGAGTTGGAAGAAGCTGCCAAGAACGGAGAGAGGAAGGCGCCGAGAAAACAGAGCCAGAGAGAAGAAGAGTGGTTAGAGAGGCTGGTGGCCCGTTATGGCGACGACTATGGCCGCATGGCACGTGACCGGAAGCTGAACCCGATGCAGCAGACCGAGGCGGATATCAAGAAGCGCGTCAAGAAGTGGCAGGCGTCGCAGGCGTCGCAGGCATGAGTCTTTCATGAAATGCATAGAGTGGCGTACTAGGCGTTCAGGTAAAATGATCCCACCGTAGCCGGAAAAGGCAAATGATGTTCTACAGCAAAGTTCGTGGGCATACATGTGTGGTGCCTCTATGTACATTGATCGTACCTTCCTTCAGCTCACCACTAGTGCATCCTAAGCGCATTTCCCGACACAACAACATATCCACTGCACATTACTCATCGACTCCTCGCACGAGACTCGCTAGCGTCTCGCGTCGCGCCTATGGGCGTTGCTTACTTGTGACAGGTTTTCGCGCTGACTGCACTACTCCAACCATCGACTGATACCTCGGGCTCACATTAACAAAGAGATGTCCACCATTGCTAGCCGGAACGCGATTGAGGCTCCTCTCTCACTTTTGACAACGTCCCGAGGGTGTAGCGTCATCGCTGTCCGGGGGAGGGGTGGCATGACCTGCCTGTGTTTATCAGTAACCTTCTAGTGACGTGATCGGATCATGCGCGGGAGACTGGCACGAAGACGCAGACCCTTTCCACTTGATGAAGAGCTGAACATCGCGCTTTGTTCCGGCACCCAGCTGGCAGGACCGCAACCAAGTCTCCAATCAGAACAACCGACTTATCGGAAGTGCGCGGAATTCCAAAGTGCGCGGAATTCCAGGATGCTCACCAACGCCTACTTGGAATTCGGACCAAGCATCACTGAGTAAGCTTGCCAAGTACAAAAAGGTCATCGGCATCGATGACGTACGAGCTCGATGTACAGCTGCGACTGGAGGTGCTTTCAATTGCAGCAATATCGCCACCAAGACTTGATTAAGGAGACATTTCTTTAAACGGCTCATGTTACCGGACACCGGTCATTCGACAGAATGGCTGTACAATTGGGAGTATTACGACGGATCGCCGCCATGATGCCACGATCTTCTCCAGAACTCCCAGGCTACCTCTCGGCATCCAACTTCTTTTGTGAATGCGCGTGACACTGTAACATCAGACTGCCCTTCCGCGACATTCCGCCCCACAACCTTCACCGTCACGTCACACAGGAAGTATGTTCTTTCCGATCGCGTGCCAACAAGGAACCAGAACGCTAGCCAGCACGGAATGTTTGAGTTGCCGAACGTGCCTCAGTTCATTCCTACATAAGGATGTATAATCTGCCCTGTAGATCCCCTCTGAGACGCACTCGATTCGTTCGAACTCTGCTATACACGATGAAGCTCAAGATCTCGAATCCGTTCAATCGCTGGCGTGAAGACAAACCAGCGGCACATAACTCGCGATATGTGGGAGAGCACGCTGGTTATGATACCACTCCTCTTCCTCGACTGACATGGAAGGGCTTTTGGATGGGTATTCTGGTATCGATGGGTGAGCATGACTGTGATGCGAAATGTTCTTAGGCTGACGTGATGCTCCAGGTGGAGGAGTGTTTGGTTTTGTACGAATACCACCAACTTGATGTACATGAAGAGCACACACTGACTGGGTACTGCACACAGGACACTGGTCAAATTTCCGGATTCCTTGAAATGAAGGACTTTTTGCGTCGCTTCGGTCAGCAACGGTCTGATGGGACATACTACTTCTCCAACGTCCGATCTGGTCTAATTGTGGCTTTGCTGTCCATCGGCACGCTGTTTGGTGCACTTGTTGCAGCTCCAATCGCAGACCGAATTGGGCGCAAGTACAGCATCGCTTGGTGGTGCATGATCGTAAACGTCGGCATTATAGTGCAAATATCATCGACAGACAAGTGGTACCAGGTCATGATGGGTCGCTTCGTCGCTGGTTTGGGAGTCGGTGCACTAAGTCTTCTCGTGCCGATGTACCAGGTGTGTACATTTTGCCCTTACAAATACGCTCAATCTAACTTGAGTAGGCCGAAACAGCACCTCGCCACATACGCGGTGCTCTCATCTCAGCATACCAGCTAATGATCACGTTTGGTATCTTCCTCGCAGCTGTATTCAATTATGCGGCTGAACGCCACCAATCCGGCAAAGCCGCATCCTGGCAGATCACCATGGGTTTGACCTTCGTCTGGACCGTCATTTTGGCAGGTGGCATCATGTTCTTTTCCGAGACGCCTCGCTTCAACTTCCGGCGTGGCAGGGTCGACCAGGCTACCAAAACCATGACTGACGTGTACGGAGTCGGCGAAAATCATTACAGCATCCAGATGGAACTCGAAGAGATGAAGACAAAACTTGCCGCTGAATCTACGATGGGAAGTCCGATACAGGAATGGATCAACATGTGGAAGGCCCCGAAGATGGCATACAGACTTGCTATTGGTATGGGCTTGCAGATGTTTCAGCAGCTGACTGGCGCGTAAGTCACTCAGCCTCACATCGCGGCCAGTATGCTAAACAAGCTTCAAGCAACTACTTTTTCTACTACGGCACGACTGTGTTCAAAGGAACAGGCATCAACAACTCCTATGTAACTCAGATGATCTTGGTACCTCACTCTTCCCTCGCAAAAGTGCATCTTGCTGACATTAACAGAACGGCATCAATTTCGGCGTCACATTCTACGGGCTCTACATCGTCGAGCACTACGGACGACGCAAGTCTCTCCTCGCTGGCTCCGCGTGGATGTTCATCTGCTTCCTCATCTTCGCATCTGTCGGCCACTTCGCACTCGACCGTGAGAATCCGCAGAACACAGAACCAGCAGCCACAGCGATGATTTGCTTCGCGTGCTTTTTCATCTTTGGGTTTGCAACGACGTGGGGACCCATGATCTGGACGATCTGCGGAGAACTGTATCCATCGCGATATCGCGCCAAGGCTATGGCGCTGAGTACTGCGTCAAACTGGTAAGTCTCATCTGCCTTACTCTATCACCACACTTGGCTAACGTTGTTACCGGCTATGGAACTTCCTCCTAGCATTCTTCACACCCTTCATCACCGGCGCCATCGATTTCCGCTACGGCTACGTCTTCGCCGGCACCAACGTTCTCGGCGGACTCATCGTGTACTTCTTCGTCATCGAAGGGCAAGGCCGCACACTTGAGGAAATCGACACCATGTACTTGATGGGTGTCAAGCCTTGGGAAAGTGCAAAGTGGGTGGTGCCGAGCTTGGAGGAAATGAGCGGGAAGGTAAGGGAGAGGCTTGAGGCTAACAATCCGGAGTTGGCGATCAAGAAGGAGGTTGCTGGTGGTGAAGAAGGGTTAAGGGCGGGAGAGAGCGGTGGAAGTGAAGAGGTGTTGAGGGAAAAGACGGAGGAGACTGCTGTTTGATTGGGAACAGCGTGTTGGTGGCAATGGGGAAGGCGGTGTGGTAAGGAGGAGTTGAAATGCTCGGTTGTCGACCTGTGTATCCGTAGTCTTTCAACCTGTCTGTGTTCGATGCGTAATTCTAGAAGCCATATGTCCCTGTGTAGCGTTGTGATTCGTGTGATGCTTGCGATGTTGTCACATGCGGATGAAGCGGTCCGACTGTGATAGCGCGACTTCTCTGTTGAGGTTGTTACTCGTGCCTTCCTGGTCTAATCTGACAGAAATGACAGGTGCCCCCATCTCTCGTGATGCTTCTCTCCTCCACCATTCCTAATCAAACTTTCTCTCGTCACCCCAACCTGCGCAATTTTCATTCACAAGTTGTCATCGCGCGCTCGCGTCGGGCACCGCTTGTTGTGATTGCACGCCTGACCATTTAAGTAACCTCGCTCCGACATCGCGAACAATCATACGCGGGAGGCCTGGACGAGTCAAGCTCGGCCTGGAGGTCTCGGCGGTGTACTGACAACCGGTAGTACAAACGAGGCTGAAGAAACGTGCCACTGCATATCGGGCACTTTTCGCGTCAACAAACCTTGCGCGAATCACCATTCACTCCACCGCATATCCTGCAGGGTTGCAAACACGGTTTGGTAAGTTTTCGTGGGATGCATTCGGTCAGGCCGACGCATACGGCGCCCCAAGCTTCGCCGTGACGTAACCTAGCCACCTTCACCGGCGCCAAGCACCGCGGCTGATCAGATTAGATCCTGTCAATCACCACGCTTGAGGCAACTTTGCACGGCATCCTGACGGCCAGGAGCATAATCAACTTTAGTCAGCCAATAGGACTTTTTGCGCGACTTTCGGGCTTCGAATCTGCGTTCGCGGAGAGGCAGCCAGTACCTTGGCGTGGTGCGACTAGTCAAATAGCGCAGACTGCTACCACCCGCCTGGTTTGATCAGATAAAGTGGGCGCATCCGTCGTCTTGGGAAGGCGAGCTCGGCGAAAATTATATCGATCTTCCTCTCCCTCTGCACCTCCAACTGCATTCCTCAGCTTTGTGGGCCAAGATGAACACCATGAAGCCAGGCGATGAGCTGGGACAGCACGACGGCACGCCCGACTCCATTGCCAAAAACCCTGAGCTGTATCGCGATGCACACTCGGAAGAGGCGATCAGCGAGAACAGTGAGAAACAGGCTGGTGTCAAGCGCATTGAGGCCGTCAGCAAGACATGGACGAGGTCGAGCTTAGTCGTCGCTTACGTCACGTAAGCACGCGCTTTTCCCAACAAAACCTGAGCTAATTGGTTGCTTCAAGATTGCTGCTCATTGCCAATGTCACGTCCCTCGAGATCCAGGTCACGGGACTTCTGACGCCGTACGCGACGAGTGCTTTTTCGTTGCATTCGCTCATCTCTACGATCTATGTAGTACAGGGTATCGTGAGCGGTACGTGCTTTACATTCTGACCATGCGGGCTAATTCTAACATTTCGCAGCTGTTATCAAACCACCCATTGGAAAAATTGCCGATGTATTCGGTCGCCTGGAGGCCTTCACTCTCGTCACAATTCTTTACACTGTCGGCTACATCCAGCAAGCTGGGTCGCACAATGTCCAGACCTTTGCGAGCGCACAGATCTTCTGGGCTGCTGGCTTTAACGGCATGCAAGTCCTGCAGCAGATCTTCGTAGCGGATACTTCAGATTTGCTTAACCGTGCACTCTACTCGACGCTTTTCGACCTGCCTTTCCTCTGGACTGTCTGGGCCGGACCGCAAGTGGGAGGCAAGATCCTTGAGACAATCTCGTGGCGGTGGGGATATGCTATCTGGGCCATTATCTTACCGATTTGCTTCATTCCGCTTTTCGTCAGTCTCTTCATCAACCAAAAGCGCGCGAAGAAGCTTGGTTATGATACTGGCAGCTCGATTCGCGGCAATACCATCTTTGAGAAATTCAAGAATTTCTCGATCGACCTGGACCTTTTCGGCTTGCTGCTCTTCAGTGCGGCGGTGTCGCTCATCTTGCTTCCGCTCACGCTTGCGCCTCGCGCGAAGGAGCAGTGGCGCAACTCGAGCATGATTGCTATGCTGGTGCTGGGAGGTGTTTTCCTGTTGGTATTCCCACTTTGGGAGACAACCAAGAAGCTGGCACCCAAAGCCTTCTTCCCGTCTGACTTGTTCAAGAAGCGAACAGTTGTCGTGGGTACACTGATTGCCTTCTTCTACTTCAGTGAGTTGAGCGAATCACTTATCCAGGATGAAGTACTGACAACTACGCAGTGGCATTCTACCTTTCGGTCTTCCCATACTTCCAGTCATACCTTCAGATTGTGCAAGGAAAGTCGGCTGTAACTGCCGGAAACATTGTTCGCGTCTTCAGCTTTACCTCAACCATCTCCTCAGTCGTTGTGTCTCTGATGATCAAGTACACCGCTCACTACAAGTACTACGTAACCCTCGGCTCTGTCATCTACATCATGGGCTTGGGTCTTATGCTTGAATACCGCCAAGAAAGTGCCAGCACCGCCACCCTCATCGGCACGCAAATCGCCGTCGGCATCGGTGGTGGCTTCCTCAACGTCCCCGTCCAACTCGGTGTCCAGGCATCAGCTAGCCATCAACAAGTCGCAGCTGCGACAACGGTATGGCTTACTATTCTTGAAGTGGGTGGCGCCGTTGGATCCGCCATCTCAGGCGCCATCTGGTCGACATACGTCCCCTCGAAGCTTCTGGCATACCTCCCACCTGATGTCCCGTCCGCGCCCATCTTCGCTAGTCTCACTGTCGCGGGCAACTACACCATGTATCCCGTCGGAACGCCCGAGCGCATTGCCATCAACCGCGCATACCAGGAGACGATGCGATACCTGCTCATCGCCGCGGTGTGCGCAGCTGCGCCGATCTTGCCGCTCAGTTTCTTTCTCAAGAACTACAAGCTCGATCAGATGAAGCAGCCTGTTGAGGGCAGGGTCTTTGGCAGCACAGAGCCGAAGCCTGTTGCTCCCCGAAAAGGATGGATGTTCTGGAAGAGGTGAGCGGTGCTGTGAATGTGCTTTATGAAGCATGATGGAATACTGCCATGAAAAAATGCTCGAGAGCCGGTATGGGCTTAATGTTGATGGTGGGTATGAAATATATCTTCAAGGAAGTGGAAGTTACTTACTAGGTATACAAAATAACTACTTCTTACTTATTTGTAATTCGATTAGCTGTGTGTATACCTCTTTGCGAGGAAGTTGTTATCTGAATATGCAAAAGGAAACGTTGCATATCATGCGCTCGCCTGTTACATCACCCTATTCACCACCTCTGCGAGTACGTAGTACGTCATAGCCTTCGCTATCACGACGATAATAAGATGCAAGCAAAAATGCAAAAACATACAACAGCGGGGATTCGCCAGTGGTCACCCACCTGACTACTAATCCGCCGGTGCGCTGCTTAAATATGGCTGAGCGGACGGGAAGCCTTGTATTCAACGCCCTATGGTCGTATGTGATAGATATGCTTCAATGTTGAAAATATAATCTCAGGACTCAAACTCGACTGTGACGGGAATGTATGTATCAGTTGTGTAGTTGAGGTGTGGGAAACTTGTACCGCACTTTACTCTAGAGCCGTCTCGGTTAATACATACTTCTATAATATTAGAGGTATAAATGTTATTTTAGGAGCTGTGGTCGGGAAGATGTAATAGAACATGCTAGATATCAGCCGCCTTTTAGCAACGACAACGGACTAGTAGCGTTTCATCACTCTACTGTCAAGAACAATACATAGACGATCGTGCGAAGGCATAGTTTGGAAGTGATAAACATGGAATTATGAACATTTACTGCGAAGCGAAGTTTTTTAGGGCTTTGCTTTGAGGAGAAAAATACCTCTTTGTCAGACGCGATAGACGGTAGGGACAGATAGATGATGCGGAGAGACAGGAAGTAGGGAAAGACAGCGCCAGGTGTACGTGCACCGCCCCAACCTCTTCCTAACCGGTGCTGACACGTCCCCAGCTTCTCAGCTGGCAGATTTGCAAGACTCGCCCAGTACGGGCAAGTGTTGAAAGGTGCGCATATTTCCCTCAACGTCGGAGCATTCCCTTCAAAAGTGAGCAGGTTCGTAGTCCCTCGGTGGAAAGTTGCCGCAAAGGGGACCTCCATGTGGTAGGAACACTTGATTGCAATTTCGGGAGAATCGACCTGGAGGCAGAATTGATGGACCGCAATGTTCGAAACCCCGCCACTGTTGTTGTTGACATTGATGTTGGCTGAGGGTCTGAAGGAATCAGCGTTCTTGATTGATGTCCATTCCGCCTCGGTGGCCCCATTCCCTTGATCATTTTCCCTAGTGCCGACTCTGACAACGACCGAGCGTTGGATGTTGATGACGTTGGGGCAATCCCAGACGCCGTATATGCCACCCGAGGCTGCGGTATGTTTTACAGGTTCATTTGAAGGATTATCATTCTGACGCGCAGACAAGCCATCAGCAGCGGCTCCATCCTTGTTGAAAGCCACGACACGTTCTCCTTCTGAGAAGTTCTTTTCGAACGAGACTTCGGTGTATCCGAGGGAACCATCTTTCATGGCTTGACGTTGCTCGTCAGTCACCAGTACATCTGAAGATGCTAGTGGCGAAGCATTCGCAATCGCCGCGAGGAGAGGGAGGAGCGCTGAAAAATGCATCGCCTGTATTGTTAGCTATGGACCTTTTGTTAATATTCAGACAAATGTTGACATACGAATTGACTGAGTGTAGTAGGTGTTGAAAGAATCTGGCTGATGATAGATGATGAATTGACTTGCTGATCTGTGTCGGATGTTTGATACATGTAAACTCGTGGACATCAAGCGCTTTATATACAAAATTCTCTGTGCCCCATCACTCGAGGCTAAGCCGAACAACGCTGGTACACCAGAACTTCGGTCACATAGCTGGAAGCTAGTCCTCCTTGCATTTGAGAATCACCGTAACGGATGTGCTCGGAGGGCCTCGTGATATGACAATTGCCATACGAGCGTATACGTCGGCCGCCCTGCAAAAGAAGTACTAGCGTGATCCTGCACTAGGAGCCTGAGCTAGCGCGACTTATACTAGCTACAAGTTCATCGTAGTCTTACCCAAAACATTACAGCATAGTACAGCAAAGTAACCTATTGAAAGTTACGGCGACTGAGCAATCTCAACCTAGAGTTATTCAATGAGACATGCGAGATGGACATGCAGTGCGATCTATCACCCACACTTGGGCCTGCAGCATGCTCGAGCTCTCCGTAGATGTAATGGGGTCTTATCCCAGCTTCGGTTGTAGCGTACACAGCCCTGTCCGCTAACCAAAGTTCGATCGCATCTATATTGTAGCATGGATGTATCGCGTTAAACTCCTAAGGGCAAGGCTTTGCGGAATGAGGCTCTGACTACTTATTCATGTCTATCGTGGCAGAAAATAGCAGTACTGGAGTAAGCACCAGCACGAAAAGGGGAGGTCTTGGCAGCGCTCTATGTTAGCCTCTTCCTCTTTAGACGAGGTTTAAAAAACTTCTCGCTATGGCGATTTTTCGGACTAGGCTTACCTATGTGAGCCCCGTTCCTCTTTTGTAACCGGAGTGAGCACCGCACAAAATCACCGCCGGTAGAACACCGAGGGCTTAGCAACTGCAACGATATATGCTCTACAGCAGTAGCAAGAGCAAGATAATAAGTTCTTAGATTTTAAGTATGTAAGTACAGGCAGATTTGGAGTATCAAATTGCTTCAAAACAATTCCATAGTTGCGTTGCGTTGCTGCTGTAATTGAAGACTGGTGCTTCTCGGGTGCGTAGAGCACCTCATAAAACCGTGCACGCGAACGTTAGGTATTACATTGGACTTCTGCTAACTAGACTGGTCGAGAACAGTCCAGGCTCAAATTCACACATCGGCAAGCTCGTATTTCTATTCTGAATTCTCCTGCGGACGTAATCACGGTGAGTTTTGTCTCCTATCCGTGCAGTGCCGAGCAGATGTTGTCAGGGTAGCACCCCGGGTCACACGGCACACTGTGAACTGCATCTCACGTGAACCACCTGGAAGCCCGGCATTCATCGTCTTATGGTCGTATGTGAAGGTTTGGACTTGGTGCTCAAACCTTAACAGAAACAACCTGTAAAATGAACACTTACTCTAGTTGACGGCACAGGAAGTCATGAAAATTCGCCCATTTCTGAGCTGTACGCCCACGTGGACGAGCGGGGACCTCTTTCTGGCTATTCTGATTGTTGACATGGAATACCATCAACTCAGCAAAATCCACGTTATGGTGGAGATGCATCCACCGAGCGCCGAGGACTACACTCTCTAACAAAACTTGCGCAACATTTAGATGTGCGCCTGTCTCACGCGAGCAGATCAGCAGCACGCGACGAGGCCGCTTGATGCCATCAGTCTCGGTGACTGGAGGCCAAGCCCAGCCACGACATGTGAGATCGCCCTGGTTAACGATTGTGAGAGCTGAAAATTATAGATTAGCATTGTTTTCGCGAATATAACAATGAGAGGCCATCGCATTTGCGAGACTTCGAGGTTATCGAGATCTGAGCCTCAATCACAATGAATGCGTCTGAAGCCAGACCACATGACTTTTCAGGATTGACAGTTGGATGAGAATATTCGAAAGTATGAAGCAAGAGAATGAGACTTACTTTGTGCACCAAGCAACTGTGCCACAGACTGCTGGATGTTCATCGCAGCATGAGCATCCGCTTCATAACTAGATGCTGGAGGTCCTTCTTCTTCATCCTCCCGATTCGGGTATCGTAATTAACACTGAAATCCTATGAAATGTATCAGCCTCGAGTTATGCCATAAAGTATCGCAAGCGATCAGAAGATAGCGAAGGCAAGGCACGTGTCTTCAGCTAGCTACGGAACGCAAAGCAAGGGATGGTCATGCGTAATAGAAATTTAGTGCTATACTTACTGGACCCGGCGATGGTGAGCGCGATGGCGGTGCGGCAGTCTAAACGAAACATATGAGTGACTGCTCAGAGACAGGGGCTTGTAACGTACGTTCTTACTGGTACCTGTTAAATTATGTTAGAGAAGCTGTTTAATTGTGATGTTGAAGAGGCAGCACTCACGCTTTTTGGGAGGCATTTTCCTGAAGGACATGCCAAACGTTAGCGACCGGGTCAAAGAGGTACGCGTGCAGGTCATAGCCCGGCTTCCCTGTGAGGCTTCGAGGAAAGAGATAAAGGGAATGTGATAGCTCTTTCCCTAGCTCTCGAAACGGCATGGAAGGGGGCAGGTTGGTAAAAAAAATGGGCAGAAATTTGTACTCACTTTGCAGTCTTCAGGGTTTGACAAAAAAACAAGGGACGAGGGTACGAGCGACTCTACACAGTCTCCTAGGTCAGGGCGGAAGGCAAGGCGGTGTGGCACATCTGACTATACGCTAGACAGAAATGGTAGATATAACTCTCACTCTTGGCTTCACTGGTCATCCATCGTCGCTCAACTGTGAAGAGAGCGTGCCAAGGTACCTCGTTTTGTCACTTTCACCGGTGACGAGAGAGCATTAGGATGATCTGTGAAGTTGATAAACCCATCGTATGTATGTCTCTAGTTTCGAACAAATGACTTTTGTTCACGTACTACTACTATCATACCACAGTTACTACTACTTACTAGACACAATGGCGCACGAACAAGAATCCGAATCTGAATGGGAAGAAGAATTGGTCGAGCTCGTTTCCAAAGAGTTCAATATCCCAAAAAGTACGCCAACTAGCCGTAACGTACTTTCTGAGCATTTGGGTTGGCCTTTCGCAGATCCATGTTGTTGCGCCCCATGAATTGGCAGCTTGTTGCACTTTTCGCGCGACTTGCACCTCCCTCGCAGCCCATAGGAAAGAAAACCAACATTCCTTCTACATCATTCTGAATTTATTCGATGTCGGACTGTGACCCATGCCAGAGGGAGATTGGCGCCCGTGGGCATGAAACACATGGTGCGAGCTTCATGGCTGGGTCAAATGTCCCAGGCCAGAGAACCAAGGTGCAGGTGAAGGCGGATCTGCGACCAGTGCAGCGTTGTGACGGACTACAATCTTGGAGCAACTTCGAGAATTAGAATATGTTTTGAATGTTTTTTTTGGGGGGGGGGGGGGGGTGTAACAGTAAGCTCATAGATGTAGTGTCGTTATAATCTGAAGGCGCGACAGAAATCCAAGCGCCGTGCCCAGATGAACCAAGAATGTACCATCGATAAGGTGCCTTGGTCTGAATCATCCCCCTTCGCGCATGTGGAAGCTCTGGAGGATGGAAGAGCTGAAGCCTCACGTGCGAAAAAGAAACGTCCAGCTCCAGATGTCTCGCCTTCTCTTCGTTCTCAGTCTCCCCTTCAGTCGCCTGAATCCAAGACGGTTTCGCAGGGGTCCGAGGTGTGTACGCCGGTCAGACTAGAAGCTGCCTGGGTGCATGTGAGAGGGACTGGTCTATACAAAAATATGATGGGAGTGATGAACTACATGATGCGAGTTCAGCAAGACATTGAGCACGAAGAGAAGATGAAACTCGAAGGGGATCTATGGGTTCAAGTTATGGAAGTCGCAAAGGAATGGTACAAGAAGAAAATTCAGCATGCACAGCAGCAGTAATGGTGCGATATCATCGAAATTGTACAGAATATACTGCATAGAATAACGAAATGTTCTAAACGCTTAGCTATTGCGAGTATCAGTTTATACATCTCCCTCGTTTCACTCCTCTTTCTTCTCTACACCTAGAGGCTTTCCCGCAGTCAAGAAATCCAGCTTGCCGACATCCACGCCCTTCATCCTGAGGATAGCATACGTAGTCGTGACATGGAACCTGTTTTGAAGTCAGCAAACTCAAACCCATCGACGAACCGAGCTGCAGCAACTGTGCACTGGAGAAGCCCAGCCTGCTCAAACGGCAAAGCGCAAGCCTCCCCAAACCACACCAGCCAAGATTGAACTCACCAAAAGTTTGGCTGCGCGAACTGCAACACATACTCCCCCTTCTTGCCCCTCCACTCCCTCTTCCCAAGCTGAACAACCACCTCCTCCCCTTCCTTCCCCTCAAACTGCCTCTCATCTACCTTTTCCAGATACCCAATAACCTTCTGCACCCTCGCAAACAGCTCTTCAAAGTTCGTCTCCGTGTCCGGCAGCGAGATACCCTCGATGTCCGGGTTGACGCGACACGGCACGAACTTGGCGGCGTCGGTGAAACGTTGGACTTGGTAGATGAGGTCTTTCATTTCGGGATGCAGCGAGGCATTGAGGTAGGTTGAGGGTTCGTCGGACTGGGCCTGGCAGTGCGTCTGCGCCTTTTGCAGGAAGTGGTGGGCGGCGCGGAGGCCTTGGAGGAGGGGGGAGAGGGCGATGTGGTGGAATGATAATGTGTTCGACATGTTGGAGGCGTGTTTGGAGGTCGAAAAGTCGGTGGTGTGAGGAGTGTGGTGGGGAGTGGGTGTGGCTGTTATATACCTACCTAGGTACTTGCGGTGCTCACGTGTCAGGGTCCATTGTTGCCTTGCAACTGCTGTTCGCGGTGACTGTTCCGTACTAGCTCATGGCGTTCATTGGACAGATTCCATGGCTGGTTCTAAAAGATGCGAAACGTGGTGTTGTGTAGAGGGGCATTACAAAGCATGTGGGTCCCGGGCCAATCGCGTCGGAACATCGTGCACCGGCACGTCGCACGGCTGCAACTCTGGTGTACATCATCCAGTATGATTGCAAAGCAAGAATGATGGGTAGCGTGGAATTCAAATGGCGGTGAGTAGAGTCGGATGCAACAGATGTCAGCAGTCTGGAAAAATGTTGTTTCGATGACAAGAAAATAGATTGACGAACACAATGGTACTGGAGGAGAAAAAGTAACATCGGGTATCATTACGCGCAACACGCTTTCTCGCAAAATAACGCTCAATTCGGCCGTCAACATCCATTCCTACAGGCGCAATCATTCTGTGGTGCGTCGCCGTGACAGCTCCTTCTCAAGCTCGGCCCTCTCGTCAACGGTCAGATCACTGCTCAAAGTTCCCAATCTGTACACCTAGGAACATGACAATCAAGCCGCAAGTCTAGACAGAGCTGTGGCCAACCAGAATGCGACTTTGTAACTCTGTCTCTGTCCCTTATCTTCTGTCTCGCTCACTGCAAGATCCGCAAAACTCAAGAAAAACGCGATACCAAGGAAAAGTAGACTGTTCATGAAGGCGCCAGCGAGTCCCTGCCGAGCCTTGGGCATGGAAGTGGTGATGAAGATATTGCTGACATTGTAGGTGATGTCGATGCCAAGTGTCGCGCAGATCATAGCGGGGAAGATATAAGCCCAGTAGTTGAACGACTCGGGTAGGATGGCGAAGAGAAGTGTCGAGAGAATGTATGCAGCGCCGCTTATGAGCAATAATATGCGACCAGGCAGTAAATGAAGTACAAGACCGCCGACAGTTGCGAGGATCAGGCCACCGACGCACATGGGTGTGAACCATGCTGCCGTAAGGAGAGGTCCAGCACCGACGACTTGCTCGATGTAGAAGCTGGCATAGAAGAGGAAGATACCGAAAGTTCCGTACTGGAAGAACAGGGCGAGCGCAAGTGGCTTCATACCCTTGACTTCGAACATGTCGCCAGGGAGAAGAGGCTGTTCTGCGACCCAGCCCTCGATGTACACGAAGGCGGCAATGAAGAGGCAGCCGATGGCGAATGTAACAGGAATATATGGCGTAGCCCATCCCTGTGGAGCGTGACTGCCATCAGTGAGAGCGAAAATGATGAGCACCAGGCCTGGAATGACCGTTGCCGTGCCCAACCAGTCCATTTTGATCGTCTGGTCGGGTCGATCTTCCTCTCGGTTCGGGACGCAGAAGTACGATACTACTGCGACAATCGCAAGGATGATGGCCCCAATCCAGAAGAACCAGCCCCAGTTAATCACTTGGGCTGAGACACCTGCAAAGAAGATGCCAGTGAAAAATCCCACGGGGGCGAAGGCGCCGTACAAACTGAAGACCAGGTTTTTGCGGGGCCCAGGGCGGTAAATGCTACCGAGTAACATGATGCCAGAAGGTAGGAATGCAGCTGGTCCGAAGCCTTGGAGTGCTCGGCATACAATGAGCATAACGTAGTTCTGACTGAAGCCAGCGATGATGCTCCAGACCAAGAACCAGACCAGACCAGAACAGAAGACGATGTAGCCTCCAAACATGTCGGCTAGTCGTCCCAATGGTAGTAAGAAGGCGCCCGTGACCAGCGAGAATACGCTAGCGGGCCATGTTTGTGCGTTGGAAGGAATGTCGAGAGCTGTGGTAAGCTCTGGTAAGAGAATATTAAAGCCAGAAATGAAGTATTCCGCCACGAACATGGACCCGAGGAGAGCGAAGCAAAAGCCCAGCTCCATCCATATTGAAGTAAAGACCTCAGGCCTTTCGCGTCCTAAGCGTTCGATTTCGGATGGGCTGTAGGAGCCTCGAGACTGTGGCAAGCCCTCCTCCTCTGTTGTCGCAGCCATGGTGACAGAAGCGGGCGAGGCAGGCCGAATGGCGGGCGTCTCACTCATTGTATATCGCGAGACCGTTATCAAGGGTTTCGAGTCAAAATGCCTGAATTTCGACGAAAGTGGACTAGGTGATGTGAATCATGGACTTGGCGTGCTGATCTGTGGTGATTGCCCCTGGAACGATGCTGTTTCTATACTTTTTGCGCTGAGATCACGAGGTCCTCCAAGGGCGCCATTGCTGCTGAACAGCGGCAGAAACGACATGATGCTTAGAAATGCGAGCTTGAGAAAACTGTCTTCCCGACTTTGTGACGACCTTTTGACAAACAAGTCGTCACAATGGGAGAAGCTATGCAAGAGTTGCGGCTTGGCATCCCGACTTGGCGTAGCGTGACACTGGCGGTCCAGAACCAACCTTCTAACGGTGGAGCGCATGTGCCAACTGCGCACTTTTGGGCACGCGGATGTCCTGCCGTGGATTCTGTGGTAAATAGGTGCAATTTTCCATGGTGAAAAGGATACGGGAAGGGCATGAATGCGCAGAGATGATGAAGCTTTTTGGTTTTCATGATTTGATGAAAGCCGTTGCTCTAGTGAGTGATTCCGGGGGGTGCCAGGTGCGCTCCTGGCCGATGATGCCAGCCGTAGTGGAAGCGCTTCGGCGAAAACTGGGGTGACGAAATCGGGGGCAATAGGAACCCAACGCTTGAATTGTGGGAACCGTCTTGTTAGTCATGATACAGCGTTTCGACCTGTGAGAGCTTCCAACACTCCCACGGACTGTCGTGTAGTCCTCGGCCATTCAGATCCTCCTCTTTAGGTGACTGCGCGACAAACCTCGCATGGCGCGGATCCGATGAGCGCCGCCGCAGCACTCAACCTCCCCACCAAAGCCTGTCACAACTGCCGGAAGAAGAGATGGAGATGCGACCGCTCCCTGCCGAGCTGCCAGAAATGCTCGTCATCCGGCGACGACTGTCTGGGCTATGGGAAGCTGTTCAAGTGGAATAGTGGGGTCGCAAGTCGGGGGAAGATGATGGGGAAGTCATATGACGCCCATGATGGACTGAAAAAGGCAGCCAAGCCTCACGACGCACCTGCAAAACAACAACACGTGTACACCAGAAACGAACAGACGTCGGGATACCTTGAGGACTTTGCATCAACGCCGGAACACCATGAAGGACAATCGACCATGGTGCTTCATCGGCCTCTTGTCGACCCGCTAGTGAACGATCTTGACCCGCACTCACGATACTACATGCATCACTTCGCGACCCAGCTATGCGATGTCATGGTCGTGTATGATATGCCAGGACAAAATCCTATACGCGATCTGATTCCTGCGACGTCTGCGCATCCTCTGCTACTTCATGTCATGGTGGCAAATTCTGCCTTTCACATCTTCAACATCTCGCAAAACCCCATGGGCCATTCAACTTACCAGGCCGATAATGCTGCCATCGATGTATCACCCTGTCAGGTTGTGCCCTTCAAGGGTGGACCGCTCAAGTCGGCATACAAAGATGCATTGATAGCGAAGCAGCAAGCGCTATCACTGTTGGCACAGAATATTGCAACTGTCGACCCGTCAAATATTGATATGATACTGATCACGATTCTTATGTTTGTCAACTATGCGCTTGTTGAATCAGGCCGCGATAAATGGAGGGTTCACATGGAGGGTGCGTGGCAGCTGATAAGGCTTCTTGGTGAACCACCGTACCTGCAGAAGCCCATGAGCAGACTTCGCTTGACCATATTGTCGGACTTCCTCGTCTTCTACATCCTCGGATCCACATTCAGTTTCAGCGCCATGCCGTCATTCATCCCCGACACAATCGAGCTTGCTCCAATTCTGCGGTATGCCGAGACCAACAATTACCTCTCATGCCCAGCTCCGCTGCTTCGCATCATGTTGGAGTCTTTCGCGCTGCCGAACAAGACAGTGTCTTGCACCGACGAAGTGTACGACAACATCCAGGAGCAGATCGGTAAACTGTTGCATCGCGCATTGGACTTCGACCCAGTTGCATGGTCCAAGGACTTCGAGCCAGCGACGCCCTTTGAAGACATCAATCAACGTATACGCATCGCTGCTGCCCATCGCTCTGCAGTCTGCATATACCTGGCCCGTGTGTTACCATCAGGGAACCCACTCATCGACCCAGCGAGCGGCGTTGCCATTGTAAATCTGGTCGAGCTCGCCAACGACGTGGTACTTCAGATTTCGCATCTTAAGCCCGGCGATGCGCTCTTCAAGTCGATTTGCTGGCCACTGTTCTTGGCTGGCGCCGAATCAAGGGACCCAGCACAGCGCGAATGGATCATGAACACCCTAGACGCTCTCTACGGTACCATGTACTGGGGCTACCTACATACTTCCAAGAGAGTCCTGGAGAGGATATGGAAATACCTCGACCAAGCCGCTGACGGCGAGGAGAATTGCTGGGTCGAAGAAGTAAAAGACTTTGGCAACGAGATCCTCATAGCTTGACTCCGATGGCGCGAACAGAAGCAAGGGTTGTTACACGACGAGAACGTGGCTGCGAGCCGTCGAGCTGCCGGGCCGTCGCACATGGCGTCGTGGCGCGCTCGTGCGCTTATCGAGACGGTATGTATATACATTTGTTGGTACCTATCAGAAGGACACTTCGAACCGACGCGTGGATGGATGTAACGAGGCTAGCAAGGCGTATTGGTCTCGTAGTGTGCGGGCGTAGCGCGTCAGTGGCCCAAGACGTCGATCCCCTGCCTTGGGTGGAGGGGTACCCGTCTCACATCATCGGAAGTCAACCGTCGAATCACCATTGCATCTGCACAACACACACAACTCAAGCAACCAACACTTTGCGCGCATGGCCTCGGTTTTTCGATAATGGCCTTGCAGCTAGGCGACCATCGTGACCATCGCCAGCCTCCCTCAGCACCACTTAGGCCCATATCCTTGTCGCCTCACCATGTACTTGCCAACCTTCTTGGTGTCGTCACTGGCCGTCAAAAACACTGCTGACCGACTGGAACTCACCGGTCGCCCGATGATATTCTCAGACCTTCGTCATAAGGTTGCGGACTTACGCCACGTATGGGGTCAGGTACCTCTACAACCAGCGCCCAGGTATGACCATGCTACTTTTCTTATGCCCACCGCTCTTTCTGCGCTGGATTGATGGGGAAGGCGTTTACATCCCCCTATCGCGTTTGCATCAGAGGAACAGGAAGGTAGCATTGATCCGCACGACGTGGCTCGCCGCACGCATGTGAGAATCCATAAAAGGATGCACATATCGCTCTACATATTCTAGCTACAGGGAAAGCTCCAGCAACAACGGAGCGCCCTTTATCATTCCAGTCACTTCATACATTATTTCTGAGGCAACCCCGTCATGCTTCACAATATCATGGCCACTTCATTCTTCCTGTTCGCACTTCTTAGTTTTTCAGCTTTTCCCAGCTCATGCGCTCAAACTTATGACAGCACCACTACGAATCCGACTGCATGGACAGAATATGCCCTTGATGGACTGGATCAGTGGTACAACTGCACGACAGGCATCTGGGAAACGGCAGGGTGGTGGAACAGCGCCAATGTCATGACCATGCTCGGCAACCTTGCGAAAGCCGATCCGTATAACGAACACGTACAGATCGTGGCACGTAGGACATTTGCCAACGCGATACGTAACGCTCCAATCAAAAACCCGGTGCCCAACGTAGAGCGACCTAATGTTACATCTCCGACAAGCACATCGCGATCCGGGACGCCGTTCAGCAAGTACATCGACCCGAGAACATACCTGCCACACTCAAACTACCCGATAGATTGGTTCCGCCACATTGATTCAGCAACAAACACCATCGGCTTGCTCACAGGCGACTCCAAATATGACGAAGGATCGATGCTCAAAGACTTTAAGCCCGATCCCTACGACTGGCTTGATGGCTTCTATGATGATGATCTCTGGTGGGCTTTGGCCTGGATCAACGCCTATGATGTCACTTCACGATCCGTATATCTAACTCTCGCAAAAGACATTTTCGACATCGTCGCGAAAGGCTGGGGCACGAATTGCAGCAGCGGGGGCATCTACTGGAACGATTCGAAGCAGTACGTCAACGCCATCGCCAACGAGCTCTTCTTCTCGACTGCCGCACATCTGGCAAATCGAGCGCAAGACACAGAGTACTACACCGACTGGGCCAAGAAGTCGCTCGACTGGTTTGTAGCCAGCGGCATGATAAATGAAAATAACACCGTCAATGACGGGTTGGATGCCGCGACGTGTAAGAACAACAATGGAACGGTGTGGAGTTACAACCAAGGCGTGATTCTCGGCGGACTTGTCGAATTGAACCACGCTAGTCCCAATTCCACTCTACTACCACTTGCATCAACCATCGCAGGAGCAGCCCTCAAAAAACTTTCCGATGAGGACAGCATCATCAAAGACGTCTGTGACGATGGCGGCACGTGCGGTGCGGACGGGACGCAATTCAAGGGTATCTACATGCGCAATTTGGGCGAACTGTGGGCAGCGACGGGCAATACAACATTCGGAGATGCGATCAAGACCAATGCAAAGAGCATATGGAGGAATGATAAGGAAGTTCAAGAGGACGGTGTGGTGTTCGGGAACCGCTGGGCAGGACCCTTTGAAGGGCCGGCGAACGCGAGTATGCAGGGGAGTGCGATGGACGCGCTCGTTGCGAACCTCGTTGTCTCGATTTGAGTACGCCGCATTTGAGTAGAATTTCCTCATTGTTATGTAACGCATTGCTTGTTGAACAACAACACGAACATCAACATCGCCCAAGTCCTTGAAGCAACACTCCATCGACACAGCGTCGACAAAACCCTCAAGGGCTCATTCCGTCAGCTTCACTTTCTTTGCCTCGCCATCCTTTCCGTCTCCCTCATCATCATCCCTCTTCCTCTTCCCACCTTTCTTCCACGTGAAATCCTCAAACGCCTCCTCACTCCCAACCTTCTTCTCTTGAACCTCACTGTCAGTACCACTGCCGCCCTGCTTCCCTCCATCTTTCCCATCCTCCCCACTACTACCATCCTCCTCCGGTACACCATGTACATAACTCTTCCTACCCCCAGTTTCCCGTCTGTCGTCTCCCTCTCCTTACCTGCCGCCACGTTTCATGTCATCCTGGGATCAACCGATTGCGCAGAAACACCAGCGCTCCCGGGCACCAGGCAGCTTGCGCGCGCGACACAACGCAGCGAGGGCGAAGTAGTCGTGCGAGGCGTAGGTAGGGTGATTGGGGAGGGGGGTGAGGGGCGGTGGGGATTTGGAATTGGATTTTGAACTGGACTTGCGTTTGGGGGTAGGTTGTGAAGAGTCTGACCTGCTGGAGTGTGATGTGTTGTTGGGTTTGGCGTTGGGGGATTGGTTTTGTGGGCGGTGTTGCGGAGGCGACGAGGGAGGTGGGCTTGAGAGGCGGATGGGGGAGGAGGTGGGAGGATTGCGCCGTGCGTCGAATGCCTGGCGAGGACGGGGCATTTGCGCTGCTCGTCGCCGTCGCCGTCTCCGTCTCCCACTCCTCTTGTTGTTCTTCGACAGCATTCTTGTCCTTATGCTCTTCCTTTCTCTCCTCATCAACCTCTCTTCCGTCTGCTCCTTCACTGAAATATCTCTCAAGCCACTCCTTCGCCTTCCTATCCCTCTCGCGTTGCTTCCTCATCGCCCAATTGAGTGTGGGCATCTCGTGCGCGTTCTCGCCCGTGTAGTCCGGATGCATTTGCAGATAGTCCTTGCTGTACTGCACGCGCACCTCGCCAGTTCTATGCCAGGGTTGCGAGAGCTGGGTGGCCATGGCTGAGTCGATTGTGCCGGCTTTCAGGAGCGTCTGAGCGTGGGTATTCATCATGCTGGATTCAGCGGCGAAGCGGTGCGAGTTGAAACTGTGGCGCGCGGAGGTCGAGCTCTCGGTGGGGAGAAAAGGGTGCTTTGGATGGGATTTGGACGACATGATGGGACAAATAGGTATAGTTTTAAATCGGTCGTTGGTAGAAGAGCTACTGTACTGCTTCAAGGCAGTGCAATGTCCGGATGATATATGGCTTTGTGGGTTGCGTAGTCGCACAAAAGATGGGTACAAAAAGCGATGTGTAATAGAATGAGGTTGACTGAGGATGGGAGAAGGCGGGCGTGAGCACGATAGGCGACCAAGAGAAAAGCTCTGACATGATGTTCAAACCGCAAAACAATGTGGTGAATGTGAGAGTGAAAGTGAAAGTGAAAAGTTTGTGACACAAACTTTTCGTCCCTTGATGCAACACCGACATCAGGTCACAGCACTGAGATGGTAAGACGTCTTCACTAAGCTCTGAACAAAGTTAGTTATTAGCAGTGATTGTAATTATTTGATCAGAACATTGAGTTTGTTGTTACATAGCATAGGCAGCGCTGTGTGTAACCAGAGCGCCTCAGGCATTCAAATGCCCATATCATACTTGTGTCAGTGTACTGGGTTCAATATGGATATTTAAATCTCCCCATCTCCTCCCCCAGCGACATCTGCAATCATTCTTTCTCCATCTTGCTCATTCTCATTGTCGCTGATGTTCGCCGAGATAACCTTTCTCATACCGCTGAACAATCTCATCGTTTGGATCGTGGATCACCTTTGTTGTGGAATCTGGACAAACAAGCAATTTGTTCTTTTTATCCCACGTCCCACCGGTACCAGACGGTGAGCGTCGTGCCAACGCTGTGCAAAGCATCAGCAACCTTGTGAAATAGTCCGATGACTGGTTCATCAAGGACGCGCATGTACCGATTGTGATCCACTGGATCTGCACAATCCAGATTGATGGTCAGCATGATCTCTCTGGGATAATCGTCTAGATCGATCACGTACTGAGAGGTCAGCGTATCCGGTCATGATAATTGCTCGCGATGTAGATCGATCTGTAAAGCAGGGGCTCGCTGGTTCCACAATAGGTATCTTGAGATGCATATCATTTGGCTGAGGTCAAGACTGTGGAGGTATTCGAGGATGCACATGTCCAGCTCTGTAGGCAGGTTGTTGAGTGACATCGCGGGTTCCACAGTGAGTTGAGTTGACGCAGGCTACTCTTTGGCTGCGGGGATGTCTGTACATGCCTGCGGGCAGGCCAATATCTTGCGTGGCGCGATGAGCAAGCTCCACGTGCAGCCCTGTAGTGAAGGGACTGGTCAACCCCATTTGTCGATACCGGCTGTGATGACGCAGCTGCTTCAAAGGCATCGTGATGAGCATCAAGTGCAGTCATGAGGGATGAGAGGAGAGGTCAGAAGAAAGATGAGGAACGAGAGAAGTTGCGAGCGCATTGCAGCATCACTTTCCAACTAACGTAAGCCTGCCTACTTGAGGAAGTCACCACCCGTCTTCGCAAGAACCTCGTCGTAATAGCTTTGAAACGCCAGCCAGCCTTTCTCCGGTGTCCCAACCTGCTTATACGTCTCTGCCGCCTCTTTATCACCAATGATTTTTGGCTTATTTCCACTCCCCGCACTCGCCGCATCAACAAGCAGCTGCGCTTGACACGTCTTGTCAAGGCTTAAGAACCAGAACGCTGCCTCATCCACCGTCTTGCCTACCGTCAAGATGCCATGGTTTTGCAGGATGGCAGCTTTGCCATCGCCCAACGCATCGGCTATTCGCTCACCTTCTTCCGACGCGAGCACCACACCGCCGAAATCTTTATACACGCCATGAGATTTATAGAAGCGAATGCTATCTTGCGTGATCATGTCTAACTCCCTCCCAAACGCACTGAACGCCTTGCCATACACACTATGCGCATGACATGCCGCATCCACATCTGGCCGCCTCTTATGGATCGCGCTGTGGATCGCAAAAGCCGCTGCATTGATTGGTTCATTGCCCTCCACCACTTCTCCCTGCTCATTCACGAGTATCAAGTCTGATACGCGAATGAGCGAGAAGTGCGTGGACAGTGGATTCAGCCAGAAATGATCATGCAAAATCGGGTCGCGCACAGATATGTGGCCAGCCACGCCCTCATCGAAGCCCCGCGAGGCGAAGATGCGGTAGGCGGCCGCGAGGTGTTGTTTCCGGTACACCCGCTCTTCTTCGAGCGTGTTGAACTTGGGGTATGCGCGGATCTTGAGGGCGCGGCCGGAGGTGGTGCGGCCCATGGCTGCGACATGGCGGTTATCGTGGGATTCGGCATGGTCGACGCGCAGGCCGGATGCGACCGAAGCCTGCTTTGGGTTGGAGGACATTGCGACGCTGCGAAGGATGGGTGGTCTCTGGCATCGCGACTGCGGCCTACATCGTGCAGCAGCCTGTAAGAGAGGTCGAGGCACTAGGCGAGCTGTAGACATGGTGAGTGCAGTGGATTAGCTGGTCGTCTCATGTTGCTTGAGCTGGAGCTTGATATGCGGAGAGCCCCAGGTTCCCCGCGATTCCGCTTCGGATATAAATCCGTCGGGAACATGTCACGCAACAAGTATCCGGTGGAATCGGCATCTCGACTAGTGGTATGGTCGCGATGTGGCAGTAGCGAGAGAAACAAGGAGTAGACGTCTGAAGCAGCGTGCCGGAGTAGAGTCTGACAAAGTCTACAAGGTCACATGACCCCGCGTGCGCGACGCGACTCCAGCATTGCCATCTCTCCATCTCCCCTGACGGTACGATTCGTGCGATCTAGTCGTTCCATTTGTCTTTTCGGACCAAGACAGTGCGACTCAACCTAGCAGTATTGAATGTGATCTTGGAAGTCGTGGCCGGTTCATTCACGGAGGATATCTAATGCCGCCCAATTCGATGGACTGCGTCACTGCGTGGCGGTGTCTTCGTTGCTAACAAGCATGCAAACAGTCGTGATGCATGTGATGCATCGACCTCCGTGCTTTGAGGAACGCATTGCTGCCTGCGCTAGCGAGACACTAGTAAAGCCACGCTGCTCAACTTCTTCACCTCTCCTTTCCCGCGACAGGCAGCGTCCTGATGCCTGCGCTAGCATCCATGCTTTAGGCCAATGCTGTCGTGTATAAAACGATCGAAGTCGACGCTCCTGTGTCTCATTCCTAGAAATCAGCAATTCAGCAGCACGCAACTCAGCCGAGTAACGCTACAAGAATCAACACCACAACAACGCATCTTCAAAACGGCCTACATGGCAGCAGATACGCCAGCTGCCTATCCCGGCCTCGGTCTTGATATCCGCTACGGCCCATGGACAGGCGAAGGCTATGGCTACCCTCATGGCGCAATTAACGATGGCAACGGTACAGAGTCAGAGCTGCTCTATGTCCGCGAACTGGCTATGATGAATATCATGGACAAGCTGACTGACAAGCCGGACTGGCACAAGAAGGTATTTGACGAAGAAATCGTTGCAAAGTGGCGCAAGGAAGCCCTTGCGATTCCAGATGAAGAGCTGTACAAATTGGCTCATAGCGGTGGCGAGAAAATGCCAGAGAACATCCTGAATGAAAACACAGTCGACTGTGTAAGCATGCCTCCTCCGACATTCTACTCACTTGCTAACACTTCTTGACAGTGTATCAAGGAACTTCGCAGCAAGGCCAAGTACTTTGAGCAGACTGGCATTGTTCCTACCATGGAAGCTTGTGCTTCAATCGCCAAATCCGATACTCTCGTTACTCAAGAGCTCCATGAAGCATTGCGCCGTGCATTCGACCAACTCAAGCTTGACCAACAAGCATCTCCCGACTGGCATCCAAATTCCCAAGACATGGTCCAAGATCTTGTTCATCCTTCCATGTATCCCCTTGTCTTCGGTCGTACACGAGCATTTCCAGAAGAATGTGTTGGGGTTGAAGATGCCATCAAAACTTGGGCCGGAAAAGGCACCATCATCCCCAAGGAAGAAGAACTACCATCCGATGATAATCAGCGCCGTGGTTTGTGGAATCGTGAAGTCGATCACTACTCGAGCAACTACCAATGGCTGCCAGCCAACGTCGCCTTCCAAGACGATGGCAGCGTGAAGTTGACCAGCTATATCAACAACTTGCACCCGAACAAATATCCAGAAATCTACCGCACAATCGAGAAGCTCGTGGAGACGACGCTCCCTCTGTGGGACCAGTGCCTATCCCAGGATGAAGGTACTTCAAGGCGCTGCGCCGGTAGAACGTGCCCTCGCCTAGCTTTAGTCGATAATCCCGAGTGAGTGACGATAGCCTTGAATATGATCTGATATGGGCATTAACGCTCGGTGTAGTGATGAATGCGAGGCCAATTGGATTCCTGACAACATGGATGCTTGTGCCGATTTGGAAGTGGATGAAGACGCTTTGGAAGAAGAAGGTTACTATCCGTATGATGACGACGAAGATGGAGAGCAGCTCAAGGAATACAAATGGCGAGTGGTTCGCAAACCTAAGCTTCCTGAGCCAGTCTTTAAGGAAATTGAGTATGCGCCCAAGGAAGGTACTCGCCTCATCGATCGCTTCAAGGAAACCGGCCTCCAGATAATCGTCAAAATGGCATCAATCGAGTTAGATCCTCAGAAGGCCGAATTTCCGACCGGTAGCTGGCACGTCGAAGGTCAGCTGAATGAGCACATTTGCGGCACCGCGCTGTACTATCTTGATAGCGAGAACATTACAGACAATAACTTGTCATTTCGTATGCTGACGTCGGAAGACCTTGGGTACGATTCAGAGTACGCCGTTGGACAGCAGTCATATTCCTGGATGGAATCCGTCTTTGGAACATCGCTCGGATCTGGAGGCGGCGATGCTTGTCTGCAGAACTATGGCAGTGTGCAAACTCGACAAGGTCGTTTGCTTGCATTTCCAAATACCTTGTTAGACACGCAGTCAAGCCCCGAGTACGTCTTCGCTAACATAATTGCCAGTCAACACCAGGTGTCTTCCTTCAAGCTTATCGATCCTGCCAAACCCGGTCACCGCCGCTTCATTGCTCTCTGGCTCGTCGACCCCCACATGCGCATCATTAGCACCGCAAACGTCCCACCACAGCAAATGTCATGGTACGCTGAGAACCTCCTAGGAACGACCGCCGTTGCGCGCAAGCAGGCACTCGCCAAACTTCCAGCGGAACTCGTCGCAATTCTGCAAGAACGCGGTTTGCTCACTGCGGACAATATTGCCTTGAGCGACAATGCGAAGCTGCCCGCGGAGCTGTTGGATATGGTGCGTGGGTATGTTGACGCCGAAGGACATGCTTTGCCCATGGGAATCGAAGAGGCGCGGGAACATCGGGTGAAGTTAATGGAAGAAAGGAGTAGGCATGTGAGAAACGCCGAACAAGCCTGGGAGTCGAGCGTGTACAGCTTCTGCGAGCACTAAGAACAAGGGGCTAACGTTCAGAAGAAACAAACTGCATTTCTGACTGATGTGAATGTGGTTTTGATTACAAATTATGCAAGTCTGTCATGCTCACATATTTAGTATCCCACCAACCTCTTCTTTGACTGCATGAGACATTTCCCTGTGAACCACCTCAAGAACCGTCTCTTGCTATTCCTACCAGCTCGCCGCGACCGGCTGTACATCAGTTGTCAAAGACCACACGCCTTGAGAGTTGACCGCATGCACGATCGCCTCACGCTGCACGTCTTGCCTTCTAGTCGTGGTTGCAATAGTGCGTGTAGTAGCGCCCTGCTCAGCCGTCAATATCAAGTTTCCTCTAGATCTCGAGACAGAACTTACCTGAACGCGCGCACCCCTGACATTCGTGTACGGCCGTCCAATCTCATCCGTGCCCGTCGGGTACTGCACAATTACCGAGTACGCCACAGCATTCGCAACCGGCGCCCAAGTCACCGTAAAGTCACCTGCATTGTTCGCCCGTCGAATAACCACACCCGACACCTTCGCCGGCCTCACCGCACCATTCGTCGCAGGAATCTGCCCCGACGTGTACCGGTAACTGCTCGACGAACACGCCGAATTCGCACTCGTGGTATAAAACCGCCAACTCACCGGCGCTTGCCCGCCCTTACACACATTCGCAAACTCATGCACAGCCGTAAACGCCGAGTTCCCCGGTAAGGCCGTGAGGAAGTTGTTCCCCGGCAACGGGTAGAAGGCATCACTGACGCCGAAATTCGCGACGCCCCGGAACGGTGCGTGCACGGCGCGAGTGCCGTCGGCGTAGGTTGCTTCAAAGGCCCATTGTACGCCGATGTAGCGGTCCTTGTTGAGCGTGAGTTGCGCGGTGCAGCTGCCGAGATTGAAGGCTTTGAAGGAGCTGGGCGCGGCGCCGGATCCGCATGAGTATTGCCAGGAGGTGGATTGGCGCTTTGAAATTTCGAGAGGGGAGGCGGCAGCGATAGATGCCAGGGCGGCAATGAGGGAGAATTTCATGATTGCTCAAAAGAATGAGAACTCGCTGATGATAATTCCCCCGCCAGCGACTTCTTCACCTACATATATACTTTTCTCGAGATGACGCCATGGTCTTGGTAACGCAAACTCACGATAATACCAAGCTTGGTAGTTGTCAAGCCAAGATGGGCGCATTTTACCCATACGACGCCCCAAGACGGATCGGCTGGCTTAGCGGGCTTGATCTTCCGAGCCGCCCCGGGATGAAGCTGCTTGGCAATGCAGATCGCGGGGAAGATTTCCTACTGCGAGACGTGGCCGTCGACTTCGATGTACCAAGGCGGAGTCTACAATTAGGATATACGAGAAATGGTGGCTGGGCATTGTGGAAGCGACTTTGCTGGAGCGTTTTTGGCAGGCGTGAAGGTCATCGGTGAGCAGTGGTGATCCTGCGGCGGCTACGTGACTTACTGCAAGGTACGCTACCAGGCCTTCTATGGTCTTATGTACTTGTGGTTATTTTCTTGTACTACTTTCATGTTGTTGTCATATGTGCATGGAGTGCATATCTTGCCGTCAATTGAACACTATATTTACATGTGACAATTTAAGTGCATCACTGCACTCGAAGCTCACCACAGGTGCACCGGGTGAGTCAGATTTCGGTTCTCACGGATCAAAAAGTGGTCGTTGAGCGGCATGACTCTGGTATTGGACATCAAAAGGAGCTAGGTTCAACCCGCTGGGAGCAGTTCCATGGTTCCAAAATTCCAGTCAATTCAAGCTCTTTCTGATTAGAATCTTGGAATCGTCGCTTGTGTCCAGCATTTATAATGATTGAAAGCTATTACTGTCACGATCCGGACTCGAAGGACGAAATAGATGCATTCGAAGACCAAGCGCCCAAACGACGAGTGCCTCTGGAACCAATATGTGGTTACAGATCCGACCCGCCTCTGCCCGACAACAGTTTGCGCACTGATTTTGCAACCTGGGAACCCGGGTATCTTAGATCTCAGAACGCGCAAAATAGCCACCCGTCAACCACGAGGTGATCCAACTTGGCAATTCGAGGAGAAAAGGACGACAATGATGACGTATAAGTATGCGCTTGGGCTTCCCAACAAAAAAATCGCATCCACGTATCGCAATGTCCTCATTGATGCTATGGCTGAACACATGAACGATTGTGAGTTTAGTCCAGGCTGGGATGTACTCGCCGATGCTATCAAGGGACATGGGTCATGCCCTATGAGACAGCTGGTAGCATTCCAATGTATCCTTACAACAGATCCATCCGAGTTCGAGCCGAAAAGCCCGATGAAACCTGGAGTGGTGCGCTTGGGATCAATCAGGAAGAAGTTCAATGCATGTTGGAGACGGTATCTGGATGAGGTACGCCAGGATGGAAGAACGTATAGAGAGATATAGGAAGAGTATCGAGACAGGGATCGATGCCGATTTCATGAACATGTGGAAAAGACATGCGATCGAGTGGCTGAAAGCCCTGCACCAGCGAAACTCAGGGCTCAACTGTAGCTTGTATCGGCGCAGATTTATGGTAGTTCGGTGAGCTTGGCAATCACGAATTTACTATTCTTCTTTCGTACATATTAACGATTCGACCGTCGAGCATGCATGCGTATCTTGAAGTGACACCGCCTGAACTTTCTTCGCGAGATCGACGGCATAAACCCCATGAGAACGGTCTCGGTAGTTGTGTTTGTTTGCAACACCATGCTCAATCATTAACTCCACGATATCATCCCAGCCGTTGTTTTTTGCCCAAAAGAGCGAGGAAAATCCGCCTTCAACGCCTGAGCCGTCAGGAGAAAATGAATTCGCGCCCGCTTCGACAAGGAGTTTCACCACGCCCTTCTGGCGGCGGAAGCATGCAACCTGAAGGGCAGTGGAGCCTACACGTCCTTCCGGTCTCTCAAGATCCAATCCATGGCTGTCTGCAAGCAGGACTGCCACAAGTTTGGTGAACCCAAACGATGAAGCATAGTAAAGTGGGGATGTTTGAAGAATGACGCCGAGAGGAACGTTTCTCGACACGTACAAAATCCAGAATGCATAAGCTCCACCCCTGGGCATATGCTGTGTAGAAATTAAGTGTCTGACTCCCTCCAGAGTCGCTGTGCCAGTTCCGGTGATGTGCAGGGGCCAATTCAGTGCCGCATAAGACAGTAATGGATATCGAGCTGAAAGTGTATCGAAAGTATTCCTGGAGTCAATCCTGAATGGTCGGAAACGAAGATACGTGACACAGGTACGCATGATAAGGTCGTGAGAATTCGTCTCGTTGAGTGCGAAGTCTGCAGCTTCCGTATTCTGGATGTAGGTTGAGGTCAGGCAAGTCTTCACAGAGGAATGACCGAGCGACACAAAGCCAGTGAATTTATCAAGCTCCACCAGGCCCTGACCAAGCTGCAGCAAGACATTTGGGTCATGGAGTCTGCATTGTTCATCCAGGTCGGTGTCCTCGTCTTCAACCACTATCGCCTCACTAAGCTCCCTCAGAGTGAGGGGACGAGTGGCGAAACTGAGCCATAGAAGCATAGTACGCAAGTACCTGCGATGGATAGGGTTATTGATATGACCACCCAAGCTGCGTACGTATGTCTCATTCAGGCTGCTAGGCATGCGCGAAAGTTGTCGCCGGACTTCACGTCCCGTATGTTGTGCTGCGATGCGTGTCAATTGTAGCTGAGACTCCGCGAATCGGAATCTACCCGTGTTAGCTTCTGTAACTTATCAGTTAAGAATTAGATGCTAAAGCTCACACTCCACTGGATCGACCAAGGATAGTCCGACGAATTTCTTCACGGACCAATGGATCGCATTTTCTCAACTCATCGCTCGTAGTGATTTCCTCGTCGAGATAAGTGGCTATGTCATGGTCTACGAGATTCGCCTTCATTGTGCTAGTTATAAATCTGGCTTCTCTAAAGGCTGACTCGTGAGGTTCATGTGTGCTAGTGATGAACAGTCGAATGTTTTTACACTTCCCTGCGAGACCACCCATGGTCTTCTGAATGATTTCGGCCTCAGTGCTCTCGTTGACCGCATCTATGCAGATGTAAAAGCGAGAAACTTTGGTCACGTGTTCGACGAGGATTTGAAGAAGTTCGCTGGCTTCAACGCTACGGGGCTGTTGCGCATTGGCTGCTTCCGCATACTTTGTTGAAATTTTGTCGTACATTGAAGGGATCGCCTCGCACGCCTGGACTAATATCGATGCAAGGATATTGACCAACTGTTGTGATGCCAGAGTGCCAAAGGAGCAGTAGAAACGTGTGCAAACTGTTGAATCTTGTCGATTGATCTCAGAGCTAAGCTGTTCCGCGGAGCGCGCCCTGGTACGGTGTCAGTAATCGCCGATATTGGGTACTACACATACTGACATAAGTGTTGTCTTTCCCGAACCGGCTGCACAAAACTCGTTAGCGCAGCAGTATACGAGGAACGACCGCTCAATGGACGGCTATACATACACTTTCCTTGCAGCCACAACACAGCAGCCTGTTCATCTGATAAGTCTTTCCAGATAGTAAATGGGCCGTCAAGAAACCAAGCTCCAGTTCCAGGCAGGTGTTGCATTAGCGCATTGGTATGTTCCAGCTGAGGTGCGACTGGGGCGAGCCAATTGAACAGAACTTTTCTCTTCCGCTCTGTCCAAAGTTAGACAGGCACGCGGTTTGTGAAACATGCGTACCCCAGATCTCTAGGTCCCGTACCTTCCTGTCGCTCGAAACCTCGGTCCGTAGTTGAGCCACTTCGTCCAAGATTGCTTGGTTGTAGTTCCTGTCAATGCTTATCAGTCGCAGCCCCAGAATTGGATTGAAAATCTCACAAACTATCTCCCATCATCACCATTAACATCGCACTTTTTACCTCCTCCAAGCGTTGACGATGTTCCAGAACCTCTGTCTTCTTGAAATGCCACTTGATGCTTTTCCACTTCTGCGCGACCACTGAATCGCCAACCTTCAGAGACAACTTCAGCGCAGCCAAAATAGACCCTGCATCGTGTAATAGGCCATCGAACTGTGCCGAGTCGAAGTTGTGTTTCTCCTTATCAAAAGATATTATTCGCACGGACTGCACATATTCCAGTACTCCTTTGAGAGTGAAAAGATCACCCACTAGGTTCTGTATGTCTTTCCTAGCTTCTTTGATGTCGGAAGCAATTGTTATCAAGGCTGCAGCGACTGGCGGAATCGCGATCAGTATCCCAGCTAAAGACAGAGGCTCCACCATGGTTGTGGTTGTGTCCTTTCGATGTTACTTGGAGAAGAGCTGAGTGTCCAGGTGACAGTGCGGGGTCATCGCGAGCTGCAGGGTGAGCTGAACCTTCAGTCTCGTGGAGCTGAGGGTGACTGCCGGAAGCTGACAACTCATGGCTTATTGTACGACGTCATGGTCGCACACAATTCTATTGGACCTAGGTCAAACGGGCGACTGGACACAGAACGTTCACCATAGGGAGCTAAGGATGCCCAGTCTACTTTATCGGGCCACATGTTACTAAATCGGGAGGTAGGCGACCATGGTGGAACACAATGGCAGCCTATACAGTATCCTAAAGCAACACACAGCACTCCATCGTCAAAGTTGAAGTACATTGATGTCGTGCATATCTTCAAGTTATGTCGACTGCCACATAAAAATGAACGCTGCATTCTCATTCATTGATATAATTCCATATCCAAAACACACACGACTTTATTTAAGATGTCTTTGAGCAACTCCTGCGATGATTTCGATGTCGAAGATAATTCTGTAGGCCTCTTGTATTTACCAAGCAATTTCGAATAAAGTGTTTGCAACATCAGTTCTCTCTTTGCTTTGAGACAAAGGTCCCTGTCCCTTTTTTCGCATGACCTCATGAGGAACTGTTTTAACAAAATCTTTTTTTAGTTGAAGATTGATGGCCGAAATGTTTGACTTGGCGTGGTATTGCAACATATCCATCTCCTCCTCCTCCTCGAAGGGGGACTACTAGCGGCTCGCTTTTCTCGAGTTATGTTATCTTCTCCAGCGGCTAAGATCGCCCGTAGATATCGTTGGGACTGAGATTGAGGGCCAGCCTTCCTTTGCTTTGGGCGTCGGGCGTTACAGTCTCTGAGGTCGTCTGAGGCGTTGTGCCGCTGTTCGGGGTTGACTGGAAGCTTATGCGTATGTGGGGAGCTGGATTGCATTTTATAGAGCATTACTCGGAACCTGACGCAAATATAAGTAAATTTGTTACAAGACTGAAATTAATGTGATGATAGGGGTTGTGTAGTGGCTGTTGAGGGCAAACATATTCGCTTTGAAGGGATCCAAAAATTTCGCTGGCTGTGCTTGTTGAGCCGATTCCAAGCCGCGAAGAGAGGAAACTTCGCACTGCATGCGCGCGCAAAAATGAGGCAGGTTCGAAGGTGCAGGCTTTCCTTGAGGTGGGTGACGCTATCAATCTCAGGCGAATGACAGTTGTGCTATTGACTGGAAGCGCCTTCAGTCTATTGCTGCTCTTTCTACACGTAACGCCCTCTGTTGCTTCGTGATCTCCTCACAAGCTTTCCACTTCAATGGACGCAAAAATCGTTGTTCTCAATTAGAGAAGTCCGTGATACACGGATACTTCATTTCCAACGCAAAGTGTTCTTGCATATTTTGTTTCACCGTGTTAAAGGCAGGACAGGGATGAAATTAGGTCGCAAGTCGTCTATTGTCTGAATAGCTTCAATGTGTTCCCAAATATATGTGTGAATATACATGGGAGTTGGCCATACGGTTTGTGCGGACATCGAGGTCAAGCTATGCCAGATACCGGGTCACTTTCCTTACTCCGCTGAACACCGCAAACCTGTCGTGACGTAGATTAAATGGCAACTCGAGTGCTCCAAAACTCTAATTCAAACCAATCATAGCATTGGCAGTACCACGGTTGCGAAGTTCGTTGCCCGACTCGCCCTAAGCCGCATACGCACAGCCGGCGAAGCCGCCAAATCACCGGGTTCGCCGGTTCTCCGACTGTATCACCGAGCTTACACTGAAGAACTTATCTCTGGATGATGATCATGATAGTGAACTGGGGCTCGATCGCGGCGACATTGCGGTCATGAGATGGGATGTTGGAATGGGGCGCTTTTGTTAGAGTATAAGCTGACGGAGTGTTGCTGGCCGTTCGTACTTCGCACACTGCATCTCTAGAACGCATTCAATCATCGTGACAGAATCCGAAACTTGTTTCCAAGACCAATAGTACTCATAATATTCCAACAAAATGAGGTTAGTCATTCGAGACGAGAAACTTGCTGCGTCGCAGTACATCGCCGAATATATCGTAGGTAAGGCAGGGACGCTGGCGACTGTCCAGATAGTCGGTCTGACTTGCATAGATCGCATTCACAGATTCGCACCAACACAAGAGCGACCCTTCGTACTCGGACTACCCACTGGTAGCAGTCCAATCCTCATATACAAGATACTCGTGGAGAAGCACCGCGCAGGCGAGATCTCGTTCAAGGATGTCGTCACATTCAACATGGTTCGCAAGGCCGCGTTTCGCGTTTCAAAGCACTTTCTAATGTCTCGCAGGATGAATACATTGGCCTCGATCGCGACCATCCCGAAAGCTACCACTCGTTCATGTTCCAGCACTTCTTTGCGCACATAGACATCCTGCCAAACAATATCAACATTCTCAATGGCAACGCCCCAGACCTTGAGGCTGAGTGCGCTGCCTATGAGGCAAAGATAAATTCAGTCGGAGGCATCGAGCTCTTCCTCGGCGGCATCGGTGCAGATGGACACATCGCGTTCAATGAGCCTGGATCGAGTTTGGCAAGCCGCACAAGAGTTAAGACGCTGGCGTATGATACAATCATTGCGAACTCGAGATTCTTTAACGACGATTTGAATCTTGTACCGAAAATGGCATTAACGGTAGGAGTGCAAACGATCCTTGAGGTATGGCTTCCTCGACGCATTGTATACTTCGCTTGCTGATCATGTTACGACAGGCCAGAGAAGTAGTCGTCATTGTGACCGGCGCGCAGAAAGCTCTCGCTCTTCAGAAGTGCATAGAAGGTGGAGTGAACCACATGTATACCCTGTCGGCACTGCAGATGCATCCGCACTCTATGGTCGTATGCGATGAAGATGCCACATTGGAATTGCAGGTCAAGACAGTGAAGGTAAGTGTCGACTTTACATTCAAAGTCGCGTCACCTAACGCAATGCAGTACTTCAAGAGCATCGAACAGGTCGCGAAGCAATTTGATATGGCAGTACGGATCCCAAATTCAATGACGACCCAGGGAACAGCTGTTAATATCGCTATCGAACGACCGATGCCGATCGATGGCAGGGATAGACAGGACTCGGGTGCGGAGATGCTCTTCATTGTGGACGACAAGAAGTTAGCTCCATCAGCACATTCCATATCGCGAGCGACAACTCCCGATCTCTTTCCAGATAGCATGGGGTCTCGGGTGGCAGGCGTAATTAGCCGCGCGCCGTCACCAGGCATACAAGATCTATCTTTCGACCGAATGAGCTCTAGAATCGAGAGAGGCGCGGTAGTTGTGTAGTCATATGTAACAATTCTCTTCATGATCCACCTTCATTATCTGCAGTGTCTGAAAACGCTGTGTTGCCGAATATTCGAGTGAGATTGGATGGCCAAGATGCGCTATGATTCCCGTAGACGTTCCAAAAGCCAGGGTCGTCATAATTTTGCTGTTGCTGATGCGCCATCGCATCTGCATCTGTCTGACCAGTGATGCTAGGGTTGTCGAGATCTGATCCAGCGTCAAGGGCGGTTTGTTGGAACATCGAACCAGAAGCAATTTGTATGCTGTTCTGATCGAAAAGTGACCAGGAAGGGTCAAATACGGGTTGTGTGAGATTCAAGTTCGGCGACAGGTTCACGCTCTGGAGCCACGTCTCGAGACGGTCAGCTAACATGTGATGGAGGCTGGGAGCTGGCCGCTTTGTTTTCCGCAGCTCTTCGAGATGGTCTTGCACAAGTGAAAGATCTTAGTCAGGTATTAGCAGTCGAATACGAGAAGTTGTTCTGGTACTACTACCTTCGTGCTCTCCGACCCCGCCCTGTGCACCCTGAAGCACAAGTATGGCAGCCCACGTGATCATCTACTTAGTCAGTCGGATTATCAATCGGCTAAAATGCTTGTCATCAACATACTACCAAGTCCCAGTTTGCCCAAATTCCCTTGTCGTCTCTCCGTAGCATAAGTGTCGCACGGGCGGAGAGGAGAAGCTCATGTCGTTCGGACAATGCGACGCTGGCTGCAAAGAGATCGAACCCGCGAGCAGGGTGGTAAATCGAGAGCACGAATAGTCTGTGGAGGTTGTACTGTCGTCGAATCTGGATGCCGTCGTAGCCAGTGTTGGTTGGTCCTAGTATTGTCAGTGCCAGGTGATGCAGCGGCCGCACGATGCTCACTATTTGAGCTCACAAGCCAATCATCCAGGCTCCGTGCCCACTCCTTGATGACCTGCGCGTCTCTATCGGTGAACGGGAAAACCGGGGCAACCCCAGCTTCAGACTGGTTAGATGACATTACAGACCAAATGGTAGGCAAACCGCGACCAGCAAAGTGGCTGAGACCGTTGTGCATCATAACCTGTCGTGGAAGTATTAGAAATGTCGCGGTTTAGCTGCGGACCGAGGTACTACCGTAAGCCTGTTGAATGGATCTTCAGTATAACACTGCAGTTGCCGGAGCGACGGCAAAGGCGCCTGAATGGGCACGATCGTGCAGGAAAGGTGAAGGGAAGCATGCTCGAGGTCGATAATCTATGGGATGTCAGTAAGAAGCGTCAGGTAAGCATGCGAGTGACGGAAGACCTGTAAGCCAGAAAAAAGTTGTCGCCACTTGTTCGCACTCTGATCGATGTAAACTGGACAATGATCCAATATTAACCGATAACCAATTGATATCCAGATGCCTGTCATGTCTACGAAAGCTTCAGAAACTAGCCCGGCTAATATAAGACCAAGGACATTCTGGAATGCCTTTTGTTCCACAGTAAGCAACGGTACCGACCCACCAGGGGAGTATGTGCTTGATTGTGCTAAGGACTCTGGGACAGATAGCTCCATGATGGCGCTGCATGCCGCTCGAAAATACTCCGGCGCCAAAGCAGCGAGTTCGGCGGATGTGTGGTGCAGCGCCGAAACATACAGGGTGGCTACCAGCAAAAGCGGTGTCGGGTTTTTGAAAGCTTCACTTTCTGACTGGAAATGAAGGCCTTCCATGTTTGTGTAAAACCTGTCATCTTAGAGCTGGGTTATGGTGAGGGTCAGGAGGGCACTCACGAAAGCCAGAGCTGCGAAACAACAGATCTAGACCAGATTCTGTTCGTGGCAGACACGTTTCTTCTTCTCAGGAATTCAACGGCTGGCCACAATCCACCAAGTGTCGGATCGCCTTGATCTTCCTCTTCGGCATTAGTCGTGTTCACAGGACTGGTGGAGATGACTGTGCCGGAACTGGGGCTTATGGGATGATTGTTTCCATTCATACCCAGTACAGCTTCAATAGCTGCCAACCGGGCCAGAACCTCGGGTGGAGATGATCCATGCGGCGGTAAAGCTTTTGGGGAGACTGTCGCGGTGGGTTGTCGCGCGTTGGCTCGAGGCTTGAAGACGCATTCGATTTTGCTGTTTCGACATCTCCGACACGGCCCTCCATGTGCAGGCTCGCACTTCATCTAACGAAGCTGAGCTGGGATCACCTCTACTACTTCGACGCTGGTTTACCTTCTGCCTGCGACATTCGACTGGATTACGTCAGCGAACATCCTGACGTGTTTCGGGAGCGGTGATGGGGACACACGAACCACACGCCTTAGTTGGCCGTACGCCGCCTTCGCCATACCCTTGGGCACGATATCTGTCATAGCTGATGCTGTCTTCCATTTAGCTTCACGTGTACACGTTGCTACGCACAGCGGCGTGTAGGAGACAAGAAGCGACTCGAGACGGCATCCACTCCTCCATTGTGATCGTCGGAGTTGCTTCCTTCCTTAGGGCGTTCCTACTCGGGCCCTAGCGGCTTGGCACAAAATCCGGATCGTCGTCTTCCATCATGACAAGAATCAAACGTATGCATTGCATCTGGTATATCGCGAATGCGTCTCGCAGATCAGCCACCCATGTTCGATGCCATGTGCGCCGCCAGCGCCGCACCGACGCCGCTGCCATCTTTAGCGATGGTGATATCTACCCGCGACTCTCCTAACTCTCCCACATGCTCAATACTTCTAAGCGCTTTTCTTATCTCTACGACAAAGCCGGGATAATGCTCAATGAGCGATCCATCTACGCCTATGCAAAATCTGTCCTCAGAGCTCAAGATATCTGCTAAACATCCCGTTTGGACCAAGACAGCCGCCAAAGCGACCGCGCTGAGTCTTGCCGATCGCCGTACTATGGCATGTGCTATGGACTTGATAGCAGATGCGATGTCAAAACTGACTTGCGCAACCCCTAGCCATATTCCTAGGGCTTGTCGACTCATCGAGAGCTCTGGACTGGTGTCGCTCTCAAGATGGCTCAAGATCGAAGTATCCAGGCTCCACGGAACGTACAAGCTTGAGTTTTTTGGAATCGCCAACTTGGCGAAAAAATTCAGGCTCTGATCTTGTGAGAGCGAAAGTATCGCCATTCGTAAGATCTCCCCCAAATACATAGCTGAAATTTGCTTTTCGAACATCTCGAACCCAGGATTGACACTGGCCTTGTCGATGGCACAGTCATAAGTTGTCATCGTGAGGAACTTGAGTCCTTGGTCAAAGTTGCCCCACTCTGTGTTGACAATCATCGTAGCCTCTGGATGAGTGGCCAACGCCGGTTGCTTGGTGATTTTTGAAGTCCGCTCAACGTACGCACCATTGGTGCCTGTCCCAAAGACCGCACCCAGTACAGTCTTCGTGGAAGCTGGTGCAACATATGCCTGAGCTAGCAATGTTCCAACCGTGTCATTTGTAAGGGCGGTCACTGTGATGTGTAGGTCAAGCTTATTGAATGCATCCTGAAGACAAGCGCACACGTCCAGCCCAACCACGCCGTCAATGTCAAACCCTTTGCTCCATCTGATTAAGGTACCGCTGTTGATGCTCGTTTGCTGGACAGCATGGCTGAAGGTGAAACCGAGACTGAATGCCGACTTGCTCTGGCGTTGAGTGAGACCCGGATCGGGAGTATTCGCCCCGAGATCGTTGGCCTTTACAAAGCCCTGAACAACTCGAGCTACCCAGTCAAAAAGCTCATTGCGGTCTTGCGATGTCATTAAAGTTAGAGGAATGGTCTCTTTGTGCTGGGCCATCGAATATGTCCCATCGCCATTGAATGTAACAGCACAGACTCGGATATTGGTACCACCCATATCGACTGCCAAGTACGTGCCCTTTAAAGTATCAGCGCAACGTGACCCATATATTCAGAGTTGTCTACTCACCATTTCACGACCTGTGGGTAGTTGGGTGATGAACGACGGTAATTGTTCGATCGCTTCACCTGACTTCCACAATCCTTTGTCTGATACCGCATTAGTAACTCTGCGAGCAATGTGAGCATGAACATACTCATCTGCTCCACGAAACCGCCAACTATGCGCCGTACATCATCGTCCGACAGTTCAAACTCCTTCTTGATTCTTTCTGTGGCTTCTGAAAAGCCATATATCTCCCTTATATCCGGGTCGCTCTTCGTTTGATTCACTTGTATGGTTTCGCATTCATCATCCTCAACGGTTTTGGTCAAAGCCGAACCAGACGACCTGCTCGACCAGCGACGCCAGGGGAAACACAACTGCATTGCCGTGCTCGGGTTAACGAATAATAAAAATTGCAGTCGCAGTCAATCGCGACGAAACGACCTGGCTTTTGGTACATGGAACATGGTCTGCTAACATTCAGAAAGGACAGTGCGGGCGGGTCCTCGCGAAGTGGAGCTTTGGCGGGACCAGAGCGACTTTGCAAGAGCCGCGTTCATGACCGCCGGTTAGCCACGCATTGACTGCTCATACTCGATTGCGCGGCCAGATTATTGATGTCGATTTACCGCGGAGAAGAGATGATGACTCGAGGACCGACTCGAGCGCAGAAGTGGGCCCGGTGAAGTTGCGCTTTGCCGTGCAGATCGCCGGAGCGCCTAAATGGCACAACTTTTCGGCGCTCGTTACCTACTCGTGACACGAGCACCAGACCATCCACCTGCAACTTCTGAGCAATCCGAAGACCATTCCATGGCAACACACCCATTGACCGTGAGAATCCACACTACGCTGTGTTTTGCAATCTGGACAGCATAGGAGAAAATTTATGTTCAAGACAACGTTAGATCACAACCTTAGAACAGCTCATCCACACTTTAGAAAAGTTTCTCGCTCAATGCAAATAAGGAACATACATTATTAGGAATACGTAAAATTTTGCAGCATATTGCTAACCGAGTCTACGAGGTTGCAGCAGCCGTAATACCTTTCTAGCCAATCAGCAAGTGTACTCCAGCTCAAAGCTCATGGTCGGCACGCCCGAATAGTTCGCAGGTACAACGTAAGTGATATTGTAATAGTAGTGGCTTGCGATTACGTTGTTCCAATAGTTCGTTGGTTGCTGCTCCAAGCCCGGTGCGGAAACATTCACGCTCAAACATGGCAAATTGGAGAATCCATCCACAACATTGCCAGCGAGGTTCCACGGTGGGGGGATACCGGAGATCATGTATGTGAAGACGTCTGTACCCTTTTGAGTCGTGTTGGGATATGATACGGTCAAGCTGCGCGCCTCAACTTTAGACTTTATGGTCGATGCTGTTGGGTACAGCGAAAACCATCCTCCATACGGGAACGGGGTATGCGAAGGATCCGACGCCCAGTGCACGATTGCGGGAGTAAACTGCTTGCCACGGTTGAAATCTTCCGCCAATGTCTCGGCTCCGATCATCATATCGTGGCTCAACCATGAATCTGCGTAGCGGACTACGTCCGTTTTGAGGTCCTGGTGAATCGTCTTCCGAAGCATCCTCTCCGTCTTTAGAGGCGTGAACAACTTTTCTTCGATTTCTGGAGTAATGATGTTCTTCACCGTGGCCATGAGGAGTGCGAGTGAAGGACCCTGCGCTAGGTCGTACCTGAAGTCATCGTTACCTTTCCAGGGTACCGGCGCCTTCTCGTAACCATACATTCCCCACCAGAACTGACCGACAATAGCGCTATGTGTAGGCATATCTCTAGCATACGCCCTATCGTACGGTCCAGCCATGTTCCCAAGGTATGGATTGTAATGGTCTGCAATATCCTTCCAGAGCTCGGTCAGCATGAAAGGTGCATGCTTGGTCAGACTCGAATTTCTAGGCCCATATTTTATGGCTGCTGCAAGGCCGAAGGTGTCAACGCCATAGTAAGTCGGGCAATTATATTCGGCAAAGGTGTTACTACCATTTGCAGTGAAAAGCTCGAAAAGGTCCTGACCGCGAGCGTTCGCCTCTTCGATGAAAGTGTGGTTGTTCAAGCGCTCGCCAACCCATCCGATCATCAGAGTACCAATGAGTTGCGGGTTCGTGTACCCAAGGATCAAGTTGTCCGGGGCCGTGCCATTGCGGCGCATTTCTCCTACTGCTGCAGTTGCCAGTGACTGTTCGATGTCCCGAACGAGTTGTGGATCGAGCAAATGCTCAAATTCAGCAACTGCTTGTACCATGGCCGATCCAATGAAAGCTCTCCAGTTCGGATCGTAGGTGGCGTAGATCTCCTGCGGGTACAGCTCTCCAACATATGTCGGATTCGGTTCATCTGGAGCGAGCTTGTAATTGCCATACCATGGCGAAGTATAGTTTTCGCTCATTTGAGTATTGATGAGGTTTCGTAATGCCTTCTGAGCATTGGCAACGTCATCTCCCTGGTTTCGATGCAAGAGACCCGGAATGTGCCAGGCTGTAAAGCGAGTCGACCAGGGACCATTGTCGTTGTACCATACGTAACCATAGCTTGCATCAAATCGAGCGTCACCCAAGCTCATAGAGTAGTCGAAGTAATCTTGAGCAGCTGAGGGAAGGTCAGACTAGGTCTCCAAGTTCTGTTATCCCTTACTAACATGTCGAAAGATTCATTCGCATCTGCTCGTACGCTGCTGCCAAAGAGAAGGCAGCAGCCGATGCTACAACGGCGAGAACACGACGGCCAAGCATGATGAATGTCAAAGGATGGGAGACAACCGCAAGAGTTCTTCCCACGAAAATACTCGACTTCTAAATGCATCTCTGCTCCGCAAGACCTGCTCCGCAATTTCGCATGACCTACTCGCTCTAGTCATGCACATGGAGAAATGGACCCTGACTATCGCTCTCCACCACCATCGCGTCGCTGCCATGAGCGAGGCGCCATGGCAGAGGATGCGCACGCGATCACATTTCCACCTATCTTTTGCATAGGCGAAAAGGAAGCTGAACAAAAGCCGGCCGTAGGCCGAAGATAGTCATGTTACTCGTTGTTGGAACATGGTACGTGATTCAGTTGTCGAGAATCGTCGTGGGGCGGCCAACCCGCTGAACCCGGCAAAACTGTTTTGGCGCCGGACAAAGTCCCATTCCAGAACCCAAAGGGCTATGGCTAGAGACGCGGAGGCTTTTCCCCGCACGCCCATGAACCTGCAGCAGACAGATGCTATCAGTGCGCACGATAGTGCCTGAGATAGCTCGTGAGATAACGAGCACGAGGGTTCGCGATGAGTCTAGCTCATCCGAGGGGCTGTTCCGTGTGGGGAGAGATACAAAGTCTCGGAATTGGCTGCTTGCGACTCACACGACACCGAGAACTGCTTTTGCAGACGTGAATAAGTCACCATGTCGACGACTGCGCCTACGACAATGGATCAGGCCCTTATGGGCCGCAAGACGGGGTGGTTTGCGGATCGAGGCATCATTACCATCAATCTTCTCTTGGTGTTGTGCCAGATCTCGTCGTATGCTACTGGTTACGATGGGTCTATGATGAGTAGGTGCATTGGTGATGCAAGGCTGGACGGACATTGACAATTTTATAGACGGATTACAGTCTCTTGATGAGTGGAAAGAGTTCTTTCATCAACCTGGCGCCAGTACCTTAGCTTTGTATGCTTCTACGACATAAGCTTCCTCGGCCAAGCTAACCGCTGAAGATTAAACGCGATTCAAAATGTCGGTCAGCTTTGCTCGCTACCGTTCTGCGCCTTTGCTTGCGATTACTTCGGACGTAAAAAGACGCTCGTTTTTGGCGCTTGCATCATCTTGCTCGGGACAGGATTGCAGGGTGGCGCACAGAACAGTATGGTTGACCTCATCCTTGTTTAACCCAAGGAACACTCATTGATCCTCACAGATGGCATGTTCATTGCTGCGCGAGGCATCATCGGTTTTGGACTCGGCTTCAACATCACTGCTGCGCCCATTCTCATCATGGAGCTCGCGTTTCCAACACAAAAAGCACCGATGGTCAGCATCTACAACTCGCTGTGGAGTCTGGGTGCTATTGTAGCTGCCTGGACCACGTACGGTACTTTCCGCATCATGAGCAATTGGGCGTGGAGAATCCCTTCCATTCTTCAAGCACTGTCCAGCGTTATCCAGATCATTTGTTTCTGGTGGATTGTCGAATCGCCACGATGGCTCGTCAGCAAAGACCGATGCGACGAGGCGCAAGCAATAATCACGAGGGTGAGCATCATGCTCCTCGAATCAATTGAGGTTGAGGATGACTGACTCGCATCCAGTACCATGCCAACAGCAACCCACACGATCCAATCGTGCTTGTCGAACTGGAAGAGATCAAGGAAGCACTGCGCCTCGAAAAAGAGTCCAGCAAGACAAGCTCGTATGTAGCTTTCTTCAATGCACGAGGCAACATGCTTCGATTCTTCATCATTCTCGCTGTCGGCTTCTTTTCGCAATGGTCCGGCAATGGTCTGATCTCGGTGAGCCCTTCAATCTGATTCCATCCAAGAAAACTTCATGCTTACAAAAGTCCCCAGTACTACCTCACGCTCATTCTGGACTCCATCGGTATCACTTCCCAAGAAACACAAACACTCGTCAACGGCATCCTTACCATCTGGAACCTCGTAACCTCGATCGGCTTCTCGCTCCTCGTCAACAGGTTCAGACGTCGCACCATGTTCCTCACCTCGACCGCCTGCATGCTTGTGTGCTTCATCGTGTGGACTGCGTTGCAGTCCACATTTGAGAAGCAAGTCGATAAGTCCGGGTCCGGGTCACCTGCTGTCGGCCGAGCAATTCTGGCTTTGATCTTCTTGTACAATGCATGTTTCAACATCGCCTGGGCGCCGTTGCAAGTCACCTACGTCGTTGAGATTTTGCCGTATACAATGCGTGCGAGGGTAAGTTGTTGCAATCGCTCGATGCGACAGTCGCTAATCGGAATAGGGTCTTGTGCTTTACAACCTCTTCGTCTCGTTGGCGCTGATTTTCAACCAATATGCCAATCCCATCGCTCTGGAGGCCATCAAGTGGAAATGTAAGCCTCGCCCATTTTCGGACATTTTCCCCTCCCGCTGACTTCGTATGTGCAGACTACATTGTGTACGATGTATGGCTGCTTGTCGAGCTCGTCATCGTTTACTTTCTCTTCGTTGAAACATCTGGCTCGTCACTGGAAGAAATGGCTGCTATCATTGATGGAGAAGAGGTGCGCGATACCATCATCGAGGCTGTCGCCAGAGTCACGGACGGCAAGGCAACGCATCAGCGTGAAGATGTGATGGACGATAAGAAGCCGCACGTGATTATCGCATGAGCGATGAAGTCAACTTGAATGAGGTTTATCTAATATTAATGAACGTTGCTGGTATTATTTTCAATGGAGCAGCAACTTTTGTGCAACCTACAGTGAGAGGGGGAAAGTTCGGATTGAGCTTTGTCCAGGTGGATGTGTGCTATAACATAGCCATGGCTGAGCCATATCGTCCGCACTTTCACGAGTCGGCCCTCACCAACCTTCCAGAGCCGCAGCGTATGCTCGATGTCTTTGATTATCCCAATTGCGGAAAATTGGTGTTGGTGTAGAACAAAGCCACATAAAAAATTCGGGCGCTAGTCTCGTTTTAGCGGAACTCAAATGCCGACTAAATATCCTCCTAATCAAGATCGGCCAACGCGTAATGCGGGCCGCTGTGTTGAGTATCTACCGCGGTTCAGAAACGGAAGGGGTATGCAGAACTAACAAGATAGTTCTTGTAATGTGGACCAAAGCGCACTAAATGAAACTAAATCCGATCGAGTGACAAATGGGTGGATGGTTCATGACACAAGGGAAAGGTATCACTCTCCGTCTCCTTCTCAAGCCCTTCTCATCGCTTGCAAGCAAACGGATTCACAGTCTGCATCGGAAACAGTGCTTGATATCATGACAAAAGTGTGTTTGTATGTTCTATAAAAATACAAGGTCTAAATATATGATGTACATAAGGTGAAGGGGTGCTTGATCTTAGTGATCGAACCAACAAACGACTACGCCTAGTCATTCCAATTATGATTAACCACAGGCGTGATATCCTGGCCTCCATATGCCGTTCCTCCAAACTCAAGGTATCCTTCGGCGCCTGAGTACGGAATCGTCGCAATTTCTTCATAGTCACCCATGATCCATACGCTTTGCATGCCCATGATCATGTGCTGCAATACGTGGCAATGCAGCATCCAGCAGCCCGGATTTTGTACCCTGATACGCCAGGCGCGCCAGCCCATTGCTTTGCCCGCCGTGCCTTTTGTCTGGTAACGATACAAATTCGTGGTGTCGCGCTTCACAGGGTGGTAGTTCGCGAGTTTCTTTTCATTCTCGATAGGATCATATGTGCCGTTTCCGCTGCCGCAGTCATAGAAATGTGCACCGTGGAGATGGAAGGGGTGGTAATCGTAACCTCCGTTGTTGTCTACAAGACTTCCGGTGTTTTCGAGAATGATCTCGATGACTTCGCCTAGCTTGGCGGGCCAGGTGAGCGAGTACGGATCCCAACCGCCGTTCGCGAGTGCGGCAGTGTAGTTTGGCATTGCGACGGGGCCATTTTTGTAGATGTCAACCAGGTATGGAGGGGAGTTGGCAGCTGTGTCTTCGGTCCAATTCAGTCCGTCCAATTGCCAAATAGTTGCTGACTGTCTGATTTGAGCATTGGTGACGTGTACTCGTCGCGTGACTTCAGATGCCGTGGGGAAGTCATTGGGTACGAGCGGCTCGAGCGCATATTCGAGAAAGTCGTAGGTAGCGTTTGAAAGTGTCAAGGGCTTCACGGCCGGAGCGGTCGTGATCTTTGGGGAAGTACTGGGGTAGCGTAGAACGCCAAATCCGGTATATACAGCTGGTCGGTCCTTTGTCTCGAATTGAATGATATAGTCGGTTTGGTTGCCAAGTTCCTCTACTGTCTTTGTGCACATGATGGCATCAAACCGCTGCCCAGAAGAAAGCTGCATATGATCGACAGTGTGCGGTTGTGTATAGCTCCCATCTGCCACAATCACATCCATCCTGGAATGGCCTTCAATTCCGAGGGCGACCAGCGACAAGGCAGTCGCACCCACGAAGCGCATGCGGTAGGTCTTACCTGGCTCTACGTCGATGACTGGCAGTTTGCAGTTTCCCTGTCCTGCCTTCTCTCCAATTGCTACACCAACGCCATTCAGCAGAACTGCATTCGTCTCGCCAGACCAAACAAAAGGCACTGATCTCAGTCCCTTCTCAATCGTCTCGTCTGACTTGTTGAAATAGTCTTGAATGAGTACAATGCGCTCTTCGTCATAATGGAATGGAGGTGGTCCGACATCCTCAACGATGAGAGCTCCAGCAGCTGAAATGGCTTGAAACCCGACGTGCGAATGGTAAAAGTATGTTCCCGCATCCTCTGGCTCCGGGTGGATTTCGTAGTCAAAGCACCTGTGGGGAGCGATGGGCCATTGCGATACAGGCGAACCATCACTGAAGGGCGCTGTACGCTGTGTGAGGCCATGCCAATGCTGGACCGCGTTAGCTGGTAAACTTTATGCGATGCGGATTTTCATACCATTGTTGTGTTGTACTCCTCCATATCGTTACATACTCGAATCCAGCTCGTCTTGCCAGCCGGGATGCGAATAGCCGGTCCTGGTGACGTGTGGTTCACCAAGGCCGACATGTGATGCTGACATGCCACGGTGTGATTCTCGAATGTTACGGAGAGGTAGTGGTCGGGCACAAAGTCTTTGCCATGGGGTCTCTGAGGTTCGCCATTTTGCCGGGCTTGAGACGGCGAAGGCGATTGCGGTGCAGGCGGGTTCGGAGCGTTGTGGCCTGCTACCAAATGCGCTGCTGTGAGCAGCAACCCAGCTGCGAAAAAGTTTCGCATGGTGCCTGAGCCTTGGATACGATCACTCGCGCAGCAGATGCGGAAAGACACGCTTATCGCTAAAGCCGGCAGAACAGCTTGGCTGTATTGAGACCAGTCTCCGTTAGGATGCCCTGGGAAGCTGAAGGCCGTTTTTGCGAATGGTTCAAACTGCTGCAGGCCAAGATCATCGGATTGGCCATGCTGGGCATTTTGACTATTTGTATCCCCTATGTCGGGGTCAGCTTCGGTGGTACCACGAAGTGACTCGGCGGTGCTCTCGGCGGTGCGACCCAATTGCCTGCGGTGCAACTGCCTGCTGACGTTCGCCTTACTGATAATCTCAAGTGGCTGTTTCACACAGCCACCGGACCTCATAATGAATCTGGTTAATAGAGATCAAGGATAGGGATGGACGCCATATCGACTCGAGCGACTTGCATGCTTCGATCCTCGGAGCATCGCAGGGAGAAGCTTACAATATTTCGAATTGTTTGCAGCCACCGATCCCGGGCGCAAGGCTACGTCTATTCATCCAGATGTCGATACCCGCTACGTGATTCATGCATGCAGCTTGCCCATGGTTGCGGGACGTTCAGGAGATAAGCTTCAAGGGGGCTTGCTTATGATGATGTATTGGACAGCTCGCTAGGAGTAGTCAAGCTTTGCTGTCTTGCAGAGCCCAGCCGGCGTGGACCCTGTATGCCACACGCGGCTTCCAGATCCCCGCACGTGCTGCACTTGTGGGGGTGGACTACCCGGAACGCGATTTCCCACGCCACTTGCCTCCGTTCCCCTCAGGGCGATCGAACCGTCGCATACATGGAGTCGATCGAAAGCGTTGCGCCATGTGTTTTAGTCTGTTACCAACATAGTGTTCGCATGAGAGGCTGCCCATGCCCGATCTGAAGCATGGCGCGCACATGTCGGGTTCCACGGAATAAGTACCGCTGCTCATCCACTCGTCCCTAGGATGTTGGACTATCATCCCGAAAACTTTAACTTTTAACCCTTACGCCATCGTCGCGCTCCGCGGCGCCACAAGCCATTACTATTGATCGCAAGTCAGTGACACGAGCCAGGACCAGGCGATTCTAGGGGCGCCTCTTGCTACTTTCAGGCAGAACAGCAGGATTTGAGAGCGTTCCTGAAGCCCGGAATTTTGTCTACGGACGGCGACTAGGGTTGTCCGCGGTCGTTCACCGACTCCTATAACCAACATACTTCCTGTTCAAGACCTTCTTTTCTGTGAAACACCGGGTTACCTTACCTGCTATTCCACACCGCTCGGTCCACAATGGCTTACGATGCCCCGGTCCTCATACCGACCCTCGTTGGCAGTCTTCTGTCCTGCGTGGCGACTACCGGTGTCCTAATTTCTTACATAATCTACGCTGAGCAGCAAAAGTCGTTCCGCCACGCGTTGGTCTTGAACCTTGCTCTGGCCGGTAAAACCCCAGCAAAGAAACTACAGAGTGAATGAGCTGACACACTCCAGAGTTCATCAACTCTTTAAACAATTCTATATCTGGCCTTTATGTTCTCACCCGAGGCAAAACCACACCCAGCGCAGCATGCACTTTAAATGGCTGGATGGGGCAGTGGTCAGTTCAGGTGAGGGACATCAGCGCCTTTATTTGGCGCCGCGAGACCTCTTGACTGATCCATGCGCAGGCCGCTGACTTTTCCATCCTTGCAATTGCAATCATTACTCTTTTGACCATCACTCGTAAGACCTATATGCCTAATACGTCCCTGATGAGGAAGATCCTCATCTGTGCATCCGTGTGGATAATCCCTACAATCACTGGTAAGCGTGCGATGCACAACAATAGCAAGCACATTTGCCTGACATCAATTTCCAGCTTCCACAGCCGCGGGACTGAACGAGATTAAACCGGTCAGCGGAAACTGGTGCTGGATATCCGGTAAACGAACGGACTTGCGATATGCGCTTGGCCATGGATGGCGCTTCGCCATTATCTTTGTCACGATTGGAATTTATTCCTATATTTGGATATACATGCGCCGACACTTCAGGGAGCTGAAGATGGTCACAAGCACTCGATCGAAGACCAACGGAAGCTCCCTTCCACGACGCCCTTTCGGACAGAAAGACGCCTTTGAATTAAGAAGCGAGTCGCAGACTGAACTGCATGAGATCAACGTTGAATATCGCTTCGAGGTTAGCCACGCGCAGCAAGGGCCCGCACACCAGGGTGCTACCACACATGTTGACCTCGAGGCTCGCGACGGCGCCAACAGTGAGAAGGCAATCTCAGTCCTATCGGATAAAGGTACGTGCCGCCCTGCGCACTCTCATAAACCCATGCAACGCCTCATCGGCGCAGGGTCTCCTTGTTATTTTTGCTGGCATACTGACTTCCACCAGGCAAGAACAGCGTCCCAAACTCTCCAACGCGCACTACGATTGTGGAGACAACAACAGAAGCCGCCCAGCCCGGAAGCCCGATCCAACGGCGAACACGCGACGTGGAGCGGGAGATCAAGAAAATGTTGCTTCTGAATGCGTATCCGGTGCTATACGTCATTCTCTGGACACCCGGCTTGCTCAACAGATTGGTAGAGGCAACTGGCCACAAAAGCCGAGTGCTGTCAATCATGCAAGCCTCGACGCAATTCATCGGACTCGCGAACGCAATCACCTATGGCATCAACGGAGACCTTAGGAAGTCTCTCCAGTCTGATGTCCGAAGATTCTTCAGGAGAAGGTGACGTCTTGTACATACTGCAGATAGACCCGAACGCAGAGATGAATGAAAATATTCAACAACCATGGACCGCCGGGTCGGGCACGCGTGTTGTGTCGAGACGTCACTGGGCAGGGGTGGCCTGCATTAGTCGCTTCTTAATTCCCCGAAGCTATGCCTAGAACTCCTAGCTGGCATTAGTGCGTGCCTGGCCCCACCGGCCGAGCAGGCTACCTAAAACGTCCCAAACGTGCCTTGCAGTAGTCTATTTCCGGCTCGCGCAATTTGGAAGGATTCGACATCAATGTGGTACCTGCTCGCGATGAAAGTTTGCGATATTAGCTTTCGCGCGCGCTGCGCTGAATACCTCTGTGAGAGTTTTGCACCCAAGAGCATTTTGTCGACGAGTGCTGATCGCATTCGGGCCGAAGCGTGGTTATCCTTTGCTCTTGCAATTCCGGCTGCTTTCGGAACCAACAGTGCGACGAGAATGGGCACGAGAAGCGCCGAACTGATGACGGCCAAGGCTGAGCACCTCAACTTGCGCCTCTGAGGAAATTAGGGTCTCGAAGATATATGTTGGTGAACTTCGCGCACTGCGCGGAGGCCAGCGATTATACCGCCACACACTCGTTCTTTACATTCGCTTCATACACTCTACTCGTTCGCGCACTCTGACCTCATACTTCTTCAAAAAAAAAAACGATGCACTATCTTTCCTGGAGCGTTCTCGCCTTGGCCGCATCTGCGACGCCACTGGCTGCACACAAGCGCGATAACACCGTCGCAGTTACTAGCCTGGAGAAGCATGTGAATGCAACTAGCGGTTCTGGCAATGTCGCAGCTGCAGGGCGTTTAAGCCCCTTTGGCGACATTGGAACAGGTGGGTGCTCCACACTTGAAGCACCTCGATATGTTACTGACAAAAAATTTTAGGCTGTGGCATCAATTGGCAAGAAGACGTGTCGTACGGAGGTACGTGTCCGCCAATCATTTCCAGTGCCTTATGCTAACCCATGTCTCAGGAGGACTCCAGGCAGGCTCCAGTAATTTCGGTCTTGGTAGCGGCTTTACCATTACCCCGGACACTATCACGATTGGCGCAGGTATCGGGCTGAATACCGCGAATGCGAGCGCCAGCGTTCAGTTTACTGGCTCCAGGAACGGAAGCGTCGAACTCACGTTCTCAAGCTCGGCGCCAATTGCCTGCGTCCCGGGAATGAGAGACGGAAAATCCATAGTTACATGCAAGACAATGTAGGGTTCGTCGCGCGGGAGTGTTTGGAGTAAAATGATTGCAGTCACCTGCACATTCTATTGAAAAGCGACACCAACAACTGTGACGTCAACTTCGGCTGACATCCCACGTTCTCTACCGTGTCACTGCCGAGCATTCTCGTACCATACATAGACCACATCAATCAATAATCTTAATACTTCCCCATCGCTTTCAGTTTCTGCAAAGCCTGTCGTCCTACCAAACGCATCGTACACGTGCGTCGTGCGGTGCGACCTCTGCAACACGTCCATTCGGATCATTGCATTTGACCTTATGACATTGGCACGTGGCTGAGCTATGTACGGTGGCCAAGAACAACGGCGACTAGTGTCCGCCGTTCCAACGCTGAAACACTAAAAGCAAGAGATCAGGCCCCCAAGATCCGTCCCGGAACTCTGTTCGGCGCCTTGGCTAGAGCCGATCGTTGAGCATATCGTATCTGAACACGAAGGTGACAAGAATCATCATGAACAACCATGTCAACATGCGGATACAACTGGCCGATACGCGGATATCTTCCATTCCGCCGCCCGTAGATGAAGAGAATACCTGGAGTTGCAGATCATGGCCGTCCATGGTAAGATCGAAAAAGACCGGGATGAGAGCAAGCACCGTAACAGACAATCGGATACGCCGAATAGCTACATAGTCAATCCGTCTAGATACGCCCCCACGACTCTACTGCACGCTTTCACTTGGCACTCTGCCGCTTCACTACACATCACAGCAATACCAAGAGGGCGTACCAGCTCGCAAACATGTCCCCGAAGACGAGGGTATGCGAACAATGAGCAGGGACTCTTCGTTCACGCCAATGTGATGTCCTTGGCAATTTGTGTGGAAATGTCCTTTCATCTTACACGCCCTGATACGCTAGGGGTGCTACTCTTTGTAAAGATCCTGGGTTTATCTTGGCTCTTCAGCCACCTCTTGTCCGACTGAGAACTCGGTCGAGATCTTGGTCTACAGCGGGCTGCTCTATCGCAGGCCGGAACTTGTGACTGCATTGCATTACCACATGTTGGAGTCTTATCAGATACGCGAAGCAGCCAAATACGTTCAACTAATGCGTGGGAAATAGACTCTGCTTTGACGGATCTTTGGTTTGCCTGTCGCAAGAAATTGTGTTTGCATGTCAACGGGAATTTACACGTTTAGCAAAGCTACATACTTTACGTACAAATCAGACGTGTATATATTTGCATTGTACTTTGGAGAAATTAAAGCAGCTGATGTGTTCAACATGCGTTGAGACTCCCTTTCGAGGCAGCCCGTTCAGTGGCTCTCGAAACATTGCGATGCCCTGATGATGTAAAATCGTGTAGCTTAGTTCAGTCTCATACGAAGCCGATATCAGTGCTGAGAACCAGAAATTTTGCTTTTGTGTGGAAAAGGTTGGACTGCGACTCCGGTATTTGATCCAGCAATCTTTTTTGCATCACACTGAAGGGGTGGGTAAAAGATCGAACACTATCCCGACATTTTTTCCTTACCCTGACTCGGTACTCTTTGCAATTGCTTCGGCCGTGCGCATGTGTGAATGGCCCAACAAGCTAAGCAAGCTTAGCTTACTGGGCGTGCCCATGTCATAGTCCGGACGCACATCTGTACCCACTGCGCCATGCAACTTGAAATACATGTCGGATTGACGAACATCGATCATGATATCCATAAAAGTGTACGCATTGTACAGACTGCCTCGCAGCCTAGCATGTGAAGGATTTTCACCTCGTGGCCACGCATTTTTATCCATCATGGTGCTCTGAGGAGGCCAGAAGCGATAATCATCCGCTATTGCGATCATCTTGGTACGCAACAAATCTGGAGGCCATTTCATTGCTACGAGAGGGCTCGGAGGTTGTTTTGCATCGTGAAAGCAGAATTGCTCAGGATTTGTATTACACCTTACACTTCTCGTGTCTCTTGGTATTGAACGTGTGTATGCCATTTCACGATGCGGCAGAGCAGTCGACAATATGCTCAACTGTGCAAGTACATCAAGCTGATGATACATTCAGGTTGTGAAACTTCAAGTTCCTCTCAATTCGCAAGTCAATCAAGGTTGATTGACGGTGTGCAAGCGCTCAATTAGTAGTAATTGAAAAGTAAGGAGTATTAAGAAGTCGTTGCTGAGGCACGTAGGGCGCAGTCACGCAGGAAGACGTTGTCGAGTACGTCGTACATGCAAATTCTGTCCCATCTTCAGCCGATAACCTCACCATTAGGCCCGTCCCCAATTTTCATCTTGCTCAGCCAATTAATCAAGTCACAACCAAACCAAGCTGTTGAAGGCAGTGAGGCCAGTGATTAAGCTTTCGGGTGCTCAAGTGACTAGCCAATCAAGCTCCGACCCCTAGGCTTAATTTGCTCAATTGCTGACATCTTCGCGATGCAGCTGCACCAAACAGGGTTCGGGGTGCTTATGGTACCATGATGTCTATATAGACCGCAGCATATGCATGTCTGCGGGGAACGTGATGAGTTGCAGCGACTTTGTCGGTTAGCGGGCTTTCCTCAACTACAAAATGTCGACGGAAGTACCAATGTCTAGGTTTCGCATCGCAGCTTGATAACAATGATCAACTTTCTAGAGGAGTGCTGGGCGCCAGCTCTTGCTTTGGGTATCTTTGCTGTAACAGTCGTCGGAACTCCAGTAGTAACGAAAGCCGAGAGGGACATCGAAAATCAGCAGAGACCTCTCCTACAAGATTTCGATGCATTAGGGACATGGTTCGAGGAAGTTGCCTCGATCGAACACACGCCAGCGAAACGTGAACCAAATGTCAGCATCGCAATAGTGGGAGCAGGCGTATCAGGGCTCGCAACTGCTCTCATGCTGGACTCTGTCGGCGTCCACAATTGGGAAATCATCGAAGCTAGCGGGCGTGTGGGCGGTCGATACAGAACAAAGTTTGTTGGCGGCACCCAAGAGTATGCGGAGATGGGACCGATGCGCTTGCCCTGGAACGTAACATACAAAAGCGACAACACCACGGAGATCTATACCGACCATCGCATGGTATTTGACCTTGCGGATTGGCTGAACGAGCTAAACGGCCACGACCCGAAATGGACCATCAACTTTGCTCCCTGGATCCAACACCATCCGAACGAGCTTTATGCACGAGGGACAAAAAGACTACCTGACGGGCGAGTGCCAACCAGGGCAGACGTCGAGGCTAATTCGAACCTGGCAGCAGCCCCCATCTTGACGACTGAAGAGTACAACAGCACGCTGAAGAAGATGAACCAAATTTTGATGGACGAGAAGACTCTTCGCGAGATACAGCGAGATCCTTGGCGCGCTCACAAAAAGGCCATGGACCAGGGCTTAGATGATATATCCGAGCAGAGTATGATGCGGAACATCTGGCAGGCCAGCGAGAACGTAACTGATGCGATCTGGACAAGCAAAGATTACGACATATTTTGGGATGAGATGCACCACAACTCAAACCTGGAGCTGAGCGGGAGCCCTGGAACTCTCGGCCTGACCCAGTGGAAGTATGTTGAGGGAGGCTTCGATCGAATTACGGACGCCTTCATTCCCCAGGTGTCCGACAAATTGACGCTGAATCGCAAGATTCGCAAGCTCGAGTATGTACAAGATCATGGCAGAGCAGCCAGAACTAGACTTTCGTGGATCGAAGGGAAGGGAGAGAATCGCACTACACGCTCCAAAGAGTTCGATTTCACGATAATGGCTGTGCCATTCACCATGACGCGCTTTATGGAACTCCCCAAGTTCTCTTCGGTCCTGAGCCGCGCCATGGGCGCGTCAGGATTGCGGTTCCAGTCCGCTTGCAAAGTTGCACTGCTGTTCAAAGAACGGTTTTGGGAGAAAGGTCCACGTCCAATCTTTGGTGGCTATTCTCGCCCTCGGAGTGAACCAGTTGGCTCACTGTACTATCCCATGTATGGCTTCAACGAGACTGGCCGTCCAGGCTTGATCACGCATTATCGCGGTGCAGACTGGGCCGACTTCTTCGTCAGTCTTTCCAAGGAGCAATATGTCGAAATGATACTGGACGCAATCGCAGACCTCCATGGAGAAGAAGTCAGAGAGCTGTATACCGGCGACTATGAACATCTGTGCTGGCAGCAGGACGAGTTCAGTGCTTCTGCTTGGACGAGGCCAAACATAGAACAGCACAAGCTGTACATCCCGTCTTATTTCCGCACCGAGCACAACACTATTTTCATCGGCGAACACACGGCCCCAACTCATGCCTGGACTAGCTCAGCTTTGTACTCTTCCGTCAGAGGAGCCGTGCAACTGTTGCTGGAAATTGGGATGGTCGAGGAAGCGAAGGAGTTGAACGCAAAGTGGATGGGTCGATGGCTGACTGGAAAACGGTAAGAAGACATGGCTTTCGTAGATTAGCTCCTGTGTGCATAAATAGTTTGGAGCATTATCAGTCCCGTACTCGCCTCTCGCCTTTCACGGAAGTGAGTTTTTACATATTCTCGATATCTTCTCGCGAGGTTCATAGTACTGACCGACTTACTGCCTACTGAGGACGGCACAGATGATGCTAGACACACGCTCGCTGTAACCACACTGAGATATAACATTGGTTGATTGGGATCACTATGGCTATTGACAATGAATTGGTTGCAATTATTCACTAAAGGAGGCTAATACCGGCTCGGTCTTATTCCTATCCTAAGTCGATACCAATAACAGACGCTTTCAAATTTGCGCATACACAAAGGATACAGCAAGCCTCGTAAAGCCTCGTTTACTACGTGTGTCTCTATGACATGCTTTGGATGCTTAGCTCAACTAGAGAGATGGCGTAAAGGATACATACCTAATCCATATCGTTTTGGTCTCAGTGTAGTGATGCAACCCTTCTTCACCCATCTCTCGTCCTATACCACTGCTTCTGATGGTGGCTCTACATTAGCCAAGTACAGTGTAGATGGGAAGAAATTTTTGAACTCACTTGAACCCGCCCATAGGTGTCTGTGGGCCTACCATAAGATTGCAGTTTATTGAGATTGTGCCGGTTCGGATTCGATCGCTAACTCGTAAGGCTTGTGCAATGTCGCGAGTGAATACCGCTCCTACACTGGTTAGCGAGATTCTTGTCTGGATGAGTTTGAAGCTTCCTGACCTGAAAGTCCGTATTCTGTGTCGTTCGCTTCTTTGACAACTTCATCCTCGGTTTCAAATGACTGAACGCAAAGAACAGGGCCGAAGACCTCCTCTCTGTAAACCTTTGCCTGCTTGTCTGGCTTAACGAAAATAGTCGGGGCGATAAAGTTCCCGCCCTTGCTATCGTCACCGCCGCCAGTGAGGACCTTGTTTGTCTTTTTGCCCTCTTGGATTATCTGCGAGATTTTGTCGTACTGAGATTGATCCACAACAGGCCCATATTGCGATTTCGGATCTAGTGGGTCCATTCCCAGATTCTGAGCGATAGCCTCGAAGCTGGCCTGGAGACGTTCAAGGAAGGCGTCAAAAATCGAGGCTTGTATGAATAGTCGTGAAGTTGCAGCACAGACCTGGCCAGCATTGGCTGTAATGCCAGCGGTTACCCATGCCAACGCTTGATCAAGGTTTGCGTTATCGAACACTATCGCAGGTGACTTCCCGCCTAGTTCTAGCGTAACACGCTTGAGGTTACTTTTAGCTGAAGCCTCTTGAACCCGGCGTCCAATGGCAGTGGATCCTGTGAACGAAATTTTGTCAACGTCCATGTGGGATGAGAGCAAGGAACCGACGTCTCCAGCTCCAACAAGGACTTGGAACACCCCTGAAGGAAATCCGGCTTTCTTGTACAATGCAGCAAGAGCGACAGTTCCGAGTGGTGACTTTTCAGATGGCTTGATGATGATTACGTTGCCAGTTGCGAGAGCCGGAACAGACTTCCAAGCTGCGAACAACAGTGAAGCATTCCAAGCGGTGATGCCGCAGCAGACCCCGAGTGGTTCACGCTTCACTATTCGGTAGAATCCTTTCTCTGGTGAGTAGGATTCGCCCTTGAGTTTATCAGCCCATCCGGCGTAGTCTAAAAGTCGTAGTCAGCCACGATCTTAAGAGCGTCATACCTAGCAGGCTTACATTTTATGGCTTCCGTCATCATGTCAAATTCCATGAGCAAACCAGACAAGGGCTTGCCACTGCAAATGCTCTCGAGGTAGGCCAGCTCGTGTTTGTTATCATCAACAAGCTTTGCCAACTTGTACAGAGCCTCCCCACGTCTCTCGCCAGTCCAAGAGGCCCACTCACCAATGAATGCAGTACGAGCGTTATGAACGGCGCGATCGACATCAGCCGCACTCGCAACATTGACTCGGAAAGGAATGTCGCTTTGATCTTTTGGGTTTTTGAAGCAAAGCTCCGGACCTTCCCCCTTTACATACTAGTATCGATAATAAGTCAGCGAGGGTGCATGCATGGCTAAGTTTCGTCACTGCAAAAGGACGCAAGAAAGCGAGTACATACTTCATTGTTCAGGAATAGACCCAGCTCTGGATTTTGTGTGTTAATAAGTGTCATATTTACGGAATGAAAATTAGTTTAAATTTTTCATAAGATTTAGTACAAGCAGATGGCTGTTGCGTTTTGTACGAGTTGCTTTGCTTTTGAACATGAAACAATAAGTAGCACATAGGTACCAGTGGAGCACCACCACCCCCAGATAGACTTGCCGGATCCAGCACGCTTCCGCTTCGTGCAATGCACCAAACCGAATTGATGGGATCAACAATCTATCTGTCTGACGCAAGTCAGATAATTCCCGCATCTGCGTGCGATCCGCACAGAACCTCGTAAGTCAAGAGAGGGGCTTGCTTCTCGGAATAGAGGTCTACCCCGCACCCTAACTACAATTCTGGCCATTTTGCCTATCGCCAAGAACAACCAAGATCTTAGAAGGGAGTTTTTGTTGTGCACGGAGGTCGGCTTGAGGAATTTCTTCTTACTCACAGGTCGTCTCACGAAGTACTCTAGCTACTCGTATCATAGACCACTGATCAGCAAGCATATTAGGCCCGGTGTAGCAGTTTAAGCGGCCACACCTCTCATATGTATGCAGAATAACTTTTGTAGCATTCGTTGTTATAGGTCTTCAGGTCTAGGTGTAATGTTTGTTAAAGTTTCAACATCAGCAACTAGCTCAGAAGGCTCGTCACAGTATCTGCTTAAATCTTCCAAATCGTGAAATTCAATCCGATATACATAGCGCTACTTCAACAAAGACTTCAATCGAATTCGCAACCAAATGCTCACGCAGATCACGCCTAGAGAAGACCCTATCATAAGCATACCTCCAATAGTTCTAGGAAGCCCAATCAGCCACACTTTCACTGTTGCGAGTTGAGAAGTAACTTACGGCGTCATGATAATATTCCATCTTGCGCCTGCGCCCATTGCGAGTGGAAGCAGCGTGAAGTTATACAAAGCGGCCCAGAAGATGCTTCCCTTGATTGCTGCATTGGCGTTTCGAGCGAGAGTGAAGGCTATCGATACCATGCGCAGAGAGGATGTTAAAAGCACTATGTCTGATGATGCAAGGACCACTGAATGACAGCTTTGTAAAGATATACCAATATCAGAAGCTGCTAGAGCAGCAGTGTCGTTGATGCCATCACCTATCTGGAGCATCGACAATGTTAGCGTATAAATCTTGAGTGCGCTTAGATGAGAATACACAAACCATAGCCACAACTTTGCCCTCTTTTCGCAAGCGTTTGATCTTGTCGCTCTTTTGTACAGGAGTGAGCTCAGCGAAAACGTTCTGAATGCCAATGGCATTAGCGACTTCCTTTGCGACTTCTGTTCTGTCTCCCGTCATCTATTGACGAGTGAGAAGATTAACATCAAGGCTTCATCTGTTGGAACTCACCATGTATATCTCATATCCCTGAGACTTCAGCGCTCGTATCTCTTTATTTGCATCATCTCGGACCGGGTCACTGAATGCTATAAATCCAGCATACCGGCCGTTCAGCCCTACAAAAGTACATGAATGGGTATTTGAAAGCGTTTCGACATCGTTCATAAGTGTGTCGAGGTTCTGAACATTGGCATTTCGTAAATATTGTTCGTTGCCCACTACAACTTTGACCTCGTCGACATCAGCAGTTACCCCGCTTCCCGGGGTTTCTCGTGGTGCTTCTTGTGGTTTGCTCTTTGAAAGTGACATCGAAACTGATCTTGGATGGTGAACTTCAATGTATTTAGCTATGACCGTCGAGGTCCAATGTCGCGAACGCTTTTCGGCTTCACCAATGACTTGCCACCATACTGGTTCTTCCCAGCGGCCATGAATCTTGTAATGAACGACATTAATATCTCCGGTGGTCAGAGTTCCGGTCTTGTCAAAGACTATGGTGGTGACAGTAGACGACTTCTGGAAAGCTTGAACACCAGCTCGAACAACAACTCCTTTTGCCGCTCCAAGGGCTATAGAATTAGATTAGCTGGAGACACTAAGCATCAACAAATGCTGATGAAATTTGAACTTACAGCATGCAATCATTGTCATAGCCGGAACACTCAGACCAAACGCGCAAGGACATGCGACAATTAACGTTGTTGAGAAGAACGTGGCGGCTGTGTCGAAGCCATCTGGAAGCCAGACCAAGAAGGCGATAAATGCACAGAACATCACACACGAAACCATGTACTCAGAAACCTGATCAAGCCATGGCTGAATATCGGACTTCTGCAGTTGTGCTTCAAGGACGGCATCTAGGATCTGATCGAGACGATTTCGACCTCCTTCGATTACCTCTATGATGATTTCCTGGGAGTGAGAGTTGATGGTCCCGGCCAAGCAGATGTCGCCCCAAACTTTCTTCACCAATATCGATTCTCCAGTGTGTATGCTCTCATCGATATTGAGATTGAGCGTCTGGAATTGGTTTGGATAAGCCACGAGCCTGCCGTCACAGGGAAATCGATGAGCAGCCTCAACAACGACAAAGTCGCCGGGCTTTAATGTATGCGACGAAACCGGAGTCGGCGAGTGCAAGAGACGAGCCTCAGAAGGAACAATGTTGGAAAAGGCAGCGATAGTCGGAGCTGATGACGTCCTGAACATCTCCCCGACATACCTACCGAGCGAAATGACAAAGATGAGAGTCGCTGCCGTAGTCGCGTAATGCACATCCTTCCCAAGGAAGTAAGACTTCAGTCCCATGATATAAGAGGTGGTCGTCGAGGCTGCGATGAGCGCGTCCATTGGAAGATACAGCAGTCCTGTATTGCGCATTGCGGCAATGGCCTTTTCGTAGAATGGCAGCCCGAATCCGAACTGCACGAATCCTGCCAGCCATAATATTCCCGTTCGGCATGTTTGAGGATTGACATAAGTAGCTGTTTCTGCCATTTCGAGAAACAGAATAGGAACGATGAACATGAGGCTCCATGTGATAGCTTTATCCCATCGCCACCAGCCTAAAATCGTGCCTGATTCTTTGCTATGGCCAGGCCGTTGAATCTGCGATGTATATCCCAAGCAATGTATCGCCGAAAGAACTTCAGCCTTCTGGATGGCATGTCGATCGATTACTACATGACTAAGACCAGAGAGGAAATCTACGTGAGCAGATCGAACTCCGCAAAGACCCATGAGCACTTTCCTGATCGATACGGCACAGTTTGCGCAAGACATACCCCCGATATGGCATGTTACTACCTCTTGTCCCTCATGCTCAAGCCCTTTGTGGAGAATTTGCTCGACAGAGGATGATTTTCCTGATCGCACACTCAAAGACGAAATTGTTGAGTATTCTCGAAGGAAGAGACTCATCATAAAAGCGCCGTATAAACAACATGCTGCCATCCTTTCTCAGGCGCAAGTAAAAGCTGTACGTTCGGCTCTTTAACGCCGAACGGCAAGAGCGATCAGATACAAGGAGTAATTGGTGTGCGAGTGGTGTGCGAGTGGAGTTGCAGCAATGATTTTGACAAAGTAAGAGCACGGCGTGTGGAAAACGTCGATGGGGGAAAATTGATGGGGAACAACAATGTGTACCTGCATGTTCGTCACAATGATTCTTCAAATATGTTGGTGCTTTTCGATTGCGATTCTAGAAATATTGGTGTGGCCGCATAGGTGGAACTGGCGCCCGTCGCTGGATGGTGATGTCCGCTGTTGCGCCAAGGGTCGGTTAGGCACTTCAGCGTGTCAGATATATCTGACCACCACTGCCACATCGATCAACCCCGCGCGAAAGACTGGGTCTCCAAAGCTCCACTAGGTTTAGCTATCCCGATTCTCTGACCCAGTCGTTTCGCCTTCCGGAAGGACTGAGCACGGATTTGACTTTTGTGACCCGAAAAAGTCATAGGTATTTTGCCACATGCCCTTACCTTTAATTGTTTGTTCTATGCCACAACATAGCAACTTCGCCTTCAACCCTATCCGCTACTATTACACGATTTCATGACATTGTCAGCGCATTGACGTAAATTCTATTCACGATGGCTACTACCACGACCGCAACCCTTCGTACCAAACGAACTCGTCTCACGCAATCCGAGCCCCAGTACTCGACTACCAAAGCTAATGGTCACAAAGGTACGTGCTGTTACAGTTTGAGACCTGTTCATACTTTGCGGGATCGCACGTATTGGGCAGTCCCTAGACAAGCATGGATGATCGCACCGCTAACATCAACGAGTATCACAGGATGTCGTCGGGTCGAAACCGTTCCTTGAGTATATCCCCGCCACCTTCGGCACAGGGGTTCATCGGAAAAAGGTGCAACGACGAAGCCTGACCATATGGTCTCTACTGGCTAGCGTGGCCATTGCCGGGTTTCATCCAAGTTTGCACGGAGCGCTAGGACTTTCCTTCACACCTAAAGTCCGTGCCGCTATGCTGTCGCTGCTGTTTCCGGGGGCTGGCTACATCGCCTGCGCAAACGTATCTGGAGCTATCTCATTCATGATCACCTGGGCTGCGATGCCACTATGCCTTCTGGTCTGGTTTGGCGCCGGAGGAGTCATTTTCCCCCTGCTCTTGTGGGCTTCGTCAGTCGGAGGCGCGTACGCGTCTGCAGCAACGGATAGTGTATTTACAAAGGCTGACATCGTTGCGACTGCGATCTGGATATCTTCCATAGTGTATTTCAATCGCAGCTCTGCCCAAGAGCGTGCGCGTGGTAACCTGAAGCGGGCTGAACGCAACCGGTACCTCCCAGAAGAACTTCAGCGGATTGAAGCGCAGGCGCAACCAGCCGACCCTGACGACGAGCGTGAGCTGACTCTTGACGAGCTGCGAAGAGTCCAGCTCATCTTCGACATGGGCCTTCAGGGCATCGACGACTTTTCCAACTTCACAATCATCGACCCAATTCCAGCCCGCGGCCCTAAGATATCAGCTCTATGAGATGATGTATTGCTTGGGCTATGTATCACAACGTATACGCCCCGAAACTTCCATGGGGTACAGCACTCGGATGTACCGCAGTTTTATTGAAAAGTCCCTCACACCACGTGTTCTAGGCTTCTGGAGGTGGGAATCCGTTTGGGGTAAATTTTCTTTGGATTGGGATCCTGTCAAGGAAGACAATATTATGGTCACTGGATGGTTTCTCCAGGCTTTGGCATTCTATACCGAACTGTCTGGTGACATGAGGTACACCGAGCCAGGTTCCTTGCAGTTCCAGGTCGACAAGAGTCATGTCTATGATTACGACATGCATTCCGTATCGGAGGCGCTCGTGCGACAGTGGGAAGCAAACCCGTATACCCTTTTCCCGTGTGAGCCGAATTGGATCTACTCGCCATGTAACTTCATGGGCTGGATCGGCCAGACAGTGTATGATCGCATCTTTGATACCGACCACACCAAGCGGCTCGGACCCAGGTTCGAACAATCGTTAGTCGAGGAGTTAGGCGAGGCAGATGGGTCAATATTGCCTATCCGCTCAGAACTGACTGGCTTTACAATTCCTGGTATTTGCGGCGCGCTAGGCGATCTTTCAAACGCCCTGTATTGTCGGGGCTCCTTTGACCACGTCGCACGCAGGATGTGGGCAATCTTCCGCCGTGAAGCTGTCTCGATTGACAAAGATACTGGCGAACTGAGCCTCAAGAACCTCAAGGGAGCCGACAAAATTGACCCTGGATCTTACTCACCTAGTCCCCACGCTATATATGCCATGGTAGGAAATACAGCTGCTGAGTTTGGTGACGAAGAGCTTCGACAGAAGGCTATCAAGAAACTCGAGAACGGCTACCGCTCGGTCGTGAGCAAGACCGGTGCACTTCGATTTAGTAAAGAAGAGGCGTCATTCACTACAAATACATCCACAATCAAAGCATACCTGCTCCGCAACGGCGATTGGCGAAGGATTATTACGAAGGTGAGTCATGTGAAGACATCCGCGAAGAGCGATCATGCTGACTAGTGTCATTTCAGGGCCCTTCAGAGACCACAAAGAATGGACCAGTCCTTGACAGCATTCCTTATCCCGGAGTGCTGGTCGCGAAAGCTAGGAGCACTGATATGGAAGACTTTAGTCTTGTTCTCTATCCTTCAGGCGAGCCTGGCAACTTTGATATTGGACTTAAGAAACTTCAGCCAGGGCAGAAATATGTTACTGTGGGTGGGGGTGCTACCTTCGTTGCGGACAATGATGGCAATGCTCAGTTCAAGGCGCATGTGGAGGGTCGTACAGTGATACACGTCAAGAAACAGGTCAAAGGCTAGTTGCGGGGCATTCATGCCAAAGAAGCGCCCTTAGATCACACGCAGAATTGACCTTAGCATGTAACTCACAATCTTGCGATCGTACCATCATTTGGGGCTTTGAGTTTGTATCACTGCAGCCAACGACCGACCGCCAGTCAATTTTCCAATCTAGCGACTTTCGCAGAGCTAACTTGCGAAACGTAAAACTACGGAATAACTACATGTCAATAGCTGCAGCAGTCGGATACTTTGTGCTAAGTTCTGTGCGCACTGAGTCAATGTCGACCGGTAGATTCGCATCGGCATCACACTGACCATGTTGCGTAGCTAGGTATGCATAGTCTTCCCACCATTTCCGACTCAATTTCCATCCAGAGAGTCGCGTGACGCCCAACTTCTGTGCAAAGTGACTCTCAGCAAGCTGGTATCTTGGCGTCTGTTGCACATCCAAGTCTTGCATTGTTGTCGACATTTCGCGCACAATCTCGAACCAATATTGCGCCGTGTGGTTGCAACCTGTCTCAGGAATGATAGACGCCACTCCTTCAATTTTTCGCAGTATATCGTGTTGTGACAGGGGCGGCAAGCCCTGCTGACGACCAATAGTGTTGTAGTAAGCATCAAGAGTGCTCAAGGAAAGATTGAGATGAGGGACTTCGAAGACAGTGTGAAGCAATATATCACGAACGGCTTGGTCAATATCGAGAGTTCGGTCTTGATTCGAGAGCAAGATCAGGCGATCCCGTAAATGGGCCCAATTTAGCATGTCGATGACGGAGGAATGGGCGAGATTTCGTTGTAGTGGAGTTGGCCGAAACGGCTCAGGAATCTTTTCGACGTTATCCTCAGTTGGGGCAAGGCGCCATTGCATTATTGCTTCCATGGTGGATGCACCCCCCTGATTGAGAATTAATGAACTCAGCTCATGCGAGTATTAAAAGGGCGATGTATTTACTCACCACCCCATGAACATAATCACCGAGGCCACTGTGCTTTATTGCAACGCGTACGGCCACAGTAGCCAGATCATGTACCATCTTACTACTCGCAATGCTCATGCACCTGAGCTTCAGGTCTACCAGCGTCGCTGGTTCATGTAGCTTGGTAAAATCGGTTTGAATGTTCGACTCCGAGCACAGATAGATTACGGAGGCCCTCTCGAGCGCATCCATGAAACGAACATACGACAGTCTCCCGAAAGAATCAAAGACCGAATCTGGAGACGCAAGGACTGTTTGGCCCGGACTGAGAGTCTTGAGGAACGACCGGCTTCGAGTGGGGCCCTCGGGGAAATTAGAAGGCGTTGGCATTGTGAATGAGTCCAGGAAGCTGTAATCGATTTTCTGAGCGAAACTCTCAAGGGATTCATCCTCCCTGTGCCCGATCTCGATAATCTCGCGCTCCGGCAACGAATTATACACGGCGTAATTCGATAAACCCAAGTCATCGAACAAGGGATCAGGTTCAACTGAGCCGCTCAGTTCAATGACGGGTGCCGCTGTAGGGTGTAATTCCTGACTGCGATTATTACCTGGTGATGATGAAGGTGATCTTGATTCCGTCGTTTCAGCATCCCGTTGCACCACAGTGTCCGGCTCAGGTCGCGACGGATCGGAAGGGTCTACGGACTGACGGCGCTGATCGCCCCTGGGCTTTAGGAGTTTTTCAAAAATAGGGTCATCTTGAGTAATGTCAATGATCTGGAGATCTCACTGGCTCGTCGCTTGCGATGGGAAAACAACGTACCCGCTGCCGCTTCTGAACTGTTGCTAATGCTCAGAAGCTTCTTGCGCATGCGAAGAAGCGCCTCGTTCAGTTGGTCATTCTCCTGCATCAACTCTGCGTAGGCATTTACAAGGACGGTATTATTCTCATGACCACCGGCTTGCGCCTTTTTGACCAGATCCATGAAGTTGGCTACATTGCGATTCTGGGTCAACTTCTTCTCGCGGGCGCATCGTTGCGAAATGCGGTTTCTGTACGCGTTTACGTTGGTTCTTCTCATCTTCCTTGGTTCCATTCGCTGAGCTTCTAGGTCTGTTTTTGAGCATTTCTGGATTCGATGTGGGCATGCCACTTGAGTGGTTGATGGCATAGTACCTAAGGACGTTGACGCGAGAAGCGGGACGATCGGCGCACCGGACTTCCGTGCGGGGTTCGACTACTTTAGGCGAGAACGCTAGTCTATCTTTGGAGTCTTGCACTCACTGGACGAATACGAGGCGAACATAGCTGTGAGACAAGCTAAGCGCAGAGACGGCTCTTCTATCTGCAAGCCGACGAATAAGGGTGCTGGAGATGTAGGGTAGTCTTCTCATTTATCTCATCCGGCTCGTCGCAATTTCCGTTCCGGCCGTGAGACTTTTCTGACAAGATGCTCTATAATTTAATAAATCGCTATAGTATAGCACGGGAGAAGTTCGGCAAAATTAGAGTCCTATACTCTAAATAGACATTAATTTGCATAACTAGAGGCCGCTTAGAGCTGCCTCAAACAGCTGACAGAGACTAAGAATCGTTAGCAATATAGGATCTGCCTTACTAAAGTTAATCGACAAAATTCTATAGTTTAGTGATTACTATTTTAAGCACGCGATCTTGCTTACTAGATCCGAATTCTCACTTGCAGACATGTGCATATCTCTTATTATATATACGAAGCTCCTTACTACGTTATATCTACTTCTTCTTTCTCTCTTAATCTACTTATTATGCACAATACTAGTTATATAATGCGAAGATTTATAGTATAAGAAATTTATAACGCCTGCAGTTTTACTATATGCGATATCTATCTGCTAATTTTTCGAGACTATGCTCTCTCTCTAGCGCTAAGAGTAGCATCTATTAAGAGAGCGTTATAACACTTGCTAGGTACATAGAATAAGTTAATTATATCTTTATTATAGACCTTTATAGAATTTTATAAGCTAATGCAGTGTTTTAAAGTCCTATTAAGCAGACCTTTAAGTTCTTTATAAATACAATAATATTGTTAATAAAGAGTTCGTCTTCTTCTGCAAGAATAAGTATTATCTATACTAGCAGCGTTTGCTACTATTCTAGTAGTATATTAAAGAGTGTAGTATAGTTATTCTATTTTAATCGCCTAATAAAGATATCTAACTATAATTTCAACGCACTAGCAGTTAGAACGTCTCTTTTTACATTAGTTATAAAGGTATAAGTACTCTAATTAAAGGTAATCTAAGAAGAGATAAGTATTATAGCCTTAAATTTATAGTAACTGCAGTTAAGAGCTAGAATAGTTTTATTAGAATAAGAATATAGAAGGTATAAAAAAAGCAATAAGGCAAGGTTATCTCTATAGAGTTCTCTCTAATAATAATCTACGATAGATAAATAATTATATTACTCTAGAAAGGTTAAAGAGAGCCTATCTATACGCGTAATAGTTCTACTTTACCTTCTAAGTAGTTTAGCGCTATAACAGCTTATTATAGTTAATAAAGATAAGTTTTCTAGAGCGCTAGGTCTAGAGAATACTTAGTATTAACTATTTAATTAATATATCTAGAAGACCTTACATACTATACTGCAGAACGAATACTATCTAAATTTCTTCTTCTTTAGATACTACTATAATTAACTTAGATAATAGATTTACGTAGCTTAGACTTTTACTTATAATATAGCTGCCTTCTAGCTATTATTAGAAAGAAGTTTTTATATTACTTAAATTTAGAGAAAAGATACTATGCAGCTAAAGAATAATATAAGTAGTATTTTTAAGACTAATTTAATATCTTTTAGTATTACTAGTAATATTAAGAATCTATAGTGCTATTATCTTAACTTTTATCTAAGCTTTATATAACTCTATCTTTAATAGGTAAAAGAATAAGAGTTAAAACAGAGCTTATTCTTTAAGAAACTCTGTCCTTAAGTCTACCTGCATTTCTAGTAGGAATGCAGAGCTTAGCTAATTAGAATAGGCCTTAGCAAGGCGCTATATTGTAGGAATGCAACGTAGAAATGAATAACCTTCTAGAGGGAAATAATATATTTCTAAGAAGCTATTTTGTGCAGTTTTATAAGGAGAATCTAGATCTCTAAACAGTTTATTCATAGCATTAAAATTCGTTGTAATGCAGGCATTTAAAGTTAGAGGGTTTACTTTAGTAAGGAACTTCAAAACTTAAGCTACTACTCTAGGCCTGCTAGCGCTAACGTGCTAATACTCTACTTCTTAGCTTAGTAAGCCCTAGCTATAATTACGATATCTGTTACTTTATTTAACACTAGCTAACATCCTTAATTACTTACTCTCTTCTTAAGACAGCTTATATTCAATAATATTTTAAGTATTTAATTCTAATTCTTTATTACCTATATAATTGCTACATATAATTATGCAGGCTTAAGAAGACTCTACCTTATTACTATAATTTACTAGCGCTTACGCGCTACTTTACTACCTCTCTAAATTTAGCATAATTATTTGCACTTAGCATAGAAGCATAAGAAACTAGAAAGCCTATCTAAACTGCAGTTATTTAGTACTACCTAAGATCTGCAACTAAGTTAGCAGAGAGAAAAGCTTTCTAGAACTGCTAGTATTATAGATTATAAGTCCTTGCAATATTACCTACTCTACTTATAGTAGAGAACTAATTGCGCTTCTAGGAGACCTAATTTATGCATAGCAATGCAAAGAGCAGCGCTGTAGCTACATTAGTACTAACTAAAGAACTATAGCTTAATACTATAACAAAGAGCACTAATAGCGAAGCTTACTAGCAGTAAGAGAGCATTAGCAGAAAGTAAAAGTCTAGACGCTCTTTAGAACTAGTAGCTATTAGCGCTATTTTACTATAGTAATATCTAGTTTAGGCACTCTAGACTCTAATTATATAGAGACTGTTAAAAACGTATTCTTAAATTCTAAGATAACTACTATCTTAGCTAAATACTAGAACGCTTAGCAATAACGACTTAATGCGTATAATATCGCTAAAGCTATTATTCTTAGAATAGATCGAACTAGCTAGTTTACTAAGAATAGCTAGTAAGAACATCTTAGAAAACATAATCTAAAATAACTTTACTAGGTAAGCTAGCTACCTAATTGCTATAATACTTTATTATAATAGGCAGTTAGAGTAGTAGACTTAGCTATAGAGCAGAGAGTAGCTAGTCTTTCTATCTTGCCTCTAGAGACCTGCTGCTAGTTAAGAAGCTCTAAGAAGATAGAGATTAAGACCTAGCCTATAGGACGCCTTTAGAATAAGGCATCCTAATAGCGTTATACTAGATATCTAAAGCGCTTTACCTGCTACTACCTTAGAGTTGCATAGGCAATCTATAAGGAAGAAATTACTAGCAACACTTAAATGCCTACAGCTACTATATAGGACCTGCTAAGCTCTTCCTCTAGCTCTAATTTAAGTACAAATACTTTAACTTAGCTAATAATACGTTAACATCTGCTGTATAACGCTGTAGCCTTATTTCTCTAGTAAGAGAATTAACTAGAGCTTGCAATAAGCTTTATTTAATCTCTAAATCTTAATAATAAGAGCACTTAAATTTAGAAGCTTATTAAGCTACTAGGAGCTTTTATTTTCCAGCATATTAGCAGCAACTAGTTTTCTAGTAGGCTTGTTCATTTTCTAGCTATCTTAGGCATTAACTTATATACTTACTAATTGCAGCGCGCTAAAGATTATTTAGGCATACTAGCAGGCATAGTATACTGCCTTAGAGTAATTGCAGTAGAAGCTATCCTACTATCTACTACCTAAGAGTAATAAGGCTAGATAGAGCGAGAATTCTTTTACTAACAACGCAAGAATTACCTTATTAATAGTTTATACAGCCTATTCAGTATTATAATTAGCCTCTTAGCCTATGCTAAATATATTGCATTTAACAAAAGTAATAAGGCTGATACTCTATAGTCTTAAGATTACACTATTCTCTATTTTCGTAGCTAGCCTCTTATTATTAAGCGTTTTAAGAGCATAGTATTAGGTCTAGTAGAGGCTAGATAAAATAATCTCTAGAAAGACCTTATATTTGTTTCTCTTATAGCAAACTGCTTTAGTCTCTCTATTGCAACTATTTAGGATAATATTCGCTGCAAAGTTAGAGAGTACTTCTTTCTTACTAATAAAGCAAATAATCTTAGTAATAGCTTTAAATAGACTCTTAACTAACTTCTTACTAGCTCTACTAGCTAATAAATGCGAGCTTAAAGGATGTAGACATACTTAGCTGTTCGCAAATTTATTAAGCGAATTAACTCTTTTTTAGAGCTTCTCTTTCTATTAGTATATATAACTAGTAGCTAACCTATAAGAGGAACTAAGATTATATTAGCAAGGTAGCGTAATAACTACGCTTAAGACTGCAATATTTACGTAATTAATAGCTAAGTTGCCTTTATTATCTAATATAATAAGACTTAGTTATAATAGAATTAACTAAAGATTATTCTACGCTTTCTACTCTTAGCAGTTAGGCAGATACTACTTCTTTACCTAGTATATATCTGCTCTTTGCGCGAATACCTTTACTATACTATTCTAAGCAACTCTTATAGTAACTATCTCTAGTTAACTAACACTAGAGCTTAGGAGCTAGATTAGTTTACTTATGTTATATAGAGAGAGACTAGGACTCATCTTAGATATACGCTTAGGTTACTAGAATATTACTATGCTATCTCTATAATTAGACGCTAGTTTATTAGAAAAGACTTTCGCTATAGTACGCACGATCGCAACTCTTAAGAAGATCCTAAAGAACTAGAGAAAACTAAATTAGAGAGCAGAATTAATCTCTAAGCAGGCTATACAGAACGAATTAGACTATAAAGCTATAGTATACTAATAGATATAGTAAAGAACTTAAGCTTACGCTTAATACACTTCTTCTAGGCTCTAAGTAACTACTAGCATAAATTTCTTAGGTTAGAATCCTTAGAGCCTTATACTAGAAACTCTTTAGGCTAAGAGCTGTTAAAAGTTAGCATAACTCTGCTACTTATCTTTAGCTATCCTACTCTAAGGCACTAGCTATAAAGCATAGAGCATCTAGGTATAAACTCTTAACTGCTAACTAGCCTAGTTAAGCGTCTAGTAAAACAGCTGCGCTTGCGCTAGGTATTAGTTAGCAAAACCTCTATTAAAGCTGTAATAAGCAAAGCGCTTAATTAACCTAACCTAGCATATAAATCTGCTAAGCAAGCATAAGCGTTAGAAGCAG